GCCAACCTCAATTATGCGACGCGCCATGCTAAAACACAATTTATGTGAAATCATAGTTTTTGGTATTCCAGCTTGCCCTCCAATTTCTTTGACTCTGCCACCTTGCGAACCGCTTTATTGAAATCATCTTGGTTAACGGCATCTCTGTAATCCTTGATAGCAAATAAACCACTAGGTAAGTTAGCAAAGTTATTGTGTTATGTAGAGAGAATACATACGCTTCTGTGACAACATTCCGTAAATCAGCACCGTTCAAGCCATCGCTCATCTTTACCACACTCTCGAAATCAACCTCGCCCTCGATGACAACACCAGCAGCGTGAATTTTCATGATTTCCATTCGTCCGACCTCATTTGGTAAAGGAATTTCGATCTTCCTGTCAAGACGTCCAGCTCTGAGAAGCGCAGGGTCAAGGGTATCCGGACGATTGGTAGCCATGATAATCTTTGTCTTTCCCAAATAATCGAAACCATCAAGTTGATTTAACAATTCCATCAAGGTTCTCTGAATTTCGCGATCTGCTGAAGTTCCCTCCGAAAATCTTCGTCCACCAATGGCATCGATTTCGTCCATGAAGATGATACATGGCTCGTGTTCCTTCGCGTACCCAAACATCTCTCTAATCAGACGCGCAGATTCTCCAATATACTTATCGACGATAGCAGATGAAACGACTACATGATGTCAGTAAAATTATAAAAACAAAACGTAAAAGAACCTCCTACCCTTCAAAAAGTTGGTCTCTAGACCGCTTGCAACAGCTCTTGCTAACAAAGTCTTTCCTGTTCCTGGAGGTCCGTACAACAAAACACCCTTTGGAGGCTTGATACCAACTCGCAAGAACAATTCTGGATTCTTAAGTGGTAGCTCGATAACCTCTCGTAGTTCCCTAATTTGTTCGTTCAAGCCACCAATTCCACCAAAGCTCACTTGTCCTGGATCTTCCAAAGACATATTATAAACGAGCGGATCGACTTCTCGAGGTAGCATTCGCATGATTGTGAGAGTTGTCATATCGAGTGCTACACGGGTTCCTTGTTTCAATTTCAACTTGTCAACTTTCGACCTGCAGCCGACAACGTATCTGGGCCCGGATGATGCTTTGACGATGACTAGAATATTGATGTTAGCAATATTGGATGAAGCTTCCTGCCGGGCTACTCACATCTCTCATCATCGAGTTGTTTCAACACCTCACCGATGATCTGTCCAACACTTTGTAGAGCCTTAATATTATCCTCAGTATGGTCAAAGTCCTTCTGTAATCCCTTGATTTCTAACCGCAAAGCCTTGAGCTTTGCCTCCCATTCTCTAGACTCCAATAGCTTGTTCTTAAATGTCGACAATGCATGCGTGCGCTCTGTATCCTTATCGATGCTAGACATCTTGAATGTCGCAAAGAATCAAATGGTATCTATCAAGTATCCGATTAGGTAAAAGTGATTGAATTATCAAAATTATTAATGCAGGCGTTATTCTCGAATTTGCGTGGAAGGTGTGTTTGTTTGATGGAACTGGAACTGGGTAGTATTGCTTAACTAAGTTGCATGCGAAGCTCTTGTTGCCTGTGGATCAAGTGAGCTTCGATATATTTATGCCTGAGGCAAGAAGCCTTGTAGATAGATATTGACTACCCAACCTCGCACCTCGCAGCTCAACTCAGTTGTTGACGCACAACAATCTCACTTCTTTCTTTGTGTCATTTTCTAAGTACATATATCCCGTACGAAGCAAATTACTTCGAAGCATTCTGACTCTCTGGCTCTCAGTTCCTGTAGAGTTCGTTACGCCAAGTGCCCAGGTACCTCCGGATTTACGAACTATGGAAGAAACTTCCTCAACATCATCTACAAGTATCAAGTGTTACAACTAGAGATTCAGAACACCGGGGCTTCAAAAACAATACCTTTTCATTCTCAATATATCTCAACATGACCGGTACTAGTATCTTGACCTTCTTCCAGTCGTACAGGCTTCGCACTGTCACGACAGTGAGAAATGTATGATGTGATGATTTAGCACGATGTAAATTGATAGGCAATGCTACACTACTTATTTACTATGCCCGTGGATATCTAAATCACTTGAAACTTTCTAGTCGGGTCCGGCCACCGAAGGCGCGATTAGTACAAGTAAGGTTACGACCAAGCCAAGCTAGAACTTAGCCATCCATAATTCTAAGTTTGACAATTTGACAATAGTAACGATCCGTTGCTCATCTGTCAATGGTCAAGATATATAAAGGTTTCGGGACAAACCTTATTATCCAACCATATTTGGGTATTATTTGAGTACTAGCATAATTTACACTTTTACTTTAGACGCGAATGGCCTAAAAAGGTGACAATCATCCAGTCAAAGATTCGGCGTAACTCACTTACTAAGAGTAACTCCGGTAAACATGGGTTTAAATAGGCTGGGGGCAGGAACGACGCATTGGCACGTTTGGTGGGGCGAGGGGTTGAAAAAGATCTCATCTTCTGTGACTCTAATAAACCTCTTGATCTTCCCCTTCTCACAACTCAACAATACAACTTCTTTTACAAAAGCCAGATAACACTCAAGGTCAGTCAACACTGAGCATATTTCCCTTTCCAATTGTCCTTATCATCTACGACAAAAGGCTTCATTATCTCTGAATCAATGTGAATCAACAGAGAAATAAGCTGAAGCTGAAGCTCGATTTGGTGCTATCACCCCACCATGATCATCTCTGGCTGGCGATATTTTCTTCTGTCTTTCCACGATTCAACAAACATTGCGTGCCAACTAACACAAACTTCCATAGAACCTTAGCCAGTAATCAAAACAGATAAGGTACGACTCAAGCTCTTTTTATCATTGATATAGTTTGATCTATGAGTTTGGATACTGACGAATCTTCTCAACAGAAAGTCAATATGGCTATCACTAAGATTCACGCACGTTCCGTCTACGATTCTCGTGGAAACCCAACCGTCGAGGTTGATGTTGTCACTGAGACTGGTCTCCACCGTGCCATTGTCCCATCTGGTGCTTCCACTGGTACGTACATCGCCCCGAACATTAGAAAACCACAAGGCTGATACGGATGGCACTTTAGGTCAACACGAGGCCGTTGAGCTCCGTGACGGAGACAAGTCCAAGTGGGATGGAAAGGGTGTTACTAAGGCTGTCGCCAACGTCAATGATATCATTGGCCCAGCTCTTATCAAGGAGAACATTGATGTTAAGGACCAATCAAAGATTGATGAGTTCTTAAACAGCCTCGATGGAACCCCAAACAAGGGAAAGTTGGGTGCAAACGCCATTCTTGGTGTCAGTTTGGCTGTTGCCAAGGCTGGAGCTGCTGAGAAGGTCAGTTGAAATCTATTCTCACCGTTAGCTGCATTCCTAATACTGAATAGGGTATCCCACTTTACGCCCACGTCTCCGATCTTGCCGGAACCAAGAAGCCATACGTTCTCCCCGTCCCATTCATGAACGTTCTTAACGGAGGGTGAGCAATCTGGTAGCATTTGAAATCATTGAATGGTAACTAACAATTGATAGTTCCCACGCTGGTGGACGTCTGGCTTTCCAAGAGTTCATGATCGTACCTTCGTAAGTCACCCCCTGCAATTTCCAGCTTCACTAGATGACATGCTAATACCACGTGTAGTGCTGCCCCATCTTTCTCCGAGGCTCTTAGACATGGTGCTGAGGTTTACCAAAAGCTCAAGTCTCTTGCCAAGAAGAAGTACGGCCAATCTGCCGGTAACGTCGGAGACGAGGGTGGTGTTGCACCAGATATTCAAACCGCCGAGGAGGCTCTTGAGCTCATCACTGAGGCTATCGAGGCTGCTGGCTACACCGGAAAGATGAACATCGCTATGGACGTTGCCTCCAGCGAGTTCTACAAGGAGGACGCCAAGAAGTACGATTTGGACTTCAAGAACCCAGACAGTGACCCAACCAAGTGGATCACCTACGCCGAGCTTGCCGATCAATACAAGACCCTTGCCAAGAAGTACCCAATCGTCAGTATTGAAGATCCATTTGCTGAAGATGACTGGGAGGCCTGGAGCTACTTCTACAAGTCTTCCGACTTCCAAATCGTCGGTGATGATTTGACTGTCACCAACCCAATCAGAATCAAGAAGGCCATTGAACTCAAGTCTTGCAATGCTCTCTTGTTGAAGGTCAACCAAATCGGTACTCTTACCGAGTCTATCCAAGCTGCCAAGGACTCCTTCGCCGCTGGATGGGGTGTTATGGTTTCTCACCGTTCCGGCGAGACTGAGGATGTCACCATTGCCGATATCGTTGTTGGTCTCCGTGCTGGTCAGATTAAGACTGGTGCCCCAGCTAGATCTGAGCGTTTGGCCAAATTGAACCAGATCTTGAGAATCGAGGAGGAGCTCGGTGATAAGGCGATTTACGCTGGAGAGAACTTCAGAACTGCTGTCAATTTGTAAATGATTTATTGATTTTCGGACAAAAATTCAGCTATGTAGGTAACAGTGTTATGCGGAATGAGCGATGCCATAGCCTGAGGCTAATGATGAATGATATCACAAAATGAAGAACAATTTGATTTAACATACTTGCATGTCCTGTTATAATTGTGATAGTGTCAATCTAAGCTCATTGTGTTATTCTAACACCGTGTGGATAGAACTCATTGTCTCAACACCTTAAAGAACCTCCTAGTACAAGTTCTTACTATTGTAGTTGTGAATTTGAAGGCCTAAGGTTAACTTGAGGGGTTGAAATAATTACGAGCCAGGCACCAATCTGATATCAGGCAAGCCCCGCTTCCGATCGGTCTTGGGTAATTCCCTGTCAAGTAGTGTGGGCACAAACCTAAAGACAAACTTCCAACAATCCTATTTCCTAAAGATCTTCCTTTCAATACCCAACCACAACACATAGTGAAAAGCTATACCTGCAAATTTACTGGAGATCTAGACTCAACACTTCAATAAAACAAGGCAAAAGCAATTAAGAGCGCTATTCACTGAGGATTTAGTCTTAGAAAATGCCTGACAAGTGGGGTAAGTGGCAGAATATTTTATTTTCTCACCAGACGTGTTCTGCGGGCATTGTCTCACAAAAAATATTATCAGTATCCGTGACGAGTATTTGGAAGGCCTGGTTGGAAAGATTACCGCCATGCAGATGCAGAGGAATATATTGACTGACCGCTACTCTACCGAACAGATGAAGAATCGTCCTCCGAGGAGTCACCCGAGCCAACACCCGCACAAAATACCAGTTCGAACCGAAGAAAGTTTGACGACGAAGAGGATGATGATGAAGTCTTAGATTCCTGGAGTGCTGCCGAGGACTCTGAAGTCGAACGCGAAAAGGCAAAGGTTGAAACCGAACGAAAAGCCAAGGCCGATGCATTGGCTGCAGCAAATAAGAAGTCGAAAGCCCAGCGTGTCGCTGAAAAGCAAGCCGAGAGAGCACGCGAACTCGCAGATGGTAGCGATGAGAGCAGTGAAGAAGACGAGGCTTCAAGGAGAGAACGCCTTCGACGAACTGAACAAGATTCCGACTTGAAGCACGCGGAGGACCTTTTCGGCAACATTGGTATCAATTCCCGTAAGGACACAAGTGCTGCGAATGCAGTGCAAATCGATGAAAAGAATCCTGCCGCCACCGTTGATCTGACAACGCTCCCACTTTTCGATCCAAGAACAAAGCCGCAATTTGAGAAGCTCCGCGAAACTCTCGTCCCGCTCATTGCTAATAACGCCAAGAAAGCACAATATACCATTTTCTTGCAAGAATTCACCAAACAGATCTCCAAGGATCTTCCAAGTGATCAAATCAAGAAGATCGCCAGTACACTGACAGCTTTGGGTAACGAGAAAATGAAGGAGGAGAAGGCAGCCGAGAAGGGAGGAAAGAAGTCCAAAGCACAGAAAACCAAGACTACCTTGAATACAAGCAGAAACATGACATCCAATACTGACACCCAGGCTTACAATGAAGATTTTGGAGAGTAAGTTTATATTACCCTTCTCTCCACACAGCAGTTATTGACGGACCGCAGCGATGATTTTATGTGAGAGGGCTTTGGTTATAGTTGCCATATCTCAGTCTCCCCAGATTTCCTCAAAACTGAGAACACATCCCCAATCGAATTTCACGCACATCTAGTCAGGCGCAAAGATATTGATAGTATGTGGCGAGACTCACACAACACTTATGCACGTCCTTTCAAAGGCGAAAGTAGCCCCCTACACGAATGCAGGCACTAATATTTGGTGGAGAGGTTACAGCAGATTGCACTGGGCCAGATTTATAATAGAAATGTTTGGCGGTTGAGGAAGGTAACCACATGGCTGGTCTCAGACCGTTCTAGGTTGCAACTTTGGTTCTTCCTCGAATTCAAGGCCTCGCCACACGCTTCAATCGTATTTGAGCATGGATAGATATAGTGAGCACGGTTAAGCGTAATTTTGAGAATTTACCTCCATGTCTTCTTTATGCGATCTTAGTTGCCTGACGTGGTTCGACAAGTGATGTACTATTCCTATTTTCTAAGTCTAGGTTGATGATTCTATAATGCAATATACATACATCTACATCTCCAATCTATCTGCATCTCATAACTACCTACTGACCCTCATATCTTACTCCCTTCGGTCGAGCTCCTCACCGACGTATTCCTCTCGGCCCCCACAACCAACGCAACATGGTTACTAATAGCGACCAATTCTCCTCCCTCGTCCCAAGCCGTTAACTCGATATCCATACGTCCGTTCTTGGTCTGTTTTCGATCGACGCGTATGAATAGCCATTCTATGCCTTGGGGTGGAAGGGATTTCTTAAAATCAATGTTTAGGAGGAGCGTGGGGAACCAGTATTTCGCGCCGGGAATGGAGATTCTCCCGGTGGGGGTGGAGGCGGAGGCGGAGAGGAAGTTGGAGGGGAGCCCAAATAAGTCACACGCGAAGCCGAGGCTGGCATTGGTCCACTGGTGGGGAGAAAAGGGGGTTAGTCATTAGTTGGGGATTTTAGGGAAGGTATGCGGGGGGGGAACGGAGCAGATGTTGTAGAGAATTAAGGGTGAGCACAGGGATTGGGATCATGAATGTGATGAATGAAACTATGATGCTTACGAATTCGCCGGTGCTAAGTCGAATCCATTCGTCGGATATGGTGGGGGAGGGTTGGGTGTGGGGAAAGTGGAGATGGGCTTTTGTGGTGGCTTTGCGGAAGCTGGGGAAGGGCATTATCTGGAGGTGGTAATTGGGGTCGGTGTTGATTGAAAGTACTAGAGTGCGGGAGTTTAGTAGTCGTTGATTGTGAAAGGGGTTTGAAGGAGAAGGCAAGGGGAAGCATGACATTCAAAGATCTCTTGTGCTTACGGGGAATAGAGACGGGAAGGGGGGCGGGATGAAGGATATGAGTGTGGGGGGAGGAAACGCCAGTTTCCGTGGTGGTGTTAGAGTGAGTGAGATAACCGACTACTTCAACACGGTCGCCTTGGGACAGAGTTACGTGAAGAACAGAGGTTTGCCGCCCAAGTTTGGTATCTTGGACTGGAGTGAAAGTTTAGTATGTAAAAGCCGCTCTATAATACAAAGAGACAATCACATCTTGTTATCGACACATGGGAGTCACGGGACATGCTTACCAGCGAAGAGAGCAGGACCGACTTGGGTGCGCCGCAAAAACTCGACGTGGAGAGCTATGGGGTTTGGTTGATTCTGTGCAGAAAGAGTGGTGCGGAAATGGAGGGAAGAGACTTGGAGGAACACGGCTGTGACGAATCCTCCATGGGGAACTGGATGTTCTGATTAGACACTGCATAGATAGTTGCTTAAGAGGTAGATGCTTATCTACCTGATCCAATGCACCAGTCCTGTGTGAAATATCAGTAGGGATACCCAAGAAAACGGAAAATGTACGTTATAGACGGTATTATTCTAATCATAATCGTATATACAATTGGGATAGATCAGGGGCTTTAAATCGAATCAACACTTACATCTGGAAAGTTCGCCGAGTATGTATGTGATGTTAATTGTTCAACCTTGGTAGCGTCGGCAAAGTTGGTGCCAGTGTTTGATGAAGGAGGGGTCGTCATCTCATATATTCGGATGCTCAAGGTGAGACAAGATAAGTGTAGAATAATACATAAACTGGAGTACGAGATATCCACGACACAAATCTATTCTTCTGATTCTAAATATAAATGCTTGAAATCTGGGGAAGTTCTGGGGAGAAGTAGGTGTTAAATGTGTCTTAGACAGAAGGGTAAGCTAGAGCCGTGGGTATGATACGAAGGTACAGTTGCCGAGGCTGGTGTGCTTGGGATTTGCTTATCGATTGAAAGGGTGATACGCTTGTACCTCCAGGGGTTATTGATTTATTTCTATGAAGACATTTGTGTAATAAAATTGCCGCGAATCCACCTTTCTTTTCTTCTTTGCCTCCTTGTAGTATTCGTAGATGTTAGCTAGGTTGATTGTTTTGTCTCTCAAAGACGTATCTTCAAAGTCTTCTGGTCTCAATGTCTCAATGTCTCACACATCAAGAGATATTGAGGCGCATGGCATGCATAACATTCGTATCAAACCTTTGGATCCGGAACATACTCTTCTAAGGATCGTGACTATCGAACTGATCTTATGAGAGATTCCCCCTGACTTCTTTCACTACCGAAGGCCAGTTGATGCCCCGTTGATGCCAAATTAGACTCTATCTTCTCCGTAGTCATACTTTAGTCCCGTTTCTTTCACACGCCTAACAATGTGCGTCAGTACTCAAGATGTTGTAGGTAATAAGCTCTAGGAGGCTGTGAACAGAATAATAATGGAGAAATCTACTTGAGAGGAAGAGAGAGTAACACGAGGGATTAGGAAAGAGGGCACGGGGTTGCTTCATTCTATTCACTCATCTACTCACTCATGAACTACTCGAGTAATCTGTCTAATTGTTCAAAGCTGCTCCAACAATCAACAAGTAAAATAATGTTAGCACCTTATGAAACGATTGTTGAAACGGCCTTATAAACATACCTATACCAGACGAATTAGGAGAACTAATCGATTAATAACAATAAACAATAACTAACCGCTACTTCTTTACAAGTACAGTACATACTGTACAATCACCGCGCCTAGCGAGAACCTTATTACTACTTAGTACTTGTACTTCTACTCCAGCAATCCCTAGAGTGTGTGCGCAGTGCGGTACCATACCATATCATATCAAATACACAGATTAATAACTCTCTTCTCCACAACTGAAAACCCTCCTTAACAACATTTGTCCTTAGTTACAATTATACAGATTAGATGCCAAAAACATTATCTTCCTTACAGCCTTCGACAATATTGTCAGAGCAAGGGCCGCACCTCTTGCAACAACTTACAACTTCCAAACTCGATAACTTTAGTGGGGTGAACCCTGAGGGAGGAACGTAAAGAACGGGAAAATGGGTAATGTTAGCAGCAGACCAGATGATGGCGCGCCGTTGTACTTGAGGGATCAAACTCGCTGTAAGTATTTCTATCGATACTCATCAGGATTGGAGAGAAAGGAGGGGGCTAATTATGATATACTGGTAGTAACTATATCGTCCTTGTCCATCACCCATCAACGAAGGAAAACCCTCCTAAATATTGTTCCAAATGGCTTTCCAGCAACGAGAGTCTCTGCGATTCGCGACCTTGGAGATAATGCTGTGGTGGAATATGTTCAGGTAACGACTATACATATACATTGCATTTGTCCTACCAACAATGCTGATCAGAATCCTGCAGGACCCTGATACGCTTCCTGGAGCCGCTCCCAATTTCCTCATCAAGATCAATAATGACGAGGAACTTACCTTTAATTTCACATTTATCATGCGACAACCTCAGGGATTTTTGCCTGCGACGAATGGCGCAAAAGATGTGGTTGGCTTGGTGGATTCCGTTATCAATGGCCTCACATATGTATCAGCCTCTACAGCGCGAGAGGTCGAGAACCTGATCACTCGAGAATTCCATGCCGATCCAAATCTACACAAGAATGCCAATGTACAATTAGTTGGGGATTACTCTACTGGAGGCAGTCAGTCGGTATCGTTCGAATGGTCCTGGAAATGGAGACCCCCAAAGCCAACAGAGGATCGCGGGGGTGGTTGGAGGAATAATTGCAGTGTACGTTGGACTGAATCGCATATATCACTCATTCTGACGGCTTCTAGTTTCTCGAATATGATCAGCGAGCGCATCGATTGAACACTCTTGCCAGTTTCTCATTCTGGGTTTCAAGTAAGGCTCCAATCGCTATGTTCCCCGTTATTTGCTAACAAGGACTTAGACCCGCAACCATTGAGTATGCCAGGTTCTCCTTCTCCGCCTTTTCATCTCGTCCCTCCTCCTAAATTGCGGCTCCCCTCTTCCCAGTCCCTCGATTCCCGCATGAGCGGGCAAGAGCTATTGTACGAAGATGCACCACCGTCGCCAAATCCCCTTAACCTCGATCTGGTCGTCCCTCAAAGCCTAATGGCAGATATACCGATCGTCGATGTGTCTTGCCAACGCCCCGGCGAGGATATGAGTGCCACAGAAGATGGGCCTTTATTCAGGGCTACTATGAAAGCCTTGGAACAAAAAACTGGAAATATGCGCGCACGGATGAAGAAGGTTCTCAGAAAGGCAGAGGCGGCACAGAGTGCCCAGAAAGAATGCAACGATGCTATTGGGGGCTTTATGGAAGCGCTTCGAGAAGCCTCCACATCTAATGCGAACGCAGTTCAGCCCGCTTTGGATCATTACTTCGATAAAATTGCGCGGGAGATTTTACAATATGAGAAGCAGAACGCTACTAATCTGGAGAAGGTCATTATAGATCCGCTTTCAAAATTATACAATTACGATATTAAGCAAGCTGAGTCGAAGAAACGAGACTTTGAGGAAGAAAGTAAAGATTATTATGCATATGTATCTAAGTATTTGGGGCAACGTCAAGACTCACTGAAGCAGAAAAAGCGGGTTGAAAGCGATACCAAATACCAAACGAAACGCCGCAATTTCGAACTGAAGCGATTCGACTATTCTTCATTTATGCAGGATTTACACGGGGGGCGAAAAGAGCAAGAAGTGTTGTCACACTTGACCAAATATGCAGATGCTCAAACAAGGAGTTACCTGGCGGCGGCAAATAAAGTGGAACAAATGCTGCCACAGCTGGAAGCATTGAGCGCAGAAGTGCAGGATGCGGATAAAGAATTCCAATACCAGAGGACTGAACGTGAGGAAAAGCGACGTAATCTCGAAAAGAGTACTGTTACATACGTGGAACCTGAGACAATCCCAGCGGTCCCGGTTGAAGCAATCGCACCTGGAACTTCAAACTCGGGTAATGGTGCATATACTTCGGATTCTGAGCTCAATAGATCAGATAGCACAGGGCATCAACTGAGACCAGTACCAACAAATAGTACAACTGCCACAATCAATAATGGAGGTATGTCTGAGTTTACCAGGTCTCCCGGAAGCCTCTCGTCTGTGGCTGGAGGGCAAGTGGGAAGCCCCGGTACAAACCCTCGGTTTCGTGGCATTCGGGACCTTGAAGAAAAAGATCACAGCCAAATCACGGCAAGTGAGAAGTTGGGTACGCAACGTAAGGAAGGTCTTCTCTGGGCTTTGAGTAGGCCTGGAAGCCATGTTGATCCACGGGGCTTGAACAAGCAAGCTTGGCATAAGTAAGTCAGACACGTTGAAATCAACATAACACTACTAATTTGGATAGATTTTGGATTGTACTTGATGCTGGTAAACTCTCCGAGTATAGTAATTGGAAACAACGTCTAGACCTACATATGGAACCTATAGACCTACGCATGGCGTCTGTTCGTGAGGCTCGCGATGCCGAGCGTCGTTTCTGTTTTGAGGTTATTACACCTCAGTATAAAAGAGTGTATCAAGCAACCACAGAAGATGACATGAAAAACTGGATATCCGCCATCAACAATGCACTTCAAAGTGCAGTAGAAGGTAGGGGCATGAAAGATTATCCTGCTTTGGCACCACAACCCGAGTCTCATTCGATCAGAAGAGACATCGGGTCAATATTGACAGGAAAGAGTTCTTCGATGAACTATGGGCATTCGTCAAACCATAGTAGTGCTTCGAACACGAATAATGTGTTTAGAAGAACCACCGTCGGTGCCAGACCTGCGTATGGCCGTTCGACCAGTAGTAGCTTTGATGAAAGTCCAGATAAATTACTCCAGCTTCTACGAGAAACGGACCAAGGAAACTGCTGGTGTGCAGATTGTGGGTCTGGAATTAAAACAGAGTGGGTCTCAATCAACCTTGCCATCATACTTTGCATCGAATGTAGCGGTATTCATCGTTCACTTGGGACACATATCAGCAAAGTTCGCTCCTTGACTCTCGACATCAATTCCTTCACCACGGATATTGTCGAGTTGCTATTATTGGTCGGCAATCGTGTTTCCAATATGGTCTGGGAGGCTAGACTTGATCTGGCTGTAAAACCTCCGCCACAAGCTACACGCGAGCAGAGGTTGAGATTCATCACAGCTAAATATGTTGACCGGGCTTTTGTGGAACCATTATCATCCACCCTTTCAAGATATGCCACGGCGGACGAAACGCTCCTTGCAGCTATTAAGAAGAATGATGTCCAGCAAGTGATCTATGCTTTGGCACTCAAGGCAAACCCTAATGTCACGGATAAGTCTCGCGGGACGCATTCGGTATTCTTGGCTCTCGCTGCTGCTGATCCGGCATCCCCAGCACAAGTTACATCACCCACTAGAGCTGAGCCGCCTGTAAAGATTGTGCCCTTCCCCATTGCGGAAATGCTCGTACAGCACGGGGCTGAGATCCCAACAACATTACCTGCATTCCCTTTGAGTAGAAGCGCAACGCTGTATATAGAGCAAAAGACACAGCGAGGAGGAAGCACTAGCGATACTTTGGGGGCTTTGCCAGCCACCGTAACCTCACAAGATAAGCTCAAGGAGCGAGAAGCTAGATTGCAGAAACGTGTCAGTGCTGGTGGGCGACTAGCTAAAACGCCTATTCAGGAACGCTCATGAAAATTTTCGGTTGGTATGATATGGCATGGTATGTTAATGAATGATGGATGATTTGGAGATACCATGGGATTGGCATTGTTGGCGTTCATGTCAAAAATACTTTATTTTGTATTCGGCTGGCTTGTTATACTGGGATGGACCGGTGGCTGGTGACTGGTGACTGGCGGGCTGGGCACCAATGATGAATTGGACGGGGAGCTCGAATCTCTTGTCTGCTTCGCTGTGAATGTATAGTAAACAAGCGATATCGATATCGATATCAAATATCAAACATCGCTAGAGGAATTGGAATTGGAATTGGAATGAAAGAAAGCAAGCAAGAAAGCCACTTGATACGATAGTGGGATTTGGATAGGATAGGCTATAGGCTATAGGTTAAGGGTTGTAGGTTAGGGAGTTAATTATTAATGGAATGGAATGGAAAGAAATGAAATGAATGGGAACTATGTTGGGTTGGGTTTGGTCGGATGGGGTTGGGTGAGGTGGATTGATTGATTGAATGGCTGAATGGCTGAATGGAATTGATGGGAAATGCTTGTGCTATACATACATACTCGAGTACATACATACATACATACATACATACATACTCTACATACTCTACATACTCTACATACTCTATATACCTCTCCATGCATAGATAGATAGATAGATAGGTGGGAAGCAGGCGGAGAGGATTATCAATTATATTTATGTTAGAAAGTAATTAAAGGTTACAATATTATATACTCGAGTATAACTAACTGAATGGTTCAACTTTTAATATGAATTATTTAGCTTTTGAATTGAATTTTTAAGTTAGATTTGAAAGACTAGTAAACAAGTGTTTTTCAAAAGCATTTTCGAATAAATGAATGAATAAATGGATGAATGAATACTCGGTAGTTGTAAAAGGTATATTATTAACAATATTAAATCTGCATTAACCACCACTATCGAGTGATACATAATGACCCGCCCAGATCATCGATTTCATCGCTGCCATCTTTGTGAATGGATGGCTCCATTCCATTCACATGGTACCTAATCGTAGTAGTCATATATTAAACAGGTACGAGTAATTCAATATCACTTTTTTTTCGCCAGAGCGCCCACCATTTTCTTGCCCCCTCCTACCCAGTCCGAGTTGTATACAGGTAGAGGGTTATGATGAGAAAACAAGGGAAGAAGGTAAAAAAAAAGTAGAAACATAAGTGCATAACTATGCAGAAAATAATTATCCCATCATCGCCGAAATCGCTTAGCATAGTTCATTCATTTACCGTTCTTCTTTGGCGTCTTGGACTTGGGTGTGTTTGGCCTGGTCGTCTTAGACTTTGGAGTTTTTGACTCTGGAGCCTTCATCTCGGGGGATTTGGCTATTGCCTCCACATCCTCTGGATAGATGCTCTCCCCCTCATAATCAAACAGAGTTTGATCACCTTTACCGCCCATCTCAATGAACTCCTTTGGATCTCGTTGAGCTGATGGAACCTCTTCGTTCTTGGCTCCGTTTTGCTGTGGCTCTTGCTGACTTGCTGGATGGTTGATACAATTCGACTTGGCGTCTGAGTTCTTAACATATACCTTAACAGGATCTTTGCCAGATTCGATTGTGATAACCTTAGAAAGCTTGACCACATTGATAGCGCTGAGCAGTGTTCTTTCTCTCATGATCTTGCGCTTACTGAAGTCGAGACCTGCAAGTCCGCCGACGAGACCATCCGTACTATCGTGGAGGTTAATAGTCTTCTGAGTCATCCATGGATGCGACAAGCACTCATCAACGGTGTAACGCTTTTCTGGGTCAACTGTTAACATGTGATCAATGAGATCCAATGCTGGGTCGCCGATATTGTCCCAATACGGAGAAGGATAGTCGAATCTAGCGAGTCTGATTTGAGCTTTGAGGTCGTAAGGATTGTCCCTAGAATATAATTCATCAGAGAAGGGTGGGAATCCACAGAGACATATGTATAGAACAACTCCTAATGCCCATATATCAACTGCACGTGTGTATCGTCGATGGTTATTGTCTTGGAGGATCTCCGGAGCCACGTAGCTGGGAGTGCCACAAAGCGAGGTCGTGAAAGATGCCTCTCCAATGATCTTTGATAGACCAAAATCTGCAAGTTTTACATGCAAATCTTCATCAGTCATCAAGATATTCTCGGGCTTGATGTCTCGGTGTACGATACCACGCTCATGCTATTGTTGATCGGTTAGCTGGCGTCACTAGAGATTGCTCCGGAATAAGTGCTCACCAGGTACTTTAAGCCTTCAAACAATTGAAGGAAAATCTTTCTTGTTTCTTGCTCTGTAAGCTTGCCCTTCTTGACAATCCAGTTGAACAATTCTCCTTCCGCTGCAAGCTCTAAAACGAGGTACGTCGCATCGGGCTCATCGAAGGTGTCCTTTAAGCACAGCATGTTCGGATGGCTAACACCCATGAGTATTGCAATTTCTTGCTGCAAACCTTCGATTTTCTGTTTTTCCCCTACGCCAGGCTTGGTTGTAAAGATTTTGACCGCGAAGCGGTGACCAGTCGCCTTTTCGATGCATAAGTAAACCGTTGCATAGTGACCTGATCCAAGTTTGTCTAGGATTGTGTAATTCTGCAAGAATTTACTGGTCTCGCGCAGCTTTGGGTATCGAAAGACAAATCTGGCGTCATCCAATATTTGTATCTCATCCCCATCTTCGAGTTGGCGACGCTTGTTTCGTCCAATGATACTCTCTTCAATAAAAGTGCCATTACTTGATAAGTCCTCAATGACAGCAACATTCAGACCTGCTTGGTTCTCGGTAAAAATGAGACAGTGTCTATTGGAGACCTTGATATCATCGATTTGGAGAGCTAGAAAAGTTGTTGGTACCACTCTTTTGTCTGACTGTCTGGGTTTTACTTACCACACTCTGGATGTCGTCCGATCAAGTATCCCCCCGAAGTAATTCCCTTGAATTTGGTGGCCTCATAAGCAACTTCCTCCTTATTCAAGTCTTTGCCTTTCCTCGGATTTCCAAGATCGCTTTCCTTTTCTGGCAGTGGACAAGCATCTCTTCTCTTTAAGACAAGGCGTTTCCCATATTTGTGATTAAGAGGTATCAAGTATCCCCAGACACCTTCCTCCTCTTCGTCTTCGACATCATTTGAAAAGGCAGTTGTGTTTCCTGGCAATTGACTCATTTCTTGAGTTTTTGCTTGAGAGTAGGCAACGAGAGGAGACGATAGAGCTTGCGGCTCTTTCAAGAAACGTTCCGTGGGCTCGGGAGTTCGATGCTGAATTTGGCTCGGTCGACCCTCTGGTGGTGTTGCAGTGCCATCTCTGAGATGCTCACTGGAGGAAGAAGATTCTTGATGTGTAACTGGGGAAGGAAGATGCTGTTTATTCGAGATAGGTGTGTGCCCTGGCTGTGACAATCTCTCGGATCGGCGTGGTTTCTTGTACGATTCGCTCTCTTCAATCGTTCCTACCTACAATGAGATTATACGTTAGTCTTTCAGAATTTAACAATGATAAAGGAAAGAACTCGTTTCTCACTCTGTCACGCTTCAAATTGCCTTTGCCTCCTTTTGAAGCCATCATGGCGCGAATTGAACTTCGGCTCAGTTTGAGTTATGATGCGATATCGAAGTTCCTTTTGAGGAGAAAGATTGAGTCGAGCTGAGCTGAAGTATTGATGAGTTTCTGTGGTTTTTGTGCAAATATTTCAATGAAAGTAATTGTATGTCTAGCAATACAATAAAATGAATTATCAATTTGTGCGAAGCGGAAAGGTATATTTTCTTTTGATTAGGGAGTTGTTTTCTTAATAACTGTAGTCGAATCTCGATCAGGGTTTTGCTGACAACTACTAGGGACCTAGGACAGGGACTTTACTACTTTACTGCCTATGGGTAATTACCTACTGTAGGTATGGAAGAGAAGCACACAAAGCCTCTCGAATGGAAGCGATGGAAGCGATAGAAAAGATGCCGATCGAATCAATAACATCCCAAACCCCGCCAAAAGATTCACTTATGATAAGACGGGATTAGAAAAGAAATTCCCAAGGCAGCAATCGGTTTGGGGGGAATTAATTATTGTTTGTTTTCTATATTGTTTGTATATTGTTTGTATGTTGGCTGATGTTGGTAAAACTTGGCATTAATTGCAACTTGGAAATTGGAATACTGCAACAACACGGCATGGTATCAATAATAATATACGAGTACGGATGTACGAAATATAAAGTTTTGAGCTTCGGCCCTGGGGCAAACGTCATCATTATCATAATGTCACTTTTTCCCCAGGCTTAGTGGAACTTACTCGAGTAATGATTGTGGATATGATATGGTTACATGGCGTACGGCAAAATTGGCATATGGACAATTGATATCAAGTCATGAAAGAGATGGGTGTTTGATAAATAATCATCAGGAGACTAATTGTTTTTGATTCCGCTTCTCTCAATAAAGTCAAATCACTAGATACCTTAACCAAATCCTAGTCAATAGATGTGCTCCTCCTGAGTCTATTGATTGGTCGAAATATATTCATCTCGTGATCTACTCGAGTGTGTGCATGCTCAGGTCTTGTGAAGATTCATGTGGTAAGCAATATCAGAAATCATCTCAAGCATCTGCTGGGTGATTGCTTGGAATATTTTCATATCATCTGATGCCAATCACAACTTGACCCTAAGATCCCATTGTTCAAAGGGGTCTGGGGTGTCTCAAAGTGTCCCCAGGGTAGTAGTTCCTTCAGCCCGTATTTCAATAGGTAAAGACTCAAAGTCAACACCTGGCCCTCATATAATTCGAAGCTTGGAGCGTCGAGCTTTGTGTGATGTTGAATGTATCGTATTTAGTAGAACCGTAAATTCAACTTTCAAATCTCGTTTTTCTCTTTACACCTTGCGCGTGAGGTGAGTTCGACCTGCCTTTATCGAGTCCTGCCATAATTCGTTCAGCAGCACTTTGTTGGGCCTTTCCATTGATGCCCCCAGCGTTTGGGGTCCCACTGCGACTTGCATCGCCTGAGGCTGTTGCAGGTACAAAATCCATAGCTTCCCTCTGACCTCGGGCTTTCTTTTCCTCCTTTTCTTTCAAAATATCCTGTTGGCTTTTCGCAAGTTCCTCTTTGTAAGCGTACTCGGGAAAGCCTGCCGGATCCCATAGATCTTGGGGAAGGGTTGTCGCATACTGGTCCACCTCATCAATATCTGCAAAGTCCATGAGCTTCTGCATTAAGCTCGGGTTCTGGAGCGCGGCTGATTTTGCAAGCTTTTCATTGAAATGTATACCCTGCTTCTTTAGTTCGAGGAAGTGCTTAAATTTGGTATTCGTACTAGCTAGTGGTGAACCTTGGGGTGAGGGTGGGATATCGTAATTGGGAACTGTCGGTAGGGTAAGATCTCGTAACAAAGCTCGATTCGCGGAATAAGGTGACGGCGGTTCACCATCCCGGTTTCCAATCATAGTATTTTCTAATTCTGGAAGCTCGGTCGCCTCAGCTGGTCCCAACTGTGGCCCAACGAGAGGAGCGTATGGTTTTGGATTGCTTGGTAGCTCAATCGTGCGTGAACTTTCTGCGGATGGAAGCCCTGTCGCATGGGGTTGCACATCTGTTGTGGAGTCAGAAATGCTCTAATCAACTATAAGATCCGCGTACCTTTTGTTATACCATTTGTAGTAGAACTATTGAACAGTGAACCTTCAGACGTCTGTGGCCTGTGATGTCAGCGACCTTGGTATACGTCAATCGCAATAAAAAGCTCAACATACGTTTGAAGATTTCTGTAGAATGTCTATGTGAACAGAGCCTTCCTCATCGCTACTTCCATAATCTACTAAACTTGCCATAATATTCGTATCACCAAGTGGTTGCGTTTGGAAAGATCGTCTATTATGATAGTAAATAAAGTTCTTAGATTTTGTGATTGTACTCACTCACTTGTAGTTCGTTCTATTTCCCGAAGTGCGGCCTCAGGTTGTGGAAAGGCGCGTCCCGAGCTTGCCTGGAACAACGAGCTTCCTCAAGCTCCAACAACTCAAGCAGCTATCAATAGTTTACCCCATGAACATTCGAAGATACCACAATACCTTAACAAGCCTTTGATAATCCATTAACCTTTTCAAACATCATGAATCACCTTCCACAAGCTTGGGGTCGTGTAAGTTCAAATATATACTTGCGGTATAAGATATCTCTAAGTTACTGACATTGAAACAGCCTAGAGATGATGTTTATGGCGCCTATGATGCTTCATATCTTCAACAAAACGGACCAAATCAGCACACTCAACAACCCATCGTTACTGGTACATCTGTTGTGGCATTAAAATTCAAAGATGGTGTTGTAATTGCAGCAGATAACTTGGGTACAGCGCATGGTTATAAGCTACAAATGCATCTGACTAACATTTACATTAGCATCATATGGTTCTCTCGCACGATTCACAGACGTGAAACGTCTTCGAAAATTCGCAGACACATCCGTTGTTGGGTTCGGTGGCGACGTATCAGACATGCAATACTTAGACCGACTTCTTCAATCTCTTGATACCGAAGAAGCATATGGCGCATCAGGTCACACTCTCAATGCTCATAACCTCCACAAATACCTCTCCAAAGTTCTTTACAAGCGTCGATCTGATTTCAACCCTCTTTGGAACACTTTACTGGTCGCGGGAATGGATGAACATGATAAGCCTTTCTTGGCAAGCGCTGATTTACTGGGTACAACGTTCTCATCACCAAGTTTGGCAACTGGATTCGGTGCGCACTTGGCCCAGCCATTGTTAAGAAAGGTTGCGCCAGATGAGGAGGCTGCTGCTTTGTTGACCAAGGAGGTGGCTTTAGAGGCAATTAAGGAGAGTATGAAGGTTTTGTTCTACAGAGATGCGAGGAGTTTGGACAAGTATTCGATTGCGGTCATCACGAAGGAAGGTATCGAATTGAAGGAAAATGAACAATTGGAGAAGCAGAGTTGGGCTTTTGGTAAGCTCTGATGACTCAAATGTTGCACGATTACATGCTAACAGTTGAATAGCTGAACAAATTCGGGGTTATGGAACTCAGGTCAACTAAACGGATGATTTAATTACACTTTGCGCTGTACAACTAGACAATGATGACATGAAGCATATTAAATTTTGAGGTTGCTTACCTCGTGGTTAACAAATACCATCCGTACGATCCTCAATCCCTCTTGCTCTAACGTTTGAATGACAGCTGGGAGTTGGTTTAAATCTGAACATTTCCCCGTATATGTTAGAGAAACTGCAACAATTCTTGAAAGTTCAAGGATGTGAGTTTTTTGCTACCCTTTTGGGAGGGGTTTTCTTGATATGCTAGGTCTAATACAACTCTCTAAATGTATTTGAACTGCCCGTGTCAGTCTTTTCTTTTGCGCCTTTTCCCTATCAATACCTTCAGACCAATTCTCCAATAAATCCATACCTCCATTTTTACAATGAACACTGCATTGAATCTATTGTAATTGAGCTCGTACGTCGACATTGATAAGTTCGAAGAAACCACTTCAGTTTACACCCTATTCGGTGCCCTGCCATGAAGTAGCAAAAAAGAATGCTGAGTAAACTCATCCATCAGATTCCATTTCACGTATATCTTTTTGCATCATAACCAATTGTAAGTTTAAAGAACTTTTATTCGATAATAATAGCAAGTTGCCTTTACCAAGTGACATACCGTTCGCCTCACTTAGCGTCGGTACTTCATGAATGTCACTACTAGGCTCTCATTGGTCAGATCTTTACTTCGCCAACAGTATAGGGAGAGACTGAGGCAAGAGACAAGTACCTTTTTGTTCCTTATATAAAACACGAGGTTCATGTATTGTATATGTAGTTCTTCAATTCTTACAATTTCTCAATTCTCAACTATTTCGACTTTTACTTTTGACAACGGAAAACTTCAAAGAGTTTTGGTCCAGCAAAGGTCTAGACAACATGACGAAAGTCCTTCCCTCGGAAGATATTCTTCCATCAAATGATAACCATCGAACCCTGGATCCTTCCTCACATATCACTTGTACTTCTAGAGATATCGAGAAGAACTCTCCCCTCTCATCTGAATCTCCAGATGATGTCTCAATCAATAATCATAAAAAGACTTCTCTCTACAAAAGTCTAGGCTGGCTCGATCGTCTCCTCGCTTTATGGATCTTCCTCGCTATGGCCATTGGTATTATATTGGGAAACTTTGTGCCCAATGCTGGACCCGCGTTGCAGAAGGGGGATTTTGTGGGTGTTAGTGTACCTATTAGTTGGTGTCCCTTTCTCTCTTTCTCTCTCTCTCGCTCTTTTATTGTCCTGGAGTGTGATTATTTTACTTGAGGGCGCTGGATATTGTTCTAAGAAACTGGTCTGTGAAGAGGTTGAGATGTGTTGAATTGTTTGTTCTACGTGCTAATAAAACATTGGAACAGCTGTATGTTTATTAGCAATGATGTATCCGATTCTCTGCAAAGTCAAATTCGAGACGTTGCATCATGTCTTTCAAAAGAAGGATGTTTGGGTCCAGATTGGGTTCAGCCTGGTTGTCAATTGGATCGTTGCGCCGCTCGTTATGGTACTTATCCTCCTTCTCTCATCTCCTCTAGATGCAAAATGATTCGTCAGAGACATCTGACGAGTATTCACGTGTAGTTTGGTCTAGCATGGGCATTTCTGCCGGACAAGGAAGGGCTGAGATCGGGTCTTATACTTGTTGGGATAGCTCGCTGTATCGCTATGGTATTTCCACCTTTCTCCCATCTCCCCGTTCCCAAAAGCCAGCAAATTAACTTTGCCCCACAGGTCTTGATATGGACCGGCTTAGCTGGCGGTTCAACATCCTATTGTGCCATCCTTGTGGCTATCAATAGTCTCCTACAAATGATTCTCTTCGCACCTCTCTCTGTTCTCTTCATCTCCGTAATCTCCGGTGCCGAGGACTCTACCGAACTATCCTACTCAACCGTCGCATCCAGCGTAGCAGTCTTCCTAGGAATTCCGCTCGCCGCCGCAATCATCACGCGTTTTCTCCTCCGCCAGCTCACCTCCCCCTCCTGGTACGACACCGTGTTCCTCCAATATCTTTCGCCCGTCTCGCTTCTCGGTCTCTTAGCCACGATCTTGATTCTATTCGCCAGTCAGGGACAACACGTGGTGCGGCAAATTGTTTCGGTGCTGAGAGTCGCCGCTCCTCTGATCGTCTATTTTGCCGTCATCTTCTTCTTAACCCTGTTCGTGTGTCATTGGCTGGGCTTCGGTTATAAAGTTGCGACGACGCAAAGTTTCACGGCTGCGAGCAATAATTTCGAATTGGCGATTGCAGTGGCTGTTGCGACGTATGGCGCGGATAGTGAGCAGGCGTTGGCTGCTACAGTGGGACCTCGTGAGTATTCGAAATTCGATATTGCTTGGTGAGAACATATTTTCTAATACAAATATTGTAGTAATCGAGGTGCCGGTCCTGCTGGGATTGGTATATGTAGTGAGGTGGATTGGGGAGAAAAGAGACTGGAAGGATTAAAATTCGGGCTGGAGCATATCTTTTGGAATACGGAACGGGCAAGTAGATTGGGAGATAGGCAAGTCTCCTTTTGACTAATCACACATCAGCTGGCAACCTTCCTCCCAATATGCCTCTCCATAGCTTCGCACGTCTGTCTCTACACGACATGTCTATATATATACTCAGTACAATGAATTTTCCTAACTCATGACACCTTTCACTCTTCGAAATAAATCCTCCAAACCCTCCTTATCTCCAATCGATACAAATGCTTTCAAATTACACCAGATTAATTTCAACCACCGTCACTAAACTGTCACTGCCACTGTCACAAACCACTGCCACTTTCGAAAAAGACGACGTGCGCCATTACTTTTTACTGTTCGGAGCCGAACTCGAGAGTAAAGGCAGATAGATGTGCTATGGAACCGAGAAGTGAGGTATGAGGTGTGAGGGATGAGGTATAAATAATGTTAGAGTAACGGTGATGAATGGGGGGGGTTTATGGGTTGTGACTTCGGAAATCATTCAGCTCCATCGTTTTCGATACACCGCAAAACCTCAGATCATCTCCCTTCCGTTCTCAAATGAGCACAAGCAGCCAAGCAATGTATATTGCCACATAATTACACATCTACCCTACTCTACTCCACATGAAAACCGATATTTACGAGACGCCCAGCAACTCCCACGTTAAGCTAATCATTCCGTACCCGATTCCCAAAAGGGGGAAATGCATATATGACAATGGGTGATGCATCTAGACATCATTCGTCGCTATCGTCACTATCCACAATCATCCGCTTTGTTCCTCTTACCCTCACATCACCATCTCTTTTCCTCGTAAACATGTTCGGCGTCGACTTTTGCCCGCTGCTAAATACACTACTAGTTAGGGATTTCCCAATCCTTCTAGTGGTGGCATCACCTCTGACGAGATCCTCGATGGTAGGTAAGTCATCATCATCATCTTCACCATCATCACCATCGTCGCTACTCTCTTGCATCATCGTAGGAGCCGTCCTCTCGGAAGATGGGATTTTAGCTCTATCTCTTTCCACCGCTCTTCCCAGCATCCCAACTCTCGCTTTCCCTTTTCCTCTTTCACTCCCATCCCACCTCTCCATCGGCGGCGGCGGACTCGAAGAAAAGTTAGACGTGCCAGTAAGCTGTATTCGATTCTGAGTTTGTGTGGGATCGATAAAATCCGCTAAACTCCCCAAATCCGAATCGTCACTCGCTTCTAAGTCTTCCATGTCGCTAGTTCTATCAACTCGTTCACCTGGCCCTTCTTCTTCAGAGTCAGGCGCTGGTTGAGGGATCTGTGAAGAGCGGAGATGAGATACCATGGCCATAGATGCGGTGCTATCTTCTGACTCGGAGTTGTCGTTTTGAGGCGGGCGATTACGACGTGCTGGAGCTTTTTTGAATGCAGTCTTTTTAGGAGCGGGTATTTTCTTGGGCGCGAGTGTGGTTTTGGGGACTTTAGAAGGTTTGGAAACTTGTGTGGGCTTTGAAGGTTTAGAGGGTTTGGGAACACTAGCGCGTAATTCCGCTTCTAACGGCATAAGTGGCACACTACCGAGGTCAAATGGTGGTATATCTCCGTATGGCTTGATATAGCGATCCTCGGGTCGTTGAAATCTCGACAGCTTTTTGAATAGATTGACGCATCTTTTGGTGTATTTTCCATGTGATACCTTAGTTGTTAGAGTTAAAGATCGCTGGGTGATAGGTTGACCTGTCAAATCGGGCATCTCGACTTCTTCCAAAGCACCATCTGGTACCCTCAAGAAACGGCGATCAAGCTCTGACAAATCCTTCGCGCTCAGTAACACGGAGTCCAGCAGGGGAATTGGCGCCAGCTCATCATCATTCAGCTCACGAGGTTTTCGCTTGATACCGAAGTCTAGCTGAGAAAGACCTGCAACATTGCTATTCAGATTTGAAGCTTTGCGGAAACCTGTCTCCACACCATCAGGCATATGAAATTTTTTCGCCGGCTTTTTCTTGGCTTTGGCACGTCGTTTAGGTTCCGGTAGGGATGGATCTTGAGTATTCTCTGGAGGAATTTCAATCCAACGTTTGTCCACCTCAGGCTTGACGTCTCTAGGAACGATGCGAGCCGATAGATCGTGGCGAAAAGTGAAGCGAGACCCAGCACTAATCAACCTCTGCATCTGCTCATAATTGTCCTTAGACTTTTTGTATGAATCTTCCTCCTTTCCACGCATGAGGAGCAGAACGATCTTACCGGCTCTCTTTCTTCCTGTACGGCCCATTCGTTGTAACATCCTGATCGGCGACGAAGAAGAATCATAACAAACGATAAGATCTACTTCTCCAATGTCCAAACCTTCTTCTCCGATACTAGTTGCAACTATAACATTTATGCTGCCGGCTTTGAATTTTTGTATAGTTTCCAGCTGCTTTTCCTGATTCATGCCTTCTGAGCGCTTCGAGTCACTTTGACCTACAAAGACAGATGCCCTAATCATTGGACCATGTCTATTAAGTACCCGTGCTACATCTTCGGCACTATCCCGATACTCTGTAAAAACAATTACTCGAGTGCTTGAAGGTGGCATATTGTCACCCATCAAACCGGCGCCGGCATCAAGAAAGTGATTTAATACCGTGTCACACAAATGAGTGAGCTTTGGATGACCAATAAAGTCTTCTTTGTTGACCCAACTTTGAATCCGGTCCATCATTGTCTTAAAGTCAGCACTATTGACAACTTGGGTTTTATACTTCCCGCTTTTCTTGTTTCCCTCAACCTCCGCTCGGAAGTCCTTGATATTTGAGAAGAATGGTCCGATTCCATGGTAGTTTAGAAGTTTTATTGCATGCCCCATGCTCGTCAACACAGTGAATAAGGCATTTACCATCCCTTTGACAGCCCTATCTACAGTGTTTGATGCATTAGATGCCATCCACGCTTTTCTAGCTGAGAGCATGCCAAATTGAGTCAGCCCCATGGGATCCTTACTGTAATAGGCGTTTTGCGAGCATAGTAAAGTAACAAGCGGCTGGAGTGCCTTGCTGAAAAGCTCTTTGATCATGATTATTTCGTCGGAAGGGTCTATGAGAATCTCAGTGATATCTCGTCGGTGTACGTACTCTTTAATATCAATAGACTCTTCTGTTCGAATCTCGACCTCGGCAATCTCCAAGTTGTCAATTACCTCTTGAACTGCTTCCACGGTTGATCCAGGGGTGGCTGTCAAAGCAAGGACACGAAAACTCTTGTTGAATCGTCGTAAAAACTGGACAACGTTGGTATACGCGTAGTTGCCAGTTGCTCGATGCGCTTCGTCAACAACAAGCAACGCGATCCTCTTAGGGTCAGCTATACCAGACTTCAAATCATTCTCGACAGTTTGTGGTGTCATGAAGAATACTCTCTTTTCAGCCCATTCCTCGGCTCTTAAAGCGGGCTTCTGATCTCCTGTGAGCATGGTCGTTAGTGATCTCGGGATGCCTGCAACTTCGAAGCAAGCCTTGACTTGCTGAGACACCAAAGGTTTTGTTGGGGCCATGAAGACTATTTGTGAATCCTTCGTCCACCGAAAAAAGTTGAGCATGATAGTCGCTGCGATAAATGTCTTCCCGAGACCTGTCGGCAGAGCCACCAGGAGATTGTTAAAAAGACCCTTGTGTACGATTGTGTATTGATATCGCCGTTCTGGACCTAGGTTATTAGGATACACCCATGTTTTGATAGCCTCTTGGTCCAGAGAATGGTGAGTTGGTGGTTCTGGAACCTTATCTACAAAATAATTATGAACTTTTCTGGCTTGAGTGGCAGATGGCATCTGGTCTGGAGCACGCCCACCAAAGAGTGTAGTTTGGCGAAGGGCATTCTGTGGTGCAGCCAAACGCTGAGAACGAACTGATTGTGTAAATCCAAATGTTGGTGACGAAGTTATCGTAATCGAACCATTTACCATGCGCTGCTCTGGCGGACTTGGAGAGAAAGCATCAGAGGGTAGATCCTCAAGCTCTTTGGAGAAATCGTAAACAAGGTCGGGGGTGGGAACATTAGTCTGTTTTTGAGCTCTGGCAGGTCGAAAAATAGAGGCTAATGCTGGCGTAGATCTGGGCTCTGGTTCTGACGGATAAGGGGACCTAGGCTTCCTGTATATTGGTCCTCTGATCCTGTAAGGACTAGAATCTGGCATTCCATCCGCTTGTGTAGCCCCCATAATGACTGCCGCCGGCACTTCTTGATCGGCAAGATGTATCCTATATTTCGACTTTTTTTTCTCATCGCCTTCATCATTATCGCCATGTATGGAGTCTCGGGACCGACGTCGTCGCGCAATTGAGTCATCGTCATGGTCATCGTCGAGCCCTTCGTCTGAGATGATTCGCCTTCGTTTTCGCCGATGCGGGGGATTAAACGGAAACGTTTGCGATGCTTGATTCAAGGCTTCAGCCTCATTCCAAACATCTTCATCGATATCTCCATATTCATTATCCGACATTTCTGCCGCATATGATGGTGCTTTGCTGTTATGTCTTTGTATTGACTGGGGTCATCCGAGGCTGTCGCGTCTCTATAACCAAATCGCGTTTCTTATCGTCGTTGCTGATTAGGGAAATTATGATCGCGCTATCACGTGACAGCACTACAAGAGCCACCTTGTTTGAAAAGGAGTGAATAATTAAAACCACCACAACAAAGCAATTTCAATTCCACGTGTGGTCATCTTACTTGTGTAATAGAGCGTACCTGTAGTTTCCGCTTCACAGGCATTCAGAAGGTTACGAATTACAGATATTTATGTCCACATCAGAATCAGACGTTTGATGACCATATATAATCACCGGTATAAGTGGTCTCCATTCTGCTTATGCATTCCCAAACAGTCTAGAACGTCCATTCTTCGTGGCATTGCTGTCAACTTGCGTCAACCGATTGGGGGTTCTGATTGCTAATAAACCTCTGCTCTATCATTGCAACTATTAACAAGCATATTGCATTTCACGATGAATCATCTCAACTTATTTCAGACGATAAAGCGCCGATGAACAGCAATAAGCGAAAATATCCTCAAGAAGTTCCTCCCTCCCGATTTTCCATCGGGCTTTTAGTGGATTGCACTCTACCGATGGGGGAGTAGATATCCAATTCATTGGGATATTTGCCTTGCCCCAACCAAAAGGCAGTAAAAAGCAAGTACGGTTTGTTCGTTCGTCGTTTGGAACCAAGTTGGTTCTTATTGCCTGGAGATGCAGCATTCCGTGTGCACTTTTCCTGCTGCAAATTCTTTGATCCGCGAAGATAAAGCCAAGTATCTTTTCTTATCCTGAATGCAAACCCCCGTTCTCAAGCCGTGATGATAATTCTCCGAGCCAAGTCAAGTATGTAACTCCAAGTCGAATATTCAGTACATTAGGAACCGCGAAGGTATATCCGGTGCTGCGCAAACATCCAAGTCGGGAGTTCAGCACTTTTGAGAAATAAGATAACTGTGCTCAGCGCCAGGATTATCAAACTTGGTAGCACCAAGCACCAGAATCCTGAAATGGAATCTTGGAATGGCCCCCATACACGGCATACACTATCTATGCATAGAGGCTCTCTGCATCACCTTGGAAATCTTTCCAAGTATGGCTCATACTTATCTAAAAATTAATGCGCAGTCGCACACATTTACCAGCCTATACTCCCACATGAGATTAAGCTCATGGTGTATGACCATCCTTCCCGTCGAATTTTACATCATTTCTGATGGGACATGTTTCACGGTCGGGAACAACCGAGGTGGTGTTTTAGGTGGCTGAGAAGTCTGGCGCAGAAGATATGAAGATTGTGTCATGTTACGTCGACTGCGTTTTTGACAGGTGTGGTCTTGACATGTGCATTTTGACAAGATTATCTACCAGATCTAAAGTATCTTTCAAATCGCTGGCTAAATTCCCAATTAACAATTTCCACACGACTAAAATGCCCAATATACGTAGAGATGAATGATCACACTGGTGATGTTGATGTTTCCAATTTTTTCTCAGAACGCTCCCCCTCGCCCTCCTTCGAACTTTCTACAATGCTTGCTTTCTCTTCAGCAATTTCTGCAGGTCCCGTTTCTGTAGCCGTTTCTTCCCCAGCGGTATCTGCGTCAACTACCTCATCTCGTATCTTGTGAATGATAACTGGCGCCGCAATAACCAGTGAAACGGTGAGAAGAATCCAGCAAATCAAAAACTCATTCATAGCCGAAAGATTTGAGTTGTTTATGCGGTAACTGATAGCTCCACCTGCCGACTGGATACCTTTATAAAAACCGATATATATTGATGCTGTTCGAGTATCACTCGTGAGTTTCCCCAATATCCTAAAACATGTCAGCCAATACTTATTATCATACACCTGACTCATGGCTCACCAATATACACAATTCTGCCATATGGCATTGAATATTCCGTAAGCCATATATAAAAACATTGGCCCAAGGTAATCTGCACCATCAAAGTCCATTTTTTGGCCCTCTGCAACAATTTCTGTTTGATGATAATACCCTTTCTGCCACATATAGCCACCTGTCCAAACCCCGAGAGTTAGAAGTATAAGTCCGGTGACAAGTCCCTTCGCTCGACTGGACCGGCTCAGGCGATCATTGTCCAAGGTATGCCCCACAACTAGCGCACCCAGAATCTCTGATAGCCAATAAAGGAAGTTGTTCAAAGCTCTTGTGCGGATATTGAATGTTCTTAGATTGAAGGTGTTGAATTGATATGGATAGCACCAATTTGACGTAAGAAACATGGGGAATAATAGAACGATAAAATAGTCTTTGCGGATAAGCTTCCGAAAATGCATAATTTCGTCTCGCCAGTCTTTTTTAGCCGCTACTATGATGTGAACATGAGATCCATCTTCCCTTTTGACATTTTTGGGTTGGCATAGACAAAGAGACAATACAGTCCCAGCGAACATTAGCGCAACGATGGTGATGTATGTACTATCAGAAGCAACATTGCTGGCGCCGATTTGTAGTTCTTGACAAAGCGTGACCTTGGAACAGATTGTCAGGCTGATAGGTTTGAATGGATGAATAAATTTACTCACAAGACTTCCTATTGCAGCACCGGTGTTATATATAGCCCAGAACCAGGAGATAGATCGTCCCTTCTGCTCATGAGAAGGATAAGATATTAACATGGCCCCTTGTGCCGCCCAGAAGGGGCCTGCACATGCTCCTAAGAACGCCCCTCCAAAGATCAAGAAGCCTCGATTCTCGATGTGTTTGTAAGCGAGAAAACTACCGGCGTAAACCACATATGATATCCCACCAACGAATAGTGATGACTTCAGTCCAACAATATTGACGATGAACCCGGCAAAGAATCCGACAATTGAAAAACAGGCGTAGAGAGCGATGTTCGACTCATTCGCCGGACCAGGGGCTACCAATCCAGCTCCACCAAGCCCATTGAGTGCGTTGAACATGCCAGGACATAATAGGCAAATGACCGCAACTATAAACAGCTGAATAGACGGTGAAGTAATCGGAGGAAGTTGTAAGAAGCGGAATTTGAAAGAACGATGTATTAGAGGAAATTTGCCTGACAGGCAAGGCGTGTCGATATAAGTCGGGACCGTACTATGCTCATTGCTAAGTCTACTTGTGGTCTGAGATTGCGTGACACTCATCGTTCCAAATCGATACTTTGACACGATGACGGAGAGGTTGGTGTTCTGAGGAAAGTTTAACATCAGGAAAGAGAACATCACTATGTTCTCATGATCCTACTATATCAAGATAGGCCTTAGCAATCATCTCCCCTCGTACCTGCCTTGCACATTCAACAGGGATATGCGGTAAGTGGAGACACGGGCATGGTCCGTCAGCAGGCAAGTAGACATCGTATTTGCATACGTTAATCAGACGAGAGTGTACAGTGGTATATAAAGCTGAGACCAGAAACCTCATTTCTATCACGTTGCATCTATCTCTGCAGGATCTCTGCGGGTTACCCCAGAGTAAGCGGGAGTAACGGATCGGCCGTTGAACCTCGTCACAATCGCTGTTCCACTGGGGAGAGCCTAGCAACGCCAGATTATGATATCGGCCCCCACTATCCGAACGTTGTGTTTTTGTCATGCTGAAATTTTACTATCAAGCTCCATTAAGACCAGAAGTGGAAGAGGGGGTGGAGGAAATGCAGAACTGTGAAACCGAGTACCTGGTAAAAGGGAGAAAGAACGAAGTTGGGATGCAACGTTAAGAAATAGGTGTCACGTGAGAGAATTGCCCACAAGAAAATTCACTCGATCTGACGTTACATAGGGATCGAGACAACCACAACATCGCGTCGTTTTGTGGTCTATAATTATGAGTGAAGAAGGCGAATAACCGTAATTTGATGTGGTCTATTGAGTTAGAGGAGGAATAGAATCCTTCTCCTTCTACTCCCCGTTCCATACATATGCATATGCATTTGTTGATCATTTAGATGGCCATCAGCTTGACTTAAACTGGTTGACAATGCTTGAATACGGAGGGGCTCAGTTATTCTTTAACATCGCAATAAGAGCTAGGCTCTCCTACAACCTCTATGAAGTGCCCTCGTAGTCAAATTGGTCTTGTAAACACAATTTACTGTGCGTATAGGCTGTCTGCATTTTTGAGTGACACCATTATGGGAGGTGGGTCGGGAGAGTGACGTTGTGCTTCAACAAAATAATTCAACCTCTTCTCCTCAAATGCCTCGCACATATCGTATGTTGTACGACGCAAGTGAGTCTTCACATTGAAATACACATGGAGCTCTGTGTCTGGTGTATGGCACGTGTAGAAACGTATGAAGGCCCATCCACTCGGTCTCCGTCCATTTGTCATGGGGAAGTTACACCATCCCAGTTTTTCATTTCATGGCCACTGGTAATTCTTCGAGCCACAGTCTCCATTAAGTAAGAGTCCAAGTTTCGATACGGAAGGCTCTCGATTGTTCCTGCATGGCACCCTATCTCCACCTCCTCGTATTCTCTTACTCGCCTCATTTGGGGATTACGGCATTGGATTCAAGAATAGATGTTTGAAAATAGAGTTGACTGAAAGCAACCAGTTTTGCAGATACTAGTCATGCCTTACCTCAAGCCCTAATACCATGACTTCTGCTTTTGATCGCTCGCATTACTTGTTATTGCCAGAAGCAGCGGCCCGGCAAAGCACTGTTTTATTCCCCGCCCCGCCATGTGTGTTCCATTAATTTTAGCATGTGAGGTAGCAGCCCAATACTTTATTAGGATGAGTCTTGAAATCGAGATAGATAGCATGCATCTCTTGGTGACGCGAGTATCCTGAACGCCCCTCCACACTTGCTCGTCTTCCACGCCTTTTCAGCCGAGTGTAGATTGGAGTCCCGGGAGGGGTTGAGGGAGCCCCGGACTTTGCAACTATCAATGTTGCCTCTGTTTTCCTTTATCATATAAACCGAGTTACATCCTCCGTGTGTCGGGTTTGCTCTAAACCATGCCACAGATTTTGTACTCTTGCCAGCATACTTGAAAACTACGTCCCTTGGCCCCCAATTCTCTTTTAACAACCAGTATGAACGTCTCCTTCGTTGACAAAATGCTTCCAGCGATCCTCGTCTTGAATGATCGCTATTATCCGAGTTCCACTAATTCACCCGCGAAAGTTGGGGCGACTGCGTTTGCATTACAAGTGGTACGAGTTTTAGAGGACGCGGGGTTATTTGGCGGAGTGATCCTTTATGATCGTCAGGATCATTTAGCGGTGCCCATTGTACAGCTTGTGACAAGAGACTCAACAGCATGCGTCAAGTTATCTTTCAACTTCGACATGAGTACCACACAAGTTCGATATGCCTTATATGCCGCCACAGCTCTACTCGTGGCAACATTCCCGGAGAGTCTACCACCAATGCTATACTACCAAACCGACACACTTCTCAAATATCATCCGAAGCGGTTACCTTATTGTGTCACCCATCACGGCCCTTTCTACGGCGACTTTACGCGTCACTTCACCAAAGATCTCGCTGCTGTAGCGTACGGCTCTGAGGATAAGGCCTCACATCTGGAAGCGACCCAGGAGGAGGGGCTACGACATCTGAAAGCTTGTGATCGTGCCTATGTTCTACAGCATTCCAACAAGCAAGGTGATTATCTCATGGAACGAGGCATTGATCCAGCCCGAATTCGAGCCCTCAATCCACCCATTCACTCGATGCGCATCTACCACCATCACAAAACGACCAACATCGAAGCACTCACATCCTTCTCATCAAGCAAAAGGATTCTCATCTTCACTGCAGTTGCTCGTCTTGACTATTTCAAAAACATAGAGCTATTGGTAGACTCAGCAGTTTCACTCCTGGATCGCGGTAGATTGGTGCGGCTATTGATAGTAGGTGGTGAAGGAACTTCGGATATAGCATTCGCGAAATTACTTGCCCGAGTCCCACGAAGGCACAGTGCTCATGTCAAAATCACCTCCAAAATCCCGAAAGACGACATGTATGCTCTCTTCGATTACGTACAAACGCATGGAATATTCATTTGTACTTCACGCTACGAGACTCTTGGAATCACCCCACTCGAGGCAGCCCTAAGCGGTGTGACCACACTTATGCCAGCGTGCGACCTTGTTGAAGCTTCTCGTTATTTCCCTTCAAGCTATCGCTTCGATCCTACTGTATTCGGACTTTCGCAAGTATTGGAAGGTTTCCTTCGGCAGAGGTTGGGAAATTCTGGACTGGAGCTGCAACGTTTCATCAACAGCTTGATCTCAGAGGAGAGATTCGTATATGACTTGCTGACTGCGTGGTCTGAATTCTCTCAACATGCTATCAAAGTTTTAGCCACTTCGAACGGTACCGCCTATCATAAATCCAATCGACAATTGAAGAGTAGGGGTCGACGGTATTCCATGTAGCTCTTGCAATGTATCTTTGTTTTGTATCTAACCAAATCCGATGAAATTTTGTTTGAAGGTGTTTCGATTGGGTGTTTGAATGCCGGTATAGCAAGCAGTAATATCAATCATCACACATGTGTTTTTTATCAAGGCATGATATGTTGAAAATGATGTACCGGTAGATCTAACTCGTAGATGCTTAGGTAATTTTATGGGTTCGGATAAATGTTATTCCTTGATCGGAACTTTATTCAATAAAGATCCCGGCAATTAAGAAGCCGCTAGTAAAGTGCACCCGCAGACGCGTTCCTAGCTTTACATGTAAATTGTCTCTGACATTGAAGCGGGAATATCAAACATGAAATTCTGCCCTTGTCAACGACATAGGTGAAGACTATGAAATTCATCAAGCCAGCTTGGCTCTCTCATAGTGGTACGTCTGTTCATTCTATTGTCGCGCTAATCTGATCAAGTCCCGCCTAGTAAAAGTATTTCTGTTGAGGTCGCGTTTAGCTAACTTTTGCGCCCAATGCGCTTCGAAATTTAGGAGAGCAGAAAGACCACGAAGTCTATAGTCTTCATGTATCGCCCGACGGGAAAAGATTAGCAACCGCTGCCGGAGGTAAGAAGCGGAAGCCAGATTCAAAATCGAATTTGCTAGAAGCATTGCTGATATTGAAAACAGATGGGCATGTCAGAATCTGGTCCACAGAGGCAATTCTCGAGGCAGCAGAGCAAAACCCTTCTCCAAAACCGCAGCAATTATGCCACATGAGCTATCATTCTGGCACTATACATACAGTTAGATTCTCCCCGAACGGACGTTGGCTGGCTTCTGGAGCAGATGACAAGATCATTTGTATTTATCAATTGGATACACAACCGGCAGCCCATTCTGCATCCTTCGGTATCTCTGAGCCATCAATTCTGCGGATAGATCTATGCTGACGAGTAATAGGGACAAATGAACCACCACCTGTGGAGAATTGGAAAATTGTTAAGCGTCTCATTGGGCACGATAGCGATGTACAGGATCTTGGTTGGTCTTATGACTCTTCGATTATGGTATCTGTAGGGCTGGATTCGAAAATCGTTGTATGGTCGGGACATACTTTTGAGAAACTCAAGACCCTCTCGGTTCATCAAAGTCATGTCAAAGGAATCACATTTGACCCCGCAAACAAATACTTTGCGACTGCTAGCGATGATCGAACAATCAAGCTCTTTCGATTTACCTCACCGCTACCTAACGCTACTGCGTATGAGTGTATGAATAATTTTACTTTTGAGCACTCAATTGCGGCACCTTTCACTTCTTCGCCTCTTACAACATACTTCCGACGATGCTCCTGGTCCCCAGATGGTAACCACATAGCGGCAGCAAACGCGGTCAACGGGCCTGTAAGCTCCGTTGCAATCGTCAATCGAGGAGCCTGGGATAGTGAAATTAATCTAATTGGCCACGAGGGTCCGGTGGAAGTTTGCACATTCTCACCACGTTTATTTAGCAGAACCGAGTTCACACCCGAAACTACGGATCAAAATGGTTATAGCACACAGCCCCTGGTTACGGTCATCGCATGCGCTGGGCAAGATAAAAGTTTAAGCATCTGGAATACTAGCAGCTCTCGACCGTTGCTTATTTGCCAACAACTGGCTGGAAAATCAATTTCTGATCTTGCTTGGTCGCCCGACGGACTTTCTCTCTTCGTTGCGAGTTTGGACGGAACTATAATTGCTGCACAGTTTCTCAAGGGTGAGCTAGGATATATTGCACCATTGACGGAAAACGAGAAGGCCTTGAACAAATTTGGTGGCAATCGCAAAGGTGCTGGTGTTGTTGAAGACGTGGCATCAATCCATTTGGAAGAGATAAGCAGGGCCGATGAACTTCAAAAGACAGAAGGGAAAATGAGTGCTCTTATGGGAGGATCTGGTCCTGTTTTGGTTAGCAATGGAAACCCATCGTCGGCACCGATGGCCGGTGTTATCAATGCAGCCCCGACTACGAATGGCAAGTCTGTACAACAGCCAGAGACACAACCGCAAGCTCCATCCGATCCGAACGCAGAAAGGCTAGACGCTTTAAAACAACGAGTTACAATTACGAAAGAGGGCAAGAAGCGTGTTGCGCCATTACTCGTCTCCGCATCAAGCACAGGATTATCATCTCTACCTCAATCTCAGCTCATGGCATCGAGTTCCAATAACGTTCAGAACGAAGCACCAGTATCAATACTAGATCTTTCTAAACCTTACGAAGGGCTCCCAAGAGGTGGCCTTGCGGCTATGCTCTTAGGCAATAAGAGGAAGGCAATTGCTCTGGAAGGCGAAGAAGATGATGATGATGAATATCCCAACAAGCGATCGACGCCAGGTGTCGGACCTATCCCCATAGTTATCAATGGCGTTAGTGGACTAGAGAATGCTTTACCATTACCATCTCAGAATGGCGTTGTACCAACCCCGGAATTCATTCGGCCAGCTGTTGTCAATCCATCGCTGTCGATTAGTCAGGTACGTTTAGCGGTACCAAAAATCAGGAGCCATGTCGTTAGATCTCTCAACCGTGGAAATCTACCATCAGCAAATGGTAATGGTGCTGGAGGGCCTGACGAGGGTGCAAAACTGACCGACGATATTATACTCGAAGCTCAAAATCCAACTGTATTAGTGCCTGTTCAGGTCAAGGACCCGTGCCGAATCAGCGCCACCAAACGAGGTATCACGTTATGGCAGGATTTTGTTCCAAGAGCTGTCATATTAGTAACGGGTAGCAAAAACTTTTGGGCGGCCGCTTGTGAAGATGGGAGTATTTTTACCTGGACCCCTGCAGGTCGAAGGATTTTTAACGCCCTCGTTACTGAATCTCAACCTGTTATCATTGAATGCCGAGGCTGGTGGTTACTTTGTATTACAGCTGTCGGCATGTGCCATGTATGGAACCTCAAAACACTCGCTTCACCACATCCACCTGTATCTATGGCGCCAATTCTAGAAATTGCCATGCACTCCTTGGGCACACACACTACATTTGCTCCAGGTGTAACTTCAGCTCATCTCAACTCGACTGGACTTATCGTCGTTACATTGAGCAACGGCGATGGCTATGTGTACTCACCTAAAATGTTTGTTTGGCAGCGATTGTCTGAAGCATGGTGGGCTGTAGGTAGTCAATACTGGAACTCCAATGACTCCTCAATTAGTCATCTGCAATCTAAGGGTGTCGGCCCCGAAAGTCGCAAGGATGGAGAGATTGATAGCACGAACTTATCAGCAGGAATTATCCCTCACTTGGAGAGACACACTACTGGTGAAGTGCTACTCAAAGGCAGAGCCTACCATCTTCAACGACTTATAAAAACATTACTCTCCAAGGATGGTTTCGAAGGCTTTGAATCAGGTGTTAGTATCGCTCATCTCGAAAATCGCGTTGCTGCTGCCTTGCAACTTCAAGCCAAGGATGACTTTCGCCTCTATCTGTTCATGTACGCGAAACGTCTTGGGGCGGAGGGACTCAAGAACAAGATCGAGGAACTTTTACGTAGCATCATGGGTGGCATATTGCAAGAAAACAGTGATATCTCCACAGCTGAAAAGGGCGAGGGTTGGATGAGTGAAGACGAACAATTATGTGGATGGGACCGAAAAGAGCTCCTGAAAGGAGTTGTATTAATATTAGGTAAAACTTTCTTTCATTCGCCTGTCCAATCATTGCAATGTTCACAGGCTGATACATCTAATAGGGAAATATCGAGATTCGCAGAGACTTACAGTACAATATGCGAGGGTGCTCGAAATGGTTGATGACGAAAACATGTGAGCAAATATTGATTATGGATGGATTGCTTCATTGCAAAGGCGTTGTGAATGGATGGATGTTTGGAATTCATACGAGGGGAAATCTGAATTCGGTGTCCTCGGTCCTGGCTTGTCAGCGTAGCCTGTGTGCAAATGTCATATAATCACTGATAATACCCTGTATGTGACTATGAAAAGCTCTTTCAACATATTTCTTTTCCGCAATGCTTTCGAGGTGACAATTCTGATCTTGACTTGGATACGATAGGATTTCCCCGCGGTGGTTCTCATTCAGTTCTCCAAATATTCCGATGACAGGTACGGCGATGCGCCCCTACTAAAATGCTCGGTACGAACTAGACAGCAGGAACTACTCGTAGATATTAGACTATGAGCAGCTAGTTTGTTGCATGGGTTTACAGGTCTCAATGGCGGTAAGTCTGAGGTTTTAATTAATGGCGGATGAGAGGATACTGTTATTAGCAGATAGTGACAGGTGTATGAAAAGAAGATATACTCGAGTATACCGGTAGGCTGCGCAACGGGTACCCGCGGGGCGGATTATTGGCCTGGCGGGTCCCCCGCGGGTCCTCCGTTTGCGGGGCGGATAATAGAAAAATCTGAATGGGGACCCGTTGGGTATCCGCTGCAAATACTCCGCAAATACTCCGCAGATATAAATTTTATAATATTTATAATATTATAAATATTGATATAATATTAGTATAATTATAAAAATATATTAGTTTTTATATTAATCTTTATATTAATTACATTAATATTATAAAAATTAATAAATTTGCAGAGTATTTCCGGGGCGGATAATTTTGAAAGCTCAACGGGTCCCCCGCGGGTCTAAAATATCATCAACGGGTCCCCCGCGGGGCGGAGTATCTGCGGGTCCCCACGGGTAGCGGAGTATTTCTGCGCAGCCTATATACCGGAATAACAGGAGGTTGCTTTTGCAAGGGAAGATCTTATCAGTCAGTGGGTTCATATAAGATGTCAGATTTTACACGAATCAGGGTATGTATATGTGTTTATACTGTAGGCTTGTTACCCCATAAACGGATTTGAAATTCCAGAAAAATCTAGACACCGAAATCATGACCTAGAACATAGAACGAGTAGAGTGGATATAATTGTTACTGTTGACAGTTAAATAGAGAAGCTGATGGTATATGCCGAAGGTCTCGGAGAATAATATATGAATATTCACCGGCTTCAGGGATAATATAGTGGCGGAACTTATCTCGGAGAAATTCTTGCCTTGCTTGGATTGGGGTCACGGTAAAATTATCCTGGTCTAGATGAAATGTGTAAAGGTGTAAAGGTGATTAATGCCCTTTTCAATGTCTTCATTCATTGATCTTTTGTATGTAGTGTGTACTGTAGTTTCTAATCTGGATGTTAGAACTATGTAGATATCAACTATAGTACTGGTATGCCATGCTTCATGCTAGATTATACTCGAGTAGTAATGAGACGATAGCAATACTTTACTTGCTAATTTTTGTATATTGTATAAGGGCTTGTTAAGGCTCTGCACTAAGTATACAGTGTGTAAATAAAGTTTATCACAATATTAGATATAGTAGTTCATATAGTACTTCGTCTCAGGCCCCAACAATTTGCATAGCTGCATAGCAATTGATGCTAATTAGAGGTCTCAGGCTCATACGGTAGTAAATCGTGTTTATTTTGCTAGTGAGCACTGAGCAACAATGAGATCGTAACATTGTATAATTTTTGTATTAGTCGTTCCATTACCGACCGGTATATACTACTATGAGGCAAATCTAGGCGTTCAGTTAAGTGACTCGGATAATGGCCAATCAGAGAACTAGGCGTGTGAGAATCAAATTGATAAGGGGGTGGGTGGGTGGACGTTTCATGGAAAGATTGTTTATTTCATATTGATTATTTTCGGGGATGAGAGTCCAAGGCTCTGTTCCTGATATTGCTCGTAAACCCAGGAATGTTTTAAGGAGTACCGGTATACTGTGCCAGTATAGGTATTGTAATAATGCTTTTTTTTTTCAAATTTTTGTTTATAGTTGAATAGCTTATCTTAGCCGATCCGCTTGTTTGCTAATTATTTAACCTTATAATACCCCTGAATCTACCAGATGTTTAACGTCATATTACCAGGATCTTTCAGCCACTTAGAACATGTCTTTCTCTGTATTATGAATTCAATGATACTTTGTTTTTGGGACCGGTAATTAACCCGGCTGTTTCCACAGTTAAGTGTCAAGCTTTGATCCAGTTCGTGGTTTCCTTGGAGGTACAAAATGAATCGGAGGTCTTCCAAGATAGCTTCAACTCGTTATTCTTCATTATCAAACTTCTTACATTCTTTTAAATTTCCGAGGCAGGGCCTGTAATCAATGTACTCAACACTAACACTACCTCGACAGCACCATCATTCTCAAAGCCGCAGACAGTACATTCAGCTCGACCCTTGGTGCTGGCACCGATGTCACTCATACCGATATGGAGACTGCAGACGAAGGAATCACCTGGATCATCGCCAAGATCGCCATCCCACCTATGATAACCGATTCTGGGACTTCCGCTGAAGTTGTACCCGCAGCTGTCGCATCTTCTTCCGTTGCTAGCGCTTCCCACGCTGCAGTTAGCGTTTCGACCTCTCTTTGCTTGTCGCTACTGCCCCAAGTGTCGTATACACCTCTGTCGCATCCCAAGAATCTTTTGCGTCGGTTCAATCAACTGCCAGTGGTTTCTCCCGTGGTGGAAAGGGATATGGTCGTGGCCACTGGGGTGTAAATTAAGTTCTGATTGGCTATATTTATTGTAAAAGATGACTGGGAATATATATTGGCGGGGGTGTTACATGTCCCTTGATATGCCAAAGCGTTGAATTTCTTGTATACTGTATAGTTTTAAACTTTCTGTGAATATCAAGAATATTTTGACTTCGTCACACTACTTGAACTTGGTATATTTCTTCTATAGTTGTGAAAAGCGGCTTATATATATGAAACACTATCTATCCCCAGCAGGCAACTGCCACTATCATTAGTATTGGAACAAGCAATTACGAGAGTAGCGAGATCAAAATCTCATCTTTGTCGAAGAAGTAGGAAATCCTTTACCTCTTTAAGATTTGAACGATCTTTCAGATCAGCCTTCCAAAAGTCTAGAGAAAACGGCATCAATGATTAGCAACAATCTACAGAATGTGTATTGTCGTCTAATATCAAGAGATGCAAACTCTAACATTTCATCAGGATCAGCTACTCTTCCAACGATCCTATCGAAACGATGTATGACGACATACAATTATTGCACCAAGACACATCGGATATTCCAAAGTATTATCTGGAATAATCGGAAAAAGAAGCTATGTTTGTCTTCCTCTCCAACATAATCCATATTTGGATCTCTTTCTTCCTCATCCCCTATTCCAATTGATCACCACTTGATCAACTCAACCTAAATCCGTGTAAATTATCCACAATCGCAATACCATGCAACCAGACTAGAACCATAAAATAACCACACCAGCGCCATAGCCATGGCCGAGCAAACCTTGATACCAATATGTAAGTACTATTTCACATCTCTACTCGTATAGCATATAACATTCATCCGACTTCAAGTTAAACAAAGAACTCAGCATCAACTCATAACATATATTTTCAGGCGCGGAGCCTAGCCAATATTACAACCAAACAATAGAATTCCCACATATAAATGAGTGCATATACAAAAGTACAAAACATTAAAATTAGACAACCCCAACAAGAGACATTTCTTCTACAACTTGTTTGCACCGATAGAAGTATTCAGAGATCCCCCAAGTCACCAAATTAAACATTCAGAACCCCACAATCAATAATGCAGCTCCAAACCCAGCATGCATGTCCCAATTCCTCACGCATTCCGTCAACTCGAACGAACCTTCTCCCTTCACCAATAATGCTTCCTACTTTTCTTCCGTTTGCCATGACCCTAACATAACTTTTCCTGGCCTGTGGAATATACATATGATAAAGATGGCCAAACTGGAGTTTCTTAGTTCCGGACAAGTCATTGATTAGATATATATCGAGAGGTGTACTAAGACTGCTCGATATTGGGCTCGGTGTTCAAGCTTCGGTTGCACACCAGCTTATAAAGCTCGAGAACTATTTTGCCAATTTGCAGTGAATTGTTTCCCTCGCCATTTCCAACGACCTCAAGATCAAGAACACGTTTTTAGACCGTGACATTATTTGTTTATGGCCACGAGAGGTTCAACGCTACTTCTACTGGAACTACCTTTGTGGCCCTCGCTTGCCAATTTCTTAACCATGTCGACATCAAGTTGATCAGATCAGTCGTTGTGGCATTCGTGGCAATCGCTTGCCCCCATCGCCAAGCACTAAATACAACGGAAACTAGCCGACATATCGTTCAACGTCTATATAGCGCTGGCGTTACCGACACATTTCTAATTCTTGTATGCAATGGTAGATGAATGTACAAATGCCCAGTCTTTCCCGTTTATGGCATTTTGATGACCATAATGTTAAGTCAGTGGCCATTGAGCTATTCTAACGGACCTCGATGGCATATCATTGCAAAGCCTGTTCCTCAAACAAATATTCTCACCAATTTCAAGAATAATTAATCGTCCGCTGAAAAGTATCTCTTGGTCTTGGCCTTTCCCTGTAGTGTTTTTAAATCTGCTGGAACAACCGTATGATGTACAACATGAGGTCTATAAATCGCATCTACTGGTGGCATCCTATATTTCCCTGTCAGCGTATTCCTTTCATAGTGACTTTGAAACTCGGTTTTGGCTTGCACCTCTAATCTCAACAATCCATTCTTGGTGATCATGATGATGACGCAACTGAACGAGATACAATAGATAGACTGCCCTTAGGTCAATAAGAAACATATGAAACTAACCAATCATCCAAACTCAATGGGAAGTACTCATAAAGCGCCTCCTCATTATCTTCGGGACTACTCATACTGGTCGCTTTCTTTGACCCACCAGTCTTCGCATTAGCTCCACCATCCTTCTCGGCACTGCCTCTCTGACCTGCTCCTCTGTCCCTATCTCTATCCGAAACACCCGATGAATTCCTAGAAGGAACCTGGGAGTTTGAATATGCCGTATCGTCATCAGCGAGAGACAGATCTATCGGGGCTGTGGTGGTTTGGGGTATAGACTTGGTGGTCGAAGACTCTACTTTCCAACGAGTTTTGGGAATTGGAGGACGATTGTGAGAAGACGTTTTCTTTGTACGCGGTGAAGGGGTTGGTGGCTCGGATGGTAGAGATGGAGATGCGAGACTTGGCCAATCAGGTAAGTCTGGTGGTTGCTGAAAGTAAGTTAAGAAGTGTAATCAGGACAGAAAGAAGTGAGATGGAGGCATACCTGAATAGCATTTGGAGCGTAGAAGCGATAGGAAGATTGAGTGGTAGCCGGATCAACTTTCACCGCCGGTCCGGCTTCATTGCTCATAGTCCTAGGTTTTGGCTCTCCCTTCTTATCACTAACAGGAACATCTTTCCTGCTATCAAAATTTCTCGGACTTCTTCCTCTCACGATAATTGCCCCGGATTGAATCTCTGCTAACTTGGTCTTCTCTCCAGTGGCTAATGTGGCCATCAAATTAATCTGTATAACATAGTGTTGCTGTAGTCCTTTCCTTCTCCCATTATTTGCCGTTGCATGCTTGAATTGTAATCGCTTCCACGCTATAGGAATAGACACGCATCTAGGATCCAACTCTGGATTGATGCTCAGGTCCAAGGGCCATTGCGGTGGTGCTGCGCCAGCTTTATCCTCAGACGTCGTCACATTCGCTGTCTTCCACGGTACACTGATAATCTCTGTGCTTTTTCCCTCAATGCTTTCTAGCGCAGATATCGTCGCATTTAAATCATATATTGGAACTTGTTGGCCTTGCTCATTTATTATTCTCGCAATAGATCTCGATAAAATAATGGTCCCAGAAATCTGAAATAGATTCCGCCGATAACAAGTCAGTTCCATTGGCCTTCCCGCAGTCTCACCACCAAATACATCTTCGGCCACAAAGAACATTCCATATAATTCTGCGGTCATAGCTGGCCAAGTCTGTCCATTTTCATCCAAGATCGGTACATTCATTATTGGTGCGCCAAAGCCGAGTAATTTAATGTCCGGATCGCTAGAATTGCTATCGCCATTATTTTCGGGATTTGGATCATCGAGAAGTGATTCGAAAGGGCCAGAGTGGTAGGAAAAGGGATCTTCAAATGTAGTAGAGAAAGCATCGGATAATTCGTACGAGGGCGTGAAGGGTAATGAGGGCATTCCTGTATTGATATCGTCCCTTCTCCTCAGCTGTTAGTAAGGTTATATATATGGTATATACTTCCACTTCTATCTTTAGGGATCCCTCCAGAGCAAACATACAACAACCCATCTGCCTCGAAGTTTAAACCGTGTTCAAAGGTGTTCATGCTGAATTGATTACTCCCTAGATCGGGAGCTGTTAATCGTAAAATGTTGTGAGGCGTGGTTGACGATGAAATGGTCAAGGTATCATAAGCTGCCATATTCGCAATCCTAGGATATGGAATTACTCAAGAGTGGCGATTGATATGAAGGAGGGGATAGTATTGTTAGCATCTTAGGGTCAATATTCAAGAAGAACTTCATCTGGCTGGATCACAAGTGAAAAATCATCAAGGATCTGAATGGCTAAGTTGATGTCGGGCAAGAAGACGTTGCAACTTGGCTATCAGTCATGTAAGCGGGATATGTGATAGGACGCATGGGTCCTTTTGAGGTACCTGAGAAGATCTGGGATGTAGACCATATGAGATGAAGACTGGAAATGAAGATTCTGAGATACTGGAGATAATATTGGAGATGTTACTCTGGTAAATGACTATGATTGTTAAATACCAAGGGACTTAACTAGTAGGTGGGACGTCGAGATATGATATCTATCTTATCTCCCCTTGTGAGTCCTTATCGGTAACTCCAACTGTTCCATAAGATATGAGTGGAGATACTCTTACATTAAACTTCTTGCCATGTGCGGCGAGAGGTGAAGGGGGCGTACCAATTTACGAGTTTGAGTCCATATAATTCTGTATTCATTTCGTATACTTTCTCATACATACTGCACTTACATACCTCATAAAATCGTCAAATCTTCATCTCCACATTGATCAGGGCTTACTGGTTATTGGTGGGAGGGTGACAAGCATATTAGAGTCTGATTGATCACAAGAGCTACTCCCCCCCCCTTCCCCAGGAAGATGCTTGGTTCTCGGCAGTCCTTCTGTTGCTCTTACGCAATTGCTGCTCTCTGGATTCAATGTGAGTCGTGACGGCTCGATTACATATCATTCTTTTGGCATTTTTTAGATTCGAGAAGGATCCTACAATCTACATAGAAATTCTTGAAGAACATCATGTCGGTTCGAGGAAAAAATGGATAGAAATGGCCCCCATCTGTTTGCCATGTGCAAATAAGGGATATCGAGCTTCTAACGAAGTTCTAGCCCGCATGATCAGGGGGAAAACAAGCTGGCTCCTGGGGAGCTTCTGCAACCCTGGCCCATTGGCAACGAGAAATCAATCTTATCGCATTCGGTCACGGTACAGAAGCCTATTTGTATTCCGCTAGTCCATTGTTTTAAAGTAGAATAATCCTTCAAACCATTCGTTTGTTCGACCCCTTCAAGCTACACTTTTCGCAAGATACGCTCAGTCAACAGAGCTTTGACGGTCAATCGGAAGAGAAACAGGTACAGGTTCTAACAAATCGTGAGGAGCGTGTAGATACAAGCAGAGTCCTCCGACCTTCTTGCGGAAGAGAAGGGCTTCCCATTTCCCTCCCGCAGGCGCCTAGAATATCTATTTCAAATGGTCAGCAATATGATCTAAATTTTAATGGAGTCATTTACGCTTGTATCAGCAAATGCAGTGTTATAGCATACCCAGTGGTATCCTGGACACAACTCTCTTCTCAATACTGCGACCATTCGGCGCAATGGCGATGAGAGAAATAATTGGCAGGAATAGCATGCCAGAAACACTTGAATCCCACGAGAAGGCTTTTGCGATCCATAACTAAGTACTCCGCAATGCATTGAATCTTTCGTTGTTAAGCAATGCTGTGTTGTTGTTGTTGTCGCTATTGTTGTCGCGAATTTGCGACAAAATTTCAATTGAAATCAACTGAGCGGAAGATTAATTACAAGATATGCAACCAAACTCGGGAGTTCGGTAATACTATACCGCCGGTGATGGGAATTCACTATATGCTCTCTTCACCTTTGTTCTCGCTTGTGAAAGGGAAATGAAGGGGATGCGGTAATTTGCCGAGTGAATAGGTAGATGGAGTACACAACGGCCTCTCAATATCTCTCTATACTTCAGTCACATCTTCCGATGCAGTGAACAAACAGAAGAGTGTATACTACAATTCACCACTATCCATTCACTTATCCCTCATCCCTCTACATTATTTTCAAACCCCATGGCACTAAACACGTACCATTCATCTCACCCCCTTCCCCATCCCCATTCCCATTCCCACCCACAACCCACAACCCACAACCTTCAGCCCTTCAATGTCTTCCCACTCAGCGCCATATAAACCTCCATCTCGGCTCTACATCTAAACATCTAGTTAGCATATCAATATAGCACGATAGTAGAATCAAAGCCCACTGCCATAGGAAAGCATCATTCACTCTCTACCGTTATATTAGACTATCAACGAGCACATGAATCTTTCATCTCATTAATATCCGTCAACCACTTCAACATCCAAATCCAAATTTAAATCCACTTCCACTACTCGCACTCATACCTCAAGACTATATATATATTCATCCACACTAGCAAAACATCATACATACATAACATACAATCAACATTCCCACAATTTTACACCACACTAGCAGAATAGGCATCATATCCCCCTCTCAAACCCCCTTCCCCTCCTCATTTTCACCCGTATCTGTATCCAATAACATGATAATATAACCAACCACCCCTCCTTTTATCTCCGAGTCTCAGCCACCTTCCAGTGAGGACGGCATTGCATAGGCATGAGTACGACTACGAGTACCACTCACCACCAAGCCAATGTATGTATGTGCATACGAGTACATGCATCACAAAATCACAAGTCAAGATCAAACTTCATGCCCTTACCCGACTCCACGAGAAGATGTATACGATATCCCAACTGGACTCATAATTCTACCACATATAACAAAAGTCATCAAGATAACCACACACTTCCAGTCCAGTCTCATGTACATTGTCCCCCCCTTCTCACTACCGCACAACATAAATTATCCAGCGCGAGTCCATAGAAAATCACAAGACAAGCACTTAAGTATAAAAGCGACTTGTTATTTTAAATTTAAAGCGTGTACGTCACACATGATATCCAATCTATATACGAAGCTAACACAAAAGTATATATGGCCCGCAAAAACAAAATAAACACCAGGTGTGCATATCCATCCGTCCGGTCTTGATCTTCCAAATTCCCAAAATATTCATGACTTCGTAAACATCCCATCCCTTCCCCTGACCCCGCTTTCCTCCAAGAAAGAACTGACTGAATACTAATATCCGTCTTCCACAAATCTCGGCCGAGGTAACATATAAGCGTCGTAACGATCGCCTCTACTCTCCTCGCTGCTGCTGACACTCGTGCTGGGGCTGACCAACCCACTACTCTCCGCTAAACCCGTCATATCCTCATCGACACCCGTAACCACCCTCCCGGTACCCCTACTTCCCGTCCCCTCAATCCCAAACCCGGTACCACCTCCAAGACCCCTCCCCATTCCCATTCCCATTCCTCCACTCAATCCCATGCCGCCAATACCAGTGGGTAAACTCCCGCCTACATATGCGATCGGCACCATCGGGTAGCCACCAACTCTCCTCACACCCCCATTTATTTCCATCCCCTCGCCCACACTGCTCACTCTACTCAACGCCGGTTTCTCCGGCAACCCCTTCAATAACCCCGTACTCGTATCCAACATTCCCATCGCCCACCTCGTCAACTCGCCCCCTTTACAACTAACACCCAACGTCCACCTGTATTCCCCCAACCTCCTCCGATACCATTCTGCCTCCTCTCGCCCCGGTGCCGTCGCCCACAACAACGACCCAAACGTTCCTATCAGCGCAAAATTTGTTTTACTCGCAAAATACCAAAAAGCCCTCAAGTGACTCGTCGTGAGTCGGTTCACGAAATCCATGGCGGATATTAGGCGGGTTTTGGCGGCGCTGCGACATATGTGGGTGATATAGGGTTCTAATTGGGGAGGACACGATTGCCCTTCGATTTTGATGTGAGTATTGGAGGAGTTGGCGGAAGGCGATAGGGATCGAATGATGCGCCGATGAAGGGTGATTTCCGTAGCGAAATACGCGAGATGCAGGAAACCGGTGGAAGATAAGGATAGTTTCGACGAGGTGGGAGGAGCGTCCATGCGGAGGCAGGCGGGGAGCGCCGAGTACCAATCTTTGAGTTTGAGTTGTACAGGTTTCGCGAGTTGGAGAACAAGATGTGTGCCCTGGGCCCCAGCATTGGTGACGTTAGACATGGCGGATAGCGTGTAGAAGATATCTAGGACTTCGGAGAGAATCTGAGAGAGAATGATCATTTGGCTGAAAAGGAGTCGGCCACGTTCGTGCTCGGCACTTTGTTCATTATCCGTTTCATCATGTTCGACATCCGGGAAATCGTTCCGGGATAGTGGGAGAACGGCCCAGTTCGTAGCGAAGATATGGGATGGACGTCCATGGACTAACGATCCCCATTTATCTTGCATATACAAAGCCCAAGCGAGACGTTTGCGAAGTCCGCGTTCCCATGGGGGAATTTTCCAATTCGAGCAGTCAAGATGCAGACCTAGTTCTTGGGCTATGGCTACGAGTTGTGCGGTTGGTGCCCATTGATCACCTTCTGGGGCCTGGGATAATAAGAGTCCGGCTTGTACAGTTGATAACTTAGGCCTGTTCATAGCGTCCGACAAAGTAACTCTCGCTAACCGCTCCAACTCCTTAAGATTGGGTCTAGGGAGATGGGCAAGTTCTTCACTGTGGTCCCACCAATTGATCGCGAGAATATATACGGCTGCCAAAAGAGGTGGCGAAAATTCTCGGTACGATCTGTTGTATTTCTCCAAGAACACATTTTTCTGAAGGATGGGAAAGTTTGGATGAATGATGCGGAAATATAAGTCCAGTAGTAAGGGGCCATGGGGTGCCACGAGATCTTCAATAGCGTCCGCATCCTCAATCTGATGTTCGTGACCGGGAGTCGTATGATCCGGAAGCATCAAAAATGTATCAACATCGCTAACTTTTCTCAATGTTCCTCTTGATAATAAACTCTCATCTTGTGGATCAAATAATGAAAGGTCAATGAGTGAGGGCTCGAAGTCTGTAGTTGGGCCAATGTATTGGCTGTATCGATCATGTTGTAAACCCAGTGTCCGCTTTAATAATGTCGGGCCCCCAATATTTGCCATGTCTTCTGTCAACGAATTGGTGGCACCGGTACTCGATATGCTAGATTCATGGGGTCTGATCCTCTCGAAACTTCTGTCTGGAGATCTGGTGGCAATATCTGTTAGCTGTCACTGATACTCCAAGTATTGAATATATACTTTCACATACCTTCTTTTAGCAACAGATTCTTCCTTGCCCTCCCCATTAAGCTTCCTCTTTCTAGGTTGTGGACTTGACACGAAGGTGCAATCCTGCGAATGAAATTGACAAAGAACACAAGTAGACTGCCCCTCATTGATCACACATCTACTCTTCCTCCTCCTACAAGCATCACAAGGTCTATCCTTTCGACTTCTCATATTACTTCCCAGGTCCATCGATGCCACACTACTCATACTCGTCGACAGACTAGAGATATCTCTGCCGTTTGAAGAATTGTTCGGAGTATCGAGGATTGTATCTAAATGGGGTTTCTTAGAAGCAATGGCAATTGGGGCAGTGCGTGCTATAGAATTCGGGGTCGCCATGATGGCCACTGCTCAAGGAGATTCTAGTGGATCAGTATCCGCCGAGATCGTTCACCACCAGGTTTGGTAAGTCTTATATGAACCCAATGACCTGCTCCAGACCCTGGGGTTGGTTTCGCCGATACTGCAGCTACAGCCAGGGAAGATGGACGAGAAACGGGATTTGTGATGTAGTCCCCTTGTCCTCGGAGAAGCGCGATGCAGGGCCGAAAGTTTGGTAGCGTATAGGAGTGGTCTAGTGACGGAGGAAGCTGTCTCGAAAGGGAAATTCCAGCAAGATAGAAGATCTGATACTCCAAAAGATGTGAGTGGCTTGAAGGATAGATTGTCAGATATCCTTATCGATGTGTATCCCCACTCTATTGCCTGTTAGATATCTTTTATAGCTTGAGGTCCCGTAATCCGGATATTCTTAGAAGAGCTTATCGGAGTTTGAAGTGGGAAAATTGTGGTGTCGTCTGCACTGCAAAACTGCAAGTGCGCGGTCTGTTTCGAACGGATAGATAAGAAAGCTTGGATATGGTAAAACCAACCACAAATAGAATATCTTTATTGGAAAGTGTAAGAGTAGGCGAACATTAAAAGTCTTATGTCCCTTCAAAGGTTTTTCCTTTTTGTCTGTTTGAAGATTCAAGTTGGCATGCGACTCAGAGAGAAACGTTAGGAGTAGCTGACTGGATTCAGTGACTATCACTACTACATGTACCAGCCAGTGATTGAAGGAGGATTAGATGATGGATAGTTTTCCACGTCATTGATGAGAGAGAGAGGATTGCAAGAGTAGATTAGTTGAAGGTTTTTAGTACCGATACTGAATGAAATTGCTAAGAAGAGCTTGGAGAAAAAGAAAAGAGTTTAGAAGCAGCTTAGGAGGAATGGAAAGATAAAAAGCTCAGATCTGCATTTACTACTCGAGTAGACAACTATTACCAAACTAGGTAACAATAAGAGCAACTGAGTATAAGTTGAGTAAGTTGATTGCTTAACAGGACAAATAGCTAGTTGATCCTGCGCTGTAAATATGTTTTCCCAGGTTCTTAGATGGAAGAGTAGTTTCTGGCGTTATTTTTTTTTCTGCTGCAAGATAAGGCGAAGGGACCTGGGGCTAATATAAAGATCCGATATCTCGACAAAACATAATTATTTTTATATTCATCTACTAATCCGTACCTCGCATCTGCATTGCCGGTACGATGGTCTACCGTCAGTTGGTACAAATTACAATACACAAAGGTTGGAAGCTATCCGACATCCCCTATATCCCCTACTGGACTAAAAGTTGTATAAAACCCAACCCTCCTTGACCTTTTTCCTTTCAAGCCTCACGCTCTGATACATAAAATATGGGTCTAAATGACACCAGAAAATGCATGAATGTGCATCTCCCTGACTCTCTAATAAGCTATCCACGTGAAACTAACCAATCAACATATCTTATACGTAATTTTTTGTAACCCAAGATCTCTTATTGGATATATTTTGATGAATTACTTAAACACATGGAGTTGTGATTTGTGATATCCAATCTTTTTTTCAATCAATTTATATTTTTCTCTATCTCATCCACTCAACGTACGACATTCCTTATCGTCTCCTCAAACATATTGTTATCTCTCTTCTGATTCACAAGGATTGGAAGTTCTGATCCTTGTGTAGCCCCCCTCGGCATCCCCAAATTATGATGCTGTCTTTGAATATCATATTGCTAAAAGTTACTCAGCCACTAAATAGAGTTTGGCAGTAGTAATAGATCTCATCAAAGGATTGAGCATTGAGCAATAGAGCAGTAATAAGTATTGAGTAATGAGTATTGGGTAATGATTAATGAGTAATGAGCAATGAGCAATGAGCAGCAATAAGCGAGTAATTATTTACCCCTAATTAAACCGCCAGACGCAACTTCTCAGTGAGCTTAGGGGATAGTATTACAGTATATTTATTTTAATAAGAAATTATAAATATTTTGCCAAATACAGTAACTTCTCAGAATCTTAGGTCAATATTTAATAATGATTATATTCTAATCTAATCATGATCTTCCAACCCCACAACACACAACCCCTCTAGTGCATAATGATTTGCTAAAAGAAACCTTCCAAACCTCCAACCCCCCAGTACTTATTGGTCATACATCAGTTTCCAACTTCAAACCCATCCAACAGTTCCCTATTCCCAGGAGTCGAATGCTCCAAGCACATCAATCTACGAGAAATGCTATAATAAGGGTTCCTTTTCGTGGGTGGTTAGCTTGTTATGTAATTCCGAGATTGGCGCACATCGGCATTGCACTTTGAAATTGTTTGGTGTCACATAATCCGGGTGGCTTGATTGCGAAGAAAGTAGGATTTTGGGGGTTATACAGATTTCCCAGATTCGTCGTCGACTCGTTGTGCCAATAATACCGCACCGGTACAGCAGTATTTGTATGCGTGATCGGAGTATATGTGAAGGAATCTTAGAGAAGCCTAATGCCGAATGTTTGTTGAGATAAGGCGGTGAGATTCTATTTGAAGCATGCATCTGCTCTTCATTGCTGTACTTACTGCATTGCTGACGGACGGTATTATCGGTACCGCATATATCAATCTCTTACCTCATTTCTTCCGTCGGAATGTCACTGTGTGCCAGTCAAATTCGGAGTTGGCGTGGAGAAAGAGCGGTATGCTATGAGAGTGGTATTTTAGGTAAGAGGTAAGAAAGAGATTAAAGAATATTTTCAATGGCATAACATGAAGCCTTGAATGAAGCCTTGAAGAGCATGTGGTGGCCGCTACCGGTGCCCAAAGAATGAAATCTTTGGAATATCAAGATGGCAATGAAAGGGTTTTCATTCGTCGTTCCATCATTTCAGATGAGAATTTGTTTAAGCGTATCAAGGAGACCCAGCCAAAAATCAATAGCGGGGTTGCGAGTTATTGTTACCCCGCATTGGTAGCATTCATGAATCACGATAAGCAAGCAGTCTTATCGTTCCAGAACCACCGTGCTGGAGGCTCACTGGAAGTCGTAATGATTGCAGCGACGTGACGTTGAGGATACCGGTACTGTAGACCTGTGAAGATTGAGATGAGATCTCAATAAGAGCTATCTGTATAAACGGGGACCGAATCCAAGGTAAACAATAGAGTTTCACTAAAACCTACTACAGGCGACTGTTTACTTAATCTCTTGTGTCAATGTGCTTATGACAGTCGGACAATATCATTGGTAACACTTGAAACCAAGAAAAGAAATAAGGATTCACACTTTCTTCACCCGCGAAGGTTTTCGAAGAGTATGTGGGTACTGTGGACAAGTAAAAGGACAGTTGAAGTTGAAAAAGGATAAGAAGAGTTTCAAGATGCCTATTCCACACGAGCTCGTGAAGAATACTTGGGCAAAATTATTCCAATCACTCGAAGCATTTAGTTCTGGGAAACGAGAGGATTGAAACACAACTCGCAAGAAGACTTCGACGACGTAAAGATATCGTAACTTTGTTGTAGGGTTTTCTCAACTTTCAAGACAGTCTTGAGACTCGACGAATTCGATTCCTTCTCGTCACTGAACGATATAGAAATACCTTCAACATTTTGACTTTTTGTTCCCCGACTGTGTGAGAAAACGTGGAAGATGGATGGAAATTTGGGTGCTGGAGCAAACGACTCGGAAGAGTATTTGAGAAGAGGTTTCGGAAATATGCTAGTGGTCGCGACTATCCCTTTCTCTATTCGTCGCTTGCTCTGTCGTTGTCATTGTCATGACGTGATGATGTTCATATCAATATCAACACGAGACGAGACGAAATATCAATCTAATAGTAATCGTAGAATACCATACCTATGTAGTATGTACTCGAGTATACATGCGACGACAGACGTACCGGTCATATCTTCATTCGTTTCCTTAATCAATAATTCCCAAGTACTCATCCAATATATATGTATATATATCCGGAACAAAACTCCAGACCAATAGGAAAATCCTTCTTTGGAAATATCCAGAAAACTAAATTTGGATCTACAAAGAAAGTATCTGGGGAGAAGGGAGATGGGATACTAATATATAGTATCATCATCTCCAGAATCAACATTCTCTACTACTACCGGTACTAGGTACGTACTCATCAAATATCTTCAGACCATTACGATAGACGTATGACACTCAATAGCTCGGCGGAAAAGTCAATTATACCAAAACTTATAATTTTAGGGGGCTTTCATATGGGATTCTCGGAAAGTTATTGTTTGCGAAAAGTGAAGCTACGAAGGGGCAGGACAATGAAGGGGTTATCTTTTTCTTAGCGATAATTTTTATGAGATAGATGCGAGTTTATTGCTATGATGATGGCCCGGAACGAGATTTTGTAACGTATTTGAAGTAGATGGTCTCAGCGGCTAGTAAGCCTTTAACATAATTCATAAGTCTAAAATTATTGAAATTGGTATCATGACGCAATATGGCACACTGTATCGAATATGTCTTCTCTCCACCTCATTTCTCATCTCTCATCGTTCATTTCTCGACATTCTCCCATCTACGACTCAGCTCCCGTACTTCTCTCAACAGCTGCTCTTGCCTCCACTTCTAACGCTCTCCTCTCTTCTTCCACTCTATCATCATGCGTCTTGTGACCTGCAAAGATAGCCAGCAGCCCTAAATCATAACTTGCTTTCAGTGCTCCTGCAGAAACAAATACAACCCAGAAAAGATTCCTCCCAGCCAACACACCCGTGATGACTGGGCCAAGACTTTGCGCAAATGTCTTCACTACATTGATAAGACCCATGACTGCGGTACGTTCGTGTGGATGGACAATTGCGGCAATAAATGCGGTACGTGGTGCTTGGTCCATAGACGAGGTGGAGTGCCGAAGGATGAGGAAAGTTATTGCTGAGGGGAGAGTAGAAGGAACCGGAATCAAAGAGAGAAAGATGGAGGAGGGGAGATGTGTGAATGCCATTGTCTGTTAAGAAATCATGTGTTAAACGGGTCTGCAGGGTGAGAGGGACTAGAATGATATACCTTGACATTTCCAAGACGTTTTGCTAGAGATGAAGCGACTAGCATGGAGCCAGCTGATATGATGCTTGTGGTGAAGAAAAGAGAACCCAATCTCCCTTCTTCAATGCCAAACTTTTCATGGAAGAAATAAGTCACCCATGAGCTGTAAACATCGATCAGCTCTGCAACACAAATGTGGGAAAATATCAGACGTACAGAGGTACAAGACCGGATGCGAAAGAATCAAGCCCCAACAAGAGGCAAAGATTTAGCACAACAACCCTACTCTCCTTGCTCACACTGGGCAACTTCGACGCAAAATAACCTTTCTTCGTAGCTACCACTTCCTCCCTTCCGTCTCCCAGAAGTGGGGCAGTCTCCGGATCATCGATTGGCGCAACTTTCTCTTCGACCTCGACTGCCTGGCTAAGTCCCACCGAAAGTAGAAGTTTAATGAATCCAAATATCGCATAGCTCCAAAATACAGCTCGATATATAGAAATATCCGTCCAGCCTGGTTCATTCCGAAGATAAATAATTACCCAACCAGAAACAACAAATCCACACGCCTGGCCAGCTGTTCCTATCAATGAATACCACGCATATATGTCGCTTCGATTTGAGGCGGGAGTAAGTTGCGCGAGGGTCGATTCTTCAATTGCTCGGAATGGACCGATTTCGTTTCCACTTCAGATAGAATATCAGCACCTCTGAATGGTAACAAGAGTAGGCTGTAGGAGTACATACCTGGGACTGATAACTCCCAACACCGCAGCAGCAAGTAGACCCCAGTAGTTCTCACAAAGAGCAAAAACGATGCCGCTCCCCATCATTAATCCCGATCCCACCGCCAATATGGCTTTCCTTCCCAGCGCATCTGCGAATAGTGTAAGAACAAAACTAATCAATGTATCACCAACCAATGTCAAGGTCATGAAAAGGCCTATTTTCGTCTTCGAGATGTCAAGTGCAGAGAGGTATTCAACAAGGATCAGGGTGGCTGTAGCATATGCGAACATTCGGGTGAAACGCTGGAGACATAGAAGTTTGGTATCGAGGGATGATTTGTAGAGAGTAACGAGGCCCAACTCGGCGATTATGCGATGGACATATCTCAACACCATTGTTAATTTATTTTGATTGTCCCAGTTGGAGCGAAGGACTGGAATTGAACTTGACTTCGGTTTCCGGATCTTCGGACTGTAGAAGAGTCAATGTGAGCTTCAGGTATCTAATTTCTAACCGTCGATTCAATGGGTAAGAGCAGAAGATGGAAAGAAGAGAAAATTGAAAAGAAAAGAAAGAGATAACGGTATGTTATATCTCATATACTCGAGTACCTAGCTAGAGATCTAGTAGAAGTTTGAACTCCCATCTACTGCAGTAATATATACTTTCGGACCTCCATTTTTTGTTTGTCACTCAAAAGTTGTGACTGGAGCTTTTTTGAATGACACTACCTACCTACTAAGGTAACTGCTAGCTAGGTACGATAGGGGTCTATGATCCATCGTGCTAAGTCGTAATCTTAGCGCCATCTGATAAAATTGATAACTAGGCCCGAGTTCTCCAACGACATTCTTTTTCAATCAATATATATTTTTACATATATTGATGATCTTACAGTTCCAGTTCTGTAGATGAGTAGTAAGTACTACTTCATACGTCGATGATTGTTCATCTACAGCACCATGAAAATGTGAAGCCAAGCTGATCTCTTCATGAATGTTTTGACCTTTTGAGGGAAGCGGTTGATAAATTATGATCGTGAGAATTCCACTTCAAAACCTTCTACTAAATGAATTACAGTATCACCAACTCGCAATGCTTGTTTATCGTTACCATTTGATCTTCAAGCGTGGATCTTGGGGAAGTCCTTGGCTATTATGGCACTGTAAGATTTCTTTGTGAGACATCAATCCAATGCGGAAATCTGCATGCCAAAGATATCTTTGTTGTGAAAATCAACATCATATCGACATCTTCATTTATTCCCCGAGTTATAACTTGCTAGGTAATTGAATTTATCAATCATGGCGCCAATGAAAGATACCACTATCACCCCTAGCAGGATAAGTATTCCTCGGGTAGCCAAAAATAAGCCGAAGGAATCACCTGAACCCATTCCGAAGACTACACCTAAAACAATTAAGAAGGCTCCAGGCCGCCCAAAGAAACCCGTTGCCGCAAAAATACCTACCACGAAAGCAATTCCAGCTCGCGATGGGAAAGGAAAAGGAAAGGAGACGGAGATGACAACGCCGGAAGTGCTCTCGAATTCTCCTCCCAGTGACGAAATCATACGTCAAGAAGCAACATATCAAAACCCGTTTTCCACAGAAAGCTCGCGCAACAATACTGCAGCTCTTCTCTCTCAGTGGGAGGCTATCAATTCTCCTATTCTGAATTCTCCAGAATCAGAAAAGCGGTTAGTTGACAGAACCCCGACGTCTAACATGTCGAGTCTTGCAAAATCCAAGCATGAAAGAGCATACTCCGCGTCACAAAGAGGGAGACATATTGCAATTCCTCCACCAGCTTCGAAAGACAGAGGAGAGCAAACTGCTCAGCTTTTCGAGGCCAACAAACAACACCGCTTGGACTCCTTAGTGGAAGGTAAATTTCCCGATCCGACTTATCCTCGGGCAAGTATATCTGGTGGGACTGAGCCTTCTCCTGGGTTTAGTACGGCCATGGGGTTCAAATACTCACCGGGCTTTGGGGGACCACACGGCTTTAATATGAGCCCGAAAAATAAATTTGGCTTTAATACGACGCCAAACAGTTCTGCAGTGCCTGGAACTGAAGATCCATCCTTGGAACAGACTCAACCAGCCAATCCAATCGATCGAGCCGATCAAATCATTTCAGATGCTGATGTTGATGCCGTTCCCAGTCATCGTGTCGATGGAAACGCTTTCACGGTTCCAGATTCCGGATCCCCAGTAAATTGGCAAAACCTTCCGACAGAATGGGATAATAATTTTGTGGACTGGAATCAGAACAGATTCACTGGGCAGAACTATGTCGGGTATCAGCCATTTCAGCACGGATCATTCAGATACCCGCCAAACACACTATCGTTCGCAAACCAAGCACCCCCACCAATCTTACCGCATGGATCGTACCTTGGACCTATGTATCCACAATACCATCCTCATGAAACGCTAGATTATGGGACTACCGGTACTTGGACTGGACCAGCGATTGCGACGCAGGTGCCAGGTGTCCCCCTTTTCCCTACAAAAGTAAGCGACAACTCAGAGCTCATGGATATCAAAGAAAGTAGGATGACACGAGGGAAAACTATTTTTGTACCAGGAGGAAGGATAGTCAAAACAACTACCACAGTGTTTACACCCACTGGCGAGGAGAAAAAGAAGGGCAAGAATGTAGAGAGGGCGCCAGAAGACAAAGTTGGTATAGTGGTAGTAGATAAAGAGGGTAACGTTGATGTTGAGTCCGGAGATTGGCTAGCAGGATTTAACAGGATCGAAGGATGGGAGGTAGAAGCGTTACTCAGTCGTAATAGAAGGAGGTGGCCAAATAAAAACAGGAATGGAGTTACGAAAAAAGTCATCACGAAGAACCATACCCTTAAGAAAGCTGCGCCATCGAAGAAAGATTCTACCGCACCTAAGTCTACACCTAAGTCTCCTACAACTGAATCTAATTTAGATTATATCTCCTTTGACCTTCCGCCCCTCCCTAAATCTACCCGATCACGAGCCACGAGAATATCGAAATCGGTTCCTGAACCCGCCAAGAATGCAACAGTATCCAAAGCCAATCGAGTAACAGGAGCGACCCAAGCAAAGAAAACCTCTGTCCCTTCCCTCAAAGCTAATTCAAAAGCTAAAACCAAAGCATCAACGCTAACAACACCCTCCCAACCCCAAGCCGCCGCTCGCAAAACTGTCAAACCAACGTCGACCCCAGCTAGTAAAGTCCGTTCAGCAAGATCATCTTCCACCAAACCATCTCCCACACCCGCCAAAACGAAAGCCCCTAAAACCAAATCCAGCACCAAATCCAGCACCAAATCTGCAACCTCAAAATCCACAGCCGCAACACCCACAGCCGCAACACCCACAACCGCACCTGCAAAGACGCCAGCCAAAAAATCAGCTCTTTCCTCTGGCTCAAACCCCACCGCCTCAAAGGCAAGAAAACCCGAGAAAAGCGCACCCAAAACTGGAGCGTTGGAGACAGTCAATACCCGTGACCTCGAGGAGCAAGTCAAAATATACCTTTCCCTTGCCGACAAAGCAGCCAAAAATGCAGGGCGACTCCGTGGGAAAGGCGCTGAGCGAGCTGCTAAGGATTTTGAAGCGTTGATGGGGTTTGTGGAGGATGGGTGTAAAGAGTTGGAGAGGCGGGGGGTAGACTTCAGAGGAGAGTGATTGAAAAAGCGTTTGTCGATTGGTTGTTGGTTTGGGTGATATCTTTCCTTTACCTACGTTCTGTGCTAATGATTTGGCAATGAACCTCGTGCGGGTGAAATTAGAGAGATATGATATGGGTATGTATGTATGTATGTATGTATGTATAGCTATATCATATCAATTTTTGTTCATCTGCTGCCTAGGTTATCCACGCTTCTCGAACCTAAAGTAATTACTTTTGCCTTTGTTGTTTTGTTCCATGTCCATGTCCATGTGTCAGGTCGATTTATCACTTCAACGATGTATGCAAGTGTCACATATCTAGCCTCCAGATTCTTCTGCAATAAGAACAAACGAAAAGGATTTCCAAGAGAAAGATTGCCTGATAAATAACAAATGAGTAAGTACAGAATGTTCAGAATTGCCGTCTGGGTCTAGAACAAATACCCCAGCATGAGTATCCGCCGACCTATTCTTTTGACCTTTTGATTGGAATAGGATTGAAGAATAGCCACAAAGACATACTATCTGTACTGTACTGACATAACTACCGAGAATCTCCGAACCAATGTTCCAATATGGAGTAAAACCCTAAATATCAGCCGCAGCATCGATACTGGTCCCGAGAATCAGAATCTTCTGATGAGAATTTGGAATGTCTTAGGGAAGAGGATCAATACAGTACTCGTATCTTGAAGATAGACCAAGCAGAAAAACTCGCAGATCCGGTGTGTTACAGGCGAGGCCATGAGCCAGGTGAAAAGGAAAGCCCATAATCAAGAAATTGAAAAACGCAGGTGTCATTGCTGAGACAGTAACAGCTAATGTCATTGGAGACAGATTTGATTGATATTGGGGTCTATTATTAGGGCCATCCTGTAAGTAGCAATGTTTACATTCTTTGATGTACCTACGGTCTTCTTTTATAAACAGCCTGGTGTTTATCGATTCCGTACTTTGTGTCCACATGCTTGCAAAAAGGGCGAGCCAGTATGTACTTGTATGTATCTTAATAACCTACAACCGTGTTATCGCATTTCGTTGAAGTACATCGAGATTCGCTTCTTACCGTGCAGCTGACTTCTATTAGATAACAAATGCTTTCAGATGTTAACACACACTTTGCTGCAATGGCAATGTGTCCACCTTGATCAGCGAGATGTTGGAATTCTGGTTCATCCTTCAAGCCATGGTTAGTTGACTTTCATATATTGATTGCTATATTAATCTAGTATCTATTCCTACTCATTGGTGCGTCTAATATAATGCCAAACAGGGAATAATATACACGGTGGAAAAGATGATTTCCTCACACCGTCAGAAGTCCGACTCCACGAGCCTACATGGTATCTGGAATCAAGCGTTGCGGTCATGGCAAAAGCTTATGATCCCTTAATCTCGATGCTTGGGCATCTTCTCCTTCGTTTCCCGCGAATCGTTACATCCTCTTGGACGCAAAACTCGTCTTTGTCTCCTACGTCTGATTCCCTCAACAATGTTTCCACTCCTCATTTCTCTTCCCCTATTTCTTTGCCCGAGTGTTCTAACCTCACAATCCAGTCTCCTTCTTAACCTCCCCAGCATCATCGAATCACAAGCCATCGGCCTCTCTTTCTCCCCTCTCCTCCTTCTCCCATCAACCTGCATCTCCCCTTCTCTTCCCCTCTCCCTCTCCCTCTCCAGCCCCCTATCCATATTCATTGAGAGAATACTTTCCACCCAAATCCTCTCTCTAGCCAAATCCAAAAATAACATCTTAGTCCACTCAGCCGGTTTTCTCAGTAACTCCCTTTCCGCAAGACCACAATGACGTGTTGTAACAGAGGCGCATATTTGGAGATATTGTGGGAGAGAAGAAGCGAGGATGTTGCCTTGCCAAATGGATTGACCGCCGATAGAACTAGAGAGCGGAGATGTGGATTGGGGTGAGGAAGATGATGGGGTCCGTGTTGTGTGGAAGAAATAGGGGACTGGGCGTTGGCTCGAAGGGGTGCTTGATGCGTGTGAAGATGGGGATGGACATGGGAGAATGAGAACACCTTCATGGATAATTCCCGAATCTCCGTTTGCAGCCCAGATCTCAAAGACTTGTAGCATCTTTTCGCTGCTCATGTTTATTATAGCTGGTAGGTCTACTCGTATAAAGTGCAAAAGTGCAAAAGTTTAATTTCCTGTACAAAAGATTATGTAATGATGGTAAAGAAGTGATAAAACAAGTATATTTTCCAAAAACCTTTTGTATATGCAAGTCCAGGCTTCTATATCTCATATATATAGATATATCAACGACATTGTCATCCCCGAAACAAGTAGATAAGTATCCACAGCTCATTTGTTCCCACAAGTAAGCAGACCTTCCAAGTTCTTCCTCTTTCAAGCCCTCTGCCGCAGTAGTACAGCTTATCCATCATCACTGAATCATCGACAACATACCACGCAATACATGAAACACAAAGGCAGCCAAATTCCCATGCGCGCGCGAGCGACAGCTCACCTCATAGCATCTCCTAAGTCCGAATCGGAGATCAGCGTGGGGAGAAACACCTGTGGGGCGCTAGAGATCATGGAGATGAAGCCCGAAATACCCTGAAAATATCACTTATGTGGGGTGTAACGTGCGATCTTACAGTAAGCGGGGATGTCAAAACCCCTGGAGATTCGGTGGCAGAAGGCCGAAAAGAAAGAATTTTCCAAGTAAGCGAACGAATGTTCTCAGTTTGGTTGTATGATTCATGTTTGGGAATGTGAATTGGCGATAATGATTCAAGTCTGACATCGGATCCAAATTGAAGACGCGTATGAGCATGGCATTGTTGAACAGATGAAATGAATGGAAATTTTGATGGCAAAAGGTCTTTGTAAGTTGAGGATGATTTAAATGATAAGGTTAGCGGATTTCAGTGATTATCAGTGGTGAGGTGTGCGTTTATTGGCGCTCGACTATCATCACATGACCGGCTAACTCTTTCTGGTCAGCTATTACTAAGAGAGCACCCAGCTGAATATAATTTCACACCTCTAAATCCAAGCCATTCTAAAAATTTCCCCACCAAGTACGAAGTTCAAACAACATGAACGACCTGCGATCATAATAAGATAAGAAGTTACCGCTGCTGGTTGCTGGTGTTACCTTTTGGCTTGTTCTGCTGCCTGCTGCCTGGTTTCTGCTGGATCGATCTTACTGGAATGGCGCATTGGCTCTCTAATAGTCCGTCATGCTGACTTCCTTCAAGATTATTGAAACCGCGGAAGCCACAAGAGGGGGGCTTCTTACATTCTAAATTGATTGCCGGTTGCGAACTGGCAGATTGAAGCGGTTGCACCTCTTGATCTCTTGATTGGCCTAGACTTGTATACCGTTTGGTTTTGAATAGGGGTTCTTGAGAACTGTTATCCGATGTTTGTTGATGAATTGTGCGGGTTTTGAGGGCTAGGGATGAATAGATGCGATGGAGATAATATGATTATCTGTGTTTGAATCCCAGAATTGACTTTCAATTGATTGACAAGAGACAAGAAAAAATCCATCCTTGCGTTTCGTTGGAGATTAGATCAAGTGGTTCTGAATCTTTCCATGCTGTCGCCATTGCAAAGTTTTAGGAGTTCTGTTAATGCTCAAATCTTGATTCTTGAAAACCACAAGTGCAAGCAATTGTTGATGGTTTAAATGGAGCTACTGCGTTCACTCACTGTCAGTTATGAGATTAATGCTTGTTTGTGTCATAAATATCAATAATTTGCCTGGTCAACTTTCTTATTTCTTTTCTAGCCACTTTATCAACTTCTACGATGCCTTTCATACCATGAATTACTAGATCTACCATTCTACCAGCGTCATGGCCCTCCTGCGATGAACCTTTCGTACCATGCTTCAATCTACGCCGAAAATACTTGTACGACCTCGACCATCTTCATCCATCTTTTTTTGCCGAACACCTTCAGGTATCAATTACCACCGTGTCAGGTGGCTGAAATTGACAACCTGATGCGGGTTTTCTACTTGCAGCTAGCAGTTTGAACAGCTGCTTTGCTCCTTGGTCCTCTAAAAGTTGTCGATTCGCGGCTTTTGTTGGTTTATGGTTCTGATTTGCTTGAATATTCAAGGTTCGTAATACTGGAGAAACTTTCTAGTGCCATGCGAGGAAACCTGGATTGATTGTGAGAATTAAAACATGAAATCGCTTTAAGCCGAACCGGATATGTAGACCTGGGAGCTCTACCCGGGTCTGATTAATTTTTTTAGAGCTCCCTGCCTGATCTGGAAACCATCTGTCTTACGGATTCACTAGAACAACAAATGTTGGTACTACTACATGACTAACACTAATGACTATTGTTTCCCCAAGAGGCTTTGGCATTTGCCGTTTATAGAGGAATCGATTCTCATTCTTTAGTTTGATATTGATAGATCCAAGCCGGAATTCTAGATTGTTTCAGTTCCATTGTTCTTTCATGATTTGGTTCAATGATAAGGGAAGCGTTTCCTGGATCTGATGATAAAAAGCCGTCTATGCCGTCAATTTGAGCTTCTCTCGGCTCACAACTCCTCGGCCTACAAGTGGTGGCTGATAGCTAGGGATACATGTCTCAGTAGTTCATCTCGGCGTCTCCTTTATTGTCGTACAGAACCGACTTGATTACGCCGACTAAATAGACAAGAAAAGCTATAAAGTATGAAATGATGGAAGTCACAAACCGTAGGAACTCAATATAGATGGGTGAGTTGTTGCTCTGTAACTCATTTTGTTTAATGCATCCAATTTTTCATGCGGTAATCGCGATTTATGATTTAGACGGTTGGTACCTAGACACGGCCATGTTCCGGCCTTACATCGGTGCCAGGATGTCCAAGTGATACCAGATGACCATGCGAGCCCATCTAACTGAAATGCGGGGTGCATATTGGGATAAATATACATTATGGCCATGTGGCTTCAGTAGCTTACCCACCTCGTTGGTTGTGGAGGAAGTGGAAGTTGATTTTAACCTTCCGTGGTACAGGTTTGAAATTTCGAAAGCGACCAATCATGACCTTCAAAATATAACTTTGACTTGTTGGCGAGATGTTGGATCGGCGTTTGGATTAGGCTGTTATATACCGACATGATTGCATTGAATTTTATATGAAACCGATGAAAGCCCGTCTGCGCCTTATGCAATGCGTGCCGTTGTGATCACTGATGTTGGGCTTCGTTACACACACTTCACAATGCTACATTTGGCACCATATATGCGCTCCTATTGTGTTCGTCTGACCAATTTGAACCTTAAAATTGGAATTTCATTGCACGAAGTTGTCATTTCCTATCTCTTGGCCGCGGCTCATCTTTGAGGAAGCAAGTTAATATTCCGAAGTATCGTTGATTCGACGGCGTGTACTACCTAGGGGCCAGGGCATAGGTTGAAAATACCGCGGTCATGATTCACTTCAATATGGAGTGTTCGCTCCGATTAAATTTGTGCTCGTATGATTACCAGTATTTCAGGAGATCATTTCAGGAGATCATTTCAAGTTAAGATGAAGGCCAATCTGATAAAATCTGGGGAAATTAACAAAGTCTCACTTACTTATTGATCTCTTACTCAAGACAGAAGACTTGAATCTTCAACCTCGACACAATCTTGACAACAAACTGTCAATTCCCATCTTCAACATGCGTTCCTTTCACGCAATCTTCGTCGTTGCATTTGCTCTCACGGCAACTTGCATGACAATCCAACTTCAAGATGAAGCGACCAATATCGAGAAGAGAGCGAGCTGGACATCCCTTGGCTGCTATGCCGACAATGTTTCCGGTCGTGCTCTAACTACCGGCGGAACAATATCTGGAGGATCCAACGCCATGACAAATGAAGCTTGTCAAAGCGCATGCTCGGCAGCTGGTTTCTCGTACGCTGGTACCGAGTACGCAGGAGAATGCTGTAAGGGCTCTTCTTTCCATGCAGAACCTCACGTATCTATACTAATTTACTTGTGAATAGGGTGTGGCAACTCAATCATCAACGGAAATGGTCCAGCCGCGGATGGAAACGCTGGTTGTAATATGGCTTGTAAGGGCAACAGCGCAGAAACATGCGGTGGCCCAAATCGTCTCACTGTTTTTCAAAATGGTGGAAGTGGATCCGGCACGACTCCCTCGAGCCCTACGAACCCTACCTACCCCAGCAAATCCGGAAAACGTGGTTTAGCATACAATAAGAATAACCCGTTTGGAGATGCGTCGCTTGGAAATTTACTCAAAGGATATAGTAAGATTACTTGGGGTTACGATTGGGGTTTCCCGAGTTATAGTTTGGATTCAAGTATTGAATTGTGAGTTATTTCTTCATATCATTTTTCTTATTTCTTGCCTTTGATTATCAAAAAGAAGAACAACATGTAACTAACAATCTCCCAGCGTCCCAATGCTTTGGGGTCTCCCCAGTATACTTGATCAGAGCTGGGTCACAGCCGTCGCAGCCGCGAAAAATATACTCGGCTTCAATGAACCAGATCTCACTTATTCCGAATCTTCCAACATGCTACCTGCCGCAGCAGCCGCCGGATACAAATCATACGTTGAAACATATGCCGGTCAGGCTCGCATTGGTACTCCTGGTGTTCTGTGGAATAACTGGAATAGTGTAAGTAAACCTCATTTCTTTTCCCAGGATTCCATTCAAGTTCTCCTCGATATGCTATCGCCGTCTTCATTGTCAACTTTCCAAACCTACGTACTAACTCGCCCCAAGTATTCCTCGGGCGGCTCCTACAGCTCCCGCGTCTGGATGGATTATTTTGTAGGAAATTGCACCGGTTGCCGCCTCGATTTCGCCGCCATTCATTATTACCAAGACTGTTTCCCCGCCTCCGGTCAATCGGGTTCAGATTGGTTTATCGCCAATGTAACCAATGCCCACGACACCCTCAAACTTCCCATTTGGATCACGGAATTCCAATGTTATGGCTCCGACGCGCAACAAGCACAGTTTTTGCAAACGGTGTTGCCCTGGTTGGATAGTCAGAGTTGGGTCGAGAGATATGCGTATTTTGGGGTTTTCCCCAAGTTTTTGCTCAATGAGGCGGGTACGGGATTGAGTCTTGCGGGTCAGGCGTATGTTAGTTGAGGGTGAGACGGGGAGGGGGGTATTTGGGGAGAATGGAATCGGATAGGTTAGGTTGGTATGGGTTGGGATGGGTTGGGATGATGATATGAGATGATGGGTTACATACACATACACCAGTCTAGTCTCACGACTCACGAGGTTGCAGGCACCTTGAGACTACGAGGATTTGCTCTACGACGGTGCGTCACGGAGCGAACACTCAAAAGTAATTTAAACGCAAATTAAATTAGATGAATTAAAACAGAAATCTCAAGATTATGATATAAGTGAAGTGAATGCGATGAATCTCATGTGTACAGTGTATACGTTCAGCACTATGACTTGACTTAGTTGACTACTCGAGTACTGCTTGGTTTCTATCGTATCTCTTTAAAGGGGGAATGGGGTCTTTGACGAGAATAAATATGCTTGTGTGATTTTTATGTTTTCTCTCTGTATTGTATTGTATTGTATTGTATTGCAACTCACTGTACTCGAGTAATGTGTAGTGTTTCGCGGCATTATCATATTGTATTCTACATCACATCGCATCACGTTATATAAAACAAACCAATTTCAAATCTTCAATTTCGCATCAACAAAAGAGTACACAATGTGTCAATACCATATCATATTTCATAATTCATACATCATAAAGACCACGTATACATTCATCATGTAAAGAAGCAAAGAAGTAAAGATGTAAAGAAGCAAAGAAGCAAGATAATAAATACTACGAGTATAGAAAGAGGATCCTGCGTGATCATCAACAAAACATGTATTATATAGCTGCCACTGCAGCGTCCATTTATATATCTGAGTGTAATCGCAGTATGACCGAGGAGTGAAAATATATTTGTCTCAACGACCATACCAGCTCATTTCTTCTTATATCTATTATTCTGCTTGGGAAAAAAAAAAGGCCATGTTTTAAAAATCGTAAGAATTTAGGCTTGTAATATATTCATCCCATCCAATCACTCCAGTTACTCCAATCACTCCAATTACTTTCTTCCCCTTTGGGCAAGAAGCAAGTTGTAAGATGAGAATTGCGCGAATTCATCCCATCCCATCCCATCCACTAATATCATCAATCATGTAATGCTTTCACACATTCACAACCCCTACTCCACTTGAAAAACACCCTAGTACCCACTATCCCAAATATCCTCCTCACTCCTAATCAACTCCACCACCGGCGTCCGAGGCACCAACTTCTTCATCTTCTTCCTATCCTCCCTGGTGACCAGTCGAGGTGTAATCGGCATCATCGGCGTAAATGGTTGGTATGGACTATATGGTACCGTGCCTCCGCTAAATGGAGTCTTGAGACCCCCAGTTCGGAGACCTCCTCCAGATTTTTGTCCATTATTCTGAGGGACTCGTTCAAGGACGGTGGTTTTGGTCGTGGGGAGAGTAGGGGAGAGCATGTTTTGTTGGAATTGTTCGCGAAAGGGAAGGGAGCGGGTAGGTGGGTTGATGGCTGACGCGGTAAATTGGTTGTTGGTGGTGGATGTGGAGCCGATGGCTGTTGATGTGGAACCGATGGCTGTGGACGAGGAGGGGGAATCAGGAGAGGCGGATGAACCGTTTGATGGTTTGAGTTTATGGAGGAGAGAGAGTTTCGAAGGAGCTGCTCGGAGGGATCGGGAAAACGTGGTTTTGGTGCGATCTTCTGTCGCGGATTGGGGAGAGGCCGTGTTCATTTCTGATTTTAGGGAGACTTGGAGGTTGCGGGTGTTGAGGGAAGGAAGATTTTGTTGAGGAGAAACGGGTGATACTGTTTCGAGGGTCTCTGCGATACTGCGTGTGGGCGATTCACCATTGGCTGACGAAGAGCCATAGGGGGCTTGGTATCTCGGGATTCGAGGTGGAGCTCTATGCATGTAGCGTGGCGTCAGAGGTTCTTCGTCCGATGCGGGATGTGAGAAAGTGGTTGAGTGTGGTGTTGCTATCGGGGATGAGATTCGTAAACCTCGGATTCCCTTTTTTCGTGGGGTCCCGGGTGATTTTGGGGCTGATCTAGGGGACGTAAGAGCTGAAATGATGGAGGATGCTCGAGAGTGGGTCTTGGTTGATTTGGTGCCACCAATATTGATATCCGAAGGTTTATGTTTCCCAAACTTCTTTGATGGTGGTTGAACCTGTTGTGGTGCTGCAGCCGATATTCCACCAGGTACCTTGGGAGGTGGCATACTTCTTACATCCATTCCTGCAGCCTTTGCTTCTTCTTGCTCCATGACATGAGCGTATAGATCTTCAAGATTTCGATTCATCATTTCTCGATCGGCTTCAATAACCTGATTATCGATACTTGGGTTACTTTGATGAGAATATACACTTTGATGTATACTGTGATGTCTTTGTGTAGGGTAAACGTAGGGGTTTGTGTATGATTCGTGTATCGGGGGGAAAACAAAAGCGCTTGGGTCTGGATTGATTGCTGGAAAGCACTTCTTATCTGGCGATGGCCACGAAAAGTTTCGGAGGTTCGCTGGAGAAACTGGTGTTGGACCTGAAGACCCTGTGTAAACACCAGCAAATGCTGAGTCGACTAATTCTACCTCCAAAGCTCTAGCCTCTAACTCAACTTGCCTTCTTAATCTTCTTCCGAGAGCGATGATGAGGATTCCGACGATGCAAAGAGAAAACAGATATGCTCCTATGATACCACCAATTTGAGCTGGTAGAAGAGCTTTATTTCGTGAAGCTTCTGCTGAAAGTGGTGGGCCGTTGTTTGGTGGTGGCGCTGGTGACCAATCTATTCCTAATGGATTACTTCGAGGGACTTTTATTGTTGCGATGGGATTCGAGAGTACCTGGATAGCTAATGTAGCAAAAGCTGAGCAGATCAAAAGAAGGTACGGTAGTATATTGGCGCGACCTGGTTCACTTTGAAGCATCTTGTGTATGTGATGATACAATTGACCTCTTTCATAGCCTCAACATTTCAAAAGGACTGTATCACAACCTCCCATTCAAACGACTTATTTTCAGACCGTAAGTGACGTGAAGTGTTCCAGCTTTCTTTCCACTTCTTCAAGGGGGTGTGGATTGATGTATATACGGGAGTGAGAACCCCCAAAGCTGGGATTGCTGCATACTATTCTGCATGAGCTGCATGGGTATCGAGTATAGATGCGAGAACGCAAGACTATCTAGCAATCGAATTGGTTGGGGGACAAGAGGTGATAGAGATTTTGTTTGGCTGATGAATGTGGTCGAATTGATAGCGCCCGGGAAATATCTTGGTAGATTGACCAATAGAGGAAGAGATAACCAATTAATTTAGTGAATGCAGTTCATCTGCAGTAAGATTTTCGTATATAAGAGGTGATAAGTGTTTTGATTGGTTGAAGAGAACTGGAGGTGGTGAGAATGGAGGATCAGTTACCGTCCTGACATGCCCGTCAAGGCCTCTAATTGGATGCTTATTATGGATACTAGCGTTATTTTTTAAGCGCTGGGAAAAGGTGGGCCTAGACTAGGGCTGGCATTTATCCGGAAGTGGTTACAACTACTGACCCCTCCGATACTGCTATCATCATCAATAAATCTCACAATCTCATATCTACCGGTACCGTACTGATAGGGATTCGGAGTCACTGAAATCAGTAGTACCCTCTGCTCGTTGTGCTGGTACTCTACTACTCTTCTTCTATGCATGGCTGGTACACAATCCAGGGTCTATTCACCCTAAACCAAATAGTTTCCCTGCAACTCAGACATCAGACCCTTCTTTCATCCTGAATTTGGCAATTCAATGTTAGATCCGTATGTTTCCATGTCCCTCATCACAAATATAGTCATAGTGCTTATTTTCATTGGAGGCTCCAGTGAACATTGCGCAAAATTGTGTTGATAGAGATATGATAAGCATTTAAATTATAGTGCTTTGATCCTCAAGGAAGATCATGCAGCTTAACTACCCCACCTTCTTGCGTGCAATCACAATCTGATCCGTAAGAATTATGTATGAAGTTTAGTTCTGGTCGATTGAGGAGAATCCGGGGAAACTACATAGTAGGTAGTCTTCTTTCGACCTATAGTGGGATACAAATGAGATACATCGTGTGATGTGATGACTTCTAGCTCCTTTTTCTTAACATATCATCAATATTGTTTTTGTTGCTTGGGAAATCTTCTACTGGTTTAAGTAAAGATATATTGGTTCCAAGCGACGATCGACGCAGATATGGATGAATCACAGTAATTCTATTCATGGCTCCTATTCCTTTTCCTTTTCCGAGTCTGAGTTATTGTTTCTTTCCCTCGCCATTGCCAGAGCATCTATTAGTTCCTGTCCCTTCAGTATCAGCCGCTGCTGCTCTTTGGGAAGTCCCTTTATTGCTTCTGCATTCTGTTCCTTACGCCTCCGTCGGTGCTCTGAACTTGCATCACGCTTATCGTTTTCCGAACCGACAGTAAACTTTACCCTATGTTTTTGATCTGGATCGCCACTATGCCTGAGGATTGACTTTGGTTTTTCTTGGCTCGGTGTGCTTGTACTTGAAGAGGATTGTGCATTCAAAGACGAGCGAATTTTCGAAGACGCACGCTTCTTCGTGGGGACGCGTGTCTCTGGAGTTGCTGGCATCTCAACTTCTGGTTCAGAATAGTTTTGTGTGATTGTTTGAAATAAGTTTTCGATGATTTTAAAAAGCTATCAGTGTGATATAATGATCAAGTGTTCGCTCGGCTGTATTTCTATCTTTATATACAGTTCTACAATTGTTGTTTTGGCTGTCACTGTATCTTGCTAAAAATAAACCGAAAATGGCGTTGCTTAATTTAGAAAGACTGGTTGGGTGGCCTTTGACGGTTCCTATGCCACGGCTGTTTATTATTAGAACTTCAACTACAATAGTAGACCCTGATTGACCTCGATATTAGCGGTAATTAAGCTAGTACGCCGTTCTTGACATGTTGGTAATTGGTCAAATGTTTAAATTGTCATCTTGAACCTTCCAACTTTAATTCAAGCAGCTCTCAAGTTTCAACAGAACCATCTTCTATAACTTTCTATTTGTATAATCAGTCAGCACGCCAAGTACCTAACGTAATTGGGGTATGAATGTTTCTCATGCTCCCAATGACACTTTGATGGCTGTCAAAAGAATAACTGTCACAGCGCCCCAGCAATCGTCCCTTCGTGCAGGTCATCGTAAATCTAAAAATAATTTCCTGCTGCCAGCAGATTATCCGAAATAGGATCCGAGCCCAAATGGAGCTGACCCGCGCGAGAACCGCATTTCAGTCGGTTGGAACCTTCTGCAAGTACCCTCCATCTTACGGTTGGTTGTACCATAAAGTCAACACCCCCCCAAGCAGACCACTCTTCACCACTCTTCGCTTTATCAGTATAGTGAAGATAACTTATCCAATCGGTGAGCTGGGTCTGTTTTGGGAAGACTTGTCTCGATCTTACAGCCTCTTTGCTATTCTTCCGAAGCTCACACAAAAGAAAGAGTGAATTTGGTTGAAAGTGAATCTTACTTGATTGCTGTCAGTCACCTGTGTCCTTCCTTGAATCGTGGAATTGGAGCTCGTGTTACTCGCAGCAGGTGCCTCCATACCTATCTTGAACATCGTGTTTCCAGTGCCATTTCCCAGGTATGAGAAATGAGAAACAGTACCGTCTGAACTCGTATCCGAATACATGCAGCGGATCTTGATTCTCCATCGCAGCCTCTGAGAAATCCATCACTATTCATCTGAAAATAAGTGTTTGGCAGCCCTTTCTAATGTTTCCAAATCTAGATTCTGATATTGCGCCCTCATATACTGGGCACAACCTTTAACGCTTGGAGGTGGTGGGTGAAAAATCAAACCATATGTCATGATCGAACTGGCGATAACTAGGAGAACAAGAACTGCGATAGTTTCATACCTATCTACTTCACCACTGGCAATAGTAAAGATAGGCAGCATACATCAATGATAGAATTCCTTCAGATTCTGCCTAGTTTTGTCTCAAAGCCATTTGAAAGTTCATAATTTGAAAGTTCGGGCAACTTTTCTATCACTTCCAAATGGAAAGAGTGCACTAGAGATTTAGGTACGCCAAGTACAAATTATATTATTCGGTAGGTTCCGAGTCATGTATATACACAATCATTAGTACTAACACATTATCTCTATGAACTCATAGCTCGTCATGTTCCTCCGTCTGCTGTTCATTCATCGATGACACCTAAACACACATCAGCAAAGCAAAATCTGCCATTAACTCGTCACATCAGTCATATTCACCTTCGAAATCTTGAAACCACCGGGTACCATTGTCTGGAAGACACCTTCGGGATCGTATTTGGCTGCTGCAGCACGAATCTTTTCGATATTGGCGGCTCCGTACCCTTCTAGTGGTTTCTGCGTCTTGTATGCATAGTCCAGATAGATGAATGGATTGGATTGGCCGAGGCTGATAGCGTAGTCGCTGAGTTGACTAATGAGCGAGTCGCCTTGGCTTTGGAAGAAATCATCTTGCTCTGCGCCGTTCCATGCTAAGTAGCATTGGAATACTGAATATATTTAATCAGTATGTTTTTAAAAGAGAGACGATGTGGGTTTACATACAAACGAGTGTTTCGTTGAATCGATCGAACCCAAGCATGTCACCGCCCCGTTGTGCGCCAATTTGGCCAAACGCAGTGGGTACAGGCTGGAACATATTTTGCATGGTCCAGTCACCAGTTGAACCTTTGTTGATCGCGGGAATCAATGCCTCGTGGAGCTCGATCGCCTTGGTGAGAACTCTCAAGTCGTTCTTGAAAGTAAGTGTGATGAACGAATCCCTAGCAGTTCATAATCAGTATAATTGTATCAAACTGTATTACAGGCTCGGACATACCTGTAGCCACCTGCTTGCTCGAGCTCAATTGTAAGATCGGTCATGTTGGTGATTCTCATGGAATCAGAAGTGTTACCAGGAATAGCAAGGAATTCTGTGAACGCCGAGGGGGCTACGACGGGGCTTGTGTACTCATACGCGTTAATTACTATAGTTTGGTTCGTTGAAGTCGAGTATTTCCAGATTCCAATTGCAGAGCTGTCTGGATCATTGTTGATATTGTTACCAAAGTTTACCATGGCTTGGATTTGTTGAGCTGTAGTACTGTCTGGATATGTCACAACACCGCCCCAAATATTGTTGGGCGCATTGTCACCACCAACGAAAGTTTCCAAGTCTAGTCGAGTGACAATTCCGAAGTTTCCTGAACCACCTTTCAGGGTTTTGTGAAGATCTGGGTTTGTTGCGTTATTGGCGTTGATGATTGTTCCATTTGCAAGAACGATCTGAGAATCTATGTTAGATATCTGGGTTTGGGTAAAGAGCTGTTTAATGTTGAACTTACCTCAAAGTTTTCAACACCGTCACAAACCATGCCCTTACGACCTGCATAGAATGAGTTTCCGCCACCAAGTACAAGACCTGCAACTCCGACAGTTGCTGCACGACCTCCAGCAACAGCAATACCGTACTTGTCCATCGTCTCGTAAACTGACAGCCAACGAGCTCCAGGAAGTACTGCTGCAGTATTATTCTCGGCATGATAAGTGGTCGAGTTCATTAAGCCCAAATCAATGGTAACTCCATCCACAATGTTGGCGGCACCTGCCCACTACAGTATAGAAGCATCAATAATTGCACAATCGAAACCTTGAGCCACACCTAGAAGTGCTACGAGATCTAGATAATTTTAAGATAGCTATTGTACTCACAGTTGTATGGCCACCACTTCGGACAGCAAATTGACATGGCTGCGTCTTGTTCGCCTGCACAAGTGCGACTACAGCTCGTGAGACTTCCGTCGCATTCTGTGGTTGAATGATGCAATAAGGGTCCAATTGTGCTGCCAATGACCAGTATGATTCTACTCGAGCCGTATACACATCTTGTCCGGGGTAAGTAAGTCTATCAGCGAGACCAGCTAATGCCAAAGCATTACACTTGCGGGATGATGTTAGTTTATATTAATTCCTGTGGTTCCCATGTGTAGATGGGGTGATTCGTACACAGTATTGAGTTGTGCTGCTTGCATCTGCGCCGTTGGTGTACAAAGCAGTTGTACTAACGATGGCAGTAAAAAGAACGGCTGCTTTTGCGTGTCTCATCTTAGATCACTGAATGCCTGGAATGTGAGAGGGCAGTTGGGCGCCAAAGCGAGGAAAGAAAGTTTTGATATGGTACGAGAGTTTCGCAAGTGCGGTACAGACTGGTAATGATCTACAGAACATCAATAGACACCCGCATCTTCCTGCTATTAGAAGTGGCTAGTAGCTACCAACACCAACAGTCTGCATAAGATTCGGCCGGCCTACGCCCCCATCTAGAGTTTGTACAAGCGAACGAATCTTTAGAGATGACCCCTGTACCCGGGGCCCCGAAACGGTGAGGCTTTTCGGGTGTGCGTCGGCTCTCCACTAATAATCTCATTCAGGCACGGTTATTTGGTTGGCGTGTGCCGATTTTGATCCCTCTTTTCAACGGCTGATAGCCTGATATTAGTGATATGTATTGTGTTCGGCCAAAATGTGAGCAGTGAGGTGTTTATCATTCTTCCCTCCAGGATTCGTTTCAACGTTGTCGACATTTTCGACGTCTCCGACCTTTTCAGACCCACACGAATAGCGGACAATTTCATTTGAAAATTGCGCCACTTTCTTTACCAAAGCAAGGAAACCCGCCTTTGGTGCTGCAAGCTAGCAGCGTACTATCCCACAAGTTCTCCAAACCATCAACCTAGATGGTTAGACATTATCCCTACTTGTCTTGTTAGTGTCCACGGAAAAAGGCTTTTGGTTTTCCACACTGAACCCACATTGAACCCATAAAAGAACCGGGATAGAAAAGATACCCACCTCAAGATGACATCATGACAGTAGCTAAATAAGTATTATGCAGAGTCTCATTTGTTGAGGACCATGTAGGACCCGTTAAACGATGATAATTTAAAGGGAGGGGAGGGGGGAATGTTGATTCCTAGTTTGAAATTGACCGTAGCTCTGGGGAAATCAAGACAAGATCGACATGCCATTCTACAGACTTTCATATCTAGTGTTTGGAAACTGGCTATGAAGATATTGTTTCTTGTTGTTAGAATCGTGTCACTGAGCAAGGACATTCCCCTTTTTGACTTCAGAATAAGGTCTGGCTGTTGATTTCCTATCAAACCATATTCCACACGGTCAGGAATCACCTGGAGTATCAAGATAAAAAATCACCAAGTGTCCCTTCCATTGTACAAAGCTTGATGTGGGAATTTTTTGGAGGAGTTTGTTCCTCAATAGGAACCGTTTGCTACAATGACTTTTTACATGGATGGCATGGAAAATGATCATCTTACAAAAAAGCAACCTTTCATATCATACTCCAGGGTTAGACACCACTTTCATAATTACATCTCGAACCTCGATAGAAGTATACTTTTACAACAATGGGTGACCCATAAAATTAAGTATCATGGCAACAGTATACCCCAAGACCACCGATTGCACTTCCTGTCGTGTAATCGTTTAAACACTATTGTCTCAGTACCATTCCAGTATGGCTTCACAGATGGTAGCGATTCCTGCACCCGAAGGCTATATCGTGAACTTTGATGATCCGGTACGAATGGGAGATACAGCTGGCTATTGGGTTTTCGGGGTGGGCATCATGTTGAGTTTCTCATTTTTATGTATGAGGACGTATACCAAGGTGTTGTTTGCTAAGAATTTCGCAGTCGAGGATAGTGAGTTGTGTTGTGTGTGTTGCGGGACGTCCGTGGATGTCGCTAATCTGTGTTCTCCTGATGGTAGCTTGGGTGAGTAATGAATCTCTTCGAGATATTCGAGCTTGGTTGTATTGATGCATATAATAGCTTTGTGGGGTTACTGTGCAAGCCCTCCTTGTTTGTACGTTAGATCGGGACTAGGGAGACTGTTGTGGGGTAGTAAGCTGACAAGGACGTAGTTATGTGGCTTGACAAGGCAATGGGAGTGCATGCATGGGAGATACCAATCGAGAGATACAACTTACACAGTAAAGTGAGTATCAATCATCCACCAACCATCTCGTTCCAATGTTGCAGTTCATCTGACGTCTTCGAATCAGATGATTATGACCTCCTCGGTCATCTACGTGCCCTGGCTAGGCCTATCCAAGTTTTCCCTCTTGCTCTTCTACATTCGGCTCTCACCAGTAAGATGGTTCCGAACAGCCGTTTACTTCCTCATGTTTGTTGTACAGTATTGGGCTACAGTTTCGCCATCATCTTTGCACACATTTTTCCTTGCAAGCCGGTGGCTATGAATTGGGATGTTAAAATTACTGATGGTTCGTGCATCAATCGCGCTGCTATCTATAATGCTACCGCTGCGGTCAATATTGTTACCCATATAGCGCTTCTCACATTACCTATCCATATGATAGTTGATTTACGCATGCCGCGTGTGTAAAAGTGGGCTTGAGTATTATTTTTATCGTGGGCTCGATGTATGTTGGATTCCTCTCTTGTTCTTAACACACACGAATCAGTAATGATATATGAAGATATAGGACTTGTATAACCAATATGGTACGTCTTAAGGTTATATTACCTCTGCTCGTAGCTCTAGATCAGACATGGGCAGTTTCTATTCCTTGTGTGTGGATATAAGTATTCCATCCATCCAAGAACCCATTACCTATCTCCCATCTTCACTCGCAAACCAACATCAGTAACGAACATACTAATCCCCATTTCCATTCCCCCAGTATTGTGGAAGCCAATCTAGTAATAATCTGCGGTTCTTTCCCCATCATCCGCCAATTCGCCAAACAACATCGCACCGCGCTGGATCGGTGAAAGTTCCTCCGCCAAAGTCAACTCCAGCGATCACCTATATGATCTCGAAACGATCGGACAGAAATCGTCAAAGAAGAAACGTCCTTCACGGTATGGGATGGAGACGCTTGATGATAATGATTTGGAGCTGGATGGAAGGTATGCAGAACATAAGGTGGGCATTGCGGCGGTTATTAGTAGAGTGGATACGGGAGGAAGAATTAGCGAGTGTGATGAGGATGAGGGGTGACCGCGGGGAGTGAAACCCATATTGTGCAAACGAATGTTGCGAATGTGGGGGTTTCCAAGAATGATTAGGAGGACAGATTAGATTATGAAGGGACGAAGATATGTTTTGGGGGAACCATTGTTGGTGTATGATTGCGGGCGATAATGTTGGGAAAATACTCGAGTATACTTCTTTCAAAGTAGTAAGGTTATTCGTGGTGTAATTGCCAATGATTTACGAGGTTTCTTCAGGATAACTCGGTGGTCAAGATCCAAGTGGAACATTTCCGGCTGTCTAGATTCTATACATACCTAAGTTTGGGTTATCATTTCATTCAAGAGAACAAGAAAATCAACTCCTCAAGCAATTTTGGGAAAATGTTTGTACCTTTGGTTTATTCAAATCGTACTCATTCCAATTACAAGACTCAAAAGAGCCTTTAAACCTGTACGTAGTGCTACCGGTGAATGCCTTTCAATTCCTCATTCATCTCAAGCCTCGGTACAGATAATATTTGTCCAGCAAAAAATATAACTGCCAAGGTAGTTTATCAGATTAGGGAGTACAGTACGCGGAAAGAAGTACACGGAAAATTCTTCCTAAATTTAACAAACGTTGATGGAGTACCTTTCTTAATTCATATGTTGATCTCTATAGCAATTTTATATGCTCCGCTTTATCCTACTGAAGATTGGAGGAACGGGGCTGACAGCTTGACACCTGCCAGACTAATATTAATCCCGTATATAAGATCTGACATTCATTACGGAGGTACCCAGTAAAATATTGGCAAAATGGCGGGGGTGGAACCATAATATTAATATTACTAGTGTAAACTTACCCTGATCAATACCTTGTTATTATACAACTACGGTACAACTACGACTACCGACATATCAACGTGGTACGCGCTCTAATAATATTCTTGGGATGGTATGCCCAGATACTGAAGCTTGCTGAAATAGGAAGGTGGAGTCATCTAAGATGCATTTAGCCTTTTCTTCACGACATCTTCTGTAGGCGATGGGAGACCGGAGTATGGGTCTTATTTGGAAGGCATTTGGGCGATTAGATTTTTGAGTTCCTTATTTGGAAATTCGCAGATTCTCGCCCATCTCGATTTATATCTTGAAGTTTTCAGATACCCATTTCCATTTCCATCAAATACGCGATTTACTGTCCCTTTCCATTTCCAATGCATTTCCTTTTTCAAATTTCTAGCCACAGTTACTCAATCCCCATCCACCTTCCGTCGCACATCCAGGAAGAAAACCTACTTTAACTAATCTCCGATATATGCAATCCATCCCCGCATTATAAGGTCTATTGCGCACATCCACTTATCATGCATCATGCATCATACATCATAAGGTTACATCACATCACATCACATCTCAAATCTCAAAATCACACACCCGGACCTGCGTACGGAGGTACTCTAAATCTCTGAATGCAGGTTCCAAGTAACAGAAGATCGGACCTGCCTATATCGATCATGGTGCCTGTCCTACCAGCATCCGTATTGTATTATATTAGCAACTACCCAACAAGCAACCTCGGCATCATCACCCACACGAGGGGTAAGAAGAGGTCAAAAATACATCCATCAGTATGGTTAATGAAGCATTCGGAGTTTCACCTTGGATGCAGGCACGGAGAAGAGTGGAAGAGGAGAATGAGGGGAAATATGGGTGGGTATTGCTAGAGGGGATACATGCAAGTGCGTGAAAAAGGTAATACGAACTTCCTATGTGGATCGTGGCTCCGTTTACTGTGGATGTGCTGGTTGGTTTGTGTGTATTGTTATGTAATGTAATGTAATGTAATGTAATGACCTCGGGGCTCTACTTCATTTGGGAGAGGGAGGGGGAGAGGGAGGGGGAAAGAAATGGGTATGGGAATTTAATTACGGGAGTAGAGAAGTTGATGCTTGGTTGTTGTGTTGATGTATAAATACTTATCTTCATCCGCAATTTCTCTAATCTGTATCCAAATTCGAGTATCTTCCTCACAGTACTCTCTTCGGTGTCATCTCATCCCACTCCGCCTCAACCAACAAACCCCCAATACAAAAAGATGAAAATCACACTCCCCCTCCTCCTCTCACTCTCCACCCTCGTCCTCGCCCACCCCCTCGCAGAAACCGACTCTGAAACCACCACCAAAATCGAAACTCCCGCATCCGTCCCCGAAATCAACACCGAGCACCTCGCCAACACCGCGGACTTCTTCTCATCCGACGCCGCCGCCGCCGCCGTCATCACGACCGAAAATGGTCTTTCGACTGATGCCTGCAAGCCCGTCATTATGATTTTTGCACGGGGCACTAATGAAGGTATGTTACTTATTTATATGCATTTGCATTTGAATCTTCCATCTACCTTCCGTACTTTACCTCTATTTTCGCAAACCTAACAATCTATAAGATGGGAACGTGGGGACGATCGCCGGACCCCCTCTCTTTACCGATTTGAGGGCTGCGCTTACGACGGCCAAAATTTCGGTACAGGGTGTGGCTTATAGTGCGAATGTATTTGGGTATGACCATCCTTCCTATCCATCCCTCATTCCTCATCCCATCTCCCCCCTTTCTCCTCCTCTCCCCTCCTCTCCTCTCCCCAAACCCCAAACTAACCCTTCTCCCCCACACCAGCTACCTCGCAGGCGGCGACACCGAAGGATCCAAAACCCTCGCCAGCCTCACCAACCAGGCCTCCACCAAATGTCCCTCGGCCAAACTCGTTTTAGGCGGCTACTCACAAGGTGCGCAACTGGTGCACAACGCTGCGAAAACCCTATCCGCGGCTGTATCAGCCAAGATCGCCGCCGTCATCGTGTTTGGCGATCCGGATAATGGGCAGGCGGTGGGTAGTGTGCCCAGCAGTAAGGTGTTGAGCATTTGCCATGCGCAGGATATTATTTGTACGAAGAGAGGGGGGTTTACTACCCGTGAGTTTTGGGTTTTTTCTTTTTCCATTCCTGCTTTGCTGGGGGGTGCTGCGTGGAGAGGAGAGAAGAAGTTGCTGACGGCGGTTTTGATAGATTTGACATATGGGATTGATGCGGCAACTGCGAGCGCATTTATTGTGAAGGCTGTTGGGTCAGTTTAGAGGGGTTTCTATTCCTAATCCGAGAAAAGAGTTGGGAATGAGATGAGGGGTGTTATTGAATGAGGACCATGTTTTGTTTTTAGAAAACCATTGAGTAAATGGTTTCTTGTATATAGCAACACAACCATGGTAATCTTAACACGAGAAAATATCCCAAAATATGAGAAACGAGAATACCACGAATATTTTCGTCTTACTTTTTAGCATATGTACTTGTACTTACTATTTCAAACATATAAATTGTCCCGTTTCCTCTCATCTTATACAAGTCCAAAGAGAGAATGCCGAATTCCTTCTCTTCTCAGCTCCATAGCCAACATAAAAGTCTCAGCCCCCTACCAATCAATCCAAACACCCCCAGGCAACACCCCCCTCATAACCCCCCAATGCCCCTTCGCACTCTTAACCTGCCACTCCGCCAACCTTCCCGTCTCATTCCTCCTCAGTACTCCAGCAAACTCTTCTTCGCCCTTCTCCTCCCCCCTTCTTAATTCTTCATCTTCTATTTCCCACTTTGGCAATAGGAATGCTCTTCTCGCGTTACTCTTCAAGAAGTCTTTCTCTACGGGCTTGCGGAACTTGATCGTTGGAGAAAGAGAAGAGGAGGGAATTTCAGAAAGAGATTTGGTGCAGAAGATAACCATATTGGCGAAATCTTGTCCGGTCTCGGCAATGTGTTGATCTGTTGGGGCTTCTGCTTCGCGGTAGATACGACAGGTAGGAAAGAGGGAGCGGATGGTCCGGTGAATTATTAGGAAAGGGGGAAGAAGGAAGTCTCCAGCATAGTTCTGTTGGACGGTTAGTATGGTGAAACGAAAGAACATTAAAAAGACCTACAATAGCAATGACACCGCCAGGTTCCAAGACATCATGAAGATCCTTCAAGAACTCATATGTGAACAATTCGACGGGCTCAGCTCCACCTGTAAATACATCATGCACGATGTAATTGAACTTCTTTCCCTGGGCAGCGAAATTCGATGCAACGGATACAGCATCATCGATGATAGTTTCTTGAGGCTCAGGAAGAGAGAAATACTTCTGAGCAAAATCTACCACAACGGGATCGATCTCTACCAAAGTAGTATGGATTCCATGGGATATCAGAGCAGCCGGCGTGGTACCAATACCGAGACCACTATTTCCTATCAGCAAATGAATATTCTAGAATAGAGATTATTGGGAAACTCACATGACCAAAGCACTAGCATCCTCGTCCTTGATCGGCTTTTCTACTTCAATCAAACGTATTGCCTCCAGCATTACAAAGATTCCATAAATAGGCTCAGCAAGCCCTTTAGCCTTCTTCCCATTGACCAACCATTCTCCTCCCAAGAGACTATGATCACAGCGCATAGCGCGGAACCCATTACCCATGGTCAAACTTTCAATAACGGAAACATATCCAGTGAGAGATTCTTTTCGTTCGAGAATAGACCAGCCTTGAGCATTCATTGTACTATTAAGCTGGCCTATAGCATAAGGCGTTGGAACATGTACATTGAATAGTGCCGTGTGGAATACTGCTGGTAGTATCCAAAGGAGGAGTTTCGAAGGTGCAAAAGCGGAATACAGAACTTGGAGTACAATTTGCATTCCAAGACGTGTGAAGATGATGGATTGGCCTACGTATCGAGAAATCTGGTTTGCGGATACATACTCCACGGTCTTGAAGAAAGCATATGATATTATACCGGGTGCAGCATCGGATATCCAAGGCCATCGACCAGATGTGAGTTCTAAACCGTCAAATGTAGTGGCAGTACACGAGACGGAAAGGATGAGTAAAGGAAGAAATGTCAGCCCTTCCGTAATAGGAGGTCCAAGGTTAGCTCCCATATAACCACTTAATTTGAAGAGGAAATATTGGGCCATTGGGATATAGGCCGCAATGATGGGGAGAAGTTGAACGGGTTTCCTGATTGGAATATAACGTCTGATGAATAGATTTGACGACCACCCTAAGAAGCAGGCCGTCATGACTCCTTTTGAATGCCATATTCCAGCTGGATATGATCCATAGACTGGAGATAGTGTGAGTTGAGAAACATTTGAATATATCGCGGCAAGTGAGAGGAGGGTAGCTGATTGAGCCAAGACCCAAAGTTGAGATAAGAGAAATCTGGTTGTGGTCTCTTCTTGGGCTTTTGATGCTAAAGCTTTGAGTTCGTTCTCAAAGTTATCTTGAGTAAACGATTGTAAATGTTCATCGTTTATAATTGTTGGTTGCGATGTTTTGGAGGGGTTTGGCGATGGTTTTCGTGCCATGATGTCTGTGATTTGAGGTAGTTCGGATAATGGCAATAGATGAGGGTATTCAAGTTCCAATGAATGATCTTATCGAGCATACAATTCACCAAATCAAAGATTCAACATTACTCCCATATGACATGCGATTTGAATTTATATTTCAATGAACTGACTGACCTTTTAATCCGTTGCGATAATTGTTTTGTTTGAGGACAATGCGCGTATTCTGAAACGCAAAAGATCCCACAAAACACGTGATGTTTTAAGATGAGAGATGAGGAAGAAAGTCCTCGGAGTTTGATCTTTTCTTTCCGTTAGTAGCTTTAGGATGAATAGGATAAATCTGAGTTTTGACCATGGGATGAAGATAAAGGGCATGGATATGTGCTCGAGTACTTTTATCGTGGTTTATTAAGGGCATAGACGTATACTCGAATACTTTTATCATGGTTCATAGATGAAGTGTAGCAGAGCTTTGAAGGCTATTACTCATTGCTCGTACATAAAATCAATAAAATAGGTATATGAATTAATGGTACTAACCGTACATTTTTTAGGATAACGACATTGTTATACAGGATGCCATCGTTGCCCTGCGGAAGAGGGCCCAACATGAAAACCCTCGACCCCTATTGGGATGAAACATAATCATACAGGATGCCATCGTTGCCCTGCTGCCTAAGACCCAACATTAAAGTCATCGACACCCCTCGCAACTCCACCGACAACACGACTTAGATCTTAATACCCTCCAAGATCGGCTTGGCCTCTTCACCCTTCCACCAACTGACTCCATCCTTGCCTGGGAACTCATATTGATCCATACTTGCTGCCTTCATCTCAACACTATATCCTGGCTCCAATGGAGTCTGGTAGTAACCATCCTTAATGATAGATGGGTGCTCGAAATGTTCATGAAGATGATCGACATATTCCAAAACACTCAACTTTCCACTGACTACAACATAGTCGATGGTACTCAAATGTTGAGTGTACTCTGGAAGTCCAACACCACCACTGTGTGGAACAATCGGGACACCGAACTTCTTGGCCATAAGCAGAACAGCCAAAACCTCATTGACACCTCCCATACGGCAGGCATCAATTTGGCAGACGTCAATGGCTCCACTAGCAAGGAGTTGCTTGAAAACAACTCTGTTTTGGCACATCTCACCAGTCGCAACGCCAATTCCATGTGGTCTAAGAGCATCACGAATAGCTTTGTGGCCGAGAATGTCATCGGGAGAAGTTGGCTCCTCGATAAACCATGGCTTGAACTCTTTGAGTTGTTGCATGTATTCGATAGCTTCAGGGACAGACCAAACCTACCAAATTGTTAGTCGTGAAATGAACGTGACACTACTTCGGTGTAATATACCTGGTTTGCATCGACCATAAGAATATTGCCCCTGTCGTATCCAATAACTTCTCTTGCAATGGTCAAACGTTCCCGATCAGCCTCAAGGGATGTTCCAACCTTGAGCTTGAAATGTCGGTATCCCTTGGCCAAAGTTTCCTCCAATAGCCCCTTCATCTTATCTTTGCCATAACCCAGCCATCCCGCACTTGTAGTATAAGCAGGAACAGCTTTGTTGTTCAAAGCATCTTCGATTCGCTTTGCCTTTCCTCCCTCTTCGGCCTTTAGCATAGCAATGGCCTCTTCAGGAGTAATCGCATCAGTGATATAACGGAAATCGATGCATCTGACAAACTCCTCAGGGCTCATGTCTGCCACAATCCTCCACACAGGCTTATTCAGCGTCTTTGCCCACAAATCCCAAATAGCATTGACGACGGCTCCAAGGGCGAGATGGATGACACCCTTTTCAGGACCAATCCATCTAAGTTGTGAATCGGAGACGAGATATCTCCAGGTTTGACCCCAATTCGAAACGAGAGAGGAAAGGGTACGTCCCTTGAGACGATCGGCAACATGGTTTATTGCAGCACATACGATATCGTTTCCACGACCGATTGTGAATGTCTGTTGGGTGGGAGCAAGAAATGGTTAGTAAGGGATGTGCATAGTAGTTGACAGTAAAGACAATTCTTTCTTACCATGCCATGACCGGAGAATTCAGAGTCGGTCTTGAGAATGCAGTATGCGGAACTGTAATCTCCAGCGGCGTTCATAGCATCAGAACCAGTCTTGTCGAGGGAAGTGGGAAATCGAACATCGCGAGTGTCCCAGCCTGTGATGGTGACTTCAGCCATTTTGATTGATATGCTGAGTATATGTGTGAAGACAAGGGATATAGGAAGAAGTATGAGAATGAATGATTGGAGAAAAAGAGAGAATTAGAAGGAAGTATTTACAAACTGTTTAAGCAAAGAACAGACACATATATACGAACTCACTGAGCCATTTAAATGCTTGAAAGCATTCAATGGGATTATAATCGATAGTTCAATGGTGGGGGGAATATGATTCCTCAAAGGTCAAGGATTTGGATTGGTGGAAGAATAGAGTTTCCTGTCAACCAACCCCGCGCTATTTTCTCCACACTTTGACTACCTATACTCGTACACCAACCACCCCCCTGATCCGGGCCCCCACATTGTTCGAAATTTGGTGGGAGAATGAAATCCGCAAATACGAAATCTACACCTTGTATAACTTCATCCTCGCCTTTTTGTCTTCAATTATCACATCAAGGCTTAACTATCATTCCGAGACCCCTCATCGAAATCATTACAGTACACATCTGTTCCTCAATCTACGCGAAATGAAGAGACGAAGAGACTCTCGTGACAACTCATGTCTTGCATTGATAATCGGTCAATTTTCTTGAATATTTCATACCAATATATGCGGAGACTCAAGATCAAATGCCTTTGGGCATTGCAAGATCCATACGTGCTTTTGAATTATACCTAGTCTTTCAATCGGAGCTGCCAGCGTAGCACTTTACACAATTCTTGCAAAGCCGCGCACTACTCATGGGAGAATCAACTATATAGATTGATTGGCAAGGACGATCTTTCAAGGCTCCGTCAATGAGGTTTAAGACAGACTGAAAGTTGGGCAAAGATGAGAATAATTGTGTCTACTTCCCTAACTGTTATTTTTGGGAATGAGGGAAAGAATCCAAGTGTAAGTAAGCCAATGTACACATGTCGACATCAAAGAAAGGGTCATTAGAAAAGAACCAGAACCAGAACCCGAATTCTACATCAGATTCAAGCAACACAAACACCACAAACACTAATCAGCAAGTTCCCGGAAACAACCTCAGCATCCTAGCTAGCCCAGACCCCTAAAATTGTTATGTTGCATATCTGTTCAATCTTGAAATTGACGTCATAAGATGGAAGGAGCCAATGGATTTCAGAGCGCAAATAAATATACTTTGGGAAGGTGCGCTAGGGTATACACCATCACTTGTCTAGCAATTGTTAGCTCTTGTACTAATGGAAAATGTCATGGCTTTAGTTTCCGCTCTACCTAACAACGTGCCAAGGTCATCGTAGAAATAGTAGTCGGAGTCCTAGCAGCCAATTCTTTCATCCCCTGGTACACGCGTCGAAGAAAATAGCAAAATCTCGCATAGCAAATGGTCTAGAAATTGTATCTCCCGACCAATACGAATCACCCGCTGGACTTGAAAACAAAGGTCAAAACCGGAGTTGTGGGCGAACAAACGATACGTCTACGCATGCGGGGGTGAGAACTCCGACGGAAAATGAACAGGATGCGATATTGCCTGGAATCAAAGCGCGAGTGAAGAGGCTTGTGAAATGCCATGAGTTGGTTGAGTTTGGGGAATATGTGGAGAGGCTGGGTGTTTAGTGTTTAGAATTAGATGACGGATTTGGAAAGGGTGATGTGATGTAGGTGTTGGAGTGCAGAGGGTTACGGCGTTTCGAAATATTTCTTGTGAATGGGCGCTCTGTAGACTGTATATGAAATTGGAATAGCGCACAAGGCTTAGAAGGAAGGAGCAAAGACAAAAAGACAAAAAGACGACGTTTTGAGCGAACAGAACATGATGTGCTCTAAACTAGTGGACATCGAAAGATAGATGCGCAGAGATCAAGATCAAGAAGATGGTGGGCTGTGGAGATGGTGAAACCTCACCTGAAAACTACATTTACATCTGCTACTTAACTTTTCACTCGATGATCCAGTTGACGACGAGAGAGAATATTACATGATTTTATTTAACAACTTGTGGATGGATGCCATGGATGAGAATGAAGCAAGATTTCCTTCTCGTTCAGATTTCTATGATCATATATTTACTCGAGTATAGCTAGACAATCAGCCCCTTTTTATTTCATCTCATCTCGTCTCATCATCGAATTATGTGTAGTTTTTCGATCAAGGATGTTGCTCGTATAACTAACCGGAAGGGGAATCTAAGCGTTGGGTTTATGATTGCCTCTTGATGTATATGCAATCTTAATATCCAGGGGTCTTTGCGACAGCACTCGTCTACTCGTCTATTAGATTGCCTTGAGCGATAATTCACAGGGAGCACAGAGCCACCTACTAGGTATCTACTTACTGTTACATCATAGTCTGCACAAGGTGGTCAGAGAGTTATATAACTATATTTCGTTGATTACATTCGTATACTAGTAAACTATTAGAAAATCCGACAAGTAATGTGATATGCAACAAGGCGAATACCAATTTCGTGCACCCAAGACCCCACCAACGGCAGAAAAAACAAGCCAAAATTCCTCCACATTAGGATCAAGAATAGTCCAGTCAGGGTATCAGTATTTTGCCAGTATTTTGCCAGTACACCGCACGCCATTCCCTCCCCAATACTCCGTTCAACCAATTAACCCAAAGATTTTGATCAGATACATCAAGGATACAAATATAGGTAAAAGTGAACAAGATACCCCCATCTCCATCATCTAATCAACACCTCAACCGTGTCCATATCATCAAAGCCCGCATTCTCTACCGTGGCATCCGGCTCCAAGTGATCGCCATCAAAACTCAAGATGATTTTCTTGTCCGCTGGAATCTTATTTGTGCTTCGGAACCCATCCATCAATTTCTGAACTGTCGTGGTGTCTTTTACGTATGTTTTGAATTCCTTGATATCCTTCGACTGTGCCTTGAGGATCAATCTCATTTTGGCGGCGGGTTCTGGTATGACTTCTTCAATGGGTTCCTCTTCATCACTAATATCTTCGGCATCCGCAGCTTTGCAGCAATCATCCCAGAGCTCGTTGGTCCATGCTTCCATATGTATCCTGCCATTATTGAAACCATCGCCCGAGCTATCAAGGTCGCCATTGGTGTTGAAGTCTAGATTCAGAGATGCGCATGTCATAGAGTCGAATAATCTCTTGTTTCTCCATGTGAGCAAAATCGCATCTTTCAGTTCATCCGGCATAGATTCTCCCTCCCACTTTTGTTTGTCACACCAGGCTTGTCGAACTTCTCGTAAACGTTGGTGAAGTTTTCTCTTGATGACCAAATTCTTCGTGTTTTCAAGTCGAGACGAGATGAATATTTCTAGAACGGGTTCGCCTTTCTGTCTGTCTTGGAAGACATCGTCGTCTGCCGCAATTCGGCCTGCCTCATGATTCCTATTGGCCCACTCGGCATTACTTCTCTGCTGTGCTAGATCGGCGAGCCTCTTGTTCTCTCGTGCCTTGGCCAATAGTTCCGGAAACTCCTCCTCGGAAAGTGCATCTTCGTCATCGTCAATAATAGTTACCTGGGCTGCAGAGGTTACAACTGGAGAAGAACTCCTGCTAATAGATTGCCTAACAGGCGCGGCATCGTCGCTGTCGCTATCGCTCACAGATATGTAACCCTTCGCAACAGCTTCCTGTTCCTCACTCTTCTTACTTTTACTTTGCACATCTTTTGCAAAACGGCCCATCAAAGTCGTAGGTGAGCGGCGCTTCTTTTGCGGGGATCTGGTTTGTGACTGCCGGCTACTAGGCGTAGATAATGATGAACCTCTGAATTTTCAATCAGCATACATTCAACATCACCCTCACGCAGCGAATTCTAAGTACCTATCCTGTGGTTCCTCATCGTCCGTCTCACTACCCAAATCATTTAAATTCACCTTCACATTCTCATTTGAAACCTTTCTTCTTTTATCCAGTCTAGGACTAGATGATGATTTCTCCCTACTCTGTGATGACCGCTTTTTCTCTAAAGTCGCCGCCTTCCTCTCCCTTTGAGCCTCTTTCTCCTTGACATGTATTGGAAATAAGGCCTTTGCGCGACTAAAAGCATCGGTATGATTTTGACCAGGTTTTGGATCGGGTGCTTGCGAAGGTGCTAGTTTCTTTTTGAAGAGCGAGAACTTTTTCTTAACAGGAGGCGCAGATGCGTCGGCATCAAGGTCAGCCATGCTTGCTTGATGTTTGTGTTGATTTAGATGCTGTGATTGTCTTGATGGTAGTTGTAGAAGTAGCGACTCGGAGAATCGTAAACCAGGTTGCGAGCCTGCATGCGCTAAAAGTTACCGGTAGCGATGCCGACCGACGCCTTGTTCGCCAACCATCGAAACTATTTCTTAACCAAATAAATATTTCCATTGAAGTCATATTGATTCTACCAGAGAAGATATGGAGAACGGAGCATTAAATCAAGGCGAAGGCAAGGATCCTTCATCCTTCCTGTCAGAAATCATTGGCTCAAGAGTCATCGTAAAGCTTAATAATTCTCTCGTCTTCAAAGGTAAGCCACCCCTACCTTCATTCGTATAGACCCAATACTTACATGTTTACAGGAGAGCTACAGTCAGTCGACGGGTATATGAACATTGCGCTGGAAAAGTGTGAGGAGTGGGTTCATGGGCAGAAGAAGACAGTTCATGGTGATGCTTTTGTGCGGGGCAACAATGGTGAGGATTCTTCCTTCTGGACGTCATACCGATACAAGCAGCTAATTCCGTTTGTTATTTAGTTATGTACATCTCGGCCGACAACTCTGCTTGAATAGCACAATGGCGGGCAAGCATTGGGCGGGAGTTATGGAGTGCTATACAGGAAGGGTCCTTTTACGAAATTCATGATATCCAAAAGACGAGAATAGGATGCGGCAAAGCAGAAGAATAACGGCGGGACTACGTGCTTGACCATAGTTATGGATGTGTTAATACTTGGAAGTCATGGATAGAACAATGGACCAGCTCCCGAAGCTATTTATGGCAATCTACCTACAGTTGATACTCAGATTCTCGAGGTCCAGAAGAAATACGTTTTACCATGCAACGCAACCTCGCCTTTCTCGTTGCGCTCAGAATCCAATCCCTTCAACGATTCAAGAACCTTCTGCATCACCTGTTCTTTATTCTCTGGCTCCAACACAGAAATTGCACTCAAAGTTTCAAACCTATTCCAGATAGCTTCATCACTCAACCATACCGTCCACGAAACATGGTCTTCTCCAAGCGGCAATGAGAACTGAGGAAAATCCTGCGTGAATGTATTCTTTAAGGTTTGCAATGGTGTGGAATCCATTTGATCCTCAAATACTTGTTTCCATTCCCCATGACGAAAGCGTGGAAGTCCATCTTCACCACCTTCAACAATATCCTTCAAAACTTGTTCCCATTTCGTTGTAGTTGCTCGACCATCTCGTGGTGAGTTGTCTATACGTTGTGATTAGTAGTAGAGGAATAGACCTGAAGTTAACATACAATCTTCTATATTCCACTAGGACATTCGCATATTAGCATCTCAGTTTACATCTCAATGGTTCAAGACCTTACAATCATCCCAAACGCTCCTCCCGGTCTCAACACTCTATGAATCTCCTTCAAAGACTCCTTCGTAGCAAACCTCAAGCAATTAATCAGCATACGAGCTTTTCTCCCGACAAACTGACCCCTCTATTACTCACCAATGCCAAGACTAGAACCCAACCCGAAATCAGCAAACATCCCCCCATCCATCCTCAAACAACACAACCACTCACCTGCGAAGCAATAACCGCATCAGCCCACCCCTCCTCAACCTCCATCTCCCCCGCATGACCCCCCACAATTTTCACATTTCCCTTCCACCTCCCTCCATCCCCATTACCTTTCCCATTTCCTTTCCCATCCCCAAACTTTCCCCTCAAAATCTCCCTCATCTCCGCATGCGGCTCCACACACCTAACCTCAAACCCCTCCCTTCTCTCCGCCAACAGACTAGTAAATTTACCCGTCCCGGCCCCTACATCTATAATTCTGCCTCCCTCTACATGTTCCACTCCAAGATTACCTAGGAGTTTGGAGACCGCGTCGAGTGGATAACTGGGGCGATGTTGGTCGTAGTTCGAGGCGTTGGAGAAGCCGTTGAGAGCTTCGGTTGGTATGGTTGACATATTGGGGAATTCTGTGAAATGTGTAGCTAGCTAGCTGTATGTATGGGGTTGTCAAAGGCTTGGCGATTTCAAGGTGTATTTAGGTACCTAGGTATTTATTGATGTTTTCAATTGACACTACGTCAGCGATGTGCGACCGGGTCCGGAACGCGTATATCGCACCGCCTTCAATCATAACGAGTGGGGAAGGTGTGATTATGGCATTATGAAATATTAAGATTATTGTCCAATTATTAGTGTTAATTTGGTACCAATATATATGGTAAAAGAGAAGGTTAAAAAGACTAATCCCATGCATAATCCCATGCGAAATCCCACGCTTCGCGCTTCCAAAACGAGTGTTTATTACAATTTCAATATCACTACAATTAGCACGACCAACATTTTCTCGGACTGGCCAATCCAACCTCGAAACCCAACACTAGTATGGAATTCCATTAGTCAAAAGTTGGAACTGATCATAAACCCCAGTTGAGTAACTTCCGTAACTCTTCTTGACCAGGCCTCTCATGAATTCCGCAGCCCCAGCTTCCGTCTTCTCGAGCACAAACCTATCCCTAAAATGCTGAATGGACTCGGGCTTGAAACAAGGAAGACCAGAGTCCATCATAAGCATAACAAGTTGCGATAGCTTTTCAGTGTATTGACGAGAGGCCAAGAAAGCCTTTACGCACAATTCTTCGAACCATTTAAACGCTTGATGTTCTGTGCTTCCTCCCATCACAGCGACCATTTCCGTCGTGAGCTTGAATGGCGCCCTCTCAAATTTGACACCGCCGGGTGCTATGTCAAAACAGAAACCAAAATCAATGTGCAGAATGTGTCCGGCATCATCAATCATGATGTTACCGTTGTGTCGGTCCTTGAACTGCAACAAGAAAGAGATAATTGAGTAGGCAGCCATACTCTTGACAAAGTTGGCGCGTGCTTCTTGAAATCGAAGGGAGTCCTCATTGCCGTACTTAGAGATGAAATAATCGTATAGCCCATTCACGGCTTCTCTTCCGAGCATGTCACGCGAGATTGAGTTTGGCAAAACGTCAATAACACCACAACCAGGTGCTGTTGCGGTGACACGATATGGGAAAACGTATACATCAAGCCCGACGTTGTTAAAGATTCCACGGAATGCAGCAATCATCTGAAGAGCGAGGACATCTTGACGACAGTCATCACCAACCTTGAAAATTGCCGATTGCCAAATCTCGATCGAATTTTCAGTCGGGGTACTTCCATTTTTGTTAATCTCCTCAAGCATGTCATCTGTGCCTTCCATGTCACCGCCTATATCTTTCTTGATGCGGAAGGTAGCCATATATGGTGCTTTGGCATGACTTTGCAGGGGCTTTCCAGACTGTCTATCGATGCCAATTACCACACCATCAGGGTTACTAGGGAGGTAGACTCCAATCTCCACCTTGATCTTGCGCAATTCTTCTTCAATCTTTTGTTTCTTCTCTGGCTTGGGTCTTTTAATGTATGGCTTCAGCTTGCCTGAAATGCTAGTAACTTCATCAAAGAATGTAAATTCACGCTCATAGAAGGCTCTATCAACATCTGAAAATGACTCTATCATGCGATTCGTGACTTTGTCGAGTGTAGGTTTGACAACATCAGGCTAGATTCATTAGTTTGACCCTTTGAAATTTACGAGGGTACTTACAATCTGAGAATCTTCGTCTTTGAAAGCATTGGCCTTCATGTTCCAGATAATTTGATGTGCAAAGAGCTGCGAGAACTTGGCAGTTTCGACGATATATCGCTCAACATATCCTAAGTCATCATAGCGCAATGTTTGGACTATTTGTGGCACGTAAAAGAAAGTGACGTCTACAGAGTGGCTCTCCAAGGCACGCATAGCATATTGCACGATGAATGGGTGATTTCGGTATGATGGCAAGAAATATGTAACAGCGGATATCGGATTAACAGGAGCCCAGTAAAGAAGGTACTACTTTTGTCAGCTTGTAGATGAACAATTCTCCAGTGTCACTTACCTTCAATTGGGATGCCACGTCGGATGGCAAAGAATCACCCAGTAAGATATGGACTGCTTCAGGTTCCGCTATTGCTTTGTCCGGAAACTGAAGCAAAAGCAAGCGGATATCCTGGTGCAATCTCACTGAGGGAAACCTAGAAACGAGTTGAATGACCAAAGATGGGCTTTCGTTCCATGCAGTACGCACCAAAGGAAGTAGAGCCGCCTCGTTAGTGCCTTTTGGGGAGATGGGGACCTGGATATCGCGACCTGATCGTAAAGGATCAAGCCAAACGTTTAATCTTATCTGTTCACTCTCTATCAAAATATGCAAAAGCTCCTCCTTTGCTTGAATCAACATGAGCATAGCTGTGGGCTTAGGACCTACCATCGTAACGCTTCTAAAGGCTAGAACGACATCATTCAATAAGCGAGTCTCGGCTTTCAATTGCAATCGGTTGCCACCGAATGACCACCGAGGAGCGAACGTGAACCAACTGAGGGCAGCAGAGAGAATCTTGTCCTTCAGTCTACATTTCGAGGGAAAGTCGAGAGTAGTAGTGTGTCTTAGAATTCTCAAAGCATAAAGGACGATTTGAAATCTGATCTCTCGAGCAAGCGGGTGCCCTGTAGAACGTTTCAAGCTATTCAGTGTCAAGTTCAGGATTCTGAGAAACGTTTTCTCAGTGTGTGGGCTACCAAGACGAGTTGCGTTGAAATGACTGCTAAGAAATTGCAGTAGCCGCATGTGAGGAGCTAACATATTGTGAGCTGCCTGCTGCTTTTTGGCCAGTACTGTTCGATCACTAGGGGCAAACTCCTCCTTGATGTAGAAAGGATCCTGGTGACTGTAGACTATCAGCTTGAGAGGGGACTAGATATACCATTATACTTACATGAACATGCCATTAAAAATGCCCATTCCACGATGTGAAGTCAATTCCCATTGTTGAGCGATTTCCATCAAAATTCTAGGCTCCATCCTGGGATTTTCGTTGATAACACCGAGCCACAAAGACACTCCAAGCTTAATTGACTGCTTAGTGAACATAGCGAAGGGTATGGAGACGAGATATCGTATGATGGCACACTCATCCTTGTCACTTCGGCAGAGCAAAGCTGCAGCTCTCCTTAGTATATCACGAGATTCGCCAATGGCTATGTGTTTCTTTCTGAGGATTTGCGCCTCAAGTTTAGCCAGAAGTGTTACTGCGTCATCGCAATCTTTGCCAGACTTCGATGTGATCGAAGGGCGCAGCCATTCGGCGTTGTGATCTGGAAGAGCTTCTGCATATCGGTACTCTTGCCTTGTGGTATATTGAGCAATGAAGTCCGAGGCAGTGTTAATATTACAATCCCCATGGCGATCGATCGCCTCAAGTCTTTGGTCCATACTTGGGATCACTGATCCCATCTCTGACGCAAATGACCGTCCCAAGGATATGTGACCATAAACGCCTTCGTCGTCATATTCTGAGAGATATGTCTGTAGAAGGCCTTTTACATCTGCAGGGGCAATATTGATAACTGTTGTGACCCAGCCCTTAGCCTTCCTGTATAGAGCATTGAGTGTGCGGCGACGGAGGCCATAATCATCAGACAATTCGATACTTATCTCTCCTTTGACAGACGTAAAAGAAGATCTCAGTCCATACTCATCGGTTTCGGCTTCTAAACAGCTCACCCACAGGAGTGACAAAAGTTCGAGAAGTGCAAACAAAGAGGACCTTTGACAGAGAGCAGACGGGACATCTCGTATTATCCTATCCGCGCAGTTCATGCCAGCTTGCTGCACTCTTTCTATTCGATGACAACAACCAGTAAATATAGACGCCAATTGTTTGGCAACATATGGAGCCGAGAAGGTTGGGTTCATGCCTGTTAAAGTTTTGCGCAAATAGGTGTCCATCACGGCAGCTGTTACAGCTTCCATCGTGCTGCTCATCTCACCTCTGCGCATGCTAGGCTCGAGAAAGTAAGTCAGGGCTTTGCTGCAATCACCGGCATCAGCCCGTAAAGTTTCTACTAGATAGGTAGCCTGAAGGAAGATGATTTTGCGATAACTAAGGCCCCCAATTTCTCTAGCTCTACTAGGAAGAAGGGCTGTCAGTCGTTTTTTTTGTGTGGCTTCATGATCCTGGCTGATCCCTCGACGTAACACCGTATTGAGCTCAATATCACTTTCTACCTGCTCACCTCGCTGCTCGGCAACAAGGGGCTTTGAATGGATCGCCAGAATACGCAATTCTTTCAGGTGCAGCTGACCACGCTCAGTGTTAGTGGTAAAGCCATGAACAACAATATTGAACCAAGCATCCCGTACCAGGGTTAAAACCTCCTCACTAAGATTGTTGTCGAAAGCCATATTATTAGTAGAAAAAAAGACTGCCAGTGGCTGCAACAACTGCGCAATTTCTTTAGCTGCGGCTTCTACATCTGCTTCTCGTGTATTTTGTCCTTGATGGACATCGCCTCTGCTAATTATGTCCTCCAGTAAGTTCTCAAGATATATATCATATAAAGCGGACTCTTTTTGCAGATTGGAGGAAAGAAAATTGCGACCTTTCATTATCTAGGCAGAGTTAGATGCTGCAATATTTGCAAAGGTTGTTGTAAACTTACGGCATGGAGTATATTTTCGTTGTTTTTCATGACACCCAGATGCGTGATTTTACCATAAAGCTTGAGCAATGACCGAAACTCTAGAGGTCCTCCACTTAATGATAATTCTGCAGCAGCTGTGATGATACGAGCATCGATAATCTGGTTGATTTTGTCAATCTTCTGCAGAAGCATGGATTGAGCCAAAGCAATAATTTTAGAATCTTTGCAATTTCCGGCAATAGCACAGATAGCCTGTACAACATTGCCATATACGGCGGAAGTTTCTTCTTCTGTGAAGATTTCCAAAGATATAGCGCTGTTATTAGAATTCTTTCCATAGAGAGTTGACTGCGCAGCTCCATCCAAAGCTACGTCTCCATTTGGCGCGGAAGTAGCTCTATCTGTATGACTTGCACCAGAACTGAGAACATTTCCTAGCGTATAGATGGTAGTTATGATGGCATCCTGTGATAGATTATGCAGAACATATGCGAGGCACGCAGATGCAACCGCAATTGTATTCCCTTGTGGATTACTCTGGACGATGAATCGTGGGAGAAGGCGACTGACATCTGGTGCCAACTGTGGAGCGAGTTTAGAGACCAGGGCCATTGACCGAAGGACAACATTGGCCAATACCTCATCCGCCATTTGCACGGGATCCGCCAGCGTATCCTCAAGCCAGGACATGATTATTTCAGGTTCAACTTCCTTGTCACTTACATTCAGCATTACGCAATTCAAATAGGTCGTTATAGCACTTGCTTTGACTGAAAATGCAAGTCTTTGTTGCCAAGCAGAACCCAAACGAAGATAATCTGCACCGTCTTCAAGCAGACTGATTTCACTCGAGGCAATATCTGCCAGGATGTCAATCGTGTCAGAATCAACTTGCTCGTCACGGGTGGAACTGGACCTTGAAGCCTCAAGACGAGACATTAGTACGATTAAGACATCATGGCCTTTAAGGCTGTCGGCATCAACGAGCAGCAATGATGACCCTGCAACAAGTAGCCACATAAAACTCCGTTGTAGAAGCATCGCACCCAAAGGCCGACCAATAGCTGCATAATGACGGACATATCTTTTCCACTCTTTGACATGACTGCTCTGTAGATGGGTATTGCGGATGGTTGAGAAGGCTGTCTCTATTGCCACCAAAAATCCTTCTGACAAAATCAATTTAACACGTTCACATAGGTTCAATCTCTCCCTTGCACTCCAGAAATTGGCCAGGGAAGCTACTGCGTCCAAAAAGCCTAAAAGGGATATTGTTACGGTTGCGACATGGATTGCCTCTTCAATCTCCGTAGCATATTCCGAACTAACTCCTCGGTTTTCTGTAGCAGTTTCGCTGGCATGTGCACAGTTGTCTAAATATATCCATAACTTTTCGGAGATGAGCTTTTGTAGATGGTCGTGTTTCGTACCAATGGAGAGAAGGGCGGTGGTGAGGTTGTAACTTAGTGCTTCGACGGGAGATGGCTCGATCGCGCGAAAAAAGGGGGACTGCACAAACAGTTGTGTATGCGCCTCAAGAACGTATGGGTTCAACTGACTGGTGAGTTTCTCCGCGCTGTACGTATTATCGATCAGGGGCGCCGCTTTGCATAAAGCGAGGAGTACTTCAAACTCTCTGATGTTCTTTCCCGTGTATTAGCATCCTGTAAATGAGGAGACGTGCCTTCTTCGTACCATGGGAGAGCCGGCCAGCGAGTTCGCATAATCATTATTGACTCCATTTACGCGCCCAGACTGCTTGTTTTGCCCAGGAGAGACTCGGCAAAGCCTCTCAAGATCAGAGCCTTTGAATTCTCCATTTGTTGATGTCGCAGAGAGCTCAGCTATCTTCGCGAGCGCATTTCGCCGTATGCTTCTTGGGAGACTATAAATAATATTATTTAGTATCTAAAAACTATTGAACTGTAACCAAATAATACTATACATACCTAGCCATTTTTATTTGTAAACGGCAATCCGCTATTCGCGCATAATGAATTTATCGTGAATTTCAGTGGCTTACTTCTTCAAATTCCGGAACTTGAACTGTGTAGGTAGCTACCCCTGCCAGAAAGATTGGCGCTAGCGACTATCCGCCAGGCTGAAGGTCGACGCGCGACATCTACAATAGATAGATAGATACCTTTGAACCTCAAACCTCTGCAACATTTACCAAGTTCTTCCACAAAATCCCATCACATTTCCACTTTAAAGATACCCAGATACGATAATCAAGATGGCCATGTTTAGTCAAAACCCTCTGATGAATGGTCCAAATTACTCCTTCAATCAAGCTCCAACCAAACAAGGTGATGGTTTTACACAACATCATGGTTTCTACCCGTACGTATATCTTTTGGACTTCACTAGCCTTACAGAACTAATATTTGCTCCAGATACACCGATAACGGTGGTTCTACTCTCGCAATCTCAGGTTCCGACTTCACCATCGTCGCCGGCGACACCCGTTCCACATCCGGATACAATATCAACACAAGATACCAACCCAAAGTCTTCAAGATCGGTGGTACAACCGCTGCTCAAGATGATGCCACTCTTGTTCTCTCTGTCGTAGGCTTTGCTGCAGATGGTGAAGCATTAAAGGAACGCCTCGATACAATTGTCAAGATGTACCGTTATCAGCATGGCAAGCCCATGAGCGTTAAAGCATGTGCTCAGCGATTAGCAACCATCCTATACAGCAAGCGATTCTTCCCATATTACGTTACTGCGATTCTCGGAGGCTTGGATGAGGAGGGAAAGGGGGCGGTTTACAGTTATGATCCTGTTGGAAGTTATGAGAGAGAGCAATGCAGAGCCGCAGGTGCTGCAGCCAGTTTGATCATGCCTTTCTTGGACAACCAGGTCAACTTCAAGAACCAATATATTCCAGGCAGTGGAGTAGGACATGAATTGGTGGAAAGAGAAAAGATTCCACTGACTAGAAATGAAGTGGAAGACTTGGTTAAGGATGCTTTCGACAGTGCGGTGGAAAGACACATTGAGGTTGGTGATGGTTTGCAGATGTTGATCATCACGAAGCAGGGCATTGAGGAGATTTATAAGCCACTGAAGAGGGATTGAGGTGCTCGTAGGATGATGCAGATTTGTATTACTAGCAAGGCATGTACATTCTCGAGGGACTGCCTTTACGAGACCAGGTGTTACTTCGGAATTCATGAACTTTGCCACGACATTCAATTGAATTCGCATGTGGTTATTTGATCCAAGAAATATAAGAAAAGAGCTCAAGTGATTAGTCACAGGTCGAGTTCAACCATGTGAGCACAAACTCTTCTTCCAAGATTTGTATATGTCTATTAAGTGTACTATGCAAAGTCTACTGTACATATATACTCGTGGGCCAATCTCTTCATGAGTTCTGTAGCGTACATTCAAAGTTGATGAGTGCGTTCTTATCAAAGTCTCGAGTATATGTTTCAACCAGCTGAGGATCTTTGTGAGTTAAAAGTGACCTCAAGAGGTCAGTATTTCCATGTTGTCCTACCACAACACCTTTGACAGCAGGGTCAAACAGGCACTCAAGGTCTGTTGGGGAATCGCCATAATATACCGCTTTGGCAGTGTCATCGTGTTTCCAAGATTTTAGCAACTGGAGCATTGCGGATAGTTTCGTGTCTGATGTTGCCAGGACAGTTTTCAATCCAGTCTCCTCGAGTACGGGCCCACATATGATACCATGTTCGTCGAGGGAATTTGCGAGGATTGGGATATTCACACGCTTTTCCAGGCATTGCTCCAAAACACCTCTGATAAAGTCTTTTGAGAAATTAACTGAGACGATCCCCCAAACACCATTTCGCAATTCAATCTCTTTCACAAGTTCCTTGAAACCCCTTCTGATTTCAACCTTTCCTGACAAGACTGCGGCCTTGCCCTCATGTTCCCATTGCTCTTTAGAAATGCCTACGAAAAGACCTGACGTGCTGACTCGATTGAAGCTTCTCAATTCTACATCCTTCAGACTTCTTTGAAACTTGATCTCTTCCTCCAACGTTGTCCTCTCAAATGGTTTGGGGATATACTTCTCAGTGTGGTTATCGAACTCGTCCAGATAGCTCTTAACAAGGTTGGCCCAATTTCTAGTGAATTTTTTACCTCGGTTATGTTGATGGGCAATTCCAATGTTGGCAATAACATTGATGGTGTCTTTTGTGGTGATTGTTCCGTCAAAATCGAAAATGAAGTGGGTGAACCTCTCGTCCATCGGTCGTACGATACTAAGAGCCTGTGTTGGTTTCGGCTCGGGCTTCATGATGTCTTCTTCCATGGCGTAACAGATATCGATAAACAGCGGTAGGGCAATGAGAAATGCGAATGGGAAGAGTCGAATGCTGGGAAACATCTCTAAACACTTCGAAAATGATGATAGGTTTACCATTCAATGCGAATTGATCAAAAATGATATTTTGTGGGAAGTCAAAAAGTGTACAAGTCTAGAGGTAGAGTCCGGTAGTGAACACATGATCATAGACTAGATAGTAGTTATTGCCAAGACCAGTCAGTATAGAAGTCTCGATTACTAAGCGAGCGACCCAAAGAAACACCTCGACCACCTCGACCACCCCCATCGAACTTACCACATTTTCACTTCCATCAATCCAACACCCATCACATTGAACATGATACCTACCCGTTTTTGGATTGAGTAGTGAATTAATTAATGTACTGAAGTCGAATGTTTATCATCGTATGGATAATTCTTCCGATTACCAATTATGGAATGTTCTCACCAATTCTGGCAAGTTTCTAGCATTTTCCAGCATTTTCCAGAATTTTCCAGCAATATCCAGCAATATCCAGTGATTGCTTCATGCTTCAATGACCTGATTTCTACCCCGCATCTATTCTTTGTATTTCTATTTGCCCTCAAGTATTAAACATGCCATTCTAGAAGATGCTGGCGCTCACTCGCATATTGATATTACATCACCTGTAGCAATTTCTAGCATCTGCCAGAAGTCTCCCAATCCAATATTTAAAGGTAAGCTCAGTCTCTGAACCTCTTTTCTTCTTTCTACATCAACACATCAATCTCCAATACAATCCATGCAATCCTGCCTCCGAACAACTTCAAGACTTGCAGTCGCAACAAATATCAAGCACATTCTCAAACCACATACAACTACACGCAAAATGTCTTTCTTTCCCAGAAACTTTATCTCAACCGAGCCTTCCTCCTTCCACCCTCTCTTCCGCCTCCTCGACGACTTTGATCAATACAGCAGCGGTCGCAATGATGGCCCTCAGCATCACCGCCGCAGCAACGTCATGAAGACCTTCACACCCAAATTCGACGTCAAGGAAGCCGGCGAGGTTTATGAACTCCACGGTGAACTTCCAGGTATCGAGCAAAAGGATGTCGAAATTGAATTCATCGATGATCAGACCCTCAACATTCGTGGTCGTACTGAGCGCTCCTACACTTCCGGTACTCCACCAGCTGGTTTCATCGAAGATGCACCCGAGTCTGGCGCCATCACTGAAGGTGGTGAGACCAGCGAACATAAAGACAAAGCCCATCAACCAACCGTCGAAGATGAAGACGCCCAAACTCAATCCGGCACCGGCGCCAACACCCAAGTCACCAAAGCCACCGATCAGAAGAAGTCTCAAGAATCTGGTCACAAATACTGGGTCTCTGAGCGCAGCGTTGGTGAATTCTCCCGATCTTTCAGCTTTCCGGGACGCGTCAACCAGGATGAGGTTCAAGCTAGCATGAAGAATGGCGTTCTTAGTATCATCGTCCCCAAGGCCAAGAAGCAGGAAAGCCGCAGAATTGCCATTCAGTAAATCACGACTCTTCGGTTATCTGATGTCACGAACGAATTGATGGACGGCAGCGAGGAGTATTATGGCATTGGCATTTGCTTAGCGATGGATCTGATTATGGTCATTTGTTCACGGAGGAAAAGGGGAGGAATGTGAACGAAGATGGATTCGGCTTCGGGGTAGGGTAATGGGAGACTGCTTTCCAGGAAGAATCTCACAGTACTTTGCGACCAAATTAATTTTCTTTCATTTCTTGCTTGCTTATGGGGGTTCAATCACACCAATTCTGTCATTCCTGTATGCAGCTCAATAAAAAAGGCAATCTAAATCAAACTTTAGTTTCTGAAATAATGCTTGTGAAATGTGAAAGTGATAGTAATATAAAACCAGGAGTAGAATCAATAAACATTTATTTAGCTACCTTCTGAGACATGTGAATATAACTTATTTAAAAATTATCACTACATCACTAGGACTCACTATTTATACATACAAAGCTATCTATCTTCTAATAACTATTCAAGTATATACCACTAGAACATTCAAAACTAGTCAAGCTGAAATCTATTTCATTTTCTTTATACTCGTAGAGTATCACACCAACCAATGCTTGATCCTACTATTATATATTCTTATTATTCCACTGTTGTCTCTCCTATACTCGAGTAGATAGATAATAGATATAATATATCGGTTAGTAATCAATTATTGTATTTTGTATTCATTCTATTTTATTCTATTTTGTATATTGAGTAGATAGTATATATATCATCTATTATATATATACCGATACTCTCCTAAAGAAATAAAAGGATGAAATGATCTATATATATATTTATATGTATATAGTTACTCGTATATTATATAAGTAGTAAAATTCTACTCTACTCCACTCCAATACGCATAATACCACAGTACCGGTACTAGTATAGTCAGTCTATCTATCTATCCCATAGCAAATAGGTGAGGTCAAATCAATTATTGTTTAAAGGGGAGAAGCGCCGCTTGTACTTATTATTCTATAATATTTTCGCCCATCTCATATCCTATCCTACTACTCCTTACCCCTTTCCAAAAATCTAAAGACTCTCACTACACATGAAAATCTAACCGTCTCGAAATCACAAATATTGAGATATAGAAGGATAGTTTATAGAATAATAGGATTTTTTTGACTTTTGATGATGTTATACGAGTTGGCGGGGGATAGAAGTTCTTGGGTGTACACTGCACACTGGCGTTGCATATTGTATGTATGGATTTATTTATGGGTGGTGCGAATGTTGATTGTTTTCGGTTTTTGTAAGAGAGGATGAGAGATGGGATGGGATGGATGGAGGTAGGGAGGTAGGGATGGGTTTAGATACAGGTTAATTCGTGATAGTCCGTCGTGTTTTCACCCAAATAACGGGGTGGATTGGAGAGGAGAAAAAAAAATTGGCCGATGGTTTTTAGATACTCGTAGATAGATAGATAAATAAATAAATAGACAATTGAACATTCATCTAGAGAATGACAACACAACACAACACAATTGACATAACATAACATAACATAACATAATATAACATACACATAGCTATATACATACATACATACATACACACAAGCCGGCCAAATAAATCACAAAGACAAAGACAAAAACCCAAACATCACTCAAGTAACTCAAAAACTGTGACCACAATTCTCGAAATTTTAATGCCCCAACATACAACTCTTCCAAAACAACTTAATCATAACCTAATCGTGACTCATATGTCATCACTGCATCGCCTGCTTCGCATCGATGCAAAATCTTCCTTTCATACAGAATATCGCATCATCCCAAAAAGTATGTTAACGTGCGATGCTCTGCACGTATACAAAGAAGGAAAGGAAGTGCCCACCCCACCCAGGCCAAGCGAAACAGGAAGAAGAAATTTTTCTGCGTTCATTTTCATACCCAACCTGATATTCATACCTAGGTAGCAACATCCATTTCGCATTTCGCAACCCTTAAGTATACGGATGCATCTGTATGGGATAACCACCGGGCGATATCATCTGTACGGGCATCGACATCCCCTGCATATGAACATGCGGCAAACTCGGCGCCACAGGACTGGGAACTCGATGAAAAAGCCCGATTAATCTCCTCCCAATACTAGTTTCCAACTGCGTCCCATCCCTCGCAATCTTGACTTCGCGATTTGAATTCCACGGGTTTCGCAAACCGCGCGTGCGGTAGAATGGCAATCGATTCGTCGACACCCATTCGAGCTTGAAGGGTTTACCCCAGGCTTTGGAGGGCACATCACCGTCCGGATCGCTCTTGGCACTTTGAGATCCATCTTCTTCATCGACTTCTTCTGGGTCGTCGCGCTCGATTTCCCAGAAAATGGTTCCGCGGGCTGAATCATCGATAATGCGTCCTTTTGGTGCAAATTCGGAGGCTGGTGTTGGTATTGCTTTGGGGACATCGGGATCTTCAACGGTTTGTGCTTTGGGTGCGAATTCAATGGCTGCCGCGGGATCCTCACTAATGGGTGATATCATACGTGCGTATCCAAAATATTCTCCTGATTTGTTTGCGGAAAATATTAGGTAGACATTATCTGCTGTCTATCGGCATTTGTTAGTATGTCTCGCTTGAAATGCGGCTATACTTACTCGGTATGCCTTATTCAGAGCTTCTTCGTTGTGGGTTTGTGTCGCCCAAATCCCGTTTCGCACGCTTAGTTCTAGGTCCTCTACCGTGAGACTCTTGACCACAAAGAACTTATCCTTTGGAGGCGGTGAGGACTCCATATCCGGATCATGTGTCCTTTCATCGGCCTCTTTTGACGCTTTCTCATTTTCCGAAACAGGAGATGGATTTTGTGATGGCTGTGGAGGTGCTAAAGCAGCTGGGCCTGTGGGAACAGATACACCTCCGACAGTCCCAACCGATGCTTTTCGTAATCGGCTAACAAGCCGTACGGTTTGAAATCTCGAATCATGAATCTTGAGTTGCGCTGCAACACATGCAGTCTCATCCTTAAAATTTGCAAAGGCGCAGTTACTCTTGGAAATCAAAAACAGCGACTCGAGGCCAACGGTCTCTTTGCAAACGTGAAGTACAAGGCTCATGAGATCTGTCTGTGGTGGTAAATTGCCAATCCACTAAAGCATAAAAAGGTCAGTTATTGCCCCCATGGAAAGTTTTGTGGAGCATTCTGGAGAATTGTAGCAGATTTAGAACGTAAAGAGGATACATTAGCTGAAAAATGCAAATGTAAGTTGTAACTGGAGCGTGTAGATAAAAGAACTTAATATACTCACGATCGCGTGCCCTAGTGCAAATTGGTTAGCTCCGGGAATCGTTCTATGAAATTTGTGTTCAAACTAAGGATTCAGACTAGGTAAACATACCACTTTGACGAGGCTTTCTTGGTGGTCCTCTGACCACCGATGATTGTGATGGGCTGGAGGCTATGAGTGCTTAGCTTCGAATTTTATAAACAATTATAAAACACCAGGAGCTTACCAGCGCTATTCGATCTTCCAGCCTGGCCTGTCACATTAACAAACAAATCATTGCGTTGCTGTGGAACTGGCCGAATTTCTCCGGAAAAGCTACCACGATGTGGATATTGTACTCCCATTTGATTTCCTGTATAAATTTGACCTTGCTGTGCAAAGCTGCCAGGTTGAATATAATATTGCGATCCTGTCAGATGTGATTGCGGTTGTCCAAGATATCCTTGACCGACATAAAACTGTGTGTTGTTCGTGGGCATATGCATGTGCTGGGGTTGAATTTGTTGATTCAAAGGATACATTCCGTATGGTGTCTGGTATGGCGTGGTATAGGACGAAGCAGTGGGTGGAGAGCTCAAGACAGCTTGATTCGCATACTGCGTCTGATACACGAAAGGAGGGGCGGCACCAGGGCTCTGAGGAAATCCTTGGCCATAGTTCTGGTAGGGAATATCTGGTAATGTAGCACCGAGTTTTGTCATATTGAATGACTCCGGTGTTGCATGCGACATAGGATGCTGGGAATAAGCTAAGTTCGGAGCATAATTCGACGAAGCACTGGTCAAATGCGAAGGTCCGTTCGAGTCTCTCCTTGAGCTACTCTGTTGAAACTCCTCTCCTACACTTTGCGCGGGAATTTGTCTTGAAACTTGTGAAGTAGCTGGGAATCCGTCATCTTTTGATTTGGACCCGACGACTATTGAGTCTCCCATAGATTCCTAGTTCGTTACGAATGATACAGTAGTTACAATCTGTGCCAAGTCAGTTGGAAGCTAGTCAGAGGGTTTCCACGTGCCAGTCACTACTTAAGTATCGAACTAGTGTGCCAGATGGATGCAGTGGATGATCAAAAAGGTAGTGTATGAAGGCTCGTTGGAGGAAGAGGGGTCAACGTAAAAGGTTTACTTACAGTGGCTTTCAAATATAACCCACTTTCTAGAGTGAAGCTTTAAGCTCGAGACTAATTCGAATTAAGGTGGAAAAAGGTTGATATAAGGTTTGTAGCGAGTGCGGCAGTGCCTCAGAAACCGATCAGGTTGTGTGGAGGAGGCGAAAGCAAGGGTCCAATCGTGGCTGGCTTGGTAGGGTTTGGTAGAACCTAAAGCAGGGGGTATGGAAATAGCGGGAGATTAGGATGCAGTCGAACAGTCAAGTACAGCAATATATGTAGTACAGAGAATCTGTGAGGTTGTCCCCGATACCAAGAACAAGATAGATGAAAATGTATGCGAGTTGCTTGCTGGTGAGTGTTTTGTCGAGCTACGGGAAGTCGAAACTTTGGGCGAGGTACGAAGGAAATATCGAACGAGGGACTCGAAGATCCTTGAGGATGGAAATTGATCTCAAGTTGATGCTCTATCAGGCAAAAAAACAATGACCACGCGGGGTACGAAGAGGTCGGGACATTTATATGTGGCAATGGTCTCGTCTTTTCAGGTAGGCGCACCTGAGTGTGAGAAGAAAGAGTAGAGATCGTCAGGAACAAGAAGGGGGGCAAATATTACCCGTATATTAAGTAGAGATTATCCCTCACTGTACAGCACGAAGGCCAAAGGCACGAAGCAGATTCGTCAGAATATCCCCATAAGAAAACCATTTTTCTAAGCCACAACATCGTTTGAAATGTTATTAGCCTTATTAGTTTCCTAAATTGAAATCATACATGGAAAGTAGAGCAATGTTATGTCAGTAAATGTTCTTCTAACTACCCAATATAGGATGGGTGCCCAGACAAGTGAACATAATGTGGCCTGATATCCTTGATGGGAAATTGATTGTTGAACTTGAAGGCCGCTTTAAAAATGGTAAAACTTTCATGGGATTTGTAGAATTCCATGGCTCGCTCGAGTGTCAAGGAAATTCTTCGCCTACCGCTTCTCCGTTGTTCTGTCATAGGCGGACGAACCCTTGAGGACGGAGAACATGCGAGGGTATCTCGGCTGTAGAACATTATTATAACAAAGTGGCGAATGTATAGATTGGATAATGGCTCAAACGGGGAGTGGCTGTGGAATTTGATGGATGGGTTCTTTTAGACCCTTCTAGAACTACCTATCATAAGGTCTTGATATTCTGAATATGTTGGGATAGGAGATACTCTGAGGATCAAGCAGAATGAGGTTGAGGTTATAGAGAAGCTATAAATATGATTGGTTAAAAGTACAATATCACAGACAAACTCTTGTAATTTCTAGTGTAATCTCAACGGAATCGCGGAATCGGAGACACTTCCGCTTTATTCAACAAGGTTACCTAAGCGTGGCAAACCCCTTCAAAAGACAAATATCGGTAATACAAGTACTGATACACGTCTCGTATCTCAGTACCGGCGCCTACTACTTCATAAATCATCTAATCGTTGATACTATTATCAAGCATCATGTTGTCACGGTAAATCCAACCAAGTACCTATCGAAAGTTGAAAAATTATGATGTTGGATGGATGCGAAGTATTAATAGATTTTCCAAAAATTTCAAGGATATCACTGCAAGGTCGATCATACCTTCAAACAAAAGACATTCCTCGCCTGCATTACTACCGGTATATGAAATATAATTCCTCGAGCGTATCTATCTGTATATGACCAATTGCATACTGGTTGGTGCAACTTATCATACATTGTCAAGTTGCTCTGTTGTAGATCCAAGGAAATGGGACCATGAATCGTCATTGTGGGAAGAAAGGAAGTCTGAGAGTTGGAAAAGAATGAGTACTCTCGGTGACATATTCCGAATAGCACAACTCCGAGACTTTCTGTGTGTTCTTCTATCAGTACCAGAAATTCTCCCCTTCTTCCAAAGAACATCGCTTTCCGTGGAGATATTTCGACTGATCTCGCCAGCATGATAATTCTACTCGAGTAGAAACTCTTCCAACTTTGGAAAGTATACCCAGGTGCTATCAAGTCACGGTGACCAACGCCACATTGAGGCTGATATGGCAACGTTTATTGGTACTAGGTAGATCACGATCAGTATCACAGCATCACACCAGCCCTATCAAGTAAACGATCACCATGAACCTCATCGAAGACTTCCATCGTGACCTACGCTTACCTCCGGCGTTACTTACAAGAACACGCAATCATACACAACCATACCATACCATATCGTGTCTACAGAGGAGCGCACAGTCAAACTGCAACCATATCCTTTGCATTAAAGCAGCATTGGGTGGCAAGTACTATTCTGTCGGCAATATTCTTGTTGTTTTGGCTGGGGCGCCAAGGTGGCTTGTCAGTTTCGAAGTTTCTCGTCCCTCTGATGAAGAGCTTTCAGTCACGCCAATGATTGATGTTAATTGTTGACTGTTGACTGTTGACTGTCGACGTCAAAGTCATGTTTGTATAAAAGCGTTTCAACGTTCTGTGACCGCAGAGGGAATTTATACCAAGTAATATACTTTCATGGCACCGGTGGAGCATCTAGTACTGCAATCAAAGGTTTATTCAAGGCCCGGTCAATGTAAAGACCTCTGGGAATAACTCACTTTGAAGTGTCTTTCATTCAGTCTCGGAAATGTATATGTTTTGGGTGCTAACCCTTCCAGTCTCCGCATTTGTATCTGGTCGTTAAGGGTATAGGGACAAATACAGCAAAAGAATCCTCTACATATAAGTTTTCCATCTCCCGATGTTCTGCATAGAGTTCAAACTCTCAATATGCTTCTTCGTCACTGCGAAGTTGATGGTCTTTCGGTACGGGTGATTGCTCAATCGATAGAGGCATAAGTCACGCAGCTCCCTTCACACCACACGCCCACAGGGTAGTTTCTACATTGAACATTCATATTTCCCGAATGACTCAATATTTGCCGTCTATTTCACTGGCACTCACCGTGTCTTTTGATAGCTCAGATCACCTATGGTTTGTTATCAGTGTATCTACAATCTAGACCTTTTCATTAGTACAAATTACTGCATGATACTTGGCCAGTGAAACTGATGTTTGCACATATCGTTGGTTCTCCCCTGGTACCCGACTGAACGTCTCTACAGCAGTGCTCTTATACGACACTCCATGCACGATCAAGCCTCAAGCCCCAGGTCTGCACAACGGGGGATAAGCCAGCGATGAGTTTGAAAGATTTCGAGGGTTACCAGCTATGGAACAACTCTGAGTCTAGTTTACTTCCATGCTTGTTAGTGATGACAATGGACAGAACCTTTTTATCTGCCACGTTCATGACTTCGTTGCGAGGCCTGGATCCCAATGATCATTCTTATATGGAAAAGACCCACCGGTTCGTGGCAGCTCCAACTACTATTCTTTTCATGAGAATTCTCTTCGTGAAGTGGGCGAACCACCTTCGAGTGACGGCGTGTTTAGGCGCTTTTTAAGCTCTATCTGTGGGCCACACAAACAGCTACACAGGTGTAATATACATTTCACGCACTGCAAGATTTGCGTGACTATCTCAGGGCAAAGGATTTGACTTCTGAGTATTATGGCCACATATTCTCGCCATTAAATGTAGAACGCAGCACCAAATCATCACAACTCAACTGTTTGGAGGGAATATAGGTATCGAGATCAACTAATGCGACATCGCTAGTCCAGGCGGATTTCCAGTACTCCTCAGCTGTGTCCGTTTAATTTTTTAAATTAAACGGACACAGCGCAACGGATACCCGCGGGACGGGTTATAGGAAAATCTGAATGGCTACCCGTGAGTTATTTGCGGATTATTTGCGGATCATCCACCAACCCACGGATAACCCACCTACCCATGGGTTGGTGGGCTATCTGCAAATCATCCACGGATAACCCACGCGGGGCGGGTTATTTTGAAATCCCAACGGGTACCCGTGGGTAATGGAGAACCTCCAGTGGGCACTTTGTATTCCATTGCTCTTCTGCGATCCTCTTTGCCACCGAAGCGACATTCGAGGAATGCAAAATGTTGGGTAGTCAACCACATCCTCCGTCTATTATTTGCATGCAACATACTGCTATGAATCAACGCATTGCAATCATTCAAAGATCACAAACCCTCAGATATCTCTGTATGTCTTACGGTGACAGAACGCCTTTGCAATTTCCCCACTTTGCAGCTGCCATCAGATAAAACGAGTATTCATCGTCCATGGGGTACCGCACATTCATGACCATATTAAGAGGCCATGTTGAGAGGCCATGTTGAGAGAGAGCCATGAAATCCAAGCAGGGGAACAAGAGAATCCTATTTTGGCCCCTTTGGCTCTCTCATCCGCGCACACTACCTGAGGCTTGAAGTTAGTCTACACTGACATATTTCAAAGTAATGCAGTGAGACAAGGAGCAAAGACCAACGGCCTATAAATTGCTTCACAATCAATCGCTTTTCTTCTGCACCTATAACCATCAAAAAAAGATAGACAATACAGGAAAGGAAGCAAAGGAATATAATCCAATAATATCTGGCTACCCTTTCGTTGCGGTTACTTTGCATCGAGTGTGAATATTTCCTTTTTTCCCCCCGTGGTTTATAATCTGTATCTGGTATGTGGATCGAGATCTAGATCTAGATTGGAAAATGTATTTTTAATCAATACACCAAGGATCGATAAAAAACTCCATCCTACCGTATACTATAGCCATTATCTTCATGGTTGAGAGATATAATCCATTCTTAATTTAATCGTCGCTCTTGACGACTGAGCGCAGCGAGATGAGGAAACCTCAAAATGGATGTATGTACCCCTACTTTGATATAGATGATAGATCGTTCGTGCCGAAAAACTTCCCAGTCTAGCCTTGCTTACTCTTCTCGCATCTTAATCTTACAAGCCAAATACTAGTTGCTGTTTATTTGTTTTGATAGAACAAAACGAATAATATACGAGTATATATATAAACTCATCAATATAAACAATAATATATGATATTGTTTAACATATAAACAGTCCTCTACATTCCTCTACATATCAACGACTTCTTACAGACCAGTTGAGCAGTCTAATATTGTAATACTATAAGTATCTATATCTAGTTCGGGATTTCGATTTAGTATACGAGGTGACATCTCCAATTCTCATATAATATATGGACTTTTGATGTGAGATTGAGTCTTGAGGACGCGGTGATTACTTTACTTTGTTTGCATACTTACTGTAAAGGACATGGCGTGGAATTTGAGGGGAAGTAATACATAGTAGCTTTGTAAATAAGGAATATGGCAAGTCCAAGGTAAGTAGCACATCATGACTCACTTTTCTATCTTGAGGTAAGGTAGCAATATCACATCACAGGCACATATAAGTGAGATATCATACTTGTCTTTTCTTAGCTAGGCGAAGTTACAATCCCACTGGCAGCATGATCGTAAGTACATTACCTACTTAGGTGAGGATCATCAAACCTTAATACCTTACCCATTTTCACTTCATTGCAAACCAAATGCATGGAGAAACACATTTCACTTACTCGCCCCAGAGTCTTCTTACACGTCTGACACCGAACACTGTAACTAAACCCAGATGCGCCTTAATAGGCGCAAAAAATAACTTCACTTCTGACTGCCTGCCATGAGACGTCTTGAATGGAAATATTCAAGTATAAAGTCCCCCAACATCCACAAAAATGTCTTGATCGCATACCAATAAACGAAACGCTCGCCTCTCCAACACCGCCACCAAACTCGCTTACACACCTACATAAATATCCAAACAACCATAGAACTTACATCAAACACCTCATCGGTCGCCTTGGCGCAGTGGTTAAGCCACTGCACTGTAACCGCCTTCGGGCGGGTGGGGTGTTTGAGGCCTCATCTCGGAGACGCCAATTAGCGGAGCCAAGGCGCATTTCGGAGTTGCCAGCTAGTAATAAAATCCCTCACCGGAGGGGTTTTCCCAAGATACAAATTAGTTTTTTGCCATTTTGATCTTTGGTTCGCTGTATTTCTTTTTTTTTTGGATTTTTAGAAGGGGTGCGAGTGAATTTTTAGTGGGGAAGGGATGATGGTTGTGGTTCAATTTTTGAAGTGAGGTGAAATGAGTGAGAGTTGGGTTGAGATGAGTATCGCGAGAAATCAATGGTAAGTATCGCGGTAAGTCATAAGACCAATTACAGACAGCTGTATTAACGAAGATATGAGGAACCTTGGAACTTCTTGCGTTGCCAATACGAATGATTGAGAAGAAAACTATCACCATTATCCCATAAAAAGAAATGCAATAAAATAATGATTGGTGCATTTTATATGACTTCATGGTGAGAACAGTGCTTTTGAGACTCTTGAGCTTGAGCGGATTCGCGAGTAAAACTTTTGGTCACTTTCCATCCACCAGCCAACTCATTTATTCAGGCAGATCCTCATGCTCTCCTGACTTCATTCAGCAAGTAAATGAAGTCTGGAAAGAATAAGTGCTCCTCCGCCGCTCACATGGAATTTTCTCTTTTGCATTTAACATTTCTACGAACATTTGTTCTCGAGGTCAGGTTTTCTAACATTGAGAAGAAGGTATACGGATGGTATTTGATTGAGAGTTTGATTCTCGACTACTTTCTGGATAAGGTTTGTATGGTTGTCACATTTACTTGCAGGACTGGAATGGACTGGAGTTTCGATATTTTGGCTCTTCGCAATGATAAGCGCAACGGGTCAAATTTGATATTAAATTGAGCTAGAAAGCAGACAGCATGTGGCCATTTCCCATGTACATTGTTTTTTTGAAGATTTGTGTACTGGGCAATGAAGTATGGTGATTTAGCGGTAGCATTCGCAAGCTCAAGTACATTGGGTGGATGAAGAAACTTCTTGGATGTGAGATATATGCCAAGATTGAACAGGAAGCAGAGAGGAAGAGGTTTCAATGCTTATACACAGAATACACAGATCGAAATGAAGTCCGTTGATATCTCGATTGATTCGATAAACACTCTTTTATAGCAGGAAGCATAATTACAGGCAAATGCTAAGAAGACATAAAAAATAAGAAATGTGATATCGAGAACGTATCGCGAGGCCATGAAGAAGACTTGGAGTACTATCTTCTCGGGAAAATGGCAGTGCGAGCAAGAGAATAAGTTTGCCCCAATGCTCACTAGGACAAAGCTCACCGGGAGCCATCGAGAACACACCACTTGGGTTTCTGTCTTTCAGGAATCTAAACTTTGCTCTCAATGAACCAATTTCTACAACGAAATGCGACTTCCCCGTCAATGATTAGATTTCTCGATAAACATGATTGCAATATTTTGAATTCTCGCAGAATCATTTCATGATTTTAGCACCTCAAAAATCGCCTGCGAACTCGCTACAATACCAGCCTTCGAAACCCAATTGATATCGTAACTTCAAAACATATATACAAAATTTTGTCAAACCCCTTTCTGCACCTCTCTTGAACTTACGAAATCTACCTAGGTAACCATTGTTCGTTCTTTGTCTTTTCGTGTGAACATTGATGTTTGTTTGTAGTGATACTAGTAGAATGCGTCGTAAAAATGTCACCCCAGTACTAGCCCCTCGGTTAGCGCATCCCACAAGAGAACATTTTGATGTCGACAACTTCAAGAATCGTAATTTTTACCCCGTCGAAGACCCCAGCCTCCCCGCCTCAACCACATTTCGATCATTTCTGCAAATATGGCGCCCGCAACGCAGCAAGTCTTCATCGACGGCACTTTCGCCGATTTGGCACAAGAGCTGGCCGAATACCTCCAAATCGGTCCAGAAGTTCAACCCCTCCTCGAAGGAAACCAAAAGGATGAAGCTCTCAAGAAACTCGTCACTGCTTCGGCCACGTTGAACTCATCTCCAGAGAAAGAATTTACTGCCGCATACAACTTATTGGTCTATCTTTGCGTCCAATCTCCAAATGTCAACATGTATCTTCCTAGAATTTGCGACAATCTCGCGAGACCAATTACTTCATCACCTTTGAATGGACCAGGCCTTGCACTTAACGTTATGACCACAATCTTCAATCTTTTACAACCAGATAATGAAACCAGATTTCACGTTTTCCAGGCTGTTCTTAAACTCATCAAGACCACTGGAAATTACGAGATGTTACGACCACAGTTGAAGAAGTTGGACACCTGGATTGTCGAATGGGAGATCGAGGAGGAGGACCAAAGAAGACTCTTCGAAATGATCGCAGAAGTGGCAGATGATTCTGGCGAGGAGGAGTACGTCTGAGACCAATCCTAGACATTCAAGAATATTTTACTAATTTCACTACGTTTAGGCAATCATATCAATACACTCTCAAAGCCCTCCGCACTTTCGACGACAAGGACGAGAAAGCAATTTCTTCCGAAGAGGCCCAAAAACTCGCAATCAAAGCATTAAGAAATGCCCTCCTTTCGAGCACCCATTTCGACTTCCACGATCTTACTTCCCTTCCCGCCATCCAAGCCCTCAGCGATTCCCACGCAATCTACTCTGAACTCCTTGAAATTTTCGCCGAGAAGGAACTTGAGGACTACAATGATTTCCAAGACGAGCACGATGGATTTGTCGAGGAGGAGAACTTGGACAACAGCAAGTTGCACCGCAAGATGCGACTCCTTACCCTGGCTAGTTTGGCCGCCTCCACCCACACCCGCGAACTCGAATACCGACGCATTTCCAAGGCTTTACAAGTGGCTCCTGAAGATGTTGAGATGTGGGTTATCGATGTTATCAGAGCTGGCTTGGTCGAAGGCAAATTATCACAACAGAAGCAAGTTTTCCTTGTCCACAGAACCACATACCGTGTATTTGGCGAGAAGCAATGGCGTGAGGTTGCAACGAGGTTGGATCAATGGAAGGAGAGTTTAAGAGGTGTTAAGGAGGTTATCAGCAGGGAGAGACAAGCAGCTGAGACCCAGAAGGAGAAAGAAATCCAGGAGGCTGATAAGAAAGCTTCTGGTGGTGGACAGGGTATGAATGCTGGACGTAGAAGGGATAACATGGTTGAGATGGGTACTGATTAGAAATATCAACTCATGAAAGTTGATATTAATTCATTGATTGGTCTCGAAAAGTTTCCTCGTTTCGTCGGCGTTCTTAGATATTTGTACAGTGGCAAGGCAAATGGTTTGCATTAGCATCTGGTAATGGTGTAGGAGGAACATCCATTATTTTCATGTTCACGATGAAGCCACGAATTGAAGCCATGAGGAAGAAGTGAGTGAAGTGAAAAGAAGATAGGAATAGAATTCTACATATTGAATGAGGTGTACATTTGAACATGCCTGATGTGTATGATTTCTACGAGAGTACAAGTATGTAATGAGAATGAAAGGGTGTCTATCCCATATTCGTATTAAAAAGTACTGTACTACTACTGTACGTCCCCTTTCCATACTCTGCTGATGCATCTTTGCTTTCCTAGTCTATATTTCGGATTATACCCTCCTGTCTTCACCCATATATTTATAAAATCCTCGTCCCATGCAACCCATCCATATCTGTACGCACCCACATCCCCAATCTCTCTCCCATCCATAGCATTCAACCCCATACCCTTTCTAAAACGACTTCCCCAACTTCTCCTCCAACTTCTTCCTGGTCTCCTCATAAACCGCCTCAGGCGTCTTCGTAGCCTTCACCCTAATAACCCTCCCCTGCCTCTCAAAATAATCCACCACCGGCATACTCGTCTCCACAAACACCTTAAACCTCTTCTGAATACTCTCCGCATTATCATCCGTCCTCCCACTCGTCTTCCCCCTCTCCATCAATCTACGCTGCATTTCCTCCTCCGGACAATCATAAAACAATACGTAACGCCCTTTACAAACCGTATCTTCGAATTTATGTGCCTGGTCCAGTTTTCGCGGAAACCCATCGATGAGAAACTTCCCCGTCTTGGTAGGCGATTGGGAAATCACGTCCGTCATGGCGTTTTCCAGTAATTGCACCGTTACTTCCATGGGCACGATTAGGCCGTTCTTGATATAGTCTTTGATCAGATCGCCAAATTCGGAACCGGGCCGTTCTTGCTCGGCGCGGAGGAGATCTCCGGCGGAGAGATGCGTGAAGTGGTAGTCGCGCACGAGATTGGCGCATTGAGTGCCTTTTCCGGCGCCGGGGCCGCCGAGCACGAAGAGGATGGTTACTTTTTCGGGGGAGAAGGCGGGGATTGGTTTGGGAGGGGAGGGGAGTTGGGGGGTTGGGGGAGACATGTCTGGTTTGGGGTGTTAGAGATGGCTTTGTATTGTAGAAAGGTGGAAAAGGGGTGGTTGGCAGATGGGTGGATGAGTGAGGGAATTCGTAACATGGATGGTATGATATGTACTCGAGGAATGAGCTTAGAGAGCTTGCTTGGAAGAAACTTAAAGCGGCTCTCGAAATTGTTCAAATCAGAGCTCGAGTAAGTATGCATCATCCAATCCAATCCAATCCATACCATACAATCGCATCCCCAATCATCCAGCCATCCCAAGCCCAAGTGAAGACAAGAAATAAAACAAAACATACCAGTACCAGCCCTACTGCTAACAATCATAGCATAAACACCACTTCCCCCCAATGTAATGGCGATAAAAGGCCAAATTTTCAACGGACTCTTACTAGGACCTCCTGTTGAATAACCTCTCGCGGATTTGGCATGGACCTGAGGACGGAAGCTGCGAGCTCGAGATGGGAGGTGTTGGAATGGTGAGGATGTTTGGAAGAGTCGACGGGAAAGGAGTCGGGGGAGTGGTTGTGCCATTTTGCGTGGTGTGATGAGAGGTGTGGAAGGTGTGGAAGGTGTTGGCTTGGCATCAATTGTACATGAACGAGAAAGAGAAGCTTGGGATGGGAAGGGAATTATTTTGGTCGGGACTAGCTCGCGTAGGGGTTGCTTGGCTGGGAGATGGGGGTTGGAGACCGTGCAGGGAAATTGGTTAGGTAATCCCCTCTCCTATTTCACAAATATACCTACCTACCTACCTACCAACCTAGTGAGTATGGGACAAGTTGCAAGCACATACATATGTCTACTCGAGTAGGTAATTCATATACCTTCTCTAGTACGGACTCATTCTCGTGGCTGATGTACTGCAGCGATACTCGTAGATCCACAAGATATCGGAAGAAGTAATGAATTCGTGTCCGCGATAAAGGCAACAAGAAATCGTAACATTTGCACAACGGATATCGTATATGGTCAGGAGGTTCTACTCATGTTGATGGATGATGAGGTTACGTCTATCGATGCATTCTACAGTAGGGATCATAAGAGCAATTGGGTGAGTAGGGCGGGAGCGGGAGCGGTGGTGATCTTGCAAGTATACTGAGTGAGGTTCTATGCAAAAATATTACAGGTAGGACACATTGGATTTCAGGTATGATCAGGAATCATCTTTTGGCATAGATCCTCATTTGGAAGATTCTGCTGGTTTATTTGATCTGATACACTCCCTGCTTGCACCTATGCATCTGCTTGCTGCTATTTATTTAAAGGGATAACATACCTTTAATCGAAGTTTATGCTGTTTTGCATGCGTAGGTATTGTAGTTGGAAAGTTTGATGAGATGTTTTAGGCCAATGGTGGGTGATTACCATGCAATGTTTTGACTTTTGAAAAAACTTAAAAGAGACCTCCTAGTAGAGTGTTGAATATAATTGAAACGGATGTGCAATCAAGCGTTGGATGATCATCGGGATTTTGACGATCGCAGGACTCAAGGCGAAGATAACTTGGGGGTATTGAGGAAGAGCTCAAGTCGAAGACAGGGAGGGTATCATAAGGTTGAAGAGAAAGCACACTGGACCAAAGTCACATTCACGAACCGAAAGATTGATTTATGATTAATTTGTAGTATTCAGAGCTCTTCAAATCGACGGGTCTTGTTGATTTAATTTGCTTGCAATGAAGTATCATATGTACAAGAGAAAAGTCGATATCAAAGCCTCATCCAGATCCTCTGCAAAAATCCAGCAGCTCCGTAATTGAACCAAATCAGCCATCCAACTTGCTTTGCAAGTGCAGATTACACATCAGGGTATCTCGTCGCTGGGTCACGAATGAAAAAAAAGTCGTTATGTCGAAGTTATCGAAAGAAGTCTTGACGCCATCGTTAAAGATCCGGACGCCATTTCAAAGCTCGATGAGGGAATTTAGATGAACTGAGGAATGATGTTAGTATTGGATATATGTATATGATACTGTGGGGAAAAACGTACAAGAGCAACGGCACCAGCAACAACCAATCCGAAAGCGGAAGCGTGGATGTGATCAGCAGCACCATTGGCATAAGCAATTGGAGAGCTAGTACCACTCGCGCCGGTAACGACACCAGATGAGGCGGTTGGGACAGCAACACCGCTGGCGACAGCTGAGCCGGAAGATTCACCAGAGGTGAGACCGGAGGACTCTCCAGATGAAGCACCTGCGGTGGGAACAGAGCTGGAGATACCAGTGGAGCTTGGGCAAGCGTAGACGGTGACAGTCCTACAAAAATTGTTAGTATTGGTTCTCGATCTGAGATTCAAAAGAGTCGCGAAAACTCACTCAGTGGCAACTGCGACGGAGGCCATGGCGGCAATGGTAAGGGCGAGGATGTTGAACTGCATTTTGATGGTTTGAAGTTTGTTGATTTGGTTTTTGGTTTGGAGAAAGTGTTTGGATATTGAAGAGGTTGAGTATGTTTGTGAAGGGTTGTTGTGTGATTACGTTCTTGTAAATGAGTGTAATTGATCGATGGATACAGAAAAGAAGAGGGAAAAGGTGAACTTGAGGACGGACGGCAAGCGTCATATATACACGTACGCGTCTAATCGTCAGGCATAGATACAATCGAGGGGTGATATCCCGGGTTATCTCCCCCTTTGATAACGGCTCCCCTGTCGATCCACATATTGAATTTCCCCGACCCACTAGGCGGAAATTAAATGGTTCTACCCTGCCGTCTCTAGGTACTTTCTTGAGAAATTGGCTAGAATTCACGATAATGAGGCGGTTCGTTGATGCGATTGGGGTTTGTAACCTAGAGTGCTTCTCTAGCAAATTTCCTTATTGTTCCCCAATGTGCGCCCCCAAGCCGTTGTATCTTGATTCACCTATAATTTCACTGCTACAGATTACCAAATTTCCTCGTACATGGTGATTGATTGGATCGAAATCATCTGCGGTATCACTGGTAGTATGGCGACATGGATATTTCGCTTGCCGTTGGTTGAGAAGTGAGTGGGTGATGTTTATATGCCATGTTATGTTTACTCCTCCATACTTTGGCACACCGCATGATTTATCACTTCATCCACTCTAAACCAAGGAATATCTGTTTGATCTTGAGTATTCTCATAAAATAATGAAAGTTTGTTGTTGAAATGATATCAATAATATTGAATATTTGACTCTGAGAATCGAAGAAAGATCATAGAAAGGCATAAAGATGAACAGCTCATCTGTTCTATCTCTATGCATAAGGAGCACTGCAGCACCAGTAATAGTAGGTAGCTATTAAAAAAATTACTGTACTGACACAAATCAATAGTCACAGCATGAACATAATAAGATAACTAACTTATGAAGGCCACGAACGATCGTGACGAAAGCACTTCGTCCTTAGAAACATATTAATATTGTTTGTTACTCCAGAATTCTAGACGAATCACCATAGATGGGAGAACTGGTTCCTGCAGGGCCATGGGTAGTATTTCTGCGGACCCCTGCATGGCTTAATGTTGATTACGGTAGTTAATATGTCAATCGCGATAACATAGCTCGGCATAGGCATGGCATGGGAGACGGATTGCTTAGATTCTACGGAAAGAGTAGGATCAGGATCAGGATCAATTAGATACCGTAGGATTTTAGATATAGAATTATCAGCCTGTCAAGTTTTAACCAGTTTAAGAAGTTCGAGGCTTTGGAGATTAATATCCAATTAGGGCTTTTGAATAGAACTACAGTACAAATTATACTATTCTCCCCTCGTCTAATAATTTATTGTTTATGTAAAGAACCATGCATACCCTCATTGCCCTAACAATCAATTCAATAGACCATTCATTGATAGATGATTGACCGCTCCGAATAATATCCACGGACCATATTTTGAGTCTTGACATCAAATCAATAATCTTGTTAATCTTTCCTAAAAGTGACGATATATTAGATAAGATGAGGGCTTCCGCGTCAGTCTTAGATGTAGAGTTGGGGAAGCTAGAACATAGGCCTGGGTCCCCAGTGGAAGGAGGGCAAGTGGATGTGTCTTAAAAGGGGGTGATGCTCATAGTGGATTCATCTGAAACGAATGTTCATTTGATGATCAGAGTGTAGATCGACGCGAATAACGCGGTAGAACGACTTTTGGTCGCTTGTAGGTTCTCGACTTGCTGGGAGAGGAATGTTTTCTTGAATAAGTCTTGTTGTTGTTCAAGGAGTACGCAGTACATAGATGCATTATGTACTCCGATTATCCTTAATGAATTCATATATCATATTCACCTGTACTTATGCCATGATCATCGTAGTCTTAATTCTGATTAGTGGCAGAATGAAGGCGGTGTGACATACTCGTAACTATGAGCAGACATATCAAAAAGATCGATGGCCTCCAGGGCCTTCCTTTCCTGCAGTCAACACTTACGGAAAAGACAATACTTCGTGGTATTGAATGAGCTCCCGAGGATGCCCATGAGAGCCGGATGTGCTGGTCAGGATACGCACTCATGACAATGTTTTTTTCTTTTATGAAGAAACAACCAATCTAGGGTTATGAAATTCGATTACAGCTAAGGGTTCGCGCCCAGGGGATTTATCATGAGCTGATCTTTTCATTGTATTTTCTACTGGGCCATCAGCAAGCTAGACTCCAACCATCAAGAACAGTGCTTGTTTATAAAGGCGAATTAGCCAGACTTTCCGGTCCAAGGGACCAGAGATGTCGTATCTGCCATCCGGTGATATACCATACCTCTTATACAACAGCAGCCTTCGAACGTCGAGGTAAGAAATTGATATATCATATACAAATACCTCCATTTTAAATTTCAATGCCAAAATCCATCGTCTCCTCACTCAATTCTCTTAGCCAACATGATTTTCAGAAAGTACCACATATTTCTATCATCTCTTTCCCTTGCCGAACACTCCCCAACACCTTCAAAAGGTCGTCACAAGTTGCAAAACGACTTTGATTTCCTTTGCTTTTGATAGCAATCCACATACATTCACAGCGCATCCCACTGGTCTGGATGATATTCTGTGAAGCCTAGTTGAGCGCGAAATCTACCAAGCTAACCCGTAAATCTAAGGGTTCGAAAATGATCCGGTCTCAATGCTTACATATTGCTTCGAAGAACTTGCTCTTGCAGATCTGCTGCATCCTCAACCCGGCACTCTCTCGATAGATTGCCGGCGAGCGTTAGTGTGATGCACTCGGTTCTAGGACGATTTGGGCCTCGAGAGACGTGAGAGAAGTCCACCATGATTCTTAAGCGCGTCCCGTCTCCATAAGGCGCACCGCGAAGGCATTCTCGAGATATGTTGTGCCAGTCTTCTTACACAGATTGAAGAGCACACGGAAGGCCTTGCACGGTGCATACAGAACAGTGAAAATTGAAATCACTGACTTGCGACCATTCTCTTACCGGTCCACTTTCGCTAACACTACGTTCCTTCTTTTCGACAAATTATTGAATAATATGCAGGTAACAACTGCAAGCCAAGGTACTTCCGAAGCTAGGTTTTCGGACGCCTTTTGTATATTTCAGGATGTTCTGTTCCTTCGGGGTCGGGTGGGAGGTTTGTATTAGTTGATTAGCGGCAAGGAATTTCGGGAGGAATTGAATACACCAATTTATTCTGGAAGCAATTCAAAAGGCCCTCTTGGTGGAGCAGAAAGACAAAGCTAGCAATGTCAATGGCTTTCTAGATGCTTTGAACCAGAAAACGCGCAATCTCAGAGTCTCATACGATCAGCTCTTGGATGCCATGGTAGCTGGCAGAGATACAACCACATGTACTCTCATATGTACTTTGTATATAATGCCCGCGACCATTAGTAGTTTCAGGCTCTAAGCTGATGTGTGCAGTTGTCTTCCAGCGCAGGATTCCAAGGCCCTTGCAAAGCTACGAGAGGAGACATACTCTACCGTCAGAGTCGGATGTTAGTCAAACCTGCGGGATAGAAATGTTTGAAAATGGATAAGATATCTGGGTGCCGTTTCGAAAGAAGGGCACCCTTCCCGTATCGTTCTCGAAATTGTCAGCCTGACAGCTATAGCCCTTCAACTATATCCTTTCGCATCAGTTCACGGACAACTCTTGAAAGAGCCATATCACCACCAGGAGGGGATCCAGATGGCACCAAACCCGTAATGGTTTGAAAAAGCCTAGCTATAGGATACACCGTGTATTGTAAAGGAGTGAAGGTAGGTGTGAAATCATAGGAAAGCCTTCGGCATAACCACATATCGTACAACAATCATCTAATCGTAGCGTCACTGAAAGATAGTCATGGTCAAAGGGGAATAAAGTAACTATTCGTCTAAACACTGAAGGTAGGTATAACTTTGAAGGGGTAAAACATGACGATTGATCTAAACTACTGGAAGAGGGGGTATATAAGTACCCTCCCTAGGCTATCATGTGACTCTAATGCTATTGGTTGGTTTCCTCACAGTATGTTATAGACCAACTGAAGAAGCTTTACAGAGAAGAGACCGATTTCTTCGGCCCAGAGCGCTGGGACCCAAACGTGAACAACGATGTAGATATCAAGAGCATTGGCTATGGATACCTACCGTCCATCATACACAAAGCCGAGAGTCCGTTTAAGACGTAAACGACTTCTTACACAACAGTAGCCCCTAGAAAATCACAAGACTAACCATACCTCGAGAGGACTTTGCCCCATTAGAGGTGGGTTGTTTTGACTGTCCGCATACTGCAGAAGGATCGGAGTCTTGACCCAAATCCGAGTCGAGGAATTTCCTGTGGGCATAGATAATCAGAATGTGTCCTTGACGCTGGCCAGTATAGATGGATATCGCGTTATTACAATACGTGAGGATGTCTACAGCAAAGGTTTCAATGAAATGCCTTGTATCGCTTGTCAGATTGCCTGTCTATAGAATCTTGACTCTCCAAAGCAAAAAAGTTCTGGGAGACCATAACAACAACAAGTTGTTTGGAAGCATTGTTACGATTAAACCATTACTGGCTTGAGAGATTGAGGATTTCTGGTGGAATAAGTGGGATGTTGAACACGGCGATCAGAATACGGTATGTAGTAAATGATGGAAAATGGCAAAGTAGATGCGCTTTTGTGATTCGGCTTGATTGGCAATTAATCTATTATAGCAAATTTAATAAGCAATAAATGACCTTCACTCCTTCATAATTTTGTACTCTCAAAGTGGTGATGGTCAATATGGATTGTTTTGAATGAACGAGCCCAGCTAGTACCCATTCTCTCGCACTTGTACCGTCAATGATGAATCATGAACGACGTGCAGATCGGTAGCAAATTTTGCAAACCCAATTGCATATACAATCTCTTGAGTTGTGACAGATCAGAATTAAAATGAGCACACGCGAATTGATTTGCTTGGACACTGGACACGCTCATCCAACACAGAAAAGGTCAAAGATTAAACAACAATCATCCATGATATGGTGACTCAAGCCAGTTAGCACAAGCCAATGAAGCTCGATGACAATTTCGTGCTTTGTGACATTTCATATATCAATGATAAGATGCTACGATGCTACTCATTCAAGTAACTTTGTATCTCATAGACACAAAGCATCATGACAAAAAAAAAGTACGTGTTTACAAAGATTGGGATGTATGGCCAATCATTGCGACCCTTTCTATAGTGAAAAAGAAAGCGCCGCACCCAAGATCGATCATTTTTTTTTCTCCATTTCGACTGACGATTCTCAAGGTCGTGGAAACCTCACATCATCACGAATGATGACGGGTTTCTCACCGAAAATGCTTTATAGCGAATGTGTGTATGCGTTGTACTTCCGAAGAAGTTTGTGAAGAAGAAAAAGAGAAATTTAGAGAAACTTCTGAAGCTTTTTATATGCTAAAAATCTCTTCGCTTATTTAATCAAGATCTATACCATTTTAAGATTAGCGGCAATCACCCCACCATCCGCGAAACGGACAAGACTGGCAAAAAACTTGTGCCCCGCGGTTGAATTGTAATTTGTAACAAACCTCTGTGATTCCTTCTTCTACTTACACATATTCTTGTAGCAGATCACAATGTCGACTCAAAAGACTGGTCAGTTTTATGCGATCCAAATACAGAAGGGAAGACCGTAGTAGGACAGGACCTCTTCACTGACATCATATCATAGCCATTATCTCTGTCTACGACAAGAAGGGACTTCTTGACTTGGCCAAGGGATTGATTAAGCAGAATGTTCGTCTTCTTGCTTCAGGTGGGACCTCTAAGATGATTAGGGAGTCTGGTTTCCCAGTTGAGTAAGGCATATTATTTTCCCCCCCTCGCATTTCAGATTCCAATTTCTGCAATACTATTATCAATGCTATGATATATTGGCTCTATGTCTAACCCTTGTAATTAGAGATGTCTCCGCAATTACCCATGCCCCAGAGATGTTGGGCGGTAGAGTGAAGACACTCCATCCATCAGTTCACGCCGGTATCCTTGCTCGCGATCTTGCATCTGACGAAAAGGATCTCGCCGAGCAGAATATAAACAAAGTCGATTATGTCATCTGCAATCTTTACCCCTTCAAGGACACAATCAACAAGATTAATGTTACAATCCCTGAGGCTGTGGAGGATATCGACATTGGAGGAGTCACCTTGATCAGAGCTGCCGCCAAAAATCACACTCGAGTCACAATCTTGACCGATCCAGGAGATTATCCAGAATTCTTGGAAGAACTTGCGAAGGGTGATGTCACAGAGCGTAGCAGAAAGTTGTACGCATTGAAGGCATTTGAGCACACCGCAGACTATGACGCCTCTATCTCGGATTATTTCCGCAAGCAATACGCTGGAGAGGGTTCGCAACAACTTGTTCTAAGATATGGTGCAAACCCCCACCAGAAGCCTGCCCAAGCTTACGTCAGTGAGGGATCTTTGCCATTCAAAGTCCTTTGTGGCTCCCCAGGATACGTCAATCTTTTAGACGCTCTGAATGCCTGGCCTTTAGTCAAAGAGCTCAAGGCCGCCCTTGGCCACCCAGCAGCAGCCAGTTTCAAGCACGTTTCACCTGCAGGTGCTGCCATTGGTGTTCCTCTTACAGCTGATGAGCGTAAAGTCTATATGGTAGACGATATCGTTGGTTTGGAGAACTCTCCTCTAGCTCAAGCATACGCACGTGCTCGAGGTGCAGACCGAATGAGCAGTTTCGGAGATATGATTGCATTGAGTGATATCGTCGATGTTCCAACTGCCAAGATCATCTCACGAGAAGTCTCGGATGGTGTTATCGCTCCAGGCTTCGAGGATGCTGCTCTTGAGATCTTGAAGAAGAAGAAGGGTGGTAAGTACCTGGTCCTTCAAATGGACCCCGATTTCACTCCACCTACACAAGAGACAAGAACTGTATACGGCGTTAACTTGAGCCAACGTCGCAATGATATCGTCATTTCCCCAAAATCTTTCTCTTCCATTATTACTCCAAAAGATTCCGCTCCTCTGTCAGAGTCGGCCGTCCGAGACTTGACAGTGGCTACCATTGCTTTGAAATACACACAGAGTAACTCTGTTTGCTACGCTCTCAACGGTCAAGTCATTGGGTTGGGAGCTGGTCAACAGTCTCGCATTCATTGCACGAGACTTGCCGGAGATAAGGCCGACAATTGGTGGTTGAGGTTTCATCCCCGTGTTTTGGGCATCAAGTGGAAGACTGGTACTAAGCGCCCTGACAAGAGTAATGCAATTGATCTCCTCGTCAGTGGCGAATTACCAAAATCTGGATCCGAGCGTGAGGGTTACGAAGGTTTCTTCGATGAGGTTCCGGCCGAGTTCACCGAGCAGGAGAGAGAAGAATGGATGTCGAAACTCACTCAAGTTGCAGTTTCAAGTGATGCATTTGTAAGTTTGTACTATTTTGTCATTGTATGCTTTGCTAATATGACTAGTTCCCATTCATTGACAATGTCTACCGCGCCGCAAGATCGGGTGTCAGTTACATCGCTGCACCAAGTGGCAGCCAAAACGATTCATATGTCTTTGAGACTGCTGAGAAGCTTAACATTACATTTGTCGAGCAAAGCATTCGTTTGTTCCACCATTAATTTTGTCTATGATTGGGGGATAGCGAGTGGAAAATGCATGGTTGGAAAGCCTGCTTTAACGAATTGAGGGGAAATATTATAGAGATACCCTACAATAGAAACGACTCATGGGATGTAACGTGATATGAAAATTCAACATTCATTTGTAATTATTTTTTATTTGAGCCATGTTGTTCAGGCACATTACATTCTGCTTTTGTCACCCACGTGCATAATTAAGGCAACACAGATTCTTACAATTTGCGACGTCTTGAAACATAGGATTGGTCAGTTAACGGCAAGGACCGTTCTCTGACCGACCTACCGACCCGGCCCTAACGTGCAGCCAGCCAGCCACTGCTTAGCATAGGACCATAGGACCATAGGTAATATTCAATTGGTATTCAAACTGGAAACATGTAATGTAATACGGAGTATGCAGTGTGCAGTGAGTGGACTATTATTAGTTATGCTTATGGTTGGCCCAGGTTGGGTAGGGTAGGCAGTATCTACTGTACTGTATTGTACTGTATTGTACTTCTTGTACGGAGTACGGATGGATGGATGGTTATGTGGATGGCTATGTGGATGGATGGATGGATGGATGGATAGTTATGTGGATGGATGAATGTGAGGTGGGAACTGGTGGAGGCGGAGGTGGAGTTGGATGGGATGAGATTGAATAGCCTATTTGTTTAGTTGTTTATTTCTTGTGTAGATTGTAGATTCGGAGATCGAGAGTTGGGAGTCGGGATGAGTCTGAAGGTCTAATGGAATACTCGAGTAGAAGGGATGCCAGTGGTATGGAAGGGATGGAGGGGATGGAAAGGATATAAGGGATTGAATGGGTGTAGATTATGGGTGGGAGGGGAGGTAGAAGGTAGGCGGTAGAAGGTGTATGAGATACTGTAAGTGAATGTGAAAGTGTGAAAGTGTAGAAGTATAGAAGTGTGGAAATGTGGTACGGATGAATGGATGAATGAATGAACAAATTGGTGGAATATGCGGGATTGGGGTCGTTTCCGTTGTGCTCAAAATAGAAAACTTGGTCGTTTGGGTATTGTGCTTATTGATTTTATTGAGTAAGAGTGAGATTGAAGATTGATTGAAGATGATGTTTATTAGATTTAATATAGATTGGATTGGATGATTGGATGGTTTGAGAGAGAGAGAGAGACCCAAAATGGGTTTGAGTGAGTTAAATGATGTGAATGTTCAATGATAATATGATGATGGATACGATCCGATATTTTGATGAATATGGATTATGGATATGGATTATGGATATGGATATGGATATGGATATGCAAGGACTTTATCACATCACATCATAAATTTAGAATTTTGTATCTATCTATACACTGTACAAGTACCTTCTTTCTGCCTAGTATATCTGTGTAGAATGCTCAGGATTTGTTGAATTCATTCACTTTTTCGATATCAAAGAGATCGATTGGATTGAAGTCGATATTGGATTTCCCCTTGTCAAACGGCAATTGTACAAGCTTCGATTGATAATGAAGGATTGATTGGAGATTGATTGATCGATTGATTGATAAAGAAATGTGATGTGATGCTGAGGGTTACGGTCACTCTAGGTCACGTAACTCGTGGTACTTAATGGATCAAATGCCGCCAAGTCCGTGATGGGGTTGGTGTTTATGTTGTTTACCGCCCAAGCTAAGGTTCGCTAATGCGGAAAGGCTGGGGGGAGTGATTGCTGTTTTAATGTTTTAATTGTAAATTATAATAGCAAATATGAATTGAATTTCCAATTTGTGACTAATTATCACCTTTTGAAACCTGGTTATTCATCGTGCACACCATGTTATATCTTTAAAGCAGCATGTACATCATTAACGAATCATAGCCGAAAGAAGCAATCTTCACTCTCACTCGCATATGTTTCCTTCAAGCATTAACATTGATTTCCTCCAATCAAATCCTGGTTCTTAGCTTTCATACCACATTCATCAATTGATATGCAGGCGCAAGAGGTCAGCCCGGGAGAATTGCATCCCCCCCCCCGCTCTGCAAATCATTGAGTTCGATCAGGTCGGAGAATGGTCGTTCCTGAGTGGTGGTGTGGTGTTGTGGTGAAGAATGGGCGCCAAAAAAAGATGAGAGATAGGCTATTCGAGATGCCCTAGTTCTATCACCCCCTACTCATTTGCTTCTAGCCATGTGTGATTTTGGCTTGCAATTATCTATCTCTGTCCGTGTCTCTGTATTTTTCATTTCTCTGTCTCTCTTTCTCTATCCAGAAGTATATTTCTCGTATGTTTGATATTCCTCTCGTGGCTGAAAACCAACGAACGTCGAATCATTTGTATGACATCTCACTCAGCCTTGTGTTGAGACCGCAGTCTTGCCCCCAACGATCTAGACAATCTATCTACGGGTAAAACCACACTTTCTACTTTTGCTTAGTTCGTGCGAATTGAAAAACGCACCTCTAATGCACACTACCAGCGGGCGTCTATTTTGGTCCCAATATCTGTAAGGTCAGACCCCACCATCCATCCAGTCATATTCTTCCCCTTCAGTGCGAGGTCGGGTTTTGGCCACTAGGTGTCAGTTATCCTGGTCTGCATCTGGTCATATCATTGCTCCCCATCTCCCGCTTTCTTCAGATAGTCATACGTAGCCTTGAATTTGATCTTCAATTTCTTGCTTTGTCGTTGTTGCGCGCGCTACACAAAACCCTAACGTCTCCCTCCTCTTCAAGACCCATTTTGTCTTTTCTTTCTTGGTAGCTGGTCTCTAATTGTACAACCTCTTCTTCTTTTTTCGAACTTTTTACTTGCGTGCACTTCCATTGACAGTGCTTCGGTCAAGTCCCTTTTGGCCTCACGATATACTCGAGTAACTTGCGTCAACTTATCCTTGCTTTTTTCTTCAGTCCATCACAATGTCATGTTAGTAGCCTAACTGTTAGCTGTCGTTGATGTATCAGTATACTCATTGTCTCATCTAGCTCCACCAACAAACAAGAGGCGTCCACCTCCTCTCACACAACCACGATCATCTAGCGATTCATCTACAGCATCATCAGCTTCCTCACTCAAGGTCCCTAGAACACCTCGATTCGTCGAAGCGACCGGTGTACATTCTCCGGTAGAAGATAGGAGATCACCATTTGCAGACCCTCCAAAAACAGCAGACTCCAACGCTTCAAAAACACAGGCATACATGGCACAATCACAACCATCCGATATTGGCTTCGGCTACATATCGGAAACCCAAAGACAATCTCAAGGCCACCCGGTTGAGATGCCACTTACTCCATCATCGCCACTAAAGAGTGCTATGAGGGTGCCCGGTACACCAGGAAGAATGATGAACCCACTGAGTCCGACATTTCGAGAAGAGCAAGTCTTGGAAAAGCATGAGGAAGTGACGGAAATAGAGCAAGCTAAGGATGTGGTAGGAGAAGCTGGAATTCAATCATCTTGATTTATACTAATCATTGAACAGAAAGTCAAGACTAGAGTCAGGGTAGCCAAATTACTATTGAGATGTGTAAATTTCAGTTGCAGTCTAATCGTTCTCGCCATGATTGCAACAACTTTTAGCATCTTCAACGCAACTAAATCATTACCCTCTCGAAATAATCTTCCTGCCTGGGCCGATGGTACCAAAACTTGGCCTCAAAAGGTCGTCCTTTCTGTATCTTGTGTATCACTCGCACTTTGTTTAGTCGTCTTTTGGAATTATTTCAGAGGAGGACACAAGCGAGCTGAGAAGGTTGCAGTTTATTATACTCTCTTCGCAGTCGCGTATTTTATCTTCAGCACGGTTATGTGGGCATTAGCAGCTGGTATTCTTCAAGGTGCAAGAAATCAGGGTAGCAACAAGGATATTTGGGGCTGGTCATGTGTCGACAATAAAAGACATGAATTATTCGAAGAAAAAGTAAACTATGCCCTAGTTTGTCGAATGCAGGTAAGTCATCTCTTCTTTTGACTCTCTTTACCTATCCATCCTAACATCCCCTATCTAGTCCTGGTCCCTCGTCTGCTGTATAATCGAAGTCGTCCTCGAAACCCTCACAATCGCCATCTACGGCGTCGTCTTCTACCGCTATTACTCCAAACAACGTCTTCGCAAATCGATGGCCATTCGTGACCGCGCCCGTTCCGATTTATACTTGGCCCAACTCCGCTCCCAATCTGCACCTAACACTCCTGGTTTTGGTCCTTTGAGTCCTTCATACTCTCAGTATGCAAAATCTCCAAGGTTTCCGCCAAGTGCTTATCAGAGTGGTCCAGATGCGGAGGAGGGTAATGGAATTGGGACGAGATTCGTGGAGACGAAGAGTGGAGTGAGTAGTCAGGTGAAACCATTCACTTTACAAGCGCCTCCTATCAGGGTACAAAGTGCGACGCCGAAAATGACGCAAGGGGGTTTTGAAGCTCAAGCTCCTCCGCCACAGCAAAAACAACAACGACGAGTAGTCGAGCATGTGGATGCGGCTCCGGGTGAACAGACTTATGCAAGCGTTCCAATTCCGGGTGCGTACGCTAGTCCCCTGACGAGTCCTGGGGCCGTGCCGCCAGGATTTCAAAGTATGGGGAGATAGGATTGAGTGTAGAGTGTAGATAATTTACTTGGTTTGGGATATGGAATTGGAAGCGCAGCTTTGGGTTTAAGTTGAGCTTGGAACTTACTTGGTGGATTCTTGTGCTTTTTGTTATTGTTGTTGTCTAGGACACACACTTTACATTATTTTCTTTTCTTTTATTCTTTTTTATTATTACCTTTTTGGTTGATGGAGTTGGGGTTGGGGTTGGCATGGAAGATAAGATACTCCGATTAACGCTACGGTCGTTTTTCTCTAAATTTGGTGTTGTTGGGTGGGTGGAGGGATGGAGGGAGGGAGTGGCATAGTGTTCGTGTATGCGGTGGGGTGGGATGAAACGAGGGGATGAGGAATGGATGGATGGATGGATGGATGGATGAATCGTATCGGATATGCTTGATACATATATACCTAGGAAACCGAACGAGAAATCAAAACACCTCATTCGTTGATTAAAAGAGCTGGACTTGGACTTGTACTTGAACTTGTATTTCTTAATATTGCTGGATGCAATTTGAGGTGCAGGTAGTAAGTAGCTAGTAGCAAGGAGACTAGAAATGAATATGGAAATGGAAATGGAAGGTATCAATAAAAATATCACATCATGCTACATGTTCAAACTTCTTATCCTTCATTCCTCTTTCTGATTTCATGAATCGATTTGTGTTTGATTAATCTAATCTAATACTCGAGTATAATTTGAATCTCAATGGATGTACGAGTAGATCTCATATAGCACGACTGAGAAAAGATAAGATATTATCCATTTATCAAGTCTTACATTTCCACTTCGTCCATCTCATCGTACTTTCTCACCTTGCATCTTAACTCGAAATACCAAGTTAGTAAGTTGCCTAACCAAAGATTGATATATAGATATATAGGAGTGCTATACTCGTATTCTGATTAGAGATATCTACAATACTTCATGAAATAGAAAACCCCATCAACTCCTTCCTGCAGCTAGTATGTTCGTTAAGATACTCTATATCCCATTTAAATTAATGGCTTTTGATACTATAGGTATAGGTATACTATTACTCGAATACATATATAATCTTACATACACACAATTCTGCGTCGTGTTCATTGGCGTTTTACCTGGGTTGTATACAATAGGTACTACTCAAGTATAGTATATATACAGCACTTGAAGAGTACTTTACTTGTATATTTTACTGATACTATACTCGAGTACTATGATGCATGATATCTTATCTTGATAATAGAATAGTATAGTATACACTACACTACACTACACTACAGTACAGTATATCAAATATATCAAATATACAATCCAAATCCAAGCCATGGTGATTCTTATACGAGTATGAATAACATAGTATTGGCTTTGGCTTTGGCTTTGGCTTTGGCTTTGAGTATTGAGTATTTATATTTATATTAAGCCTACGTACGGTACCTATAATCTCATCTTCTATATACGAGTATACTCCTTACTCTCATCTCATACGGGGGCCCCAATTTATAACATCTCGCATTCCTACCCTTTCAATCCCCAACTTTTCACTTCTCCTCGTATGTTTCTTTTTTTATTCATTCCAAACTTATCTTATACTCCTATCTTCTACTCGAGTACAGTATCTCCTATCTCGCATCTCGCACCCCATGTCCCATTTCAAACCACCTATACTCGAGTTTATTGAAATACTAATACCATATCATGTATGTATGTATGTATGTACGTATGTAAGTTACATCTATAATATATAGTATACAGTTTACAATCTCAAATACCGTAAAGAAGCTCATCTATCCTCTCCTATCTCTTTTATCCTCTCCTCTCCTCTCCTCTTACAGCCCACAACCAACAACCTACAACCAACAGCTCATTACATCCCCTCTCTCCCCACCCCCTCCTCAACTCTTGCCATAACCATAAAAACAAACAAACAAACACCTTATAATCAGAAATACCAATATCTCTCCGTCTCTCCACATCACATCTCATCTCATATCAAAACAGCAACAACACCGCGTCCATCTTGATCCCCATCCATTCCTTCCTCCTCACCCACTCCTTCCTCCCCACTCCTTATAACCCAATAGACACGAGAAGAAGGGGAGGGGGATAGAGAGAGAGATAGCCTCAGATAGAGATACTTATCTTGTTATCTACATATGTATGTATATATGAATGAATGAAATGTGAAGTTTGTATATATATATATATATATATATCCCTCTCTCTCAAGCACCATAAAACCATCCATCACATCACATCACATCACATCACAAGAAACGAGACATCTCATCTCATCTCATCTTATAGAACTAGACATCCAATATACTTACTGGACCCTATTCTCAGTTAGTGAGTGTATGATGCACCATTCGAGTTTTCTGCATGAACATTGAATATTGAATAAGTATCAGCTCGTAATTGCATTACGCATTGCTCTCGAATCATGTATTTGTATATCTTGCATTGTTTTGCCGCCTTAGGTATAATGCATAAACGCACTCACGCACTCCCTCATATCTTTTTGATCCTTCACTCCGCCATCTGGTGCGTTTTCCACATGTCCCCATTGTACTAATACATTTTCCGCAAAAGCACACCTCTCCCGCCCCCTAGCACCATCTTCCCCAACTTCTCCATCCTCTCCAATCCCCTTAAACTCAAGAGAAACAACCCCTCTATTTCCCCACAGCCTTCTCAACCTTTTGAACCGCCTCCACAACACTCTCCTTCACACCCTCAACACCCGTTCCAATCTTCTGTTTGGTCTCCGCCTCCTTACCTCCCCACTGATGATATTGCATCCATCTATAACCCTGCGTGAGTTGCGCGCCTTCATTTACGAAATGACACAGGAAGAGGAGGGGATTGAGCGGAGTGACGGCAAGAGAGTAGCGCATAAAGGTAGCGGAGTATACGCAGAGGGCTGCAGTCATCTTTCCGGATATTCTATTGATGAGGAAGAGAAGTTAGTAAGAGTTGTGAGGAGAGAAGAAGGGGAAAACGTACAAGTCAGGACTCTTCTGGGTGTCCATTACGGCTGCAATGGGTATACCGAAGTTGGAGACTGGTCCCCAGAAATCTGGAGGATGGGATTATCAGTATTTGATTCAGTCAAGTATTCCATACACTCCCTGGAGTGCAGTTGTCTCGCAGCATATGCCCTCATCAGTCATTTATCATCCAGTCTTCCCTCCAACCCAACAATTCCACGCCCATCCTCTCGCTCTCGCTCTCAATTTCCTTCCACTTCCCTTCCACTCCCACTTCCCCACCAACCCTCACCTCCCCAATCCAATCCAATCCAATCCAATCCAACACAAACCTCCCAGTCTCCACCCACCCCCCACACATCCAACAACCTCTGGCCCCTTCTATCCCTCCCTCCCTCCCTCTCTCCCCTCTCTTCCTCTAAAAAAAGTAAAAAAACTACAAAACTTACGAGTAGAACAAACATAGCTAACCGCAGGATTGCTACGAATCTTCGCATTAATAGCTTTAATCAATGCGGCCATCTTGAGGTATTCTGAAGGTGATTTGGACGGTTGTTTTTGTGGTTGATTCAGCGGATTGTTGAGTTTTGATGGAATTGACGGAGCTGCGATCGGATTTACCCTGATTTGTCCGAGATTGGGGTCACGTGGAGATAGCGAAATTTGGGGAGAGAGTTTCGGGAGTGGAAGAGATGGGAAGAGGTGAGTGATGGTTACGTGTGTTTTGATGAGAATTGGTATGATATGATAGGATATGAGATGGGATGGAAGGATGAGCAATATTATATAAAGTTCAATTAGCGTTGTCGCTTTGCTTGCTTTTTGCTACAAATTTGCGAATTTTGGTATGTGAAGTCAAAAGCCACCCCTCAACGCCTTTACTCTTATTGAATTGACCTTCTTTGCGTCGCCCTTACCATGCACGTACTAAAGTATCCTATGCATCACTCATCTTCCATTCCTTCGCCCATCAACACGTCTTATATGCCCTTAACCCTTCATTAGACTGTATGGAAACTGCTCTTCTGAAAATATCCCCTAAGATTGGAGCTAACATGATCTTGAACCCAGTGTCTTTCAAGTCTGTCTGCGAGGGGGAGCAAAGCCTGGTGGGGGAGGACCCGCTGGATTGAATCCACTCGGGAAACCTGAGGGTGGAAACCCTCCGCCAAATCCTGGAGGTGGTGCACCTCGTCCAAATGGTGGAGGAGCTGGCATGCCTGGGAAACCACCCACAGTCGCAGCAGGGCCAGCCAAACCACCCCTTCCGGCAGCAGGTCTCGAAATTCCAGTTCCGGCAGCCATAGCAGCCGAGATAACAGTAGCACCTGGCACACTGGCGCCTAATCGAGCACTTGGATCCGCTGGTGGTGGTGATTCGACAGACAGAGAAATGACATGTGTACCCCGAACAATCGTAAGACCTAATGTGCGCTTTTCTTCGGTTTCGACAATAGGTGGTGCGGCGGAACTAGCTCCAGGGGCGGTTGTTGCTTTTGGTGCCTTGCGCTTAACGCGTCTGAATTCTTCGGTATCGGCGAGGACGAGGTTCATGTGCTATTATATAGTTAGTGACAGTCATTCTGATTGTAAATTGAGGGTCGGACCTTATCAAATGCTAACATCTGTCCCACCATTTGGCGTCCATCATTCATAGTCACTCTCATGCGGTAGTTGATCTATAACCCAGTCAGTCCGTGTTGCTAGTCGAAATGATCGCGCAGAGCTGCATCGTAGAAGAATGTTACATACGAGACCGGCCTGTAGAAAGAGTGAAAGTCAGCCTATAATGTCAACACAAGCTTGTAATGGTTTGAGGAAGGGTATTTAACTTACCATCTTTCCTTGCTTGTTCGCCATAATGACTTTTGAGTGCGCGTTATCACGGCTCTCTGATTTTCAAAGAATGTTTATAGAAGTTCGGCGACTTCTTTGGACTCAACAGCTTTATTATAAGTGTATGAGTTCTTGATATGAGGTTCTTCAAGTTCGTTGATGAGGGCTGGCTCGAGCTCCATGAAAACTTATTGAAGCCTTACAAAAGAGGCTACGATAAATCCTTAGCGCCGTCGCCCACCCTTTAGGGTTTGAGTAAACTTTAGCGAATACTTTTTTCGAATCTTTCGAATTCGTCGCAAACTTTTGACGATCACGACAACAACGACAATTCCTTACGACTAATCGTAACAGCATCATTCAAAATGGCTGAATCCGGAGACAAGACCGTTAACCCCATGAAGGAGCTTAAAATCCAGAAGCTCGTTCTCAACATCTCTGTCGGAGAATCTGGTGACAGACTCACCCGTGCTGCCAAAGTTTTGGAACAATTGAGTGGTCAAACACCAGTTTACAGTAGGCACACGACCAATTACTTCCCATTGATATATCTATCTAACGGTTTTAACTACAGGCAAGGCCAGATACACTGTCCGTACCTTCGGTATCCGTCGTAACGAAAAGATCGCTGTTCACGTCACCGTCCGTGGCCCAAAGGCCGAGGAAATTTTGGAGCGTGGATTGAAGGTCAAGGAATATGAGCTCCGCAAGCGCAACTTCTCCGAGACCGGTAACTTCGGTTTCGGTATTTCCGAACACATTGATCTCGGTATCAAGTACGACCCAGGAATCGGTATTTACGGAATGGATTTCTACGCCTGCATGACTCGTCCTGGTGAGCGTGTTGCCAAGCGTCGTCGCTGCAAGTCCTCCATTGGTGCCAACCACAAGATCAAGCGTGAGGAGACTGTCAAGTATGTATACACTGAAGGTTTCAATTCAATGGCTTGTTACTAACAATTTCCTAATTAGATGGTTCAAGAACCGTTTCGAGGGTATCGTCAGATAAACGTTTCGAACAAAAAATATGGCATGGGCTTCGGGTGTCTCGATTCGGCTAGTTCTTTAGGATTTGTCGCAACGTGGGCTTATGGAGTTAAATGACAGGGAAACAAAGGGCATCATTGATTGTACTTTACTGCATCTACGGATCAGATTACAATGAAGCAGTTCGTCTAACTGTTCAGCTTGACTCCTATTAGGATCAAGTCTGCGGCCTTAGAGACCGACCGGCTTGCCGGCTTTTCTTGCAAGTGCTGAGTGCAACCTTGTGATATGAAATGAAAACAAAATTTCCACCAAGCTCGAATTGTTGTCATGGTTGATATCTTGAACCGATGTGTACCGCGAAGTTATTATGTGCGTATATCGGAGGAAGGCAACTGACACGATTTCAGTACACAAACTTCATGTTTCATGTTTCAACCCTCTGAAAATGTTGCCATTTGATACTGAAGTGCTCTAGAACTCATCGACTGACATCATTTTGTTGCAATGGGGGTACTCTCACAAAATTTTTGTTAAAGAGAGCTTTCTAAGACAGCATGTTAGCAAAATTAAAGATTACACACAATTATACAAGCAAGTCTTTTTCCTGTGATCCTTTTCAAATAACGTTCCAGTGAACATAGATGAATATTTTAGCAACGAAATATCTCATTAGTAACATGTTTGTTATAGACGTGGTATGTTGTTGGACTTGCACAAGTGGACGCAGGATCATAGAATGCGCGTATGCGTATGCTTTGCTGAGATTACTATACTAGGCACGCCAAATGGAAGAAGGCTCGGACAGTCAATGGTTCGAAATCACCTTCCCTTGTCGAAGATCGAAGCTAGAAGCTGAATCTGCCCGCATCTGATGGAAATTTTGGGGCCAAAGAAGCCGGTGCAATCACTATCATCACTGACATGAATCAGCCTTTGCTCCTAAGAACCTACCGGTAGTGTCAAGTTGAAGATATTACCGGTATGTCCATGCTTCTTTCATTATCTCTGCCAACAGTGACTCAAGAAAAAGTGCTCGCCGACGATTAGACCAAGATACATACGTACCTTCTATGCTAGGACAATTTGATATCAGAACATTCTGGAGCCAGACAAAAGTCAAGAGCTAAGCAAGCCATCGGGGCTACTGAAAGTCTGGCGGCTTACTCGAGAATCCAGACAGCCCAGCCAATTCGTCATTGTACCCCACATACTCAAGCGATTGCTACAACATTATTGGATGGATTATCGATCGACATATTTTTTAGCTTACAATTCTTTGTATAGTAAAGTATTTCTAGACGGGAAGTTTCGTGTTCGTACCGGTCCAGGTAGTGTGCCCAATTGGCTAAAAGGCTAGCACTGATGGTGGAATCTTGACATCAACATGCATGCATGAGCATTGGGAATTTCAAATCATGCCATGGATAATGCGGGGTAAAATGTATGATCATTATTTATGGGGATGAGAGTTTGAGTTTGAGTTTGAGCTTGAGTTTGAGTCGGAATTGAAGTATTTGAGATAAGAGAATGGAATGATTGATAGGATACAGATCGCGACGAAATAGTGAAATCATTGATTGGGCTTAAGAAAATTTTGGGGGATTTTCCCCAAGTTCCTTTGTCTGATAGGTACAGATAGAGTTGGATTTGTAAGAAGGGGTTGCGGATCATATGCTTATTGGATTGGGGAGTTCATGGTTTGTAGCTTGGGGTAGGTATGACACCGTGGAAAGTATATGAGGAGAGGATTCCCTCGTACGACTTTCTCTTTTTTTATTTATCTATAATTCAACAACAATTCATTCTCAATTTCACACATCGCAACTCTACAAGACTTTACAATTTCATACCATTAACTTCTACTCTATCAACTTCATAACACAAACAAACACAAACAAACTATACACAATGAATGCCCAAACAACCACTGCAGTTAAGGGAGGCGCGGGTAGTATGTCTACACCCACCAACAACCTTAATGAGGTTACCACACAAAATAGACGTGTATGTCCTTTCCTTTCCTTTCCTGCCACATTCTTCCTTCTATTCAACTATCATCATGTAGTCTCTTCCGCTCTGTTCTTTACCCTTTCCTACGAAATCAAGCTAATCCTGATTGATAAAATAAGAGTTCCCAAGAAGGCACACTTTTCTCGGGTCTGCGAAATCAAAAACGGTCTAGTAGTGATGCGGCATCCATTGCTCGACGACAGAGTTTCGCGGATCAGGCTCCTAAGGCGGGTTTTGTGGGGAAAATGTGGGAGAGGTATGTTTTTTTTCTTCTTTTTTTCTTTTGCTGTGGTTTGGGGGTTGTGGGTTGTGTAGGAATTAAATGGAATAGAATATGTGCTAATGATTTGATTTGTGTTGTAGTTTTGTTAAGGGTCCTTAGGTGATGAGATTGGAGATTGGTGATTGAAGATTGGGTGTTACTTTGGGGTTTCGGGATGGAATATGGAGTGGAAAATGAATATCAATGAATATCAGTGAGGGGAAAATCAGGGGACATGATGGATAGTGTTGGGATGGGTGAATTCATGGATCAATGGATGGGATATCAAACAACTAGGATGGATTGTGCCATCAATATTACCGTAGTATGCTGGTCAAATGGAGACAAGGTATGATATGGTATGAAGAGAGGAAACTGTAACCGGCGTTCGGTTGGTTTTAGCTTAAGCAAGGGGTTATAGAGATGGGGTTATGAATATGCGGAGGAAAACAATATCAAAATAAAAACAGGCATAAATGTTTTCCATATGCAATATATCATATTACTCATATATGTAAAACTTCAATGATAAGATCTGAAATTGACCCATTAATTAACTAAACAGGCAAATAAAAAACCACTCGGGAATATCAAAACCTACCCCTACCCCTCCGCCCCGATCTACAGAACACGCTAATGAGCATAGCGCATTCCTCAATCTCAATTTCCCCGGTATTAATGATCCGTTATCCATTTACTCTACAAGTGTAAACGGGACATTCATTCTCCATGACGAGTTGATTTGAAATTGATTTGAGTTTGAGTTTGAGTTTCGAGTTTCGAGTTTCGAGTTTCGAGATTCGATACCGGTATTCGAGTCTCGAGGGGGATCAACAATCTAAGGTAATGAATAAAATGAATGGAGAATCGATGCTGATTATCAAGTGATAATGTAGGATTTGAGACTTGAGTCGAGTAGAGTAGAAGAAGGATTTTGTGTTATTTGTGGATGGAGTTTTGGCCCTTTGGGGGATTCTAGTTTGGGAAACCCTTTTGTTTGTTGCCTCTTATTCGTGTTTGATATCCTTTTTATATCTGTTGTGTTTTTGATTTATTCTATCTTATACTATTTCAGCTTATTTATTACTTCAAAAGAAAGAAATACAATAATAAAAGAAGACAATATTTCACATCATCCATCCATCTATCTCTATACAAATACACTTCCCCATCACAACACACCACACCACACCGCCTTACAGCACCTCGCCACCAGCACACCACACAACCCCCCCGGCCCCCAAAAAAAATGTCCTCATCAGACACCAACAACGAAACCAAAACCACCTCCGTACTCTCTAATCTCCTCCCCTCCTCATTCAAAACCCCGGGTGTCCAAAATATCGAAAAGGCATATAGTAGAGCCGGAGCTACGAATAATCATACGCCTGGTTATGCATCTGCGTTAGGGAGTCAGGATCAGAAGGGTGGGAGTGAGAATCAGGGAGTGGGGAGTGCGAAGTTTGCGGAGGGCATTAGTGATCAGAGGGGGGAGGTGAGTTTATTTTTTTTATTTGGTTTTTATTTTTGGGGTTTGGGATTGGGCTTGAGGGGGGAGGGGATGAGATGAGGGGGAGGGGAGGGGAGGGGAGGGAGGAGAGGGGGTGGGAGTTAAGATGCTGGGATATGAAGTGGATGCGGAGCGATGTGATGTGATGCGATGATAAAGATGGATGGCTAATATTATGTGTACACTATAGCCATCGGTAGTAGGAAAGATGTTCAATAATTTGATCAACGGTACGAATAACACGAAGTAGAGGAGTGGCTTTAGGGCTTTAGGGAACTATAATTACCATAGCCAGGCAAGACGAGAATCAGCTTGCCCTGCTCTCTTTTCTCGAATTGGATTCGAGAGGCGTTGTTTGGAAAAGGAATGGGATTCTGTTATCAGGATCTGTTTGATGGGAGGTAGGGTGGATGGATGGTAGATGGTAGGGTGGATGTATGAATAGATGGTGTTCAGCCGGGGTATATCATATGTAAGATAAAGTACTGTGTAAAAATCCCATGCAAATGGATGTATGATCATTGATGAGGAGCTATGATAGGGGTTTACAATGGAATAAACCTTGTCTGCTAGTCTCTTTGATCGGTACTTGGATATAAGTAGATGGGTAGTTCAATCTGAACCCCTCTTCGAGATAAGATTTCATCTACTGTATTGTTCATCTTTCTTTATCGAGTGAATAGAGTCGAGTATATATCCTATCCTTTTTGAACTATGTCAGTGTTAGTGTTAGTGTTAGTGTTATTTATGTAACTCAATTGGCAATATATTACCTATATATACTCGCAATCTAGTTGACATTAATCGCTGATGGATTTTAGGGAGATGGGATGGGATGGGATAAAATGGAGATGGAGATGGAGATATCGTGTGAGTATGAGTATACTTGAGTATACTTGAGGAGAGAGCCTACATGATATTCCTCCCTCTCATCTTCGCTCTCACCCTCCCTTTCATCCTCTCACCCTCCCTCTTTAGGTCATATATCCATCCCTCCTAATCCCTCCCTCTCCATACCCTACCCCAGTCTTCCCTCTTCCCTACCAAACCTTCTCCAAGGAAACCCTATCATTATCATTATCATCATCATTATCACAACCCTCCCTATAAATAAAAACAAAACCTTCATCCCTTTATTCCTAACTCCCCCCTCCCCCTCTTTCTAGTAATCCCCGTCCGTACCTTTCGTCCTGTAATTTCATATACTCAGTACAGTATACGAGTATATGCAATCGTATCAACTTTTTTTTTAGATATGCATATGCATATAGATATATATGGACTCGAGTAGATATATATATATATGTATATATTGTACACATACGCCCACCCTGTTCTTTCCCTTTTCCAATATATTCTATTCCATTCTGTTCAACTGTTTTGCCCATTCCCCTCCCCTCCCCTTACACTCCTCTCTCCCCTCTCCTCACTCCTCTCCCCTTAATCCATTTCTCCAATTATCTCTATCCCTATCCCTATCCCTATCCTATCTTATTCCATATTACTCCATATTTTTCCTCGATATTCCTTCTCTCTTCCACTCCACTCCACTCCCCTCCTTCACTCCCTCGCTTCGCCTCACTGAACCTCACACTCTTCGCACTCTTCACACTCTTCAGTCACCTCCCCTGCCCACCCCCCCACCTCATCTACCCAAACCACAAACTATAAGCCACCCACCCCAATAAACATCATAATCAAAACACTCAACCTAACCACCCAATCCAACAAGTTCGGCCATTTCACTTCACTTAACCTCACTTCCTTTCCCTCCCCTCTTCACTTCACTTACCTCCACTTCCAATCCAATCCACTCCACTACTACAACATCAAATCCCAACAGCAATAATTTTCCATCTATCCAATCCAATCTAGTCCATCCAAATCAATCCAATCCAATCCGATCCAGCCTCACTCACTCCCTCACTCACTCACCCACTCAATCCATCCACTTAAAATAGTCAAAGAATCAAAAGTCAAAAATCAAAATTATAGATAGGGATTTGGGATTTGAGACCCGGATCTTTGCTAGAGGACTTCCCTTCTCCATTCTGTCTCCCAATATAAGAAATTAACTTATTGTAACATGAAAAAAAGCAATAAAGTGTAAGAAAAACAGGGTACAAAAAAAGCAAGAGAAGAAATAAATAAAGGCGATCAGAAAGATGAAAAAAGAAAAAAAAACATTTCTTCATCACCTGCAACAAAATTAGAGTCATTTTTTGATCATTATGTAAAGGAAGCTTTTCATTCAGCTATCATAAATATGAGAATTAACCAACATGCATTCAACACATGTATGTAATCCCTCATCACCGTATCTATCTATCAATTTCATGCCATCATACCAGGTATTTCGTTATCCATTTGCGCCCACTGGAAAAGATTTACAGCTTGTTTGGAGCAGTTTGCGTAGTTGGCCATTGGTAACCAGCTGCGTCGCTGAATTTGTATCCGTAGGAGGAGGTGAAGTCATCCAGGACGGCGGGTCCACGAGAGCCTAGTATGCCATTAGTTTCATGTTGATTCAGGGGTGGAGGAAAGATCATGTGAGAGTTTCTTACCGTATGGGTATTCCATAGGAATAATCTCCTTGTTGTCGTCAAGGTAATGTAAGAGTGGTGTGAATACTCTCCAACTTGCGTCAAGTTCATCGTCACGAACGAAGTTGGAGTGATCACCCTTGAGAGCGTCAAGAATGAGGGATTCGTATGCTTCTGGGATCTTAAGATCAGAGAATCGGCGGCGGTAGGTTAAGTCGAGTTCGGTAACAACAGTTTGCATGCTCAACCCTGGCAACTTGGAGTTCATCTTGATGTAAACACTCTCGTTTGGTTGAATGCGCATAACAAGCTCGTTTCTTGGGATATCTTTAAAGATACCAGATGTGACATCCTTGAATTGAATACGGATCTCGGTCTTTTGTTCGTTGAGAGCCTTACCAGCCTTCAGGATGAATGGTACACCGTCCCATCGCTCGTTCTTGATATATGCGACCATAGCACAGAAGGTAGGGCATCTTGAGTCCTTTGGTACGGTATCGTCTTCCTTGTAAGAAGGCTTGTTACCGTCTAGGGATTTGCCGTATTGACCAATGATGACATTCTTTGGCTCGATTGCTGGGATACTGCGAAGAACTCGGACTTTTTCGTCTCGAACGTCCTCTGCGGAGAATGAGATTGGTCGCTCCATGGCGAGGAGGGTGAGGACTTGGAGAAGATGGTTTTGCATGACATCTCTGATGATACCGAACTCGTCGAAGTAACCTCCTCGGCCCTCGGTTCCGAAAGGTTCCTTGAATGTGATTTGAACATTGTCAATGTGATTGCGGTTCCATGTAGCACCAAAAAACTCGTTACCAAATCTCAAAATCAAAATGTTCTTGACCATCTCTTTTCCGAGGTAATGATCGATACGGAAGATCTCTTCTTCATTCCAGTTTGGCTCCAATGACTTTTGCAACTCCCGGGAACTCCCCAAATCCTTTCCAAATGGTTTCTCGACCTAAAAGTTATTAGCAAGTGCATCCAATCGGATGTGGAAATCCGGGATCGTACAATGATTCTTGCAACACCGGTCTCTGGGTAGACGTTTGCTTTCAGTTGCTGGGAAACAGTAGTGAAGACGGACGGAGGTAAGGCCATGTAGAAGATTCTGTTGGCTTCTGGTCTTCCCTTCTCAAGCTCCTCGCAGTGTTTTCGTAGCTCGATGAAACCCTCTGGCTTATCATACTGTCCGGAAATGTATGTACAGATGTCGCAGAAGTCTTGAAGTTGCTGCTCCATATCCTTGGTGGGAGTCTTGATATATGATCTGACCCTTTTGATATATTCCTCGTGGTCCATCTTTGTTCGCGCATATCCAATAATTTTGACATCCTTTGGAAGAAATTGGTTGCGATACTATAGTGGTGTCAATACTACCCCCCTTGGCTAGAGCCATCTTGCACCACTTACGAGACCGAAAAGGGCTGGGAACTAAAATCATGTATATTAGCCACGGAAAAAGATCAATTGGTAGGAGTCCTCTTACAGTCTTCTTCTTTGCAAGATCACCAGATGCTCCCAAAACAATGATCACAGTGTTGTCCTTCAGCTCGAGCGATCTGTGGTGGAGTAAAGCAATCAGTCATGATTCGGCTCAAACGGGATTGATACATCAGGATGAAGAATGAAAATTGAGAATTTCATCACAACTCGAGGGGCTCGGATTAGCCCCCTTATGCAGTATATATTCGCATATATGATAAGCTTTGTTGATGGGAACAACTTCGAGTGAAGTAACGCAGCTGAGGAACTGAACCAACTTACCCGGCATTGCCAGACTCCTCTGGTTTGATAACAGTATCAGCCATTGTGTGTGTATAATTTGTGATTTGTAAAGTAAGTAAGAAAGGAGAAGGACAGTCAAATTTTCTGAAGAGCAACAAGACTTTAAGTGAGAAAGGTTGGATAGTTGTACGGATGCTTGAGAAAAATGTTGGGTTTGTCTGCTTTTGATGAAAGACTCGACCCCGCTAAGAGTTTATGGATGGATGTATGACGGACGAGAAGTATTTCCGGATAGCCTCCGAACCCAACCCAAACACTTTATTGTACTATTTTGGAATATCAAACCCAGCCTTTTTGATTTTCGCAAGAGTTTTGACCTATGAATATAAGAAAATGGGAGAGTCCGATCCTTATTATATTGAATATGAATTCACAAGTACTCGAGTATATCTATCTATTCACTCTTTTAAACTTGTTGTATCCAGAGTACAGTACGTACCTAAGTAGGTACCTACTCTCTCATACTTGAATCAATCTTGACAAGCCCCGACCGCCCCTCAATTATCACCGATGCCCTTCAAAAGATCTAGGAGGTGTGCTTCAATTTCTTACGGGTCCGATTATAAAGCATATACTGTAATAATATATAATTGCATAGCGAAAGCCCTGTGAATCTTTACAAAATGACAATTGATCCCTTCAAGGAATGTCCCCAAAGTATTACATACTATACATTGAACAATAACAAAGTTATAAGGTATTTGTTAATCATGATGTTGATATTAAAGACGGATGTGGTAACCCGAATTGGCTAATCTACTAATCTATCATCTCAGGGTCGCTTGAAGCTCTAGACTATGACTCCGTACTCGGGGCTTTGACGATGTCTTTGTGATTTGCGGTTGAAACAAGAAATCAAATATGCCGGCCAGCATTGCTAGGTACTTGAGAGGAGAAATTCTCGGCCGATATCTTTTCAGTATTCACAGATAGATACCGGTACTCTCCACCAGTTCACTGAGCATTTTTAAAAGGCAAAGCTCGGGAAAATAAAAAATCACCTAGGTACTTGTTTGAAACATCAATTGCCAGTTAGAAAACTACCTAGCAATATGTTGATACATTTGAACCTTTGAAGTTTACAATCAAAAGGTCTTTGATCAAAAGCTACTAAACTTGTATTTAAAAAGGTCGAAGTTGAAGATGATCTCCGAATGACCAACATTGTCAGCCAGCCAACCAACCAGCCAGCCTTTCATTCATTTGGTTTCGATAATGTCTGATATAAGCAATCGTAACACACAACACTCTCTATCTGTTTTCTATGAAGTGATGGATGGATGGATGGATCGGAACTTGTTCCAAAAGTTCTTCCGTGCAAAACCACGCTAGATGAGAAATAATTAATGCCTTAAACTTCAGTCGCACATAAATTAAAGTTTCTTAGTCAGCGATCCTGGCAGCCCTAGAATATTTCGCTAACTCAAATTCTAGGGCTTGTCGTCAGGCGTGCATTTGGAAAACGCAACTTTCAACATTCTTGACGCCGACAACCATAACGCCAACCGAACGAAGTCTACCTCTCAAATCCACGAGAGACTTTCGCCAAAATGCCTACCGACGCCGGACACAGACGTGAGTTTTCCTGATCCCGAAAAAGCACTGGCTGCGCATGAACGGGCCCTGGGAGGAGAAAGCAATTAGGAGGACTGCGAATTTACAGCTTTCATGGGGAACCTGGGGAACTTGCTTTGCTGGAGCCAATGCGAGGGTGTTGTACTTGAATCAATTGCTGACTTTCGTGTGTTTTTAGTCTATGTTAAGTAAGTTTACAATCCACTTCGATCAACGAACATGCACTGGACTCGAATGGCGGTACGGAATTGGAAAGTGGGAGAGGAGGAGGAAAGCGAAGCAGGGGACATTTCGACCACGCAGAGACGAAATTAAGGGAGACGGATAATTCACATGGACGTATGCTGATATGGATAACTTCAGGGGACGCCATTTGAGCTACCAACGCGGCAAGCGCAACACTACCCCAGGCACCAGCTTGATCCAAATCGAGGGTGTCAACACCACCGAGGGTGCCAAGTATGTTTCTACCACGATATTCGAATACTTCTCGATTCTAACATATATGTAGCTTCTACTGCGGAAAGAAGGTTGCTTTCGTCTACCGTGCATCAAAGGAGATTAGAGGATCAAAGATTAGAGTTATCTGGGGAACGATCGCTAGACCACACGGTATGAGAGAATTCGTTTTACTTCTTACTGGGGATTTAAATACTGATATTTACCAAAGGAAACTCCGGTGTTGTACGCGCACGATTCAGACAAAACCTCCCACCTAAGACATTCGGCGCATCCGTCCGTATCATGTTGTACCCATCATCGGTCTAAATGGTTGGTTTGGAGTTGTTAGCATGGATAGGAAGAATGGTTGATGATATGCCACAATTCGGGCACTCGAAGGGGGCGGCGATAATGAGCCCAGCCTTGCTGGTAGTATACCAATTAAGCAATTAACAACCACAATGGCCGCATGGGTATATGATCAAAAGTGCATATGGGATCGTCGTGGAAATCTTCACTAGACGTAGGCAGGAGTTATCGATCAAAGGTTTCACAATTACATCCAGTACGACATGGACAGATGTGATCTTCATTTATTTGGTCCCACCCATGTCAATAATGCTTTCACAACGAAAATGGAACTTTGGTAAGTCTTACAGTGGTTTGCATGTTTTGCTATTTTCCTGGAGGCACAACAACTTTGAGTTTGAGGCTCTCGAGTCCAAGCAGGGTGTCTTAATCGTGTGAATTTTGACAGCCCCGCAATGTTCTTGAAGATTCTGGAGAATGAGATGAACCTGTAAACTAGGTACGGACATTGACGTGAAAATGGTAGGGTTCATCTAAGACACATAAGTACCGGCACGTACATGCATAATTGATACCCCGAACCGGACCCCAAGATTCGGACTCCGCACCCCAAAAGTTATTCCGCATCTTCTGTTCCGAATATGATTAAAGTGAAGTATTAGTGCTAGTAGTTGAGACACTTTTGTTGGTTCCTAGGTAGGTACTGGTAAATACCCATACCCATACACATATTGTTGAGGGATAGATGATTGGGGGATGATTGGGGGGATGGTTGGTAGGTAGGTAGGTATGAGATCTAGATAAGATAGATGGATAGATAGATAGATGGATGGATGGGCTTTTTGGTATACAGTATCTGTAGGAGTATGAGTACGAGTACTTGATGTAGGAATTTGATGTATGAATTTGATGTAGGAATGTTCGTTCAGCTTGGCGTGCGTTTCGAAATCTGTGGCTGATATTTTATGTTTATGTTTATGTTATGTTATGTTGTATGTGGTGTATGTGGTGTATGCGGTGTATGCTGTACAGTGTACAGTGCTTTTATGTATGGGTAGGAATAGGAATAGGAATAGGAAGTGCACGGCTTGAATGCTTGGGTGTGTGAGTGTGTGAGTGTGTATGAGCTGAAGGGGATGGGGAGGTTGGATGGATGGATATATATAGGTATATCTACCAAGCCATCGGATTATAATAAGATGTTGATGTTGATTGTATACCGTAGTGTAGATGTAGATGTAGATGTAGATACCGATCGGATACTAAGATATCAACTTAAAGTATTATCTAAAAAAATTAACATGAATCGATTTAGAAAAGGGTAGTGAGGATAGATAGTGTGGTGTGTAGTAAGTATAGATAAATAGTAGGTAAATAGTAGGTAGTAGGTAGGTAGTATTCCGAGTAGTGCGGTGTGTGTGTACCGTGTGATGTCGAGAAACGTGATGTGTGTACATAAAGTGATATTAAATGATAGATGTTAGATGTTAGATGTTCAGCTGGTGTTGGTTGTGTGGTTGTTGTTGTTGATGGATGTTTGAATGTATGTATATACCTATCTAGTTATTGATTTAGTGATGTGATGTAATAATCGTGGTTATGATCATTGATGGGTATGAGGGCTAATAACAATCTGGGGTAACACAATACCACAATACTCTGGATCCGATGAGCTGGCTGATCGTGGGATCGTGGAGGGGAGGGACTGACAAGATAAAGACAAGACAAGACGCGAATAGAGGTTCTTCAGGTGGGGGTAAATTCTTGGGTGCACACTGCATGGTGATGAATGTGGTGATGTGTGTGGATGGCGAAAATGAAAACAGGAGTTTTTTTTTTTTTTTTTGGAGAAATAAAGCTTGTGCGGATTAGTGATGATGAGGAGAATGATGGATGGGTTCGGATAGATGGAGATATAGGATTGTAGGATTGTGGTATTAATAGCTGTTGATGTATCTGATACAGTTTGTGTAGGTAGTATTTCTATACTTTTGTTCTGGAATACCCGTACACAGAAAGGATATGTTTCAAGGAGATGATATAGTACAGTATTTCAAATCATGGAACCAGAAGACGAGAATCTCGATATCTTTGATCTCCAAGTTTAGGATTTGAAAAAAAGAAAAAAAGAAAAGAACTAGCTATACCTATCTAAAAATAACTATTAGATGTGGTATTGAAATACCCATACCATACCATACCGCACCCGTACTTTTTTCGCATTGATTCGAAGCTTTTGGATGCACACCACCAGAATCACAAAATGCATCCTCATCCTCGTACCGCACCAAAATGACATTTTAACCGGGGGAGGATAAATAACTTTATGGGGTTTAGTGGTAGATCATTTTCTTTCTATCGTTTCCATGTCATCACCCATCTGCACCCATCTGCACCACTTATCTTTTCCCTATCTTACCCTTACGGATGATCCCTGTTCAACGGAAAGAGCATACGAATTCTTGTCGCAATCGTTGTATCGTTGGACTGCGGACTTCTTGTAAATAAACCAAGTTTCCGATCAGGTAGATCATCTTATTGGTGATCATTGAAATGTTTTCTTCCAAGCCATTCCTGGGATAAGCATTTTGGTGACTTGTTTGAGTTGTTGGCTTACGATTTGAATAACGAATTAAAGTGTACCTTGTATGAGGTATCTCAAGATCTCAAGTACTTACCTATTCACTGGTTTTGATTTTAATAGCCAGACACGAGCTCCTCGTCATCAATCATACCCTTTTTTTATTGAATTTGAACCCATCCAGTGGCTAAATAACATTGAATGCTTCGTATTATCTGAACTCTAACCTTTTCCTCCCCCCGCGAAAAAGGTACTAGAACTTTCCCCTCTCTCTCACAAATCTTGTTTTATCATCTCTTCCTTCAACCTTTTGACCTTTCTCTCTCTCTCTCACCATCAATAATCTTTTATCAATCTCATCAATTTATCTATTCTTCACTACCAAATTACCTCGAGAGAACTTTAATGAAGGCTGGGCAATCAACATAAATAAAGCTGCATTCATCGGACATCCAAAACACTCGCTTCAGCAATTTCGATAAGTTGTGATTCAGATCAACGAAACCATCAATCGTTATATCTGAACCTTTACGAAAAGTATAACATCAACACATTTTTGGCCGTCTTCAAACCACTCTATACCATACCATCGTTTCCATTCACCAAAACGTCAAGTGAATATATTCCTATTAAACTTGATTCAAACAAAAATCGGTAGTGAAACGTCCTGATATAAAGCCGGCAAATCCCCAACCACCTATTTCTGACGTTCACGACAAACCTCAGACCCAACAGGAAGCCGACCTCATTTCAAAGTTCCACAAATACCCCTACCAACCTCTTGATACTACTCCACTTCAACCTGGTTTCACGACGATAAGGCTCAAGATCTTTTAATAAAAGTTGTAAAAAGATCCACAGCAGCGACAATCATAGTCCACTTATCGAATTGTACCTAGAAATATGCAAAACCCAAATCATCCACTACCCTCGCCCCCGGGCAATCAAGAGCGGCCTGGGAACCGCCCACGAACAAAGACTTCATCTGGTTTTAGTTTACATTCACATAAGAGCAGTGGCAGTGGACAGAAACTTGATCTCACAGAATCACATCGAGAGAAAGAATCAAGGCGACTTCACAGCAAAGCTGATCCATCTCTGGCCATGACGGAAGCAGAACCTTGTGAGTACTCGCACAAATTGTGGATTTGACGATTCGCAAACTGACGATATCATCACAGCCGCTGTTGCAAATGAAGTTGCGACCTCGTTAGCACCCATTCGAGCCATTCAACATAGAGATAGCCAGGGAAACCCCATCGGTTCGTTATCATGTTCTGCTATTTCACAAATTTTGTAAGCTGACTTGTTCTCTACGCAGCGGACCCCGATCGTTCAAATCCTACAAGAAGCAGATGGGAGAGACCTCTAGACACGATTCGAGCATTTGAGGCAGCTATTGATGGGAACTATTCTTCGAGGAAATCAATGATACGCCCTGGTTAGACTTCCCAAGCTTCTATGTATTCAGCATTTCTGCGTAGCAATACCGGTACTAACTCTTCTCAACAGAATCCGATGTGGGCTCAACATACAATCGTCGAAGCAGTTACTACGCGGGTTAGTCCCTACCAATTTCTCTCATTTCTCCTGTTTACACAATTTTCTGCGCAATTAGCTCTGAGACAGCCATCTATCCTGTTTTGTTGGAAGCTGTAGCGCTCAGGCCATTGTGGTCTGTGGCCACTGGCCAATGCCCATCTACCAACCGAGCACATTTTTCATGAAATGAATGGGATTTTGTTATCTCGCATGCTCTAGTGGTCTTCAGCCGCCCATGAATCCTTGGCAAACTATTCTATCAAGTGTGAGATTGACAACTGTCGAACATACGCTAATAGATCATCCTCTAGCAACTCAAGCGACCAATGATGAACGACCAAGATATTCTCAGAATAGCTACTATGGAGGAGGACAGCAACCTTATAGGCAAAGTAGCCAATATGGTGACGGGCGACCAAATGGAATGACAAGGCCCGACAGTTATTACACTACCGATAATCAAGGAGGACCTGGCAACGCATATGCCCCGAATAGGTCTCGATATCCTCGAACAGCATCAGAACCACAATTCAACAGTGGTGTGTACACAGCACCTGCAGGTCAGCAACGTTCATATGAAACTGTGACAACAGCCTCCGGTAGTGCAATCTCCGCAGACGCCGCGGAATATTCAACCGATCCTAGCAGCCTAAATAGTTCAGTAGACGGAATCCATGCACTACCGCAACCGCCAAAAGAACCCCTGGAGACATATGGATTCCACGGATTTGGAAACGATCCCCAATACCTTCCACCTGGAAGTGGCATCAATGAGCAAAATGGAATGCGCAGACAGCCGATTGGCAGCCTGAATCAAGGCCCTCCGCCGCCAACCAAAGACAGTGTACCACGAACTCCAATTAATCTTGGTCTCACGAGTGGAAATTCCCTACCTCAAAAATCAGTCATCGAAATCAGCAAATCAGAGGCCAAACCTCAGCCAGAGAAGCGGAAAAGTTGGTTTGGAAGAAGATTGAGCAAGAATAAATAAAGATGCTGGCCATCCTTTAGCATAAAAGCTAATACTATCTAATACGGATACCAGAGAGAAGAAAGCGGCTGTAGGATATCTAGTTGTGTTCTCACGATATTCACGACGGGCAAATATAGGGGGAGCCAAAGGATTTTATGGAATACACATGGAAGGGGTTGGATTTTTGCATTGAGTGGCGTATGGGGTTCTACTTCTTTATATCCACCACTGTTCAAAATGTTGGGTTTTGGGGCTGTGAGCTCGCGGGCCCTATGTCTGGCCATAATTGGCTCCTTTACCCAGAAGAATGGTGGTGGATTTCTGTGGACAGCCTTAAAATTTGACGATGAACAGTTATCCATCATTTAACCGATTTATCTCCTGAAATATTAATGTATTATTTTCCCTCCCAACCATGTAACCTTCATGACCACCGTGTTTTCATAAAACCATAGTGCATGTATGACCCATGAACATGAACATGAACATGAACCCCGTTTACAGGTCCTTTTTCGAATCCCTTTCCTTCTCCGCCGCGGCTTCAATCGCTTCACTCTGATCTTCCCTCATAGCCACGATCACATAACCGACCAACACAACATTCGCCATGATTGCGGCGGTTGCACCGGCAAATGTAGAGTTTCCTGTGCATTTTTTTTTTGGTGAGCTCTAAAAGATGGTGATGATGATGATGGATATGGGGATGGATATGGGGACATGGATATGGATATGGATATGGATATGGATATGGGGATATAGAGGATATGGATATGAAGGATATGGATATGGATATGGATATAAAAACGAAATATAGAAAAGAAACGAACCTCGGAAAATAAGATCCAATGTCAAGAAATATGATCCAATAGGTGCGACGACCATAGCTAGTGTAAAACCGAGGAGCTTGATGATCACGTGGCTAGATGGGGGGGATAGGTGGAGAGGTTAGTTAAGTTGAGTTGGGGTTAGGTTAGGTAGTTAGGTTAGGTGGTTGGGGGAGATTGAGGAGGGCGGTGGAGAGGATGGAGGGGAGAGAGGGGGAGGGAGGGGGAGGATGAGAGGGAGATTGGGAGGTTGAAAGAGATTGGGTGTGTGGGGTTGTGAGGGGAGATAGATATGGAGGAGGGGAATTGGTGGGGGATTAAGAGGATTGGGAGATTGGAAGATTGGGTGGAGGGGATAAGGATGAAGAGACAACTAACGCTGGAACAGCAGGTGCAATATTGCTCTTTTCTCCAGCAATGGGTTTGAATGCTGCTTCTTTCTCTGATCCAGTTATGTTGGGGGTTTTTCGTTGAGTAGACATTATGAAGATAAGATAGAATAGATAGAAGTTTGAAAATCTGAGGGAGAAATAGATGCTTAACAGGTCCAGGTTTTGTGAAGTCTTTGAGAAACTGTTATATTTGCTTTGCTTTTGCTGATTGGCTTGAATTGGTCGGTCGTGGAACAATGAGAGAACTGATTATGGATTGGGAAGTGGATATTGCTGACTTCGCGAATGGGGAACGCGTAAATTAGAATTTTAGCGTGAATCTACTAAAATCGAAAGTATTAGTATTCTCTAAGAAGACTAAGACTAAGACTAGCAGCCTAGCAGCAATCGTTGATCAGAGTAGAGTTCACCTTTTGGAATGCAAAGTTACGAAAAAGCTGATTTTTATGAATTCACTTTTATTTGCTTTGAACATTTCCGCAGACAATCTTTGAGTTTCTTGCAGTTCGCCAGCTCTCAAGTGGATTTCTTCTTTTGCAAACTTCTAAAAAAGACAATCTTTTTGACGAAGAAGGTCTTGGGGATCTTCTGGAGGAAAACGATTTTCAAAGTGTCAATAAGTACAGATTGCGAACCAACAACCAAATTCTATATTAATTTCGATTCGAAAGTTGCTCTTGTAACTTTACAGTTCCATCCTTCTTTCCATTTCTCGTTCGAGCAATTCAACAACAAAAACGATCATGGCTTCCAATCTCACCAATCCTTCCTCTCTTATACTTGATTCACCAGCAATAAAACGGCAAAGAACTGAATCAGGTTATACATCTATCAATAATTCGGCGAGAAATACAGATACCTATAACTCAGATGTAGATGATGGAGATGATCTTTTTGCAGGCTATGTGCCTGATACACCAGCTGCTGCTGGAAAGTTCGAAACGCAGCCAACACAGATTGTAAATGCTGCTGGGACATTCGAGACTCAACCTACGCAGATTGTACCTGCTACTAGAAAGTTTGAGACACAAGCTACTCAGATACTCGATCGATCTACCTCAATGGCAAACCCGCCGTCTAGCTCCCCAGTTACCAATAACTCGAACAATGTACAGGTGCCGGCATCTTCACCTCTACGACAGTCACCCACACCAAGGAAGAACTTGGCTTCTGCGATGGCACCTGCTGGAACCGCATATAGAGCACCGTTTGGAATAGCTCAAAAGCCTATTGCGCCTCCAAGAAAGATTATCAACCTGGATAGTGATGATGAGGGACCGTCGTTTGTTGGGGATAGTTCTGACAATGATGATCTCGCCAAGGCGGATATCAAACCTTCGACGTTCATTGCCAAGAGTGCTTCTTTTGGATCCACGGGTTATCCAGATGCTTCCCGACCGGTCAATGGCAATTCCAAGTTTCAAAATGCTCTCGCCAATGCCGCATATAATCCACAGAATGGAAATCGACAGCAGGGTCCGGAAAGAGCTAGGCCAGTCCAGGATATATCGATTAATGATATTGAGGATGGCGAGATCAGGGCGAAGGTCCAGCGCATCAAAGACATCTTCCCAGGGGTGTCTATTATGGAGGCCAAGGATACTTTGATCGTAACTAGACTCGATTTCGATGCGGCTTGTGGTCTCCTTGCCAAGAACAAACCGGTTGAGGTTTCCGACGACGACGACGACGAAGACGACGACGAATTCCAGATAGTCACTGCCTCGGATATGGCCGAGCCTCAGATGAGAAGAGGTCTCGCGAAACCTATCAAGTCAATCAAAGACCGATATTCTTCTACACAAAATCAGACTACCCAAAAACCAACTCCATTACCCGCACAAGCCACTACACCACAGAAGCCAAAGAGAAGACTTATGCAAGGACGCAGAGCCCCATCTTCTCCTACAGCAGACTTTTCTCCTGCCAAGTTGGCTTCGTCTCCAGTCAAGTTGGCCTCTTTTACAGTTGCTCAAGAGATATCCGATGATGATTCTGGCGTTGAGTCAGAGGAAGAAATTGAAGAAGATCCAGTTCTTGAGGATCGACTACTCAAATACTTAAATCGTTGCTCATTAGAGGATCTTATCGAACTGACCAATACCACCAAGGCCAACGCGGCGGCAATGTTAGCTGCTCGACCATTCAGAAGTCTTAATGCTGCGAGAAACGTGTCAACTGCAAAGGTTTTGAAGAATGGCAAGAAGAGTACAAAGGCATCGATGGGGGAACGTCTTGTGGAAACTGCGTTGGAAATGCTTTCTGGCTATGAAGCTGTAGATGCCCTTGTTAAGAGATGTGAGGAACTCGCAAAGCCATTGGAGGCTGAGATGGCAAAGTGGGGGTTCAATTCGTTTGGTACTCGCAAGGAAGGAGAAGGTATTGAATTGGTATCTTTCGACGATCTAGAGTCTCAACGTGATTCCGGAATTGGTTCTCCAAACAGTACTCCATCCATCAATGGCGAGAACGCCGACGAGGACAAGATTGTATCCGCTAAACGCAGAAAGGCCACCGTCGATTTTTTGAAGAAGCCGGCGCTTATGGCAGATGACGTTGTTCTGAAAGATTATCAGATTGTTGGGTTGAACTGGTTGAATTTGATGTACGACCAGAACCTAAGTTGTATCTTGGCAGATGATATGGGTCTTGGGAAGACCTGTCAAGTCATTGCGTTTCTGTCACATCTTATAGCAACTGGCCGAAAAGGCCCTCATGTCGTTTTTGGTCCTGCTGCAGTATTCGAGAATTGGTGTCAGGAATTTCAGAAGTTCGCTCCGAATTTAGCCATCCAGCCTTATCATGGTAAGTTCAATACAAAGAAGTTCGACACAAAGATTTGGAGAAAGTAATTAACAAATCTATAGGTCCTGCAAATGAACGTGTTGAGTTAGCTGAGTCAATATTGGAGAACCGAGATGAGATTCATGTTATTGTTTCTACCTATGATATGGCAGTAAAACCTACGGACAATAAATTCTTCCGAAGATTAAGAGCCGATGTAAGTGTATATCGAGCAACATTATACTCTTGATTGCTAATTAGTTATAGGTTCTTGTTTGTGACGAAGGTCACATTTTGAAAAACGGAGGAACTCAGAAGAATCAAGCATTGAACAAAATACCTGCTAATTTCAAGCTTTTACTGACTGGTACACCTCTTCAAAACAACTTAGTGGAGCTGGTTACATTGCTCGCATTCATTCTGCCAAACATTTTCAAGGAACGAGAAGAAGATTTGAATTACATTTTCAAGGCGAAGGCAACAACTCGAGATACCGACCATGGGGCATTACTTTCTGCTGAACGTATCACTAGGGCTAGGTCTATGCTCACTCCATTCGTTCTACGACGCAAGAAGCATCAGGTTTTGAAGCATCTCCCCACGAAGTTGTGCCGGGTTGAACGTTGTAGCTTGGAGACAACGCAAGCTAAAATCTACAACGAGCACGCAGATGCAGCTAAAGAACGAGCTCGAAAGCGTCTCGAAGGTGTCAAGATTCCAGCTCTGAAGTCTGAAGAGAACAACCCTATTATGCAACTTCGCAAAGCTGCTATTCATCCTCTACTTTTCCGACGTCACTTCACAAATGAGAAGATTGAGAAAATGGTCGATATTTTACGAAGGAAGGATCCAGATAACTTTCCTCCTTCTGCTAAACGACATCATCTTGTCGACGAAATGCGTAATGGTTCAGATTTTTGGTTACATACGTGGTGTGTTCTTTATCCATGTATCAAATCATTTGATGTTAAGAAGAATGCCTGGATGGACTCTGGAAAGGTCTCTGCTTTAGTGGAACTTGTCACGAAATACAAGGAGAATGGCGACAGAGTTCTTATCTTCTCACAATTCTCGCTCGTCCTTGATATTCTCGAATCTGTGCTGAACACTTCCAAGATCACCTACACTCGTATTGATGGCTCTACCAAGATCGACGAGCGCCAAGCATATATTGAGAGATTCAGAGATGATACTGATATTACGGCTTTCCTTCTGACGACCAAGGCAGGAGGGACCGGTATCAACTTGATGTACGCCAACAAAGTCATTATCTTCGATGGTAGTTTCAATCCTCAAGATGACGTTCAAGCAGAGAATCGTGCTCATCGTGTTGGCCAAATTCGTGATGTGGAGGTCGTCAGATTAGTCACTCGAGGTACCATCGAAGAGGCGATTTGGAAGATGGGTAGAAGTAAGTTAATGTTGGATGGTAGAGTCGCCGGCGAGGCAGGAGAAGAGGCTGGGGAGAAAGCCGTGGAGAAGATGTTTCTCGAGGGTGTAACGATTACAGATGAAGAAGCCGCTCCGGTCGCTGAAGGACATGATTTGACGCCTAAAGAGGATGCAAAGGGGAAGGGGAAGGGGACCGGGAAGAAGTTACCTGAGAGGAAAAAGTCGGGTACTTTCCTGGATATGGCGACGAAGGGGGCGGATAAGGAAATCGAGGATGGAATGCTTGTTTGAGATGACTGATCGCTATATCGGTTCTTGAGATTATGCGGCATGAGTGGAGTGTTTTTCAGTGATCAGATCAGATCAAGCTGAGTTAATCGGTCGATATTATCTCTCATGTGCATTGCCACATACACCAGTGGAGTTCTTGGGGAGTTTAACGATTACACTACGTACTCGGGCCTTTATGGTATGGTAGAGAAGGGAACTGCGATGCGATGCGATTTTTTAATGTTGCGACTTGGGGAAATTTACTTTCGACTTTTTTTCTTCGTTTTTCTTTACACGTATGAATGGATGGATGGATGCATACATGCATGAGAAAGACATGTTTGTACAATACGATATGTAGGTAGGTAGTCGTATAAGCCGGGGATGGGATGGGGATGGATACACTATAATTAGAATACAGAAATGCAGAGAATTGGGGAAAGGGATGAGGGGGGTAAAGAGAGTGAAGTTGTTGAACTGGTACTTAGATAGACGGACAGAGAGAGAGAGAGAGAGACGGACAGACAGAGAGTAGAGTATGGTATGGTAGGGTGGGCTTCTAGAGGGTTGGGGATGAGATAGATGTATTGATGGAGAGAGAGGTAGATAGATGACAGAGGGATAGATACTCGAGTAGATGGATAGGGAATGAAATTATTTAAATGATTGAAAAGGATGAAAAGGATGACATGGATGATATGGATGAAGCGAATAAATAGATAAATGAATAATGAATGGTTTGATTTTAGATGTTGGGTGATAGGGTGATGGAGTGCTTGTGAGTGACTCTTGTTTTCGTTTTGAGAAATTGAGAACTTGAGGGTTTGGTGTATTGTGTTCGGTGTATTGTATACAGGGTGAGAGGGATGGAGATAGGGATGGAGATAGGGAGGGAGGGAGAGAAGGCGAGAAAGAGGGAAAGAGGGAGATAGACCTGTTTTGTTGTGATTGTGATTTGGGGGAAGGGAGAGGGGGGGTGGAAGGCGGGGATATTTGATATTTGATATTGAGTAGATGGGCGGTTGGATGGATGGGATAGATGTGGGAGGGGAGGGTGGTTGAGTGAGGTTGAGTGAGGGGGAGGATTATAATAGAGGAGGATTGTAATGGGAGTGATGTTGAGTATTGATAGGTTAGAGTTATTGATATATATACAAGTATTACCTAAACATTAACTTGAGATATATATTGCAATACTCGAGTACAATAGAATTCTAGAATCTATACCTGGCTGGACCTAGAAAGATCTAGGATTTGCTATTTGTAATTTGTGGATTGTGAGATATGGATTGTGTTTAATAAGGAATGGAGTTTGGAGTCTGGAGTCTGGAGTGTGGAGTGTGGAGTGTGAAAAGTAGGAATTAATTTTAGTGATTTTGAGTAAGTTGGTTATTGTATTCGAGTATATGTATTACTTAGGTTAGTATCGGAGAAGAAGTGAGATGGGATAGGATGGATGGGATTTTGGTTTATATTGTGTATTGTATTCTTGAAGGATGGAAGATGGGGGGGAAGGATTTCCAGATATTAGATTGGAATTTGATAGGGTAGGTTCTTTTTAGGGGTTGGGAGTGTTAGTAGTGATTGGAGAAGATGTGAAGTAGAATTGGGGAGGTTTAATGATTTGATGTAAGACTTACTTAGCCGATGTGCCCCTGCTTTAGCTTAAGCTTATCAATCTATCAATCCACGCTAAACATTATCATATCACATCTACTCGTACTTGAGTTATCGCAGCCCAAGCTTTATTATCATATTGAAGAAGCACAATTTACAATTCACAATTTACAACTTACAAAGTACACCAAATCAATAAACAGCAAATATGACAACCCCAAATCTAAACCCAATACCAGTATTCCGACCTTCCAAAAAGCGCAAGATTTATAGACAGCGAAATAATGACGACGAGGATGGAAATGGAATAGAACAATCAATGCCCGCATCAACAACACCTGCACCAACACTTATACCTACGGAACAGAGTTTGGATGAATTAATCGCTTCGAGTTCCGTTCCTATTAAAAGAGAGGAAGGAGATGAAGAAGACGAAAAGGAACAACAAGAAGCTTTGAACATAGCGGAAATTCTGCGTCTGCGAAAACAACGGAAGAAAATTGGAGGTGTAGAGTTTAGAGCTGAATCTAAAATGCGAGAGGGAATGAATGGTGAAGTGAATGGAGATGCGCTGGTCAAATATGAAGAAAAGGATGCAGAAGATGTACAGCCGGATGGGGGACTTTCTTTGCGACGATTTGCGCCGCAGATGGGGGTTGTGGGGAGTGGTGTTGATAAACATATGTAAGTCCAGTACTTTTATTTTCTTCCGGGCTGGTTGGATGCAAGTATGGTGACTAATGGTATAGGATGGCATATATAGAATCGAAACTCGGACATGATTCTCAGAGTGCAAATTCTCCATTTACCAACCCACGAGCGGAAAGTTTAAAGGATGAATCAATACAGCTATCTAAAGAACTTCAACGAGCCCCTACTACCATGGGTCGACTGCTCGAAATCGACTTGGGAGAAGAAGCTAGAGTGAGGAATGCGCATCGAACGGAAATGGCACGGAGAAAAGCAGCCGGTGAAACCATCGAGCTTGAAGAAACTGCTCAACCTCCCTCCAAACCTCGTCTCGGTCGCGACGGCAAACCCTGGCGAGGTCGCAAAAGACGAGGAAGCGATGATATCCAACGCGATGCGCTCGTCGACGCCATTTTACACGAAAACCGACTAGAAATCTACGAGCCGGTCCCAACACCCTCTTCAACACAACAAGAAGGATTAGCCAACGACGAAGAAGTCGCCGAGAAATTCCGCAGAGATTGGGAAGAAGCTAGTTCGCATGCGACGTTGCAGAGACAATTGACGGTGTCGCAGCGCGCGGCAAAGGAAAAGAAGAAACCGGGGCAGGAAAAGACGGAGGAGGAAGCGTATATGAAGGGCCCGAAGTTGGGGGGGAGTAGGAGTGCGAGGGCGGCGATGAGGGAGTCGATGTTGAAGGGGAAGGGGTTGAAGAGGTAGGGTAGGGATTGGGTAGGGAGGGGGAGGGGTAGGGGTATGGGTGGTGTTGGTTTGATTTAGTTTGGGTTTTGGGGTAGGGGCGCGAATTGGGGGGTTTGGATTGGGTATTGTGTGTTTTGCTTTGGTGTGAATGGGAAGGTGGAAAATGGAAAGTGGAAAGTGGAAAGGTGGAAAGGTGGAAAGGGAGAGAACTTGAAGAAGGAGAAAATAACCAACGTTGCAATCAATCTAGGTATCCATCCGATGGTATCATATCTCACAGATCAATCTTTCAAATATTCAGTTGTATGTAACATTAAGGTTAGGTATACATATACTGGATTTTGATTGTCTTTGGGTTTAATACTCGTATTAGTTAGTATATTGAACCCAAAAAAACAAATCAATTCGATATAATATATCTTTAAGATTAATCAAATGTCTAGAAGGAATCTATAATAGTCGAATTTAATTAATAAACAGTTTATTTAGATATCTTATTTACTCATAGTTAAGATCTCTGTTTTAAGGGTAAGATCAAATGTTGATTTCAAATTCCAACTCCTATTCCAATTCCAGTTCCAGTTCCAATTCCAATTCCAATCCCCAGGCGTGAATTTATTTTCCCCAAATATTTATTATTAGTATATTCGAGGATCGATAGTATTGTAGTATGTAGTGCTGAATACATTGCCTTGCATTGCAAACGCAAGTCAACACATCTCCCCGATATTCCTCACCTTGATACCTTCTATCCACCCATCTCCATCTCCATCTCCATCTCCATCTCCATCAATATCCTTATCCGCACCCTCCCTCTCAACCCTAACCCCCATCCCCACCCCCAAAACATCACCCCCCTTCACCAACCTCACCGCCTCTCCACTCCCCAACACCAACACCTCAGTCCCCATGCTCCTCTCTCTCTCCCCTTCCCTCTCCCCAAACCCCTCACTCCTCGGACTCACTATACTCTCCACTTCCTCCCTGTCCCACTTCCTACTCCTAATACTCCACGTTGCAAACCCGCTACTCTCTTTATCTCCATCGTGTGCCGAGATCCACGTTTGGGCACAGAGATGCTGTGCGATTTCTACTCCGCCCGGGAATCCACTGATGATGTTTCCGCCCAGATACCATGGGTTGGAGATGCGGTCGAAGGGGTGGAGGAGCGTGGTTAGCGGGAGCGCGGCGGAGGAGATGAGATGCGATGTCGCGTAGGGGGCGAGGGTGCGGTAGGTGCAGCCGTGGGGAGAGAAGATGACGGAGAGGGCGCGGTCGCTGGGGGTGGAGAGGGTGGATGCGAAGGAGCGGGGGGAGGCGGGAGGAGTGGCGTAGGAAGGGGGGTCGAAGAAGAAGGTTGAGAGGGTGGGTGGTCGGTAGGTTATACCGATTGCGTTGTGTAGGCCTGTGAGATCGTTCTTTTGGGGGAGAAAGGCAATGGTTACTTCGCCTGGTGTGCCGTTGTGAGTTATGGGTGAGACGGGGATTCGAAGGATATTGTCGGTACGGCGGAGACGAGAATCTTCCCAGCGTTTAAGGGGGATTACTTTGGAGGTATCAAAGTATTTCCATCGTTTGATTGTCTTTGCGGCCCCGGGTTCCGCGAGAATAAGTGTCTTTCCTCCACTGGGAGAGAGTTGCTTGAGGGTTTCTTCATGACAATGATCTGTCTTGTCCTGACTGATCACTACCAGATCTGGTTCGGGGAGTTCGGTGAGGGAGGCGATGCATGATGGTGTTTTGAGATGAGATATCGAGAATTTGGAATGGAAAATCTTGGATGGTCCGGATAACCACGGATCGAGGAGGATGGTAAAGTAGTTCGACGGTCGTCCTGGAGAAGGGGGGAATGGGGAGATGGGTTCGAAGGTTAGGAGGAATGATGCATCATTGTTCAAGTGTTTAACTGTCAAGGACATCTTCAAATCGTGCAATGAAACTATCGAGGAGATCCGTAAAGCTCATAGTATCCAGAATGTAAGGCCACAAGTTTAGGGGGAGCCACCGAGGAGATTCACTCGAGCTATACCGATAGATAGGTAGTAAAGATTTTTCAGACATGAAAGGAGAGGAGTGGATCAAGCTGGGTTTGGATGGCTCCATGTACTCGTCGAAAGATGCATATCGATACTAAATGACATATTAATAAACTTTAAAGGAGATCAGATCAGATCAGATGCAGGATGACGGGCAGATTTTGTATGTTCTGCAGATACAAAAGATGCAAAGCGTAGCACTGCCCTGTCACCAAAAATCCCCGTTTTCAATAGAAATGGAAAGGTTACCCGATGGAGAATTACAGGTACAGTATTTCTGATCTATTGAACGCCAATCAATTTTGACCAAATCTCAATTGCTTCTTCTGAATACCTAGGTAGTTACTTGTAGTCTTGGATAGATAGACATAGTACCTGGGTGATGAATTGATTGCTCGGTGCAATAACATATGGATAGAGTTCATCATTCATCATTTGTCCTTGTATATCTATCGAGAAAGGGATCTAGCGGTTATAGTTGACCGATCTCGAATATTCGAATATAAGCACTTTGAATCATGACCCTAAACAGTAATGATCTTCTCGTCTCCGGGACATTAGATTAAAGAAAAGCAGGATTTAACGATGAAGCTTTCAGCTTATTGAAGTTTGGGTTCCTTTGTTTCGAGGATTGATTGGTGGTTACTGGGTGTGATTGGTGAGGAAAGAGATGATGGGAACGATAGGCGAGCTTTCATGAAATGAATGAGCAAAACCAATACCGGTATTGTGTATACTGTACTGTATTTCTGGATAGTTAATATTTATATATCAAAACCTTGATCTTGAAACTTGATATATTGTAATTAAGTAAGTTCAGCAATAAGCTTAAGCCTCACCTATATAATATGATCGTTAGTACTATAGTATTAGAAGAATCATTAATATATAATGAAGGTCTATTAGTTACACCAATCGTATAAGTGCTCGAGTAATTATCGAAAATCTTTGTGTAACATTGCGAAGATATACTCTAATTTTAGACCATTCGTTTAGGTATTTAGTTCTCCTTCATCAATAATACTAATGTTATACTAATTCAACTACTATTGTTATTCTTCTTCGATTATCGCTACAATAAATTCAATCGTTTTGTATACTTTTCAACAATTCAAAGTAGGATATCCAAGAATATCTCAATAATCTCGCTTCACCGGTAACAACTCGAACAAACTCTCTTGAACTTACTTTTACAAGTACAAAAACTTCGAATAGACCTTCTCGAACCTTATCCCAACTTGACCAGCACTATGAAAAATAACACAACGGTTTCGGTTTCGACAATTCAAGGACTGGTCTGTAGAAAGCTGGAAGCTATCTATATTACCTACTAAGTGCTCGTACATTCAAGTTTTACAATTCAAACCACAAGGATCTCGGAGAACTTTCCAAATTTCAATTTATAACTCTTCTCCTTAAAGCATTCCCCGATTCTATATTGTATTATTGTCGACTCATGAACACTTTCTTCCGATTGTCCGAATTGAACCTAATTCGTCACTGTTTGACAATCAATCTTTCGCCCCCAAACTCTCATCTCAAACCCTAGCTCATTATTAGTGTTATATCGGTATACCAATCAATACAATAACAATACAAATACAAATACTTTGTTATATACCTAGGTAAGGAAGGTTATACAATACAAGTAGCTTCGAATCCTTCCCATATGAAAAACTCATCAGAGCATCGATTGGTTAGTTGCACTTTCTTTGATGTTACCTCCGGCGAATTGTCCTTCCTTCTAGAAAAAGAGCTTGTTAAGCTTGTTTAGCTTGTTTAGCTTCTTAGGGTTGTATTTGCATATTCAAATGTATATTCGAGTCAAAGGTAAGGTTATCTCGTTAACTGTACTCAGGGTTCTCCAGTTTCCAGATGATGTTGCAGCTGGGTAGCTGCTAGGTATAGGTAGAACAATGTAACAATTGATAAGAGATAGAGATAGAGATAGATAAAAAGCTCTTATCAATTTTCCTATTGGGAATGTCCAGCATAGCATAATCTTGTATTACCCTTTCGCCCTTAATTCGGAAGAACTGATTCAAATACATTTTTTCGGTAGATCAGGAGATCAAGTAACTTTGTATCCTCACATCTTACTTGTCAGTTGCTTCCTAGGCATTGCCGTCTTGGAGAGACAGAGATATGATTGCTCCATTCAAGAAGTAATAACTTGATTCTGATTGGATAAAGTTACCTACCTACCTACCTCTCTCGCAAGCTCCTCTCGGCCGATAGTACTATTTTTATATTGTTATTCAATGTATTGGCCACATGAATATCGTACCCAATGGAAGCACTTGCGTATATATTAGGTGTTAGATATTAGGTGTGTGACTCGAACTAGCAATAAAATCCAACTCAAAGGTCCGATATTTGGCCAATGTTTGCCTGCCTACCTACCTACTTTTACCGCTGATACCGGTATTTGAAGAAAATCGAGCTTCCTTGAAGGTCGAAACACCGGTTGACCTGATTCAGGTCCACAACTATACAAGCTACTACTGATACTCCAGTATTACTATTTTGGAGTGGCAGTGGCGTGTAATAATAGTTACCATTAAGAATCAAGAGCAACATTGGAATCTTTCCCAATCTATCCATTTTTGGCTCTTTTTCTTCGTCTTTTCGAATCGTGGTATTAAGGGTATAGCTAAGTGATATTCGAACAGGATTGGATGTTGGATACTCGAGTATTCGCTTGAAAGAAATACAATACAAGTACCGATACTGAAGACAAGCAAAAGGAAGAAGAGCTCGCTAGGCTATTGCTCCATCTTTAGGAGCTCTTCAATGGTTCTAGCTATGTATATAGATCCATTAGTTCTAACTTCTAACTGGTTGTACTCGAGTACATTCTCCATATGTCCGAATCTAAAAGCTACCTAGAAAAGATAGAGGGAAAAAAAAGAGGAAAAAAGCTCTTATCCGAAGCTCTTTTCTTGACTCTTACCCCACTAGCGAAGAAGCTCTAACATGTCCTAATATATCCTACACCCTTATTAGAGCCCACCTAGCGAAAAAAAGACCCCTCAATCAAAATATAATATTCCTTCCTCGATAACCCAAGCCAACACACATTCCTTTTCAAACATCAATTGTAAAGAAATCATTTGGAAAAAGATAGCTTTTAGCTTTGAGCTTCAATCAATTTCTTGTATCTTTGTTCTCTTGAAAGAATTACAATACCAAAGTTCAAAAAGAAATTACTCTTTCTATATCATTTTATTGATACTTATTCGAAGATTTGCTATCAATAACGAAATTCCCGCTTCCCGATACGAAACAAGTGCGACGATACCACGATACCAACGATACCCGTACTCCGCACTCCGCACCTATCTACCTATCTACCTATCTACCTATCTAATCTACTACCCATTATCACTTTTTGACTTGGTAATGGTTGAGCCTACCTTGACGATGCCTCCTCGTTCTTCGTTGACATCGTCATTTTCGGTTTCCGATGTTAATAATGAAGTTGTTTGTCCATTGAGAAATCAAGATGGCTCCAGTTGTCGCAAACGTTGTCTCGGCGTGAGTGCCTCTACTCTGCTGTATCTGCTGTACCCCTTTGGAAGTTCTTTCCCTTTTGTACGGTTCAATCCGTGGTAACAAGCGAGTGCAATGGACAGGAAAAACGATATCGATCCATGCAAGAGCACATTAGAAGAGCTCATCCAGAAAATTATATTTCGAAGCTTCCTGCGACCGAAGAAAGCTTCCAACTCATGATCAATACCCCGCCCTCGGAGCGACCACAACCAGCGCCAACAAGCTCTGCTCAAGCTTTAAATAGTCTGTAGAAATAATTTGGATTGTTTACTTGCCATTACTGACATGGTGTATTCAGGCTTCACACATGAACGACAGAATTATTATGGCGAACATTCGAATCATTCAACTACTCCAAATACTCCCAATACTCCTAGAATTTTGGACGATAGCTCAATGCTTCCAGCCGCTAGCGCTGCAGCAGCTTTAGCACAGCTACACAATCATAAATTGGAGAACGAATGGGAATCTGAATTGGTTGGTCAATTCTCTAGCTTGATTGCCCGAAAAATGAATACAATGCTAATTGTTTTAGGATTGGATGTCGGATAATGAAGCTCATAAACAAGCAATGCGAGCTTCTATAGAGCTTCCTCCAATTCATTCCAACAATCGAGAACCAACTAGCGATCCTTTTTCTCAATACAATGCCCATCGTCGCAGAGATCTTCTCCCTTCTATACTCTCGCCTCCAGGACGATCATCTACACTCCCTCCACTTCAAAGAAATCCAAGCGCAGGTCGTCCTAGAAAACAATCAGTGTCAAAGCGTGCTCGAGAGCCACAGCATAGAAGGCAAAAAGATCGTGGGGAGCATGCTCATCTGCGACGTCTAAGCCATGATCGCAAAGCTCAATCTGCTGAGCCTTCGAGTGCATTTTATGGAAAACGATGGGAAGATTTAATCGAAGCAGCAACATCAGCTACAGAAGACGTAGAAGATGATAGAACACCGGTTTGTCCTTTATGCATATCCGGTTTTGCTTGCATACTAACGGAAATGCAGGTTCCCCCATCTCCAGTTTCGGTGAATCGTGCATCAATGCCCCCCTTTTCCGCATCACATTTTCAAGGGTATCAGGCTTCACCATTACAGCAAGCACTCACTCCACCATCTTATCTGGCTGAAGCTCCAGAACCTTTTCCATCAGTGGAGAGTAGTGGAAGTGGTGAAAATTTCAATATTGGATCCCAAGGACTATCTGATTCATCGCCAAGCTTCTCTGCAATAAATATACAAATATACTGCGCTGCTTGTCAGAATGTATCTTTCCTGAAGGAATCTTACGCATGTACAGAATGCATATGTGGTATTTGCCAACCATGTGTTGAAGTTCTCATGGCGGAACAGGGAGCACGTAGAACGTGTCCTAGATGCGCTACCATTGGGGGACGATTCAAACCTTTTCAATTGGATATTCGTTAAGTCATTGGATGAAACTATTGGGTCTGAACAAATTGGTAAGAAAGGAGTTGGTCACTATGGGTCAGGAATCAGGATAGACTGGACGGGAACTTTTGGGAGAGGGTATGGCGTTTGATCATTCCCAGGGTACCGAGGGTTACAAGACCACTCTTGTTTTTGATTTTGGGTATAGGTTGCAACACGAAATTGTATTTTGGGATTTTCTTACAAACACGTTTGTTCTCGAGGCACGCATTTTTGGGCTGATGTTTATAGTCATAAGAAAGATATCTTGTTCAAGAATTCGGAAAGCTACAAGAGGCTTGGTATTAATTACTTGAGCTATTGACCCGACTGGTGAGTCTTGAATGAGCTGTTATATCATATCTGCCAACTGTCTCTTTTTCTCGCTCAAATCTCACTCAAATCATTTTGGAAGATTCAAAGCAGTTTGAAGGGTCAACGATTGAGTCTAATTGGTGAGTAGTATATGATGGTGGTGGCTCATGTCAGAAGTATATGATGGCGGTGGCTCGTGTCAGAAATCGTCTATATATTCATATATATTTAGTCTCGGGAACATTTTTTTCCGGAGGATCAATTTTTGTCAGTGAAATCATCAGATGCTCAAAGCAACACACGTAAGTTATGACATTGGGGGACTTTTTACGAGTGTAATTAGTAATTACCAAAGAAAGTCCCGAAAACGACCCCAATTATTGAAAACCGAGCATGGGCTGAGGCTCAGCGGCCTCATTGAAGATAAGGTGTCTACATTTGGGATTCGTCTCCGACAAGGCTATTCGAGACAGGCAGCTGAACTGTGGGATTGGCCAATTAGAGTTATGTGAATAAGAACAATTGTACGACACTGATGCGTGGGACAGTATCTGAGATGGTGATGGATATCGTGATTGGATGGCTGACGTGAGGCAATCCCGCGTCTATGGGGGTCCAGTAAGGCCTGAAAATAGCTGACCTACCTGCTCAGTTGTGATGCATATGTGATGGTTTTGGAGTTCGCAGTGCCATTTTGCGAACGGCGCAAATATTGAGATGGTGAAGGAGGGGTCAAACGGATATTCTTTATATCAATTGGTTTCCCCCATCTTTTCACTACAGATTGTTTATTTTCTTCAATTGTTTCTTTACTCTTGTAAGCCAACCTTTTCTTGTTCTTCAAGGAGAAACTATCTTCATATATATTTTTGGCGCTCAATTGCTACCACTCACCACTTCACAACTATCGACCCAAAAGCTTCAAGGCTTCCCCCTTTATATCATATAGAAAATAGAAGTTTGCTCGATCTCACAGGTCACAATGGTCTCTCATCATTTCACCACCCTCCCCATTCCTCCTCTTGAAAACCTCAGCACGGAATACGTGCTCCAAGAAATCATCGACCACATTGGAAGACTCGCCGATGATTTCCCCCATGTTAAACTTGATTTACTACGCAAACAACTCTGGGATATTAGAAATAGAAATGTGGAACCGAAAAAACACTTGAGAGGTTTATTGAGAGTGTTGGAGCATACGCATACGTTTATGAATGCGTTTGAGGAATTGGAACCGGGATTGCAGGGACAGATTAAAATGTTTATGGATGATGACGGGGATGTTAGGGAGAAGGAGATTTTGGACACGGGAAGACAGGGGGTAGGTGGGAAGGGAGATTTTCATATCCCGCCTAGTCCGGCGGTGAAACATCATTTTAGGGAGATGGTGAAGGAGACGGTGAGGGAGAAGGCGCATGGGGAGAAATTGAAGCAGGTGAAGAATAAGGTGATGAAAAAGATTCAGGAAGCGAAGGAGGAGTTAGAGCGAGAGTTTGTGGAGGAGGTGGGGGGGCATATTGAGATGGTTCAGTTGGTTGAGGAACACGTGGGGGAGTTTTGGGGGAGGCATGGGAAGTTTGGACATTTGAGGGGGTTTCTGGGGGGTGCGTCTTGGGACTCTCATTTGGATTATTCTTCTGTTTGGGGAACAGTATCTCCGAGGATATGGGAAGATGTGAAAGGAATGAGGATCATGGAAGTCCATAAAAACGCTCCTTTTCATAATTGGGGTAATAGCGTCTCCAATACTCCTCTCTATACTTTCGTCCCGACCACAGTCCTCGGTCTCTCAAATTTGGTCAAGTGGGCTAAAGTGGAAGGATACAGAGTTCGATGCAGCGGATACAGACATTCGTGGAGTAATACTTTTTCGCAGGATAAACAGGTATTGGTTAGTATGTTGAATTTGGAGAGTGTGGAGAGGATTCCGGATGTTATGAGTATTGCGGAGGAGAAGGGGGATGTTGATACCAATGGGGATGGGATGGTGGACGTGAATGAGTTGAAGACGATTGAGTTGGATCCGAAGATTGAGGGGTTGAGTTTGACGGGCGATGAGGAGGGGAATATGCTTTGTAGAGTTGGGGCGGCGGTCACGAATGAACAGTTTAGGAGGTGGTCGGTGGGTCTTGGGAAGTGGGCGTTGCCCGTGGATGTCATTCTTGTTGAGTATGTATTTTTTTCGATTCTTTCTTCATTTCTTGTATCCATCTCGTCGTCATTTATATTCATGAAGAAGCAAATACTAACCAAAATAGAGTCACAGCAGGCGGCGTCAACGGCCCCATCTGTCACGGCGCAGGCCGTCGCCATAGAACCGTATCCGACTATGTCCGCGCCATAGAATATATTGACGCCAACGGCATGCACCGCAGCATCACCAACCCCGCCCATCTCCTCGCCGCAGCCGGATGTTTCGGACTCCTAGGCATCGTCACACATATCACACTTCTCCTCTCCCCCATGACCTACGCCATCCTACGACCCACCAAACCGGACATTGGCCTAGCCATCCCCCCCCCTCTCCCCATCAGATATCCCCATCGCGCTGCGCAAAACTTGGACCCCAGCCCAATATGACGCGGCGCTGAAAGAGTTTGAAGATAAAGCTAATAATGATTATTATAGCGAATGGTTTTGGTTTACTCGTAGTCAGCAGGCGTGGGTTAATACGTGGAATGTGACGGGGGATGCGGAGGGTGCGGTGGAGTATCCGAGTCCATTTGAGACGTTTGTTCAGTGGGTGCAGGGGTGGGTTGGGGGGGTGTTGACGGGGAGTGAACTTTTTGGGATGTTGCCGGGGAGGTGGCAGGCTTGTATCTTGAGTACTTTTGGGAGTAAGTTTTCTGATTTCTTTTTGTTTTGTGTTTGCAATGGAAGTGAGGTTGGGGGTGAGGGTAAGAGATTAAAGAGAGGAGAGGGGATGGCAGTGATGAAGTGGATTAAATATGAAGGAGATAAGTTGGATGCATTTACTAACAATGATATAAATAGTGGTCGCACTACCCCCTTTTGAGTTCAACGATTTCGAGCAAAAGAAAACTGTAGAATACAAAACTGCCCTTCCGAATGGACTTCATTTCCGACGAGGTGTAAGTTTTTCATCCCTTCCCTTCCCTCCTCTTCCCTTTCCCTTTCCCATCCCCTGCACCCCCTCCCCCACTCAAATACCACCTACTCTAATATCCTCTCCCCCAAAGATTCAAAACATGCGCGTCCGAGACCTAGAATTCCAAATCCCCATCCCATGTCTCCCCAACGGCACCCCAGACTACACGCCAGTCCGCCGCGCCTGGTGGGACATTATCAATCTCTGCTACCGCGACTCGGAAACCCCCATGCGTCTCACGCTCGAATTACGCATCATGGGCGATTCTAATTTGATTATGGCGCCGCAGCGGGGAAATCGATGGGGCACGGCTAGTATTGAGATTTTGAGCACGCAGGATGCGGTTCGGGATGAGGTGTGGAGACCGTTTTGTCAGGAGGTGGTGGATTTGTGGGGGGGATTGAGGGGGGTTATGGGGGTGCGAGGGGGTGGGGATGGGGGAGGGGAAGAGGAGGAGGGGATGGGGATGGGGGAGGGGGAGGAGAGGAAAGAGGAGGAATTGAATATTAGGCCGCATTGGGCGAAGGAGTGGGAAGGGGTGAGGATTAGAGGGAAAGAGGCAAAGGTTTATTTGAAAGAGGTGGCGTATAAGGGGGAACTTGAAAAGTTTAGGCGGGTGCTGGGTGAGATTGGGAGTGAGCAGGGGTGGGGTTTGGGGGATCTGAAGGGGAGGTTTAGTAATGAGTTGTGGGATTATTTGGTTTTTGAGGGGGTGGGGGAGGAGGAGGAGGAGGAGGAGGAGGAGGTGGGGGAAAGGTTGGGGTGAAGGTTGGGGGGAAGATTGATGGGGTGAGTCGTGTTGATATGAGTAGTGTGACTTTGATCACTGCGGCGAATGTGGTAAATGGGGTGCATGGAGATGGTATCAATGGTGTCAATGGCGTTAACGGAGTCAAGAAAGAGGAGAATATACATTAAGAGATTTCCTATTTCCTATTTTCTAGTTTCTATTTTCTATCTTTAGAGCAGGAAAACATCTTATCTATTATTTCTTTCCTTTTTTTTGCCTTTCCTTGTTTTCTTGTACGCTCGAGTATTACTGCTATATAGCATTTAGAAAATTAGAAAATTAGAAATTTAATATTTAGAAGTTTAACATGTAGTATATATTATATACCGTGCAGATCAAATCGATAGATATTCTCTTTAACGATTTATAGATTGATATTTATCTTTGAATTTTGGAATGTGTGTTGCAATATGTATTGGAGTTTGTATTGGAATGTGTACGTACTCATATCATACGTTCCTGGGTTTGAATGGGTATGTGCATGAATTAGTGTATGAATTATCATGAATGTGTATTGAGATTGGGATTGGATTCGGGAATGGAAATGGAAATGGAAATGGAGTTGAAGTTGAAGTTAAAGATGGGATTCCATGGGTAGAAAAAAGCAGTAGAAGTAGAAGTAGAAGTACAGGTGAAGGAGGGAAGGAGTAAAGAAAGTGAAAAAGGTTAGGAGTGTGTGATGTGAATACATACATACCTAGGTATCTACCAAACAAGTTAGTTATATCATAGCATGATAGCAGAGATAGATATTGTGGACTTCACGAAGCTTACCCAATGGGGCTTGGACTAGTGAGTCTGGTCTTCAAGAAGCTTACCCAATTGGGTTTGGATCAGTGCGGTGAGTCTGGTGTAGGTCTTTATGAAGCTTACCTAATGGGGCTTGGACTAGTGCGATGAGTCTGAAGTCTTTATGAAGCTTATCCCAATTGGGTTTGGACTAGTGCGGTCGGGATTAGCTCGGGCAAGTCTGGGGGAAGTTCGAATGAATGAATGATTGAATAATGAATACCGTCTAAACTGAGGTAACTGAGAACGGGTCCAGCTGTATTTGGCCTAACTGTTGATCAAGACCTCTAATGAATGTGCTGTACTTATTATGTTGTGTTATGTTATATTTTGTTGGGTGTGGGTTATGGGAATGGGAACAGTGTTCTCGAGTATATGTGTATGTGTATGGGATTGAGATTGGGATTGATGTAAATGTAAATGAGGATAGTTGGATAGTTGGTATTTTTTTATGATTCCGGGTGAGTACAATCGAGTATATCTATATCCCCAATTTCATCACTCTACTCTACTCTACTCTACTCTAATCCACAAATACCATTTTCAGATCCCATTTTTAAATTCCATCTCATTTTCCAAGTAAAATTGGAGGGGAAAAGACAGCAGTAAGAATCCATGATCAATCACAAAGCGTATATATGGTCAAAGCCAAAGTTCGACGCTTAACTTTTGTGTGTGATTTGTGTGTGTTTAGAGAAAGAAATATCGGTTCAAATAAGATTTTTCCCATCGAAATACGTGTAGCTCATGGTATCTAGATCGATGTTTTTGAAGGTTCGGATCTGTTTGGTGGGGGGAGGGTGGTTAGTTGATGGGGATTGGGGTTGGGGTTGAAGTGTGGATTGTGTTTGAGTAGAGTAGAGGAGTAGAGAGTAGAGGAGAAGAGGAGAAGAGGAGAAGAGGAGAAGAGGAGAAGAGGAGAAGAGGAGAAGAGTAGAGTAAAAGAGGAGCGAGCTTTTAGGGAAAAGGAAAGGGAATGTTGTTTTAAAGATGGGGATGGGGATGGTGTGGGATGGGATGAAATAGGATGGAATGAGAGGGTACATGCAGCTGAGGAAAGAAACTTAAGATAAAACGGAACGAAATGAAAGAGGAACGAGAAACTACTTTCCCTCTGCTATTACATTACATTACAATACATTACACGAACTCAATACCGATACTGATACCAATAGTTAAAAAGCACTAGCTTTCCCCAATCATATCCAATATCAAGTGACGAAACGAACACAAGCACAACGCCCCCCCTTCCCCCAAAACAAATAAATCCACAAGTAAAATTCAAATAACTCACATTAATGGCCACGATATCTTTCCTCGGATCACTTTCTCCAAAAACTTCCGGACGACGTAAATCAACCATAATACTACTTCCGCAATGGGTGCAGAAGCGATGATCTGCGATTCCGTGTCCGAATTTGTAGGTGCCCATTTTGAGATCAGAATCTAGGGAGGGGTTAGACTTGATTTCGAGGTTGTTTGTTTAGATTGAGGAGGAGAAAGACGGAGAAAAAGGGAAAAAGGAGTGATGTTTAAAAGTCTCCTCAACTTACCATCCAAGAACTTAATATCCGTTCTCATAGGATACACCAATAAATATCCATGTTGTGTACAAACAGAACACGTGCATTGATTAACAGTGTATTTAGGAAATGGCCATTTGAGCGTTACAGTGAACTAGGGTTGATATTGTTAGCTATTCTATTGCATGGTGTATATTTCTTTATCTACTCGAATACTTATCTCTTTCTAGAACTCTAATCTAGATTCAGTGTACTACTGTATAGTGTACTTGAGTAGTATACTCATGTCGCCAGAAAGTCCGCAGCTCGGGAACTAAGAAAACTAGGTCACTCCCTTGTAGTTTACCAGTATATGGTATATGCTGGTCTACCCGAGTTGCGGACTTTCTGGCGGTATGATTACCCGTATTCATATGATAGATGAGAAATGCAAAAAGAGATGAGATGAGATGAGATGAGAAATTAAACAAACAGTAATAACACCACAATGACAACTTCCCTCGTGCGTGGTTCGTTCCTCAGCAGAAGTCTCCTCGACGCGTGTGATGATTTCGGTGGAGAAGGGCTCGTAAAGACGAGTTAGAATTTTGGTGCGGTCGGGTTGCATTGTGAGGTAGGTAGGTAGATAGGTAGGTACACGTATTTGCTTGCTCGAGGAGAAAGAAGGGTTGAAGGGGGAGGGGGGAGGGGGGTGGCGTTGTTATTGAGAGGGATCTTGTTTATTGTGTTGGAATATATGGAGGGTACTTAGATGTAGGAAGAGGAGTTTATATTGTGAGTACAGGTGAAATGTGGTATACTGTATGTATGTACTCGAGTATATCTGATAACGAGGGGAGTGGAGTTTATATGACAAGTTTTCAGCCATCTGTGCCATGTATGGCTGAAGTGGGGAAATCCTGAGAGAAACTCGCGATTCGGATAACATCTGCTTTCCGAGATCCCGGCAATGTTGTTATTCAGCATTTGAATGTGCATACCTTCTCGGTGCTATTGGACTTATAAGCTTGTCTAAAAGCAATCTTTAAAATAAGCCTACCATAATAAACTTATAATACGGTAATAGTCTCAATAATTGATAGACTAACGCACGTAAATGTTGATTTATAAATACTCTTAATAAAGCAGTAATTGATTAAAAAAAATTCGTCAATAGATAACTAGATATAATACAGTATATATATCTTCTAACCCTAATTAAGGTTGACGAGCCGCGCGACGAATCGGAAGAATCTATGGATGGACAAACCAACATCAAGTTACTGTATTCATCATTTATTATTGATTTAAAGTATCTTATTCATTACGACTCCAATGGTACCAATGCCCTTTCGAAACTCTCAACTTTACAGCTTTCTTATGTTGTTATAATATACTTATCCGATGTGAATTTGAGCTGCCCCTTTCTCCGTAAGTCTGCAGGATCTAGATATAATTTAAATCCCATACCTCGAGCTCCGAGTTTAAAAACTCTGGCAATCAAATAGACCTCGCTCAGTGACTGATTGTCTTGGAGTTTCAAGTTTTCCATTATATCAAATTGATTTTGGCTACAATAGAATGGAGTATCGAGTGGTCCAAGTGTTGTTTTGACTTCGATATAATATGTGGGAGATCGTTCAAACTCTGGTCTTCTATGGCCAGTGAGGCATATCTTTGTATTCGTCATGGATGGCGGCTCGATGTCGGATCGTGCTCCTCCAGTTTTCGAGGCCGTCTCAGGCGATGCTGTGATGCTTTCTGATTCTGCATCAATTGTTGGACTAACAATATTCGCAGAATCATCAGGTGTTGATAGTTCGCTCTCGCTATGATCTTCTGGAGGGGAGATTCCAGGTACTTCAATGATGCCATCTGAATCAAGAATCGCATCTACAGTAAAGAACCTAGTAGCAGTGAGGATAGAACCGAGTTCGGCTCCGTTGGGGAGTTTGGGGATGCCAAGATGTTTGATCAATTCAATGGGTAGCTGGCGCGAAAGACAAACGTCTCTTTGCCGCTGTTCCTTGGGAACATATAATTTGAGCCCATCGTCGTCTTGCGCAGTATGTAAAGATGCTGCGAGTACGTTGATTGATATGATTATTTTATTATGAGTGATGGAAACTTCTTTGGCAATACTGTCGCTAGTGAAGACTTTGAGAGTCTGCAGCAAGCGATAGGTAGGGATCACATTGTTACTTCCGTGATGGGCAGCATACCTTGGATTATATATTAGCAAATAAATATCTGACAGACTTAGGTACGACGTAGCTCACCGGCAAATAGCATAAGCTTTTCTTCTCAAATCCTTCGTGAGTGCGTCGTCCAGTAGTCCAGCCCCGATTTTCGTCTCCTTATATCTTTCATAAAGCCCGAGGCCAACCAGAATTAGATTTATAGTATGCACTTCCTCTAGTGAAAAGTCAAGCAAATTGATCTTGTTCTTGAAAATGCCACTGTACTCTTTAGGATCGACGAATGCAAAACTACCAAGGAAGCCCCAGAAATCATCTGCAATAGAGTCTGTAGGTATATATCTGACCCAGCTGTACCGAAGTGTATCATGCTCAAGAAACCCGTTGGGCCCATCAATTGCACTGCGAAATGTTGTGACTACCTCCTCGAGCAATCTTTTGTTCCATGCAGAATCTACAACATTCTCTCGGTTGTCTTTGATAATGAAATCGGATTGTAAAAGAAACTTATGGTTCAAGTTAGCTTCAGCATTAGATGTTAGAAATGTATGAGCTTGACTAACCTTATATCCAACCTTCCTCAATGGAAGGAACGCAAAAACATCTTGGTTTTCGATGACTGGTACATCGTGTTCGTCGATAGGAAAGGCCAGGACAACTTCAGCTTCGTAAATGTCACGACGAGCGGAATCAACAGGAAGGTTGACGGCGCGATGCTTCTTAACCCAGAAGCTCTTAGGTGTGATCGAACTTTTCATACCCGTGACTGCGGTCTTGATCTCAACTATATTGTGAAAGCGACCTTTATTGTTTGAACTCAGATAAAACTGGACCTTTTGGATGTCCTTGTCAGGAACTTCAAATTTAACAGTTAGCTGCTGTAGGTTTTTGAGAAATAATAACAATGTGTTTGGCAATGTTAGCAAATCTTGATATAGAGCTTCTCGATCTTTATCCTTATAAAGATATAAAACCGTCCTTGTTCGAACACCACCGGGAAGCTCTTGTCGGCTCTCATTGATGGGTGTTACCATACTAGGACCACTGTTTACACGATCTCCCTTGAGATATTCAAACGCAAAGGAGTAAGGACCAGACTGTATATGAACTTTATGAGCGACGCCAAGAACCGATTTAAAACCGATGCCTTTTTCCCGATATAACCTTGGATGTCTGTTTTGGTACTCTCGCCGATAGAACATATGGATTTGATGTCCTTTCGAGTGAAACCATCTTCATTGGAATCTATGATAACTTGATCTGGTTGGAGAGTGAAAGACAAGCAAGGTGGTTCCGCTGCGATTGTGTACCTATTTTCTTCCGCATTTTGGATGAGCTCATAGATAAACCGGGTAGACTTTTGATAGAACTGGGTAGCCAAACTGTAGAAACTTAGTAAAACAAGATTTTAATGAGCAAAAGTAACAGTAATTGTTGTCTTGAAGACGAACACTCGAGCCGCATTACCGAACTTCCTTCGGTTATTATCGACTGACTTCAGGATATCGGGCGTTTCTCGCTCTAGAAATTCTCGATCCTCTCTTGTAATTCTACCTTTGTCAATCCTCAACTTATGAAGTTTCGTGCTTCCTTGAGCTGTTCTTGAGAGTAATTTTGCATGTTGCTTCTGCAAGGTCAAATCTAGTCGAGTGATAACTGCTAGTGCTTAGACAACTAGGTACTGAGCAGTGGGCATGAGATGAAATGTTTTTATAGCTACTTGATCCGAGGTATTACGCTCTGCATTATTGCGGAGCCTTTCCATTGTCTGCTATTAGTTGTATTGTTTTGCATATCAGTAAACGCTCAACTACAGGTGATGGGCCAACATTGCAACCTTCCAGATTCAGCTGATGATGCATTTGGTTGAGTCCCGCAGTGCTATCTGACTGATATTTGGGAAGAAGGGGGGCCGGCCGGCTAAATATTGAAAGCGATGGCTGGCCCGTGCATATTACCCGAAAGATTGAAGCTACAGTAGTTTAGTGTGGGGTAAGTTCCCGAGGTGCAACATCAATTCAAGATCCCCATTACTACCAAGAGTTTTTGCAATATTGAAGCTTTCCAAGTTATCTCGATATTCAATTCACCCCCATACTTCATGTAGCAATGTCACGAAACGCGGCAGCTTCTGTCCTTCGACGGGCTCTGCTCTATGGTATGCTATTCATTTGAACACCACACGAAAGCTCCCTCATGGGTAGCTAACCTACGAACAAGTACCATCATCATCGCCCAAATTCTTAGAGAAGTCCCGAGGATTAAAAGTCGATACTGTCGCGTATGACCTAGAGGACTCGGTGACGTTGGGGAATAAGGAGATGGCAAGGAAGAATATAGTGGATTTTCTTAGAGGTGAAAGACCAAAAGATGTGGGAGAGTATGTAATTTGTTTGAAATGCTTTTCTTTTACCATCAAAGGTATAGAATACATACTAACCTCACATCCTTCACAGAATAGCTGTACGGATCAACTCAGTCTCATCAGGCCTCGCCCTCCAAGATCTCACCCAAGTCCTTAAAAGTCAACACCTAGACACTCTCGTAATACCCAAAGTAAATTCACCCTCCGACCTCCACTTCATAAACGATATTCTTCGTCATACCCTCCCATCGCGACACCCATCCACTCCAACAACCTCTTCGAACCCAGTAAAAATTCTCGCCCTCGTAGAATCAGCTCAATCACTCATCAATCTCTCCTCAATTTGTCAAGCATCTCCCTACCTACATGGCCTAATATTCGCCGCCGAGGACTTCTCCCTAGATTTAAGTATCACGCGAACACCCAGTTTAGACGAATTTCTGTATGCAAGAAGTCACATAGCAACCTGCGCACGCGCATTCAATATCCCATCCACCATCGACCTGGTATGTACATCATATCGGGGAAGTGAGGGACAAACACGATTAGAAGAAGAATCACTTCAAGGAAAAGGCCTCGGATTTAACGGAAAACAATGTATACATCCCTCCCAAGTGGACATTGTTCAGAAAGCATTTGCGCCCGGGAAGGAAGAAGTAGAGTGGAGTATGAGAGTAGTGATTGCGGATGAGAAGGCTGAGAAGAAGGGAAAAGGGGCGTGGACGCTGGATAATAAAATGATAGATGCGCCGGTGACGGGGAAGGCAAGGCAGGTGGTTAAAAGAGCCGAATTGTGTGGGTTTGACGTTGAGGCTATGAGGGAGAAGTGGCAGGATCAGGAGCCAGAGTAAATGCGTGAAGTATGTTGTCAAGTGAATGGCATGACAACGGTACAATATCCGTTCCAACATTTACTGATGACTTCCCATCCGAATCTCTAGCGAACGAAACACCCATTTTCTACTATGCGAAAATGCACCGGGAACATGTCAGAATGTGCTCTCGGTGTTTGTGATATACTCTGTAAGTACTGGCCTAGACTATGCGCGAGACGCATCAAATTCGTAGTAGCTATAACCATGCAAGTACTATAAGCTATAGCAATGGATAGGAATTATAATTGAGAATTATTTCTGCTCTCCCGCGCACTTTGCACCAGCTTCTACTATATCCATGTATTCCATCCATGTGTTCCTTTCATTCATCCATTCATTCAATATACTCGAGTAGCACATATTTAAACAGTAAATTTAAAACGAGCTAATTACTAACAAGGAGGTAGATAAATAAATATGTATATATATACGAGTAATCGCGCTACTGCCATCTACAGATTAGATACAGATATAGATGTACAAGATATCCAATATCCAAGAACCAATATCCAGTATCGGCATCTCCATACTAACTAACTACAATAGTAATTATGGCGCACACTAGCAAATAAACCTAAACTCCAATATCCTGCCTCCCTTCCTCCCTCCCAAACAGAAGCACCTCAACAAATACGCACCCACCCACCCAACTATCTATCTATCTATCTATTTATCTCCCCCTCACCTCCCTAGCCCTCCTCCTCTCCTCCTCCGCCTCCGCAATCGCCTCATCGATCCTCCTCTCCTCCTCCTCCAGCGTCGCCACTTCTTCCGGCGACATCCCCGGTTCGCTCAGAAACGGCGCTTGTAGCGTTCCCTGATATACTTTCGGAATATCCAAAATCGATCTTCCTTCATTTCTTGCCCTTTCTATTGCTCCTGCTCCTACTCCTGTCCCTGTCCCTGTCCCATTGGCACCAACATTATCCGTATACGGTTCCTGATCAAAAAGACTCCTTTCCCCAATCCGTTCACGACTTGTTTCGCGACTCAGGTCCCCGCTATCGCTACTGTTGCTACCTGCAGCACCGCTATTTACAGGCGATACCGGACGAGAAATCCCAGATGCGATACTAATGGGCTGACTCCCCAAACCCTCGCTCCGCAATGTGTGGGCCGCTTGGCTGCGTCGCGGACTAATGGGTACGGGTGTATTTGCCGTGAATGCGCTGCCGGGAGCAGGCAAATCCGTAGATAAATCATCGACCTCTTCGTGGTCGTATGGACCACCGGTACTCATATTCATACCCATACCCACACCCATACCCATACCAATACCAGCGCCGCGAGATGTGAGAGGAGTATTGGTATCGCTGCGATCGGTAAGACCGAGTTTCTCTGCCACAAATAGGTCTCGGGATTCGTTGTTCTTTAGGGAAGAGCTAAGGAGCGGATTTTCGGGGGTACGAGAGGAGTTTGGAGGAGGGTTCTTGCGGCGGCGACGAAGGAAAAGGAGGATGGCTAGGAGGATGAAGAAAGCGAAAATTATGAGGCCGAGAGCGATGCCGATTTTGGCGCCGAGGGAGAGTCCGCTGGATTTGGAGGTTGGGGAGGAGGATGTACCGGTTGCGTCGGCTGAGTCCGCACCAGTTCCAGTAGGTGGGGAGGTAGGTGATGTTGTTACTGTTGCTATCCATGAGTATGCTGTCGTGGGAGCATCAGATGCTGAGGTTTGCGACACAATATTGGTGTTGGCACCTATCTGACTCAAAAGCCCAGTGGAGCTCAAAATAGTGAATAATGATGTAGCCGCTGCGGTGGCGGTTGCAGCGACTGCACTCGTGATTGAAGATGCTTCAGAATCGATAGCAGATGCTAATGTCGGGATTGCTGCTTGTCGCTTTAGCCCCGCAGAACTTGGAGCTAATGCAGCCGGTGCTATTCTGAAAAATGGACTATAAGATCCACAAACGACGGAACCAGTCGTCTCGTCGAATTCATCGGTGAAACAAAAGAAGAATGCATTTGTAGTGGCATTCTCGTATGGTTCCAAGGCCGTTGTGTTGTCTCTGAGATCTAAGGTGATGTCCACAGTGCTCTCTAGGTCTTTGCTAAAGTGACAGAATCCCCCATGAGAATCCGATAACGAACAGCCATCTAATAGTCGTTAATGATCCATCAAATCAACTTTCCATCAAAATCATCCTAACTTACAAGAAACATTGAACAGAACAGTCCATGTATTGGTGGCATCCAAATTTACTTCTGGTTTGTTCGTATAGCATAGTATAAGCAGGCGTGAAATGTCGTCCTTAGAGGCATCATCGATCACCTTATAGTTGAGTATGTAGTTCTGTCCCAATGTCACTATGGGTGGAAAACTATTCCAAGTCGTGCGGAAATAGCCAGCCTGTCTATCGTCCCGGCTCATAGTCGACATATGTCGTCCAGACGGCGAAGATGATTCATCACCACCGTCTCTAAAGTCCTTGGCCAAGGCCATACCCAATAACCCACACCAGACCACCAAAGCCCTCCATCTCTCCGTCGATATAATCATTTCCAGTTTTCTCACTTCCTGATTCCTTTCCGTATATCAAATCAACATTATCACTCTTTATCCACTTTATTATCTTCAAATATTCCGCGAACACTTGTCGCAATTATCGCTTTCAAAAATCTCAAAATCAATCAAACAATAATCCATTCAAGAAAATTTTCAAAAGAGAAGAAGAGAAAAATCCTCAAGAAAGAGACCTTTCAGCCCAACGACCAGGAATCACCAACACTTAATCAACGCACCCCTACCCCTTCCATACATAATCCATCACACCAAATCCTTCACTCATCAATCAATCACCTTAGGATTTCAACATCCACCTCTAGTAATGGAGGCGCAGCTCGCAGCTCGCGGGTGGCCCGTAGAGTGAGATATGAGAATGGGATGAGATGGTGTTCCCATCCTAGAATACAGTACAGGATGCGCATGCACGTAGTGGGCTGTTCTTAGCGCCCCCTTCATTGGCTCGTTTAGCATGTGAAGGATCACCCAATCCGAATATGGTATATGGGTCTCCGTAGTATGCGCCGCTCCCTTTCTCGTTTGGATCCCTCCAGTTAATCTTCTTCCCAGCTGTATCTGTATGTTGTATACAAACTGTTTGTATATATGAAGTAGGTAAATTTATATGAGATTTGGGGGCTGAGGTAAGGATACAAACGGGCAAGTTTGCATTTGGGGTGGAAATGGGTAGATCCCGTTCATCACAGCCCTTTCTTTATTTTAGACGCGGACCCAATTGTTGACCTGAATTGATCGACTGGATTTGTGATGCATGCTGGTGATATCGATTCGTGATTCGCAATCAATAGAAATATTGATGCTATGCTATGTTATGCGCCTATCCCTAAATATTGATGCTATGCTGCTATGCTATGCGCCTATCCCGCTACTCTATCCTTTCACAACATAACACGATGGAAACAAACGAAGCAGTACTCTACCGGTACAGTATTGTATCACTCAATCCATAAGCCTCGCTGTACATAATCGAAAGAAAGGATGTAATCTCACACTTATGGAAGCTTCAAGGTACTGTACCTCTAATAAGGCTGACCGCCTGGGATAAGATATTTATACTCATGAAATGTGTATGAAATGCAACCCAAGGAAATTCAATCCTACTTCTAAGTTCTAAGGGTTCAAAGTAGGGTTTTTGGTATTAAATGAGGATTGAAGAAAAATACTTTCCACTTTCCACTTTCCACTTTCTACTTTCAACTTTCCACTACAGTATACCTTCCTCTAAGAGAGAGTATAATCTCCAAAAAGAGTAAATTAAAGTACTCACCCACCCACCCATCTATATAACTATATCAAAGAGATCTATAAATTCTTCCATTCATGACTCGAGTACTATAAGACTTAGATACAAATCTACAACAACTTCCCCAAACTTTCTCTATATATACTCGAGTATATAATGTAATCTTTCGCATTCGCATTTAGTCGATCAGAATAAGAAAGGCTTTTTTTCTACTCGAGTATAGCTATAGCTAAAAGTATAGAATTCTTTGCTCGTATTACGAGTATACGAATACCATCATTACCGTATATCATCATATCCTATAAATAGACTCTGTACCCTCCCCGCATACGACCGCTAGCCCTCAGACTCATACCAAATCACTCTCTATTCTACTCGTACATCTACTCGTACACTCATCAAATATGTAAATCTCAAAATCACCATTAACATCAAAATCACCATCACCATCACCATCAATCTCAACATCAACATCGCTCAACTCCATTCCGATCTAACCTATGCTATATGCTATATACTACTTAACCCATTCACCAATTCACCCAATCACCTATTCTACCTATTCACCCGTTAACCTATTCGCTTACTTGCTCCATACCATACCATTCCGTTCTACCCATATATTCATGTATGCACAATAATGCACATTGAGACTTCCTCTTTCTCTTTCTCTTTCTCTCCCTCTTCATCTTTCCCTCTCTCTCCTCCGTATCCCATGCACAAATTCCCACGCTTTCTGTCCAAAAAACAACAACGCAGGAAGAATAGATACATCAAGTAAGAATATACTCCCACTCCCACTCCCACCCCCACGAACCATATCATACCTTACCATACCATACCACAATTATGCAAAAGTCATCTCGATTTCCTTTTCACCCCCAGCCCCAAATTCATCCTCATCATCATCCGCCCAAGCATTCTTCTCCATCGCATATCCCATTCCCATTCCCATTCCCGTCCCCATCCCCATCCCGAGTCCTGCTCCCAACCCACCGACCCCCAATCCCACCGGCAACATACTCGCCGATTTGAATTCCGGTCTTCCATTTCTACTTCCACTCCCACTTCCATCCAAACCTCCCTCTCTAAACACAGCACTATTACCCGCCACCCCATGCCCCAGCGAATGAAAACTCGTATTTCCCCTCTCGGGCAACCTCGTACTACTAACATTAGCCGAGTGCGGAGGAGAATGATAAGCCGTATCGAACGTCATCTCGACTTCCTCTTCCGGTTCCTGAACCATATATGGAGAATGTTTTTCGAGATCCTGTCTCGAATTGGAATTTGAGTAGGAATACGTCGAGCCTACGCCAAGCCCTGCATTGGAAGGGCGAGGAGAATATTCGGGCGAACGACAATTATAGGCTTTTAATGTGCTACTAGTATCGTAGCTTTTTGTTGGCCGGAGGGAATTGCGTGGACTGGATTGATTGCTGTTTGAGGACGAGCCTAAATTGAGTTTCATGGGTGGTAGTGTAGATTTAAGTTCTTTGACTTCCATATGTTCGCCACTACCACCGTCGGCAGCAACTCCGCTAGCAACCTCTGCGCGGATCGCATCGATATCAAAAAGGACTCCATGATTGTTTCCCTGGCCATCCTCTGTCCCAGCGTGACTTGAATCATAACCCGGTTCGTTCTTTGAATCTTCATACGTTTCCCATTCTTTGCGCTCGACAGCTGATTTCTTTTTACGACCAAAGAAACTAAATCTTCCTTTTCCCTCTTTCTCCTTTTTCTCGAAGTCCTTTCTGGCCTCTTCGATTTCATTTATGAGCTCTCTCTGTCTTTCAGCGTGATTTTCCGGATCTGGGTCTTCGATTTCAGTAAACTCGTCGCTTTCAACCTCCCATCCCACTTCTCGAAGAAGCTTGGGCATGGCAGTACGGTATGCCATATGTCCCGGTACCAGATCGGTGACGTCCACATTTTCTATGCCAGGTACATTTTCAATTGGCGCAAGTCCTGCTACATGTCTGATGCCACCACTAGTAAGACGGAAAAGATATCCTAGAATCCAATCATTCCTTGCATATCCATTAACAAATCTACCAGCCACGACGGATTTAGCCTTGAGGTATTCGTCCTGATTCACCACATTAGGGGAACCAAATAGGTAAACATTCTGGACCAGTCCGTAGGCGCCTTTTTTGGCGAGTTCTTTCAGACATGAGAAGATAACTCGAGAGCCAAGGGAATATCCCACGAAAGTGATTGGTCTGGTACCAAGGTTGCGATCAATAAGTGAGTCTGCAAGAATAAGTCCTGCGGCATTGGCACGGTCAAGAGAAACAGTCCAGGGATTATCAATGAGATAAGAAAGCTTGGTCAGAACAACTGGTAGTTGTAGAGCGGCCATTAAACCAATGAGAATGGTGCTTCCAAGGACTTGTTGAAGACCTTGAGTTAGAGCCTAGAATGGATTAGTAGGTATAGAGCATATTAAGATGATTTTACTAACTTCAGTTGCAAGAATATTGATGGTATCTCCCATACTCGTAAGCATTTCCGGCTCCCAAAGAACAGAATAAATGTCTCCCATAATTGGATCAACAGTACTGTATGGCAAGCGTACATCGTCGACTTTTCCCGTCATCCATCCCGAAACTGTAATAATTAAGTTGACTCGCTTGTTATTGTGCAATGGCCGGTACTCGAAAGTCTTGACTGCTCCAGTTCTACGATTTGCAGCCCTGACTGCAATAATCCCACCTGAAGTTGCGGCACCTGTTGTGATAATGGCAGCACCTGCGGTACCAGCAAGAAATCCACTAGTACCTGCTACGCCAATTGTTGTGAAACCGGCAGCAAGACCTGCTCCAATAACAGGTGCCAAGAGGCCTGCGGAAAGTCCAATGACTAAACTTCCACCAACAGTTGCAAGGCCCATCATCAAATATCTTTTCTTGAGAGCCAATTTTCTTCTATTTTCTTTGTGATCATCCTCGTTCCAGTTCTCCTTCTCGGCTGCCTGTTGCATCTCTAAAGCGTCTGTTACTCGTTTCTCAAAACGACAAATTTCTAACCATGAAACCTCCATGTTGTCACCAACCTTTTCTAGTAAAGTTCTGGATCGTGCATCATAAACCGAATCTGCGATTAAAGTCAAGAATAGATCACAAAGTACAGTCCACCGAAGATCGATGTCAATATCCTTAGTGGTGGGAAGTTGTGAAGGAGTTCGGACTTCAGGCAAATCTTCGCCTTCGTGCTCTTGATATGGTGGAGGTACTGCAGCTGGCTCTTCCTCGTCATATGGCCGAGGAGTTGATGGAGTTGAAGGTGATTGTGGCAGCCGTGGAGACTGTACAGATTCTCGTTGAAATCGCGGAGATGAAATGGATTCCCTGGGGCTTCTACTTGAAGCGATGGAGTCTTTGCTTGAATGGGCTTTTTCGGCCATAGGATTCTTTACTCGTGCATTCTGCATGAGAGTACCGGTCAAATCAGAAGGAACTACCCCATGTTCAGCCAATTGCTCTATCATGATCTGTTCATCGGTACTAATTTCCATATGCGCATATAGCCGCACCATCATTTTTTGAGTCCACATCTTCATGGCCTCCGCTGACACCTGTATATCTTTTTTGCTTCCTTTTTTGGCTGCTACCAATAGTTCCTGTTGTTCGAGCATTTTAGACAATATAAGTCGAGTCATGCCAACATATGCAATTCTTTGCCCTTCGGTTAAAAGATCCTTGGTAGCTTGCATCTGTGAAACTGCATCTCGCTGCTCCTCGTCTTCCGCTTCTCCAGCCCCAGTGCCGTGGACATCCTTAAAAAGGTACTGTGTGTTCTCGTCCAGACTTGTCGCAGATTGAGCATCTTCATCTAGTTGTACTCTGGTATATCCTCTACCGGCGCCACCTAAACCCGCATATGCATCTGGCTCATCGTCAGATTCATGCGCCTCCCTCGCAATCAACCTATTATCGTCATCGTAAATATCGTATAGGGCATAAGCTGGCATTGTCTGCCATTCGTCGTTTCCCTGAGGCGGACTTGTTGAATCGGGCAAAGTGGTATGTGTATGTTGATGCGACCATTCTGATATTCCCTGGTTTGACTCCATCCGACCATGTCTACTATCTGTTATGGGAACCACATTCCCATTATCGTTGCCACTGCTCTTCTCTTCTAGGTCTTCTTTAGGTTTTGATGCTTCCGTAGAGTTCGCAGGTTCCGGGGATTCTGCCAGATCTTCTTTGCTTGCAGGTTCGACTTCTTTGATTGTTTCTTGAGGGGCGGGGTGACCATGAACTGGCAATTCATTATTCTGAGTTATCTCACGGGTTTCTTGCGGCTCGGGATTCGGCGTGGCGGGAAATGGAGTCGTTTGAGCGTCCTTGAACTCATCTTCCTCATCTGAGCCATTATCCTTTACATCATCCTTGACAACACCCGCATTCTTCAATCCATTCTCTTCAGTCTCGGCATTCCGATCCTCGACGATGTTCGACTTATCCTCCGATTCGGCGCTCTCCAGTCCATCATATGCTACCGGTTCTGGAACAACACCCTTCTTGAGGGGCAGTCCAAAATCATCAAGTTCTGCAGGTCCATTTTGAACAGCTGTACCCGGTCCCACATTGCCATTTTCCTTAGCATTTGTGGTGGTCTCATCACTCTGTGGCATATTGTTTCTAGCACTTCGACCACCACCTTGACTCACAGGGTAGGTGGTTTCTCTAACAGATAAATCATCTAATGTCACTTGGACATAGGTTGTTGAATATTTATTAATGTGTTCTTGCGCAAATTAAATCCATCGATTCTGAAGCACGTAGGTGTTCCAAGGTCGATGCTCTGTGAGCTTTGGCTATGTATGGATGTATGGATTCCGCACACAGTCCAGGTGAGATCAGTAAACGATTGGGGCGTGCTTATATGAGTAACGGTACAGTATGTACAAGTAATGATTCAAATGGGTTATGAGTATTCAAGTAATAGTGAAGTGAAGATTAAATAAAAGGAAATATTGCTATACTTTAAATAGATTCGACTTTTACTCGATATTCTTTGTTCTTGCCAAAGGCGCAATCCAGGGGTCAAAACTGTCAATACCTACTAGGTAGTAATGATTCGGAATCGCAATATCGTGCTTGCCGATTCTTTGTTGACTTCAAACACCAGACAACAATCAATAATCATACAGCTAAACTCCAATTCTTTGGGTATCATTCTACATTTGTGATTAATTTATATTCAACTTTTTGCCCGCTTTTCCCTTTAATATCAAACTGCTTCGTCTACTTTCTCACCTGCAATTGCAGTTTCCGCATCAGCCCCATCTTCTGCCTTTTTCTTCGAGTGTAGACGCTTTCGTTTGCGCTTAATAGGTTCTGAACCATCCGCTCCCGTACTATTGGCATCGACCAATTTGATTGACGCATCAGGCTTCGTATTATCCCCTTCAGCCTTCTTTTTCTTCTTCATTGCTAATGGATTTGGTGCTTTTGGTCCTGGAGCATTCTTCTTCTTTTTCGCAACACCTTCTTGCGCACCCATATCTTTCATTGCCGAATCTTCGTCGTCGTCCGCATCCCCTTCATTTCTCTTTCTCTTGAGACTTCCTGAAGCCCTGCCTGACTTTATGCCTTGTCTAAATTTCAACCTTTCTTCCCTGTCCCTCACATCTGTAGATGTTCCTGCCATTGGTTCCATAATCATAACACTCCTATTGATATAAACCAAAGGCACACCCTGAATTGCCCTCATAGCTTTTCTGACTTCTATATCTTGACTTGCTACCACGTATCTGTGTTTATTGGTTCCATTGTCTTTACCGTCAACTACTGCTTTGATACATTCGTGTGCGGAAAGAGGTTCGGGATAATCTTCGGGGAGGTGACCACAACGGCGTCGCTCGTACGTTTTGGCTTTGTCAATGAGATATGATACTCCAGGTTCTGACGAAGCAGCGTATAAATGGCGCATTGAACATTGTGTGATCACTAAGACATGTCAGTACTTGATGCGGCAGGATATAATGTAAGTGAACGTACTGGGCTTAACTTGACCTTGAAGCGTTCGCTCCAAGCCGCCTACCAAGTCCATCTTAAATCTGTCGGCATCCCTAATGATGTCTGCGTCAACTGTGAAGGAGAAGAGTTAGTCATTGGAAACGAGCAATGGTACTGATGGGCAAAATGGGGAGCTCACGAAGAACTTGATATGCCTCGCGGAAACCAAAGCTCATGCCATATTGCTGCATGAGCTTTTTGTATTGCTTCGCCCTTTTTCCTCGCATATTTGTAAATACGGCAAGATAATTGAAGAGTCGTTTGATTCAATGTGTGTAATTGGAAGGGATGTGATGGACGAAGATTGATATTTTTTTATCGGATCCAAAAAATTTAAGGTTAGGTCACAGTAGCCGATAAGGATTTGTTTATCGTTAACAAGGATAAATTAGGCCTAGTGAAGCCTGACTTTACGATCGTCCTACGGGCCAGCAAAGTCTAGAACCAAAGGATAGGAGTCTAGCGAGTAGATTAAAGGTTTATATTAAATATTGTATAAATAACTAAAAAGTCTTAGATATGCTGCACAAACAATATTCCCCATTGTATCGATGGCATTTGAGCCCTAAACTCTTCACGCCTGCAACACTCCTCCTCCTTCTCTGCCCGTCTCTGGTCAGGGCGTCCATCCCTATGAACCGAATCTTTCGATGATAAGATCTCCGTTTCGTATTATCCTCCTCCTGACATATCGTTGTCTCTATGTGCGTCTTGGCGCGGGTAGCTGTCACAGGAACAGCTTCTAGCCACTTTATTTCCGAAGTCGTGCCTTGTATATCTCAAATAACCCCATAACCACTTCATCCGTTGCAGCGTTTACATAGAGCTGCGACAACACTTATATCATCTAATTTTCCTAAAATTAAGTTAGCAAATGACATGGTCATCAGTTTCAATCAACGTACCTCCTTCCATAGCAAGGCCTTCTTCAACAGCATGCTCCATGAATGGGCTCTCTGCGAAAGGATCTTGCGCGATAACTTTCGCGGCTTTCATGAGCTCATCGGCTACGAATTTCATACCACCTCCAGCACCACCTCCTCGATCCCCAGTACTTACACCACCCTCACCTCGCTCCCACTTACGGATACTGCTCACAACACTTTCGATTATCTCATGCTCCCATAGATTGTCAATGACACCATCAGACATAGCAAGAACGACATCGTCTTCCTCAATCTCAACCTTATCCATGACAGCATTATTAACGGGTGTATCGGGGCTGTTTGTACCAAGTTGTCGAGGACAGTCAAACCAATGCCATTGTTCTGTAGTTTTGAAAATACGTTCCTGATGTTTCGGTCTTATGACCAGTACTTGTGAATCGCCAATGTTCGTAACGTATAAGAGAGGTGTAGCAGGCGCAGTGGGATTTGAATCATCTCTTTTATAATGCAATTGTGCTCCGGTAGCTGTAGTTGTCCCCTGCCACTTATTCGGACTCGCCGTAGCTTGTATAGTTTGCTCGTATGCCTTCTGCAGATATTCAACAGGGTTCGGCTCGAAGTATTGTCCTGCTGGGCGGGATATTCTTGCGTCGTTCTCTACTTCCAAAGCCCAAAAGTGCAGAATTAGCCTCGACCATAACCTGGCATAAAGTTAGCATCCAAGAAATCACGACGTCAGAAAGCCACAAACCCCGCATGTCCGCTTTCTCTTGTTGACCATGCACCGACTCCATCATTTGTGCCAATAAAGTGATCACTCGAATAAACTGCATCATCACCATTTGTGTACCCTCGGATTACCTCGCCGTTCACAGAAGGTCTTCTATCGCGACTCTTGTGATGAGTACTCAGGGGGTCAGAGAAGGACACCGAGGGAGGTGATAGGAATGGAGGAGGAAATGGTCGCGGCTGTCTCTTGGCGAATAGCGCAAGTCCAGTTTCGAATTTGAATGGAAGTGTTTCTTTTCGAAATGGTGGTGTTTCGACATCAGCAGATGTTGAGAATGCCAATTCAGGGCGCCATCTTGGAGAACTGTGAATAAGAGTACGACGTGATTGAATTTGTATAGCTTGCGCAACTTGTTTTTTACAAATCGACCTCTTCATCCCAGCGTTGTGATCAATATGAAGGGGTTAAAGCTACCTCGCGGTCGATTTGATGAAAAGGTGGTAATGCGTAATTATTGATAAAATTGTGCGCAGGCGATAAGAAACCTTCATTACCTAGTATTCAATCGAAAACAACCGCGATAACGAATTAGGCACTAGACACGTGATTGAGTGCATAAACTTTAGATTTTATCTTAGGGCTGAATAAGGTTGTGGATACTAGATTACTAGATAGTGAACATTTGATTGTGGAGAGCTTTCTTTCCAAGGTTCATCGGACCCCTTCTCTTTTCGAAAAGTGGGTGTCAAAAATGTAAATGGTCCAATTAATCTTTATAAAAAGTGGCATTTATTGATTATTTAGTAATACAAATAGCGGAGGGAATCTGCATACTTGACCTGACTGACCTGCATTGTGTTGTATCTAGACCTCGAGTCTTAGATATACTGTAGCATCACGGCTGTCTACAGAACATAATCTTGCATATCCGGAGAATTCGGCTATATATGTGTTTCCTCAATCTGCGCTGTCGATGCAGAGAAGAGTGATCACCACAGGCATGTTTTATGTATCTGTCCAGAGCTCCAGACAAGGAATGTATCACGGGTAACCTCAAGAAGGAACATCTCGGACAATTTGATTGGATTTCATGGAGACTTTCGTTTCTATAAGAGCTTGGTTCTTGATTCAAGATAGTTTGATAACCCTGATGTTTCATAAACACTGGAGACTTGAAGACAGACATTATTGGCAATTCCTGGATGGGCTAGTACTAAATAAATCCGATGTCCGATAAACGAGCTGAATTGTTAGAGAGAGCCGCCCAACTTATTGTACCTGGTTTAATATCAACCAATAAAATTATACTGAGCGTTAGGATCTCGTATTGTTCCTAGACTTTTCAAGCTTTCATCAATATCCATCTCTCACTTATGAACATTTATATGTCAACCTTTTTCTCAGCGCTTGTTGACGGTTTTCGGTATACGGTATACCTGGCAAATATTTGATAATAGAAGAGGTAGGTACAGCTGCTAAAAGCGATACCAGTACCAGTACCAAAATAATAATACAGAGAGAGGCTTGTTGATAGAGAGAGAAGTAATAAGATGGAATGGAATGTGCCAATGAAACTTTTCGTCCGGTATTTCCGTTCCTCATCATAAAAAATGGATGAGACCTCGTAAACTCGTAATTGAATTATTTCTTGTTGATGCAAACGAATCAAATTGAACAAACCCCTTCTCCCATTTCTAATGATTGTTCTTCCTCTCTTCAAAATCCCCCAGACTTTTTAAATATTTTTCTCAATAAATAAGTTAGAGCTTATATACTAGCCATCTACCGTGGATATCCAGTACCTACTTGTATTCCTTTCTATTTTGAGAATCGGTAGTCGGACCTCCCGCCTTTCCCGCCTCTCTTTACCACCTTCTTCATTATTCCCTGGTCTCACAACAGTGACGTCTCCCTCCCAGATCAGACAGACACTAGTACACACACATACACATACACATAGATTCATTACAACTCTATTTCCACAGATTATTCATCATTCCTCGACAACATTAACAAATACACCAAAATCAAAATCTTTACATTCTTTTCATATTTTGATCAATTATCTGCTGTTTGCGGTTGCCCACAGAAGATTTACCCTCGGGCTATAAGGAGAAAGGAACACTACGAAAGAGGTACTAGGTAGTCTGTTATATAATCAACAGACTGACAAAGGAAAGAACAAAACACAAAACACATAGATTTCTGTGTATGTCATAGTCAACAATAACAATTTGAAAAGCTTCATCCGGATCTTGCGGAATCACCGCTCCTTCGATATCTTTTCTCAACTTGCTATCAATAGAAGTAAATTAGATCTTCAAAATGGGTCGAAATCGAGGTATGTTGGAATGCGCCACCATATCTATAAGAGAAACTAGGGAACCCTCACTAAATTGCTCTTTCCCTTAGTTATGTCGTTCATGTCCCAGTTCAGGGATCGAGACTCTGACAGCCCTACTCGAACCCCTCCATCCGCAGGTCGAGCACGAAGTCGAACAGAATCCTACACTAAACAAGAGTCTCAAGAGACAGGAAAGTCAAAAGAATCAGGAAAGGAGCCATTTCCAACTTCGAGCTTCCAAATGCCGTCTCATCAGGAATCCCCTTCCAGCGAGGCCCGCGATTCCCCTCAACCTACTCGAACGAGGGAACGTGCCTCATCCAGACCTATATCTATGGTTCAAACATTTCAACCTCCGCTGATGGATGTGAGCCAAGATACGTTACCGGAACTACAACCAATCTTTACATTCTTAAATAGTCACAGCAACAAATTATACCAGGAAGGATACTTCTTGAAATTGGATGACCAAAACATACGTGCGTATTATATTCTACATTTGGAACAGAGCATTGCAATCTAACATTGTGTAGATGGCAAAGCTAATGCCGACCGGACCTGGACGGAATGTTTTGCACAACTTGTAGGAACTATTCTTTCCTTATGGGATGCGGCAGAGTTAGATGCTGCTGGGCAAGATGGAGAAGTTCTTCCAAAGTTCATCAATCTTACAGATGCCTCGATCAAAATGGTTATTATCACCCCTTTCAAACTGGCATGATCCCGTTCACTGATAGTCTTAGATTGATTCCCTTCCTACTCGATCACCTACCGAGGCACCTTTGCAAAACGTCCTCAGTATATCAACAGCTGGTAAGAACAGATACCTACTGCACTTTAATTCACATCACTCTTTGGTTCAGTGGACTGCCGGTATTCGTCTTTCCATGTATGAGCATGCAACATTACAGGAAGCTTATACGGGTGCGCTCATTGCCGGCAAAGGTAAATTACTGAATAATATCAAACCCATTATGGAGCGCTCAAGATCTCAGACCGCAGATTGGGCCCGGGTAAGATTCGGCGCTGGAACACCTTGGAGACGATGCTGGTGTGTGATTACTCCCCCCGATGAAAAGGAGTTTCAGAGAATACAGAAGCAGTCACAGAAGAAGAGGTCCGCATATGATCGCTCCGGACCTCCTATATTGAAAGGTGACATCAACTTTTTTGATTCGAAGAAAACGAAAAAGGTTCGACCAATCGCCACAATCACCGGTGCCTATTCTGCGTTTGCTATTTATCCTCAATCCAAACCACTCATAGATGCTTCCACCTTAGTCAAAGTGGAGGGATCCATCACAATCCACTCAAATCCTCCTCTAACCTCTGAAGGATTCGTTTTCGTCATGCCCGAGGTCCATCCTGCGGTCAGTGGCTTTGAAATGATGCTCCGGTGGCTCTTCCCAGTCTACGATACATTTGGTCTATACGGGCGTCCAGGTCGATTGGTCGCAGAAACCAATGATACTAGAAGTTTGATGTTTGCAATGCCAGAACACCGAAGATATGGATACCTGGAGACTCTTGATGTTTCAGGCCTGATTTCGGAGGAAGGCAGCGCCAACTGGCTAGAATCTGAATGGAGAAGCAGAATGAAAGATTTAACGGCCAAGCGTATGGTAACCCTCAAGAACAACAGCCAAAGGAATAGCCCATACGGTAGTAGAAGAAGTCGCAACAGTATGGGAAATCCCCGAACCCGCCTTCAGTTTGACGATGCAGCATCGGTTAGATCATCACCATCGATCCAGTTTGGTTCCCGTACGCCGGGAGATATTGGCTATGGAGGTCTCCCTCGAACTGATTCAGCCCCCGCGGGTGCTATGGCATTCCAGCAATCGAAGACTTCAGCAATGTCTCACCACAGGTCAATATCCGAAACTCAACCACCAGGCCATCAGGAGAATCAAAGCCCTGCAGTCTTTGACGGGGCGTATGAACATGCTCATCATACTGGTCCTATTTCACGTGAAGGTTCAGGTTTGAAATATGTACAGGATGTTGCAGCCTCTTCCGAACGTCTCAGTTCAGAAGATGAACAGGCGGCCAACGCAACCCCAGTTCGTGAACTACAGGATCTGCAATTCGTTACAACCCCAGAACCCGTTGCTGCACCACCAGCTTTTAGGCATGCACCCGGAGCATTACCTCCTAGCAAACCTTTACAATCACCAGATCTTCGGAAAGCGAACAATCGCATGTCTAGCGCAACACTATCCCAATTAGCCGGTGCTGCCGGCGCTGTCGGTACCTATCAACAGGGCCAAGAAAGACGAGGAACAAATGCTCAAAGGCATGGTAGAATAGAGGAGGATGAAGATCAAGGTAGAGGGGTACTGTCAGACGTCACCAGAAATCACCATATGCCTGCTAACCATAACATCATTAATGAAGGCATGGTAACAACCTACAAACCTCGTAACGAACAAGAGTCAACTCTTCCCTCGAACCGCGATCAAATACCTCATCGAAGTCAAGATTATCAATCTAACAACATGTATTCCATTTTTAATTCACAATCGACCTCTTCAAACGTTATGCCGCCACCAAAGAATCCATCGAATCAACCATCGCGTCTGCAGACGAGCCAAAGCATTTCGAGAAAACCCCTTCCTACACAGCATGAAAACCAACAAACCCCCGCTTCATCGCAACCCCCTTCTAGTTCTGGGAGTTTGACCCAGCATATTCTTGATTTAGGCGCTTTCGACTTGATACTACCTAAGGCCGACGATTTCAAGCTCCCGCAGATTCATAGACACAACAGTGATTTAAGTAGTATGTATGACGACGCTGCATCCACAGATACCCCAGATTATGCTAGCACCAAACAATCTGTACGATCTGTGCGCACGCAAAAATCTGTCGAAAAGCCGCGAGCAGGTAGGAAGAAGGTCATTGGTAATGTCGAAGTCGGGCAACCACTCTATGGTGACGAAAATACATTATCAAAGGAGCTCAACATTGATTTTGGTCCTACATTTGATCTCAATCGAGCACCCGGTCGAAATACTCCCAGTCCTACCCCTAAACAGAATCAACTTAATAATCCAAGTCCCGGAAAACGTCCAAGTCATGACAGATCCCCTAGCGGCAATGCACTTGCTTGGCAACCCGGAATGAGTGCGACTGCTGCTAATAATACATTTGGTCGGCAACAGGGCTTGACCCCGGAAGAGTTTGTTCAACAGCGTTCCATAGTTGCTGCTACCACACCACAATATGTACATCAACGTCAATCTTCTGGCAATATTTTGCGTGCAAGTTCTCCTACGCCAGCCCGCCATTCACCTTCTCCTACCCCAGCACGATATACACCCTCGCCTACACCGGTTCAAGTTTCCAAGCGGTCTAGCGCGCTATTAGGCCAACATTCACGCCACAGCTCGGCAGATTTGTTGAATTCAAATGAAGGTTATGGTCAGAATCGTCATTCACGCCGCAACTCAACAGATTTACTGAACTCTGGCGAGGTATATAATCAACAACAACATGCACGCCACAGTTCAGCTGATCTCCTTCGCCCAAGCTCAAGAGGTGCAGCTAGAGCTTTAGGTCCTTCTGGGAATGGTGTCATTACAACAAATCTCTCTGCTCGAGAACAAGCACATGTTGCGAAAATTACTGGTGGACCTCTGATTGCTATGGCTAAAAACAATAAACGAGATAGCATCGTATCTACTGGTCTCGTTGGAGCTATTGATTCGCGTGAGAAAGAGAAACAATATGTCAAGCAAGGAGTCAACTCTCAGTCGGTGCAGCATGCAATTGCGCTCCGTCAACAACAGTTTGCTCAGCAGCAACTACAGCAACAGCAACAGCAACAGCAACAGCAACAGCAACAGCAACAGCAACAGCAACAGCAACAGCAACAGCAACAGCAACAGCAACAGCAACAGCAACAGCAACAGCAACAGCAGCAACAGCAAGCTGAGCAGAATCGTCGCCAGTCGCAATATGCTAATACCAACTTTTCACCATCGCAGTTTGCAGTACCAAGTAAAAGAGGTTCATGGATGGGGCCAAATGCAAATGTCTTTCCTCAATCTGGGGGATGGACAACACCTGGACATTCACCCGGTCAGTACCAACCAACTTTGGCGCAATCACCTGGACAATATCAACCAACCTTAGCACACTCACCTGGTCAATTTCAACCAAATTTAGCACAATCACCTGGACAGTACCAACCAACTTTGGCGCATTCACCTGGGCAATACCAACCAACCTTAGCACACTCACCTGGATATCAAGGAACTCCTCAACAATACTCGCAACAGCAGCAATATTTCCCCCCAAATCCACCAACGCAAGGAGCGCAAAGGAACTCTGGATACTACGGATAGGATAGGTACTAGATTGAGGGCATAGCCCGGCGTTTTTCGTACAATCTTTTGACCGAGTTGGATTATAAAAACCTGTCTTTTGGAATTGACTCATATTTCCTTTTGTAAATCTTATGTTTTTCTTTCCTGTTGGTCGTTTTTTTTTCATAGCGAGGGTATGGCGTGAAGGTTTCACGGTTTGGGAGAGGGATGGGTTAACTTACATTTGGGGGAATTGGGTGGGTGAACAGATTCAGCCTAGGCACGGCATATTTCTCTTCTTTTGTTTTGTAAATCCAATTAGATTGGATGGATAGATGGAGATGGAGATGGAGATGGAGTAGAGCGATCGATAAGTCAGATAGGTCGGAGAACCTACCACAGAGGGATTAGCTTATTAGGAAATTATCTGAGTACATGAAAGTTTAATTTTTGAGGAAATTTATCGTGACTCGTGAGATTTAGTATTATATTGTATAGTGACAAGGGAAAGGGAAAAAGGAAAAGAGAAATAGGAGGGATGTTGGGATTCGAAAAGAGAAAATTGGGGGTTACGTGGGGAAGCGAGGCGAGGCGGGTGGGATGTGAAGAATGAATGAATGAATGGTACTCGTATTATGTATGTATATGAAGAAATCGTTATGAAATAAATTTGGTAAAATAGTAAAATAAATAGCTGTGTAGAGGTGCACTGATATACAAGTTGCTATTTTCAGTTTGAGGGCGTCCAGACCCCAGATGGATTCTGATTTGGGGGTATATTTATGTATTGATATATATCGAGGAGTTTGCTAGTTGAGAGACTTTGGATATGGGTATGGAGAGGGAGGAAGGAGGGAGGGAAGGAAGATTCATAAGTGACCTATCTGTCTATCTGCAGGAGGTTGGGATACTTGTACAGTATAGTTTTCCTGATCGTTTAGAATTGGTTGGTTCGGTTACAGAGGATGATGTCGTGGGGTATCTTGCTAGTCACTGGTTTTTATTGTTTATTCGACTACGTTTGTTAGGATGCTATCTATCTACGAAGGAAGGAGGATATGAAAAATCACAGTGATTTAAGGAAAGAATTGTCAAGGAGTTGTGCGGATTTTTCTTTGATTTGGTAAGGAGTGGGGGTGGGGGTGTTGGGTAGGTTGTAGGAGTAGAAAGTTAATGGAGGTAAGAAGCAAATGGAGTAAAATGCTAATGGAAGTAAGAAGCAAATGGAAGTACCGGATCGCATCTTCCACAGCAAGGAATCTGTTCATCGCATTTGACCTTCTAATTACTGTTCTACTCCTATTCGGCTAATTTCAGAAACAATTATACTGTTGTGTTCTAGACAATAACATTGTCCAAAGTTCCTTTGTTCGCCCCTGTTTTAAGCGGGAAAAAAATGAACCGACGTTGTGAGTACAATAACATTGTTCAGCAGCCATTCCATCAAGACAGCGGCGACATGCCATCACGAGAGAAAAAGAAAAGAGAAGAACAGGAATTGGACAGCATGTCTTGTAAAAATATAAATGACCCCGTCGTCTCCGACATGATTCAATTCAACCAGTCAACCATTTCTACACACATAACCAAGTCCTCAACACATCACAAAAACCTTATACTTCTACTCAGAAATCTAGGAATTGAGATACCAAGGACTTGGACAAAAACACCCGTGTAGAAAAAACAAACTCAAAAAACGCAATCATAGAAGACGCCACCATGGGAGCATAGGTCCGATAGAGCACCAGCGAAACCGACTACCTACTGCACCTCTGCTCTGTCTACTAATTCCCCACCTTCGAAAGCGCCTCCTCCAAAACCATCGACGCAATCATCACCGGCATGACCACCGAGTCCATCAAGCATCACCCAGGCGGCCCCTTGCACGCGACCGATCCATGGGCACCACGAACCTACACACGAACCGGGACCTGCGCGCGTGCGAGGCAATTTCTACGAGCCCTTGTCCCCCGTGACCCTGAGGAATACGAAGCACTCGTCGAGGCGGAAAAATTCCAAAAGGAATTGCGCGTCGATCAATGCAAGCGTATTTCTCAGGAGAAGGCTCGCGAGAAGAAATTGGAGAAGGAGAAGGAGGATCGTGAAAAATCTATCTTGGCTGCGAATGAGGCGCTCAGAGATCAATTCAAGAGTGTTAAGCGTCGCACCCCGAAGACATGTTCTTCTGGAGTCATTGATCTAACCGAGGATTAGATTTAGTGCCAAGTCTGCTAACTTTTTCGCTTCGCCCGTGCTCCCATGATATGATTTACTAGTAGGCAGGTCCTAGTTATTGAGTTGTTTCTGAATCTCTTTTTATAAATACTCAAGTAGAAAAAAAAGTAAGTTATTTCTTTATAAAAACCAAACTTTGTATCAATAAAAATTGAATAGTGAGTAGTGATGTAAATAAAACAATGTGAGGACGGACTACTGTGAAGTTAAGAAAATTAATAAAGATGGTATTGAACATGGAGAAAGAGAGCACTTTGACATGAACGATAATAATAACTCATCCAAGGTGTACCTGCATATTAATTATATCACAGTATCTCATTCGCTACACTCCTGCGGTTTTATGAGCGCCGATTAGAATAGAAATGACATTAACTCGAGTAGAAAATACATTCCATTGACAAATCCTTCGCTCAAAACCCTGTGCATGAAATTCGTCAACACCTCTGAGAATTGGTTCCTTTATTTCGTCATCATCATCATCATCACCGTGATTTTGCTTTCTATCATCCCATCTCAACTCTTCTCAATTCATGCCACACCATACACACACCAAGCTCCCGCTCCTCTCAATACAATACAGTAGTACCGTACCGTGCCGCATCCACCCCGTCCATCGAATACAATAAATTCGCACGCGCACAACTATAAACCTAAGCAGGACCAGAAACAAAACGAGATCCACATAGCCCCCAAACGCCTCTTCTGATATCTTTATCTCTGGCATTTCATCACCCCGCAAGCGACGTTACGTTACCCAACTGTAATTTCCGCAGTTGGATCCTTCCTAATATCCAATTCCATCAAACCTTCTTTCTTCTCAATGACAAGCCCCTTCTCATTAGCGAGATGCAAAAGACAGATAAAACAATAACTTGTAGATATATCACTCATGACTTGCTTTGGGTATACAGCCTGGAGATTTTGCATGACGGCTGTAAATTGAAGAGTTTCGTTCTCATCAGTAGGCATTTTGAGGGATGGGGTGGGGAGATGTGATGCGGAGAGTGAGGTATCCTGTTTTGTTCATGTTAGTGATATCGTTTGGGATTGGAGTTCGGATATGGGGTAGCTTACAGGTTGTTCAGGCTCACTAAAACCAATACCCTTCCATAATTCCTCTTTCAATCTTCTCACATCAACCTTCTTAGCAACCCTAGCATATTGTACATATTCAGGTCTCAATCTCCGACTTTGTGTAACCAACTGTGTACCAAAAGCGCCCTCTTCGCCATCTACACCTTGAGCCCCGGCATTCAGTATAGCAGTGATGCCATCAATACCGCCTGCACCTTGTCGTTCAGCTCCAGGTGAGAATTGTTCACGTGCGTCAGCGAATTCCATGTCATCGTCATCATCCATACCACCTGGCATGGCCAGACCATCATCTTGGAAGAAATTGGCGTCGTAATCTCCATGAGGTGGAGCTTCATCCTCCAATGTTTGAGCGGGTTCTTCTTTTCGTGCCCAATAATCATCACCAATTTCGCCCTCGGGAATATCATTTTCCTTGTTTTGACCAAAAGCTCCCGGTTTGGCGCCGAATCCAGATTTTCGACTACCCATTCTAGCCTTCGGTTTCAAGAAAAGGCGCAATAATTGTTTAGAGTTGAAATGCTTATCATCAGGAAGAAGATTCCTTGTCTTAGACTTCCAATCTTTCTTCGGTAGAGATATAGTAGCATTGGTTGCTGCGTGTGTATAGATGGTTTCTGCTAGAGTGGCACTTAAGGGAGACATAAAGTCAATCTCGAATGGCTCTTTCTCCTTGCGAGTTTTCGTAACTGCTGGTTTGTCGACATCTTTGATCTTTCGTATCCTCCAATGTTCAGGACCGGCCCAATTCTTTTGCAACGCCTCGTCGAAATAACTTAATATATCGTCATGACCACCTTCTGTCTTTGATCCGCGATCAAGAGAAATTACGTACTCGCCGGTTTCAGGGTCAAAAGAACCGGCACCTCCGTCTCCATCTTCGCCGTCGCCACCATCATTGTCATAGCCTACATTGTGAACTCGCATTCGTGGTTCGATTGCAGCATCACGAGCCCAAGCTTCACCACCTTCTCCAAATCCAGCATCATCTGGAATGTCGAAATTTCCGAGGAGCCCATCATCGTCGTCATCAAATCCAATTGGATTGTCATCATCCAGGAAAATACCTGACCTGTCACCTACCCCATTGTCTTCTGGCTTGTCTTTTTCTTGTCGCCAGTCTTCTGGTGCCTTTAAAAAAGGAATGTCCATAGAACCAGAAGGATCTCCAAGGTCGAAGTTCTTCAATGATGGACAAATGTCCTGTTCCTCAAGGAAGTCTAAGTTTGGGAAAAATCTGACACCTAAGGCCTCCACATCTATTTCCACGTCATCTCCATCATCCTCTTCCTCATCTTCATTTTCCTTGTCCTTCATTGTAACATTTGCCGATTCTAGTATCTCTTCTGGATCCTCTTCAATTGCATCGTCTTTTCGTCTTCTGCCCCGTCCTTCTCCTGATGCGTCACCTGCATCATCGCTACTGTCAAAAACTATACGTCCCTTAGAATCGATTGACAGGTGATTTAGGAGTAGACCTTTAGCTCCACCCTCATCGAAATCCGCCGATGCTTTTTTGAATAAAGGATCGACAGAGAACTCAAGTTCGAACTTTTTCAATTGTAATGCCGAGAACGAAGTCGCGAGAGTTGCTTCTGATGAACGTTGAGTCTAAGTTAATGATTAGCTGTGGTTTTCCTAGTGCATTAAGTAAAATCCGATGTGATGTGATTCGAAATCGACATAGTTTGGCCAAAATAGAGTGTTGCAATTCTTGCTTATTCCAATACCGGAAGAACCATAGAGTAGTTTCATGGCAATGAAATTCAGCTTTTGCTATCACAAACTTCAAGAATCTTGGAACTCTAGTTTTATTTCTTTGAACAGAAAAATAGGAAACAAATCGGTGGATAACATCAGAACTCTCTGGTAGGGAGCCGAGCCCCAAAAATTCAAACCAAGCCATCCGGGGCTCAGGGAAAAACGAGACGACTTGTAATGCTGTTCACACTTTCTCGAGCATAGCAATGCGGGGGGTTTTGTGACGAGCCTTGAAGAAATTGGCGGATCTTGGTTCATACATCCGCTACCGATATGGCACAGATCCGCTTCAGAGGTTGGTCGAAAAAAAAATTACAGGTTGGTGTATCTATCCACTGTCGCCTCCGCTCCACTGGATTTCCACTTAGGCGGAACAAAACATTAAAAAATGCAAAAACATACAACAGTGGGGATTCGCTGGTGGTCACCCACCCAACTACTAATCCACCGATCTGAAGCTTGTGTATGGCAGAGCGGACGGGATGCTCAATTCTCTTCAGTCTATGATCGTATGTGCTGAAAAGTGTCTCATATCATACTATATTGAGACAAAATGTCTCCTCGTCTTCTTCTCGAAGCATGTCACTGGGCAAGGGACCAAAAATCTCCCATTACACTTCAGAAGTATGGGCTTAAGGGCCTTAGGTATGATGCTGCCCCGCATTAAATGTGATCTTCAACATCCCAACTATGAGACTTGACATGATCTCAAAAGTCTTGTGCGCAGGCTGAAAAGAAGGATGTAAGAATGAATGCAAACTACACGTACCCTCTTCTTTGTCTTTTTCCTAACAACCCCATTTTCGTCTTCAACCTCCTCCTCGCTCTCATCACCGTCGCCCTCCTCATTCTCGCCCCTCTTCTTCTTGTTGTTCCCGCTGTCTGCCAACCCACTTAGAAGTTTGCCCGTCTCAGTAGCCACACTGTCGACTCGACTAGTATAAATCTTGACACACCCATCAAGAGTGCAACTGGCCTTCTGAAAATTGACTCCATCACCTTCTTTCAAAAGTGACATGTCGTGGAAATAATCAATAAGCGCAAAATTCCAGGAATTCGCAGCGTTGATCTTGTTGTCCGTGGCCATCTTCATCCATTCTTCGAAATTTGCGAGAATCGGAACACGTTTCATAGGGGTTACTGCGTTTCCTCCCACCATCATGACCCCGCCATCGAGCTCACTTTCTTTTCCCGCTCGTCTCGGAGTTCTATTGCTTGACGACGGCGAAGAGCTTCCTGCTCGATTGAAATTTCCCAATTTCCGCGGAGTCGCGGCTTTTTTTATTTCGTTCATCTGCGTTTCGTGAAGGACATTTCTTGATTTTGATCGTCTCGCCTTTTCCTGCGCATCATCATTGAGAGCCAATTTTACTGGCGATGTATCATTCAAAGGTACTCTGTTGAAGTCAGTATTCAAAAGCTTCAATCTGCGGAGTGCAAACGCAAATCATCATATCTGCCAAAGATATGGACTTCCAAACACCATAGCAACCAGGGAAATCATACTTCACGGGAGACTTTGCGGGAGTTTGTAAAGAGCCAGAAGTATTACTGCCCTTACTCGCGCGTGGGTTTTGTGCGACTCTAGGCATATCAAAAAATTATAAATTGTTGTAATGGACCAACTGCTGCAATAATGTTGAGTTCAGATTTTTGTTTATTTTCATTATTTACTCATACATTGGTTAGGATAACCAGTAAGCGGGGATCGTTGTTGCTCCGATGCGAGTATGAATACCTCAGGTATCATATTAAATCGCTTACATAATAAAATACAATCAATCTAGGTAATCTTCATTCATGCATCCTCCAACGGGTTGCAACCACTACCATCCACATCCACATTCACGGTTTATTCTCAGATGCTCATTCTCAGTCGAGTCAAACTTACCTATATGAGTCGTGTACGACCTGGTACCTCAACCAGTAGGTATCGAGCCTTTCTTCCTTATCAGTCAGTACCTAGCTAGTACATTTTCCTCCTTTTCACCAGGATCAGGATGTAGTACCGGCAGCCGTTGATCGCTCTTATCTCGATATATTTATCGCTTTATCGATAACCTACGTAGGTACCGGTATAAACCTACAAATAAGGTGGACCACCAGATCAGCCGTTCCAGCCATTCATACAACTTACCATTCACTCTTATGACGAGGGTTTGCACTATCATGAATGAATGAGCTCTTGGCAGTCTAGCACATCCAAAATCCAAGTAGTTCTGTAATCATCACAACTTTGAATTTCTAGTTGTGAACAGACCTTTGTTTTTCCATGTACCTGTACTCATACTCTTAGTATAATTACTTTCGCAATGCGCATCTCTTCGACCAAAGCTTCAAATCCAAATTAGATCATGCATCAAGAATGCATCGACCATCTTCGACTAAGGTGTCGTCCCGCCCACCGACACGATCTAAATATAACTTTCGAGCTTTCTATCTTACCATATTAATCATCTCATTCTTAGCTGTGATAAGTCTCGTCGCAGACCAAAGTGCGAGATATCGCCACGGCTCTCAATATGGAGTGGCACAGAAGCGAGCACTAGATGCGCTGGACAGTAGGAGACTTGTGAAACGGGACGAAGAGGTTTGTAGATGAAAATGCTATGCCGAACTTGGTACTGATATCGAAGTCATAGTGTCGTCTTGTCCATCACGCCGAAGACAAATGCCAATTCATACTAGCTAATTGTCCTGATGAGACTGCAGGACTCCTCAACTACCTTTCGCTTTACTATTGCAAACTACCGAAGGCTCAGCCTGTGGCTTTCCTCATTCTCATACTATGGCTTGCATTGTTATTCTCGACGATCGGGATCGCAGCGAGCGATTTTTTCTGCATCAATCTATCAACAATTGCGAACATACTGGGCATGAGCGAGAGTATGGCGGGCGTAACATTTCTAGCTTTCGGTAATGGTAGCCCAGATGTATTCTCGACGTTTGCCGCAATGGGTTCGCATAGTGGCAGTCTTGCGGTGGGTGAACTCATCGGAGCAGCGGGGTTTATTACTGCAGTTGTCGCTGGATCGATGGCTTTAGTAAGAGAATTTAAAGTCGGCAAAAAGACATTTGTGAGGGACATTGGCTTCTTCATAGTTGCAGCATGCTTCACTATGGGTTTTCTTGCGGATGGTGCTCTTCATCTCTGGGAATGTTTTGCGATGATTGGGTTCTACCTCTTTTACGTGGTGATAGTAGTGGTGTGGCATTGGTATTTGGGACGAAGACGACGACATCGTGAAAGAGACGCCGCAGCTCGTGGTCAGTACTTGGTGATGACGAATGAAGAAATAGAGGTCACTGAGGAAGATGGTGACGATGAAGATGCGCCAGCAGGAGAGAGGGGCTTCCGTAATAACGAAGACTTCGCGTCATTAGAACGTGGCTCTAGTCCTCATCCTCGCACACAAGAAGAGGAAGACAGTGATGAGGATGGAGACGAAGGCAGGCATATTGCCGCCGAGGTGGCTAGCAGTATGCGAGTAATACGACCATCTGGTAGCCGCAGGAATACCATAACTCCCATTCGTCCTAGTTTAGTGGGTGCTCTAGAGTTCAGATCGGTTCTATCAACGTTACAAAAGTCTCGGGGTTCCCATGGTCCGCCGATAAATCTACGACGATATTCAGACGATCCATCGACATCACTTGATCAAGCCAGGGCATCTGCAACCACATCGGCTCCGGCGTCGGAATATGCTTCGAGTGTGAATCTTACCGAGGGCGTCGAGAACAACATTGAGCGGCCTAGGCTAGACCCCATACGCAGCAGAGCCGTCTCTATGAACGCTGCGTCAGCCCTTAAACCCACTGATCCTGCCGCCTTTACTGTCGCAGATGTGCCAGATATTGGCATTGTAGCAGCCACTCCAACCTTCCCACGGCTCTTAGATGTGCCATCTACAACCGGCAGCCCCGCTCCTATATCGCCAACATTTTCTATTTCGTCCCCTCGGTCTTTTCATGGATCAAAAAATGACACACTATTTACAAAAAGCACACCACGCTGGAACGACGATCTGTTGGCACCACCTGGGAATGACTCTCCAGCACCGTCACCCCGACATCCTCGCTCTCCAGACCTACAGCCGCAAGATTCGTTGACAGATTCTACTGGATCGCGAACAATGCAACGACCTCAACTTCAAATTCCAACTTCCTCAAGGGATAGCTCGCGAACCCGGATACAGTCGCCGATCTTGCCATTTCCTGTCTACTCGGATTCGCCAGTGTTGATGTCAGGATCTAGTTCTAAGGCCCCTAGTATCATGCTACCAGATTCCGAAATAACACCCGAGTCGGTTAATCTGGAGCATGAGTTGCATTATGCAGAAAGGCCGATTAACTGGTGGCCATATCGCATACTACCTAGTCCACAAATCATACTTTCAGCTTTATTTCCTACTCTATTCATATGGAGAGATAAGAGCGGATGGGAAAAATTTATCAGCGTCGTTTCGGCCCCTAGTATCTTTCTTCTGGCAATTACACTTCCAGTGGTTGAGTCTGAATCCAAAGGTGAGGACGAAGAGATAGACTACACTCAAGAAAGAAGGGAGCCTGGCTCGTCGAGAAGAAACACAGGCCCAGTACTGATCCCTGATAGCCCATCATTGATTTCGGAGGCAGAACCCGAATGGCTACAGTATCAACGGAGTCGGCGGAACACTCAAACCGAGAATTATCCTCAATCGCCTATTTCAAATTTCAGTGAACACAACACTGCCGCCATAGCAATCTCGGCCGAGAGCCACCATTCTCATTCACGTCCAATTTCCATGTCACCTCCCAAGAGGGCTAACTCGACCCACGAGGATGCAGTCCATAATGGTCCCGGTGTAGAGCCTTCTAGAGGCTGGAACCGCTGGCTCGTTGTACTCCAATTATTCACAGCACCTCTCTTTGTGGTGTTAATATTTTGGGCTAACAGTGACGATGGTGACTCAAAGTCACTCACACATTTGATTTTGTTTTCCCTTCTCGGATCTCTGGCAGCGTTCGCCGTTCTCGCATTAACAACAACTCATTCAAAACCCCCCAAACATCGATTCTTGCTTTGTTTCCTCGGTTTCGTCGTAGCTATTGCTTGGATTTCCACCATTGCCAATGAAGTTGTCGGAGTTCTCAAAGCATTTGGCGTCATTTTAGGTATTTCAGATGCAATACTTGGCCTTACCATATTCGCCGTTGGCAATTCATTAGGAGATCTCGTCGCCGATATTACAGTAGCCAGATTAGGATATCCTGTTATGGCATTGAGTGCTTGCTTTGGAGGACCGATGCTGAATATTCTCATCGGCATCGGTGTTAGCGGCGCATATATGACGATTAAAGAGGCCAACCACAAACACTCCAAGCACCCGTACAAAGATATTAAATACAAGCCATATCAGATTGAAGTCAGTGGTACACTGATGGTCAGCGCCATCACTTTACTTATCACTTTAGTTGGACTCCTCATTGCTGTGCCCATGAACAACTGGATAATGAGTAGGAAAATTGGATGGGGCTTGATCATTTTGTGGTCAATCAGTACAGTAATCAACCTTGCTGTGGAAGTTAGTGGGGTGTTTGGTGATAATGTGGACTTATCTACTTATTTTTCATGAGCTTTTGGAAATACTATTAATGCAAGCGATGAATTATGTTTTATAGCAGGACAATAGGGAGGATGAATTATGTTTTATAATAAGAAAATAGGGAGGTAGAATTGTATTACAATCGGGAGTATAGAGGTGTCTTTTTCGTTATGTATATTCAATGGCCATGAGATATAACAATAGCATTTCTAAATTAATGAGACAAGAACCCCCGAGTATACCTATTGTCATTCAAATCTTGGTGACTTGTCTCTCATCTCATTTATAGTACCTAGTTGTATTCAGATGATTAAATGGCTTTTAAAGCAGTATTTAACCTTGGGATGATAGATATGTAATAAAACACACAGGCAGTCTTGATTGTTCATCTATAATGTGAGTTCATAGTCTTCAATATAGTTATTCCCTATGTTTGTACTCGAGTATACTTCAACTCTGAAAATGTTCATCTGGTTTATAATTCAAGACAGTATTCATGCTAGGTAGTTTCATATAAAGTCGGTCTGGATCTTACTAAATCATTCTTAGCCTTGTATCTAAGGATGGAAAAGGAATCATCCGAACTTTAACCGATCTGGGACACTAAGGAAACATCCGTCCGCCCCACTACAGCACATCGGACAAGACAACGAATTGCTCCCTCCCACGATGAAATAGGATACCCAGCAGGATACCTACGTAACCTTAACAATTATCCCACCCCTCACCTCGTCCTTTTCGAATTTAATTGAGATCACTTTTGTGAGACACCATTACTTGCGACGATCTGCAAAAGCTCAACACTTTCTTATCAACAATACAGAATCTTCTAGCCTTCGAGTGAGTTAACCTCGCTGGCTATCGCGATAATGAGCACTATGCTCCCGGGGACACACGTCTTCTCTCATCAGCATCAATACAATCCGCAGGTTGACCAACCATGGATGCACCAGCAGACCCACCATCAACAGGCGCAGCAGCAACAGCATGCAGCAGCGGCTCAGGCCGCCGCTCATTATAATCGCATGGCGGCTCAAAGTCGAAACCACAACGCCGCGGTACCCTCAATTTCTTCAAACCACGGACAAGACCCAACCATGATTGACTCCAATGTTTCGGAAGAAAATAGGAGGACTTTGAACTTCATTGCAGATCTACTTAATGAAGAGACTAGGGAAGCTGCTCTTCTAGAGCTCAGCAAGAAGCGCGAACAAGTGCCAGAGCTTGCACTGATACTATGGCACTCTTTTGGTAAACTACGCAGTTCTATCGAATAACAAGATGGCTTGCTGACCTATTTAGGTGTCATGACATCACTTCTCCAAGAGATAATCTCAGTCTATACACTGCTTAACCCCTCCCAACTTACCGCCGCCGCATCGAATCGGGTTTGCAACGCCTTGGCCCTTCTGCAATGCGTTGCTTCTCACAATGAAACTCGCGCCCTCTTCTTGAATGGTCGGTCACCCACACATTGATTGGCACAAAGCAGTACTAATCTCAGTAGCTCACATTCCTCTCTTTCTCTATCCCTTCCTCAACACGACCTCTAAATCCAGACCTTTCGAGTATTTACGTCTTACCTCTCTTGGAGTCATCGGAGCTCTTGTCAAGAACGATTCATCCGATGTCATCAATTTCCTCCTAACTACCGAAATAATCCCATTATGTCTTCGGATCATGGAGACCGGATCGGAACTTAGCAAAACAGTTGCAATCTTCATTGTGCAGAAGATCCTTCTCGACGATCATGGACTGAACTACATATGTGCCACATACGAGCGATTTTATGCTGTTGGTACAGTTCTTAGCAATATGGTTTCGCAACTTGTTGAACAACAAACTGCGCGATTGTTGAAGCATGTCGTCCGCTGCTTCCTTCGGTGAGATACACCCACCTCTAAGATGTTCATTTCGTCTTGACTAATATGACTTGTAGTTTGAGTGACAATGCTCGAGCCCGAGAAGCCCTCCGCCAATGCCTGCCCGAACCTCTACGCGATGCCACATTTTCCTCGGTCCTTCGCGATGACGCTGCTACAAAACGATGCCTCGCACAACTCCTCATCAATTTATCCGATAATGTCGTTGAATCTTCATCAGGTCACCAAGGTCTTTAATCTCAAGTTCCTACTTCCACTTCCAATGTACAATTATAAAAGCACCGATACGACGCAAACGAGCATGGGGTATTTCATATTCGGTTTTGCATAGACACAACGATACCCGGTCTTCTTTTCGGAAATGTCGTAGGTCTCTGCAGCTGGCCATCAAAGGTTTTCATAAAAGCATCGCGGGTCAAATAGGGTTAGTCTGAGGGGTGTTTTGTGCGGCTCGGTTCAATCAAGGTAGGAGTTGACAGTTGCTGCTCTCTCAAGCGCATCAATCTGGGGAGGGCCGCGAATTTACACCTTTCAAGGTCGTTATTTTCTTTCTTCATTTACATCGGTTGGTGTCTACTACTCTGAACTCGGTCGTTTTAAAGGCGTTGGGGATATCTTACATGCTGCACTATAATATAATGCTGCTAGGGCAATGGTTTGTAAATTAGGCGAAGCTTCAGCGTTCAGGAATAGAGATACATTCTTGACATTAAGCATAGAAGCATTAAATAGGATGTGTGAATTCGCGATTGTCTATGTAGCTATTAGTACACGACTAGGGGCAGTAGTAGTATCTGATCGTATTCGGCTTATGAAAGCACAATATAGCGACATGTGGTTAAGCTAATGCACTCTATAATTTTTGAAAGTCTAGAAGAAAGTCTGAACATCTAGGTACACCGGCCCAGCAACTACAATACTGTACTATACCACATCTAGGCATTGGACAACCCCTAGTTCACAGTTGGACCTCAATAGAGTATTTCTATGTATTGGGATCTTCATTATTCTGGGTAGTATTGGATGAGCCGTTATTGGCTGATTTAAATCTAAATATTGGAAAATGCAAAAGGCTGAATAAGCGTAGCTAATTTCAGCTCTTAGCTCTAGCTCTAGCTATCTCACCCCGGAGATTTCCCATGTTGAATAAATAGTAATCATTCAATGTGCCTCGGAAAAACTCTCCTTCACTTAATACGACGTCAACAAACCAGAAATATCCGCACTTGAAAGAAAACGTCACATTTGCAATAAAGGAATCCGGCATTGATCACTAATAACTTTTGATGGATTATTAGTGCTCACATATACTTACTTTCCGAGTAGGCTTACTACACTACACGCATACCAGTACTTGCAAAAAGTACTCGAGTTACAGTCAGTCAGTCAGTTGAAGAAAGCTGACAAACCTACGAGTACAACATCTTCCATTTCCTTGCATGCGCAAAGCCTCAAGACAATCTGATGACTTGGAGAGGAACTGTACTATTGTACTATTGTCGGCGTTAATGTGAATTGTTATTCATCCAACACTTATAAAATATACACGCTGACGACAAGTCAACTACAAGGCGTAATATCTTTTTTGGTCTCCAATTGTGTTTAAAGTGGGAAATGCCCACCCTCCAAACTGGTCGAGATGAATCCTACATATGACGGTATCCCTCTCCAGCAGGATAACTATGCTTTGACAATTCTTACCCAAGCGGCTATGCAAACAAACACTATTAATACTTCTTCATCCAATAACTCCGATTCGATATCCAGCGCTACTGGCTCTGGCTTTCCAAGTAATAATCGCTCTAAAATCGATAGTGCTTTGAAAACCCGAGACGCCGGTTACCACTCACGTGCAACGCCCGCCACAACATCATTATCTTCATCGACGATCAGTAATCATCCTACCGATATATCACAATATCATCTTTCACCTTCCGTATCCAACCTCACTCAAGATTACACGAGACCTCATCGAGCCATGGAGTCCCTTTTGTTCAACCCTACAGAACAGGTCTCACAGAATGTCTTCATGAATCATCCATTTCAGCCAATATATCCTGGTAGTCTGGGTATTTTGAACGCAGAGAAGTATGATGATGGAAGAAGTTCAATTGGATCTCACAATCCGAGTATGATGAGTATGAGGGGTCAGATGCAGAACCCGATGCCCTTTGGAATGTTGGAGAAGAATGGGGATAGTAGTGATACAAAACCACCAAGTGAGGAGCATGAGAATGGGAAGAAGCGAAGGAAGAGAGCCAGAAATGAGTCTCCAAGTCTTGAGGACGATGAAGAAGCTCGAAAAAAGGCAAGAGGAAGACCGAGAGTCGATACTAAGGATGAAACTGCTGCTGATGTGAGTTATCTATGTGTTTTTGTAACATATCCAGTGGCGAAATCTCCTTGATTGGCGCAGTGGGGATATTCAGCTAGAATATCAACCCCACATGTTCTCCTAATCCTAAAATGCATGTCAATACCACTCATAGGGCTAATTATTATCAAAGAGACGAAGAACTCAAATTCGAATGGCCCAGAGAGCTTACCGTCATCGCAAAGAGACAACTATTTCTTCTCTAGAGAAGCAAGTTCAAGAGCTTCGGGGTACAAATGAGGAGATGAATAATATATTCATCAACCTTTATGATTTTGCCATCAGTAAAGGCCTTCTGCAGCGTGAACCAGAATTTGGTCAGCAACTTCAATCAACTACGGAACAGTTCCTCGTGCTTGCAAAGCAGAGCGCAAGTGATGATAATTCAAGGGACGGCGGTGACTCGCCGGATAAGATTACCCATGAACCTCATCTCGAGGCCAAAAATTCTTTGGCTCGCCGTAGCATTCAACGCTCATCCCCTCCTATCGCGCTCCCAAAAGAGCCGATTCTCACCGAGGCTGTAAATCCCTGGGGCGGATATACTGTGTCAAAGGACACCAGTTTTGAAGACGAAAGGCAGACCGAAGATAGACAACAGGATACAAAACCAACCAAACCTTTTGAAGTAATCAGCAGGGCTACCGAAGATAATGCCAGTTTTCTTTTCGACTCGATGGATATCCAGAACTATCGGGCCGAGATACCTTCTCCTACCATTGATCATTTTTCTCAAGACTTTTATCCGCACGTCCAGGTCCCACTCCCAGCTACACATTCCTATTTCGAGCTCTCATTTGCACGTCGAGTGCACCGTGCAACGATGGAACAAGGCTACCAGCTACTCACAATGAAAAATCCTCCCAAAAAACGATTTCAGGAAGTCTTCGGCTTTTGCTTGACATATGAAACCAAGGACGAAATTATAGCACGAGTCACAAGGACCCTGAACAGTTCAGCTAAAGAATCGCTTCAGAATTGGCGTGCTCCATTTGTTCATCTTGGGGGCGCAGGCACATACTATCCTAATCAAGGCCCAGATACCGACAATGAGTTCATGCCTAAGTTTCGTACTGGATTCTCCATGGGCCCCTTTTCCGCAGCCTTTACGCCGATTCGAGAAAATATCAATTCTGACATGAGATGTAGCATTATTCCTGGCTTTGAAGGTGAATTTTTCGATTCCAACGATGTCGAAGGATATCTTAGGGGCCATGGATTTGATCTTCCTCCAGCTGCCGATTTCATCACAGGTCAGATAGATCTCGAGGTTTTATCTGAGGTCGGCAGTCCAGGGACTGCTAGCACCGACTCGAGATTCCCCCCTACACCTCGGAGTCCAATCGGAAATGTCATCAATGAAAATATTCAAAATACGTACAATTTTGACTATATCAATGGCGATCTGAGCAAGGAGGTGCAAACTGATGGCACTTCATCGTTTATGACATTTCCATCGTGGAGTAATGATTCTTCCAAGGGGCCTAATGTCTTCAATTTAACTGGTCCAATATTTGATGCTACAACCGGTCTCAATTCTGGTAATACTAGTCCCATTATTAGCGCCAACAATAAGCAGTACACAGAGAAACGTACTGTGACAATTAGTGTCGAAACTCTGATAAGAGGTATGTTGTTTAAACATTGACATTTGAACCACATGTAGCTAACTGTTATCTTTGTAGAATTGGCTACTCATGCATCCTGCTTGGGGCGTGCTCCTGGATACAGACGGTCCGACGTGAATGCTGCTATTATTACCGCAGCAAGAGAAGCTGGATTTTGAATGAGCCTCGAGTGAACTGGATTATGTTTCTCAAGAAGGGCTCGGGAATCTCGGCTTTGCTACTTGTCTCATGCCTTTAATCGACTTGAGGCCCTGAATGATGTTGCACTTTAAGATACTTCATGGCGTCTACTGATTTCGTCTGAACTCTAACTCTCAGCATGACTTGAGCTCGGATGGATGGACTGTGGTCCCAACGCGGATGCGTCGAATCCCTCGGAACATTATCAACCAAATTCCAGGCTTAAATGGCTTGTCTCCGTGCGCCAAACGGTCATCCCTGGTAAACCACCCCTTCAAGCTCCTATCATCCAGCGACGGATATTTGCAGCGGTAGATCTGCAATTGAAGGTCTTCCCCAGATGCAAAGGCAGATGTTCTAAATCTCCGTTCCGTAAAGTTTCAATCACAAACAATTGAACAGACTCTTTGCATCAGTCACCAAACCTCCGGAAAAGGACGTGGCCATATCCCGTCCTGCAGTACCTGCACCAATATCGAGTATTTCGTGCCAGCAAAAATTCTGGCACAGGATAAAATATGCCTGCAAGTGATAAACAATCGTTCCGATTCAGATGGTTATACAGAGAGAAGGAATTGAGAAGTTATAAGGAGCACAACACAAAAAAATCACAGAAAGAGGAAGCACGTGAATGCAAAATGAAGAGCCGCCTGCAAAGTTGTACTCTGGAATTCTTTGAGTAAGATCCGTTCCAGCGCTTTTGCTGCACATGACATGTGAGCACCCAAATGTTATATATTTCAGGGAATCTCGCAACGATGCACGTTATGAAGAGAGAGGTGCGTCGGTGTTTGGAGATAAGCAAGCTATCGTCGATATGGTTTTGATGTAATTTATCTGTGCATTTTTCAAAGTTGTGCTATGGAGTCTGGACAGATGAAGCTAGGGTGTGGTAAAGGAAGAAAAGCGGCGGTAGAGCAAAATAATATTGTAGTATAGTGTAGTGTAGGGGAGGAATAAAGGACTCCTGGAGAGGTATGAAATACTCCTCTACTCGTATGAGTATACTGTAGTGGATAGTGGATAGTGGATACAGGACTAGCGAAATCTTTATAGGGATTTGATTTTTAAAATATGCTGTTTTGAATGACATTATATCGATGCTGTTTCTCTTTTGTGCTCTACTCGTAGGCATATTGTATCCATACTCATATCCAGCGTGTCCGAAATTCTATTGGCTTAAGGTTTAAAGGTTTACGAGTAGTTTTTTTTTCATTTCATAAGATTATATTAGATTTTGTAATTATAAATAATATATTCGAGCTATGAGTACGAGTATATATAAATCATATTCGTTACAAGATCTTCTTTTAAACTTCAACTTTTGCTTTGGGAAAAGAGTGAAAGCATATCTCAGCTGAGTTGGCTCTGTGGTCAGAATTGGTGTTTTAATAATACATCGATTTCATTATTAGATCCCTAGTATATATAATTGCCTTCTCTAATATATAGTAATATTACATACATAGCACTTGAGCCCTTCGCTACCTGACCCAAAACCAATGATTTATCAATTCCACAATATTTCAATATCAATATCAAAACCAAAACCCCCACCCCCCTCCCTTCACACACCACCTAATAAACCCCCTCCCACTGCGTCCGCCACCTAACCCCCTCCACCCTATAAACATCCCTCTCCACCCACCCCACCGCCCCTATCCCACAAAACTCCCCCCACCTCTCCCTCACCTCCACACTATTGACCGTCCCCCTCGGCATGTCCTCCCCCCCATAAACCCAAATCCCCGTCTCCTCCCAATCATCCGCTCGATACCAAGGTCCCACCAATGGTCCTCCGCCTTCATACTCACTATATCCATAACAACCGCCTTTTCCCTCGGAAATTAGTTCGTCGGTGATGGCGTGATGCCCCTGGGAACATATGTAGCCGGTGAACCAGGGGCTGTCGTGGTGTAGCCAGAGATTGCTTTGTATGCAGGCAGTGGAGGAGGGAAGGGTGAGGAGCGTGTGCACCCAGGTGTCTTGGGTGCGTTGGAGGTGGGTGGAGAGGGAGGTGTAGTGCGGTTGGAAAGAGGCCATTTTTTGGTCGTAGGGGGTTGTGAGGAGGGTAAGGGGGATAAATGTAAGGGGTGCGAGGGATTGGGAAGGGGAGAATAGGGGGGGGTGGAGTGTCTCGTTGGAGTTGGGTGGCTGGGGAGTGTGCTGGTGTTGTGGTTGTATGCATAGTTTCGGAATGCGGAGTTGTAGTTCTGTCTCTGTGGAGATGAGTGAGTTGGAGGGCTACGGGTGTTGTGTGCATATTTCTAATATGTTGTGGTTGGTGAGTAGTGGTATGGTCTCTATGTAGTGGATTATACTTCAATATCGGTTGATTCGATGTAATCGATTTCAAGGACTTTGAAGTTCCATGCGAGTTATTATTCTTATTATTTGCTTGTGATAAAGACATCGTCACGATGTAGTAGAGGATTTGTTTTGAGAAATCTTTGAAAGTAATCGGTTTGTTTGAGAGAGTATTTAGAAGTGAAATCAGTTCTTAGACGAATGTAAATATAAGATATCCAAGATTTGTGCAACCTCTGTGAATGTTTTATGATTTGTTTATTTAATTCCCACATGGTGCCTTGTGATATGTGATATATGAATAATGAATTTTCATGTAATTTCTAGTGTTAATAATCTCCGAACACAAGATGTAGGCCAGGGAAAAATGTAAGTCTATCCAGGCATACATGAAAACATTTTCCGAATATCCAATCCACTGTGAATCAAATATGCTATCAAAAAACATCTTTAGCATTAGAAGATATCGATACCTCCGTGTTTTGCTTGATTAGCAGGTCTTTAGATAAAGTTGTTCACATGAACTTATATATAACGCGTACGCCATGTATCACTCATTCACAGTTATTTGATACTCTCATAACAATATAAATATTCATTCCTCTCGCCAAAACCTTCAACACACTATAACATCCTTGCACAACTTCCGTAACAGCACACTAATATTAACGTTATAGAATGATCAAAATCTACACCAGTACATCAACAACACTATCAAGATGTTACCAAATAAGAGTATACCCAAATGTGAGAAATAAATAGCATCGAGAGAGATTGAAGAAAGTTCCTAGATTTGATATGAAATTTTCAAGTGATGGAATTAGTGTAAAGATTCTTTAGACATGCTGCTTGCAAGAGATGCGATATATTAATTTTATAGTATGAATTGTGTGAACTCAATCGCTATCCTCTTTCAAGATTGTAGAGCTTCGATCACTTAGACTCCTACCTAGTGTAGTCGGTCGTTTGAACCAGTTGGAAAACTGCCAGTTTGGACGGCTATAATTTAACTAGCAGGTTGAATATCATAAACTTAACCGACTGGCAATCAGAATCATGAACTAAACTACAAGTTAAACTACAAGTTTCTAGTTAAACTGGCAGTTTAGTCAGTGCACTAGTTCAACTGGTTAACTATTGACTACACTCCTATCGATGCTATATGTTGGCGTCTATGAGTTTATTCAGGATTGTAATTGTGATTTTAATGAGATTACTAGTAGTCGTATTGATGAACTCATTTGTCGATCTGAAAATTGATATAATGATGAACTTTTCTGTATACTTTGAAGCTTGGTGGAAATAGTAATTACTGAGCACGGATGAGATAATGAGACTATATATCTCGAAAATAATGATTGGAAATTTTAAACTAATTATAGCATTTAGGATACGGAGAAGCATTCCATGGATCCGTGTAGTCACTTGGGGATTAGTGGCTACTTTCATTGAGTGGACTGTTCGAGGATATTCTTTCCGTAATCAAAGGCATAATGTAGCTGCTTCTACTTTTGACACTGTTCATTCTTCATTTATACATGTCGGCAGTATGGATATAAGACAGATAGCTATCCTTCCTACATTATCACTTTCTGAATCACAAAACCATCGTTCCTACTTTCTGTTTCCACATCGAATATCAAAACGACAGCAGACATTATAATGAATTTCTTCAAACATAATTCCTCAAAGATATTAACAAAAGATAAATTTGGAGAATATCTATCAACGTTAGACCCTAATACTGGTAATACAATGCTACAATTGAATATCTCGACATATTGACCGTGAATGAGAATAAGGGAGGAATAAATATCTCAAAAACGCTTGTGCGACAATATCTGTATTGATAATTTTGACCACACTCTTCTCGGGAAACTTCCTTCTTTCGACCTAAATTCGAATATGCTGGGATATTGGGCAGTAAAACTCCAACTGTCACGTCTAAAACGTGCAGCTATCATAGATACGAAATAATAAAGAGACAACTCAAGTAAGGAAGAGAGAATCCTAAGTCCATAAGCTCAGGGAGAAAACACAAGGCTTATTTCACTTTATGGATTATTGTTAAGAACTTGCTTTTTGAAAATTCAGACTTGCATCTCGAGTCGGATCAGATCAGTGAAGTTTAAGAAGAAGAAGAAGAAGAAGAAGAAGAGAGCCTTTGATCAACAAAACAAGAAGGATGCTGAATGATGATCCAATAAGAAGAAATTATGTATGAAGTTTAATGTATGATTACGCAAATTTAGGTATCGGCAAGTTGTTAAAGTACATTATATTATCCCATCATGAATAAGTGCAGATAAAAGGGATGTGATGTGATATTTGCCAGGCGGACTTTAATCAAAAGACTATACAAGCGCAGCAACATATTAATAAATACTTGAAATACAAAATCAAGATGCTTTTGAGACAAATCGTGTCTCGATTGTAAACTTACTAGCTATTTAGGTCAATCAAGGAAGGAAATTCCGGGTGATGGATTTTAAATGGATTCCAAAAGTTTGTAGTGTAAATGTCTCGAGCTTGTACTCGAATATGTATATTTAATGATATCCATGAACAGCACCCGAATTTTTCAATTTTTTGGATTGGAAATAAACTACAGGTACCATATCGTTCGCTTCCTCCCTTCGCGTCTTAACTATACGACGGAAATAAGGGGCGTTGAAACCTGAGAGAAAAAGAATTGCGAGGATTAAAGCATTGATGAAAAGGTCTGCGAAGTACGAGAGAGAGAGATATATATATATGTGGATGAAGGTCCAGGATTAAAAAACGAGGACGCGCCTGAACTCTCGATAGCGGATACGGTGTCTGAAATGGAGGGCAGTATTGAATAGCTTGCATAGTATACTCGAGTAGTTAAAACATAATTAAATCAAGCGAATCCTTTTCAAACCTTTCCCAATCAGGGATGTGAGCACTCAAATCAGCCTTTAAAGTCTGAAATATCTAATTTGTCTATCTTTCAGTCCGATATTAAAATTTCCTTACTAGACTAGAAACACTTCATGATTTTATTACAATGATCGATAATATGATATAAAATTTACATTAGACTTCTCACGACATCTCAAAATGCATTGGGTAATCTAGAATATATCCTACTAGTACTATAGAACGAATCCCACCTAATCTACCGTGACAGCTGTACCGTAACCCCTGAATCAACCTCTCGCTAATCACAAGAGCCCCGCCCATTCTTCGTCTAATTAATCGTCGTTTTTAACGAAGAGCATAATGACTCTTATAGCAAATTACTATTACAGTCTATATGAGCCTAGAGATGAAAGAAATAATCAAACATGTTATATTCATCCTAACTAATCAAATACATCCCAACTCAACTCGATTCAATTCAATTCAGAATCGAAAGTGATTTTGAATACTCGAACCCTCTCTCTATGCTTTACTTCCATGTAATCATAGCACAAATCGAAATCCAAAAACTCCTCAAAACATACCCAACAAAGGTGTGCATTATTACACTTACTTACACTTAATAAAGTTATAACTATTCTATCTTTTTAATAGAAATCTTATACTCCGGGAAATATTTGATACCGATTTTCTCCATCAAATTTAGCGTTGCAGTACTTCATACCTTCCCGAGGTTATATCTTTGTATTTTGCTCAACTTTTATTCTCGTATTGCGGTAGCACAATATGCAGATTATGGTGCAATATTGTATTCTGTACAGCAACACAGGTATTGAAATGCATCATATTATATTAGTTACGTGATAAATAGATAACCTTAGTATTCTAATTCTGTTTTTGGTTTGGGTAGCAGTGAAACACCTGTGGATGATATTAAATATAAGTTAGGAAATAATACCTCAAGAATGTCTTTGAATGCTTTAGAAAAAAGGACTTTTGTAGTTCTTTATAGCGGAAGATTGCTTGGCATTTCCCTATCTCACAGTGATATCGTGACACTTGATTAGAAAATCTTTTCCGTTCGAAATAGAGGCGGTACAAGAAAGCTCGAAATGTTCAATGGGATATAAGTCTACTACCCTAC